TAATAAACAATTTTATGGAAATTATTTTTTTAAATAAAATATAAATATTTTATTTAACAATTATTTTTAGTTGTAAATCAGATTATTAAAGTTAGAAAGTGACAGAGTTTTATCGTTTTATAAATTTAATGATTTGATAAATTTTATATATAAGATATATATACAGTTAATATATACTTAATTATTGTTATAATAACTTACTCTAATAGTGTGGATCATTACTAGAAAATTGTTGTAAACGGAGACACTTTTTTTAAGACCAAAAACTTTTATAGTACTTACAGTTAGTATATAACAGTGTAGAGCCAGTAGTAGTAGTGTTATACAGTACTGTACTGTTGACTGAACTTAACATTTATACAGTACAGTAGAGTAGTAGTAGTGATATAATAGTTATACAGAGAAACAGCGAAACTGAAAATCGCCTGAAAGAGTCTATTCATCTCAGGGTATACTTTATTGATTGAATTGCAAACACACTGTATATATATATATATATGTGTGTGTGTGTATGTGTGTGTATGTGTGTGTGTGTGTGTGTGTGTGTGTGTGTGTGTGTGTGTGTGTGTGTGTGTGTGAGTGAGAGAGAGAGAGGCACAGACACCATAGAGTCTAAGTATATATAATGTTAGATCATATATACGGTACACCAGATCTGACTATACTATACCATACGATTGGCATACAATAGACACATACACTGTTGTGTGTGTGTGTGTGTGTGTGTGTGTGTGTGTGTGTGGCGTTTGCATCACATCTATGGATATGTTATTTGCTATAAGAAAATGTATAATAAAACCCCAAACTCTTTGACTAACCTTTAGATTTCATAAAAAGACTTATAATTAATGCGATTAATACTTATAACAAATACGATTACCCATTATATTTGACATAAAAATAATATAAATTAAAAGTTTATTGTTTTTTATATTTGTGTTTAATTAAATTTAAAAAATTTTTGAAAAATAATTATTCTTGATTTTACAAAACCATAGCATAATATTATTAAACATTAATAAAATATATTACAACTTTTGAATTTTTTATTTCATTTACTATATAATAATTTGTATAAAAATATCATAATTATATTTTTAATTTTTGATACACTAATATGAAATACTCTAACTATAAAATATTTCAAATATAATTTCATAATAGATTTATATAAATAATTTTAAAATTTGGAGAATATTCTTAATATTCTTAATATTCTTAATATTCTTAATATACAAAAACTATTTTATTTTTAATAATAATGATATTTAAAATACTAAACCGTAAAATGTACTAAAAGGATATCACAAATACATTATATTTTTATACATATCATTAACTCAATAGTATTTTACTAATAGTGGGTTAATGTAAAGAAAATTAAATATGTAATTTATTTTATATAATATTATAATCGTTTTATAGTTGAATAATTGAAGTTTAATTTTCTATTACGTAACTTTTTAATCTAATATTTGCTTTTTTAAAATATTAGTTTAGAAATAACATGTTTGTAATGTTAAATAGAAAACATGTTTTAGTAAACAAGTATTTCATTATCTATTTTGTGTATAACTTATTGATTTATACTGATTTAAGCATTTTTTATAAAACTGTCTTAAATGTGTAAAATTTTAATTTAAAATAAGACAACAGCTTTAAACATTTTTTTTAAAAACAATTTACTTATATAAATACAAAGTAATTTATATTAAAATTTAGTTTACTTTTACTAATTGTTTAAATATGCCATTTAGCATATTCCCAGTACTTAAGCAGATTCTACATAATTAAATTAGATTAACTACGTTTATAATATATTTAATTATTTTATTTTAAAAATAACTATTACTATAAAATGAGTTTATATAAATGATATAGTTAATATATATATAAACATAAAAATATATAATATCTATGAATAATCATACTAAGCAATAAAAATGCATCACATAATAGCATTGAAAATAAATAACTACTGATTAGAAAATACTGAGAGTTTCATTGTTATTAACAATACTATATATTTTTAGAAACTATTGCCTAGAAATCTAGTAAAGCAAATAGTTTATAATATAAACAGTATAACATGTACTGTATTGCAGTGTATATAATGATATCTTGTGTATGTGTGTGATCTGTGGTCCTATTATTTTCAGTTTAATTATTTCACATTTAAAAAATTGATTTTACATTAGTTTTAGACATTTAAATGAGAGAACAACAGGAAAGAAGATTTTTTGATAATATATTTCAATCAATAAATACAATTTTATATATAACTATGAATTTCTAAATGTAAATAATATATTTTTGTTGAAAATTTTAACAATTTTTTAAAGAGCAAAATAAATAAATATAATTTATAGAAAATTATTATATATATTATATCTAAAAATTTATATTTATTTATAACATAATGAGTTGGTTTTAAGTATAATTAATGAAAATAATTAATAGATAATAGCAAATTAAATTGCAATTAACTCCCTGGTGGGACAGTTAGCTTAGTTGCTCTATTATATATAGAGTATATAGTGGTATGATTATGGCATTGATATATTAAATGAATTTAATTGAATGGTTTATAGATTTTAAGCATTCATTTTCGTGGAAAACAATTGTTGAATAAAAACAAAAAATTTTGTTGAAAATCAATTTTCTAATGGATTTAAAATTACTGACTATTATATGTTATAGAATATTCTATATGTTTTAATACAGTATATTACAAGTATTTTATGCCTTTTATAATATAATCATTTGGATGAAAATGTATCCATTGATAGTCGATGGACAACAAAACTGGTACATAGACTTGAATTAACTATAATATAGATTTGATTAATCATTAAAAACTAGATCTGACCTTTGAATATTATTTAATACATTTATCAATTTATTGATGAACTTTATCAATATCTGCTATCTTTCAATTTTGTTATACATCACTGCCTTAGTGATGATGAGTAGGTTTTTTGAACATATATTTTCATTTATAATATACAACATTAGCATTGACTTTATATATATTGTGAAATATCGAAATCATCAAAATTTTTACAATATTGCTCTCTCTCTCTCTCTCTCTCTCTCTCTCTCTCTCTCTCTCTCTCTCTCTCTCTCTTTCTCTCTTTCTCTCTTTCTCTCTTTCTCTCTATCCATTATAATAAATGTAAAACATTTGATGCAAAGAAAACTATTTGAATAGAAATATCATTAATATAAAAAAAGTTAGTGATTCATGTTTGTCCATTGAATGCATATATCATATAATTTTTGCCATATTATTATTGTTAGAATACTTAATATAATAACCACAAAACTGCTTTTTATCATACATTTATTTTAAGTATTCAATAAAGTAATAAATCTTAAGTATAATAATAAAAAAAATTTATTTATATATAATGTAATTTTTTTATGTTCGGTATGTTTTTATTCAAAAATCTATATATATATATATATATATATATTATTTAATTATTAATGTTTAATATTGTTAACATTTTTAAAAAATTATATCCTACAACTAAAACTTGAATTAATATAAATTTACTATCATTTTTTCAAAATGATTGTTAATATATTATATGACAATAAGAGTGGACTTAATTAAAGTAACATTTATTATGTAAACAAAAGTTTAAATTAAAAAAATAATAATTTTTTTAATAAAAATAGTCAGTGCTATTGACTGTGTGTTTAATAAAGCGTTTAGTGTAAAACATTTTTAAATAAATATTCTTAAAGTATTGCTAATTAATTAACACTTTATTTAAACTTTTATTAATTGAGAAGTAATCCAAAAGTGATTAAAAATGTGTGACTTGACTGTCAATTACAGTAATTCACAATTAATTGTCTCTTTTTTCTTTCTGTTTAAAATATTAAATACAACTGATAATTATGTGACCAGTTGTGTGTCAATTGTATATTTTTACTTCACCACCAAAATCGTATCATTTATTACCCATTTAGTCACTAAATTTGTAGTAAACATATCATCTTGTGATAGCATTTAATCAATTAAATTATATTATTTGTTTGCAAACCGAGAGTGTCTTACATATACACATACAATACACACCATCACCAATGCCTACGACAGCAAATTGATTCACACATTTAAACATATTATTATTTTTACAGACAATTTAATTATTACATACAATTTTACTGCCTGTCGTGATATTTAATAATATACCCATCTCTCTCTCTCTCTCTCTCTCTCTCTCTCTCTCTCTCTCTCTCTCTCTCTCTCTCTCTCTCTCTCTCTCTCTCTCTCTCTCTCTCTCTCTCTCTCTCTCTCTCTCTCTCTTTCTTTCTYTCTYTCTTTCTTTCTTTATTTTGTAATCTAAACTGAGATCAACACTAAAAACTAATCAATTTATATGACAATTGATAAAATAAATGGACAAATAAGCTAGATTTTCTGTATATAAAATTGTTGAATCAACATAATCTAAGCTAGATAAAATTAAAAAATAGAAAACTCAGCAAATCTCATAAATTAAGTATTAAGTTTAGCATTTGATTAAATTTCTAAGAAATAAAAACAATTATCACTGGCTATACACCAAATGATTTATTACAATATAAACTATTAACTTATGTAACAAATCAATACTATAAATATATTATTAATATTGTTTATTGTTTTTAATATACTGTAGAATATATCCATATTTGTATTGCATTCAATTTTTATAGATAATTCTTATTAAATAAAAATTATTAAAATGATATAATAATGTTTTTATTTTATTATTATAATAATAAGTGTAAAAATTAAATTAACATATTAAAAAATTATTTATTATTATATTAATATAAATTATATATAATAGATTATAATATAAGACTATAATTTTAAACTCAATTAATAACTATTTATAAGATTTATATTTAAATTATTAATTAATCAATAGTTTAAAATCAAGAATATTATTACTGAAAATAACGTTATGTATGTATAAACACAATGTTATTGCAATACAAGCAATGTATTAATGAAAACATAAACAACACGTGTTTTACATGAGATAAACTGTTTTTTTTTTGTTTTAATTTAATCAATTGATTCATTGATTTTGTGGTCAATTGTTTAATTGAATTATGAATAATCTGAAACCACAGACGTGTCAGACAATTGTCTCATCGGATCTGTTGAATGGCAGCCAATGTATGACTATTGACACGGATTTAAATGTCATTTATTTGGTCAATAAATACAGACAATTGGTTAGCATTGATGTCAACACTGAATCGGTATTTGTATTTGTATTTAATTTTTTATTATTTCTTGTTATTAATTATCACTATTTATTGATCCATTTTTTCTGTTGTTGATTATCACCAATATTTTAGGTGAAAAAATGTTGCGATTTGTGTACACAAACTGAAGACTCTTTTGGTGTCATAAATGTCGAGTTTATGTCCGAAGAGAGGAGTGTTTGTATTGCTTTAACCACCGGTGATATCATTGTCTTCAACACAATGACAGACAGCCATCAAGTAATGGGATGTCTTTCCGATGGATTACAATCTGTGGCATTCAGTTTAGATCAAGAGCTGATCGCTTTGATTACCACAAATCAGTCGTTGATTTTGATGAATAAACTTTTTGATATTTTATCGCAAAGAGATCTTAAATCGGATGAGTTTGGATGTAATGAAACGGTTTCCGTGAATTGGGGCTCAAAGGCCACACAATTTCACGGCGAAGGACAAAGAGATACAAGAAATAAACAAGAAGTTAGAAACAAATGAAATTTAATCAATTTTTTATATAATAGATGTTATAATTATTGTCTTTAATTGGATTTTATACAGAATTATAAGTCTTTTAGTGATTTTGATGACAAATTATCGCGAATCAGTTGGCGATCTGATGGACTCTATTTTGTGACCACATATTTTGATACAATAACAAGTATTTTTTAATAATAAGACTGATTTGTAATTTTATTTAATTTGTGTATTATTTTTGTAAAAAGATTTTCGTAAACTTCAGATTTGGAGTCGCGATGGAATTCTTCAGTATACAAGTGAAGACATCAATGGATTGGAAGGATTGATATCATGGAAACCTTCCGGCGCTCTGATTGCGAGCTCACAAATGCTGCCAAACAAACATATCATAGTTTTTGCCGAAAAGAATGGTCTAAAACACGGAGAGTTTGAATTGCCATTCAGTGCCAACACTTTTGAAGTCCAATCCATTTTGTGGTCAAACGATTCACAAATATTATTAGTGATGGGATTGGAGAGGATATCGGAGAAGAATTCGACACAAGTTCTTATGTTTTGGAGACAACAAAATTACAAATGGGATCGAAAACAAAGACATGAATTTACTGATTACACAGTTGTTACACTGGCTTTTGATTCAATTGATGCTAATCTTTTGCACGTTATCTTCAGTAATGGTCGTTATGTACGATACAGATGGAAATGGTCTATGGATGAGATGGATGGTATGATTGCTTTAGTTGATGGCAATCGACTAAAACTGTCAGACTTTGAAATGGCTGTCATTCCGCCGCCATTTTATACAAAATCAATTGATTTTAAGTCACAAGTTTTTGACATTTGCTTCTCGAAGAATGTATTCGGAGTTGTTTTAATTGACAGTACTGTCTATTTATTTGAAAGAAATACCACAAAACCCACTATCGATGCAAATGACTTGTTTGCCATCACATTGGAAAACATGACTAAACAAAGTAATGATGAATTAAATTGTATTTATTGTGGAAAATGTGATAATATCACTAATCTAATGAATTTAACTATCGATGAAACTGGAGTACTATATGGGAACCAATCGACTGTGTTATTATGTTATGACTATCGAAATGATTCACAAAAATTGGATCAATTATTGGACATTAAAAGTGATATATTAGCGATGAAATGTAAAGAAGATTTTATTGGTATTATGACCATTGATGGACAGTTGTTGAAGTTTGAACCAAAAGACAAAACGTTAGAACAATGGATGGATCGAAATGATCGCAAAGTAGTCTTTCCTCATCAATGCTCAAGACTTGAGATAATCAAAGTTAGCGATAAATTTGTTTCGCTTTGTTTGTTGGAAAACTCGAGTTTATATTTGGATAATGAGATTCTGTCGCAAAACAATTGTAACTCTTTTATTAATTATAAAAATAAGTTTTTATTATTTACTACAACTGACCATCTGTTGCATTGTTGGCCAATAAATGATGATATCTTTAAGGCTAACTCCAACTATCATAAAATTAAAGCTCGAACTGTTGAAAGAGGTGCCAAAATAATAGCTGCGGCCAGGGATGCAAAAGTTGTACTACAGATGCCTCGCGGCAATACAGAAGCCATATATCCGAGAGCTTTACTATTAGACATAGTTATGTCTAAATTGAATCTTTTGGAGTTTGATTCAGCAATCGATTTGTTGCGTAAACATCGGATTAATCTTAATTTTATTTATGATATTAATCCAAAAAATTTTATAGAAAATATTGAATTATTTATTGAAAAAGTTGGCAAACGATGTGTCGAGTGGTTGAATCTGTTTATTACTGAACTATCAAATGACGAAAATTTTCAAACTATCACTCAGACAAACAACAAGAATTCAAAGTTTAATTCAAGAAATCTTAATAATCACAATAAAGTGGATATGATATGTGATTTAATGAGAGAAACAATGAATAAATTGGACAACAAATTGTATTTTCATTCAATTTTGTTAACATATATCAAGAAATCTGTTCCCGAAACAGATAAAGCGCTCGAAATGATTAAATCAATTGAAGACACTATGATTAGAGATAAGGCCATTAAATTTTTATTATATATTATTAACATAAATCAACTTTTCGATGAAGCCCTCGGCACTTATAATAGCGATATATTTTTGATGATAGCATCAAAATCACAGAAAGATCCAAAAGAATATTTGGCTCTTTTGGATGAACTCAACAAAATCAAGTGTTTTGAATACAAGTGCTTTAAAATAGATATGCATTTAAAACGCTATAATAAAGCTTTGATTCATATCTCTAAACTTGACGATCATTTTGAGGAATGTCTTGAATTGATTAAAGCTCACAGTCTTTATAAAAATGCAGTGAATTTGTTTGATAAGAGTTGCGATGAAAAGAAGCAAAAAGTTTGGAAACTATACGCCGACTATTTGTTTCAGAAGAAATATTTTGAAGAGTCGGCCATCGCTTACAAGAATGGACACGACTTTTCCAATGCCGTCAAAGCGTATCAATTAAGTGGTAACTGGAGTGCAGCTATTGATTCTGCTTTACATTGCAAACAAACAGTTAATATAAAAACATTGGCACAAAATTTGGCCAAACATTTAGTTATTGGTGGTAAACATCTCGAGGCGTCATATCTTCTTGAAATATACGCTGAAGATATATTAGAAACTATTAAAACACTGATTGATGGACACGAATGGCAACACGCGCTTAGGGTTATGAATGGAAACAATAGTGAAGAATTGACAGAATATTATAAATCAGAATTATTTAAACATTTTGAAGTGATTTCAGATTTAATAACAAAAAATTATAATCTATTAGTTAAACACATGAATAGATTAGAAGTGGTTCGTCAACAACAACTTGAAAAGACTGTTGATGTCAACAGTTATGATAATTTTGATGACAAATCTGACATTTATTCCGAAACCAGCAGTTTTAATGAATCGCAAACAAGTGGACAGAAATCAACTTCCAGTTCTTTGGCGACCAGAAAAAGTCGAAAGAATACAAAGAAAAGATTGGAAATGAAGAAATATATACATAAGGAAGGATCAGCTGACGAAGATATTCAACTAATTTATGCAATAAATGAAATAATCAAAAACGTTGACCAAATTCAAGAAGAAATTAGTTATATATTACGAGCTCTTTATAGCTTTAATTCTAGAGATAAAGCAAATACTATTCAAAGTGAATTCACAGCACTTCTGGATTTAATTAATAGTATAACCAAAGAAATTTGGACACAAAATGATAATAATGACAATCAAAATGAAGAGTCAATACAAAAACATAAAATTACTGGTAATTTTCATAATAAATATTTTATATAATATATTAATAATAGTTTCTCTTTTTTGTTTTGTTTATCAGATCCACTTTTAATGAAAAGCCCAGAATTAAGGAAAGTTGACTGGAAATTAGTGTTACTATGATTTTATTATACATTACTGTTAACTTCACTATCATTTTTTAATAAAATAATTTTAATTATTATTATGAATTTTTGTATATGTGTAGAATATTTATTATATATTTGTAATATATTTTTATAATTAATGTTACCGTAAATTAAATGATGTTTATTTTAAAACTGAGGATTATTTTAAAAATTAAAATTGGTATTTATCTAATTATGATTTATTGTCTTAGAATTATATCAAAATACGATATAATTTATTATTTTTTAAATACTTTGTTTGTTATTTTATTTGTAATAAATTCCGAAAATTAGTAGTAAAAGTGTATCATTAGTTTTGTTTAATTGGCAGTTAATTAAATAAATTGTATATACAGTATAACTCTAAACCAAACAAATATTATGGTTATGGTATGTATAGGCTTTAAATGCATTTATATACTGTATATTAACAAAAATTATAAGCAAATTGAGTAATTGAGTTAATCATAAGATTGAAACACAAAAAAAATCTTATATAGTAAACAACGTGACGATTAGTTAAATGATAGAGTGATTGAACTAAAGCTAATCCACGAAATCTTTTAAGAAACAAACCCATACTTTTGCGAGCACTGGTAGGCGTGGATACCGTGCTTTGAATAATAGCAGTGCCGTTACATTTAGTGTAGTAACCATTGGTCACAATCCCTGTGTTTACTGAGTGTGTAATCAGTGAACCAATCTGTCAGAAGCACTGTATTCTTCAGATAATTTTATTTTAAATCTTTTATTAATAATATTTGTTGTAAAAAGAGTTGATTCAATTAATAGTTTATTATAATACTGTATAATAATAATAATAATCAATAATAATTTAGAAAATATTATTTTCAAATTTACAACATTTTCCGATAATTTTTATGAGTCTAATAAGTTTTTGTAAGTTAAAATTTTTCATTTAATAAAATTTATATTATGTTATATTTTTAAAATTTAAATTATTAATAGTAAATAATATTTAAAATATTCTAATCTGATACAGTTAATATGTTTTAAGATAAAATATTTTAATTTTTTTTGAGTTATTATGGATAGTGAAAGTTATTTTATATACAATTTTTTATTACATTATATTAGTTTTTTGTATTAATTGATTGTCGCATCAAAATTACAACAATCTATTCACAGATTTTATTCAATAGTGTTGATAATAAAATTTTGTTATAAATTTTTATATATAAAATCTTTTTAAGTTGATTGATATATCTATAGTATAATACTGCTATATTATATAGTATATTATATTATAAGTTATATAAAATAACTTATTTACAATATAAAAAACAAAAGATATCTAAATTTTATATTATATAATATATAGACTAATATATACAGTATTTAATATTATTTAATTATTGATGAAAATATAAAGATTGCAAAAATCTAAAAATAATAGGTTTCTTATAATATAACTGAATATTAAATTAATTTGTTATAAAATTACATATAAAACTTTATTATTTCAAAAATTATATAATTTTTTATAATTATTATCTCTATAGTTAATATTATTTCTAATATTATAATTTTACTTATTTACAAATAATTTTAATAATCATTAATTTACCGTATATAAAATAAATACAATATAAATATTATAATTTTATAATAATAATTATTATTATGTTTTAATACAATAATTTAAATTACTTTTATATAAAATTTTAATATTTGATGGATTTAAATACATTAATGTAAAGTTGAGTCGTCTCTCATTTTAAGTAAATATTATAATATCACGTATATATACAACATTTACGATATTATAATTTAAATAATAAATTTTATTTTATTCTGCATATAATTCTATCTAAAGTATTGTACTATTAATATATATTTCAAATTTTTTATTAAGTATTAGTTATTTAGATATAAGTAAATATAATTCAATAAACTGAAGTATTACTATATTTTAAAATATTTTTATTTTCAATATTAGATTTTTATTTACAATGGTATTAGCAAATAGCGAAAAACGAAAGCAACAATTATTAAAAGCTATTTTAATTGGTTTTATTTGTTTTAAATCATTATTGTGTTTTAACACATGGAGTGATAATATGTTTGAAAGCAATGATACCATTGCTGATGACAGGCCTATCATAACCATTGGATTTTTGGGTGCTTTCAAGTATGGCTTAACTCTGGGAAAACTAATAGCCGGTGCCATACCATTAGCTATTGATAGGATTAACAGGTTTTATATTTAAAAATATTATTGTTTTAAAATAGAAAATATTTGTGAAAATATTTTTTTTTTGAAAAAGTGATCCAAACATATTGCCAAATCATACACTGAGATTTAAAGGTAAATATGTTTTTTTTGATTAAATGTTTTGATAAACACTCAATGAAAACTATTATCAATTATAGCGGGAGATTCAGGAATACCTAATGGATGGACAGCCATAAGGAAAATGACAGAAATGAGAGAACAGAATAATGTGGTCGCATATATAGGTCCCGACCATAGCTGTGCCACCGAAGCACTGGTAGCCGCCGCTTGGAATTTACCTTTAATTACATATGTATGATATAAAACAATAATTAATTAATAATAGATTTATAATTAATTTAATATACTTAAGGTATATGCGGTAATTTATTGTAATATATTCAATATTTATATATTTGTATGAATTTTATATTATATTTAATTAACTATAAATTTTTCTATATATTTTATTAGCATGTAAATGTATAATATAAAATAAGCATGTATATATTTAATAGTATTGTTGTCGATAATAGTTTGTAATAAAAATAAACGTTATGTTATAACTTATATCTAGAAATAATTATTGTTACCATTGAATGTCATTGAATACTATTATTATTATTATATATTATAATTGATATAGTGAATAAAAACAATTTTCTTATATTGATTATACAAATTCTCGTTATATTGTTATATAATATTTATATAAAAATACAATTATAACTTATAAAGATTCATTTAGGACATTGTGTCAATAATGTTGACTTAGTAGAAATTTTCGATGAAAATTTTGAATATATAATAATTTAACACTTAACTATACTATACAAAATTTATATGGAAAAATAAACATTAAATATTGTTTTTTTAGAAAGTTAAAAAATAATATATATTCTATATTCAAGTATAATTATTTATTTAATTATGTTATACTGTATATAATTTTTAACATATCTATAAATAGTGTAATATGAGAAAATTTATAGAAACTTTATATAAAACTAAAAACTAAGAAAATTACTTTTCATTAATTGAGAAGCACTACAACTGAGAAAAGATTTAGTAATCAAACAATAATTTTTGTTTTCATGTGAAATGTCTTTTGTTTATTACTATTTTTTATGATTTGCTATTTTTAATCATCAAATATATAAATCAATTCTCATTTGTTGACTACTCAGGTCATCACAAATTATTAACAAAAAAAATAGTTTTATCAAAGTTCAAATAAATCATTAAATAATTTTAAAAATAATCAATAAATAATCATTTTCTTGTGATTTTATTATTATTTTTTCAATGAATTTATGACATTTTGACAAAAAATATCACAATATACTAGAATTTTAGATATAATTTAAAAAGATATGTTTTAATGTTTAATATATATGTTAATATATTTATTAATAATTTTAATAAACAAAATAAAAATATCTACAGGATTTAAGAAAATATACAAAATTAATAATATTCTTTAATTACATTTGTAATTATTTTTTATTTTATTTTGTTAGGTAAAGTTAATAACAACAACAAATAAATACAACAAATAAATACAACAAATATTTATATTAGTAGTAATATAATACGATATATTTATACTGTACATGATATATGATTGTAAACTGTATAAACAAACTTGCATTTAAAATGTTGATTATTTTATCATTATTTAAAAATATGATTTAATACTTTAATTTGATAACAAATGCAGAAATGTACGGATCATAAGGTGTCCAACAAAAGTATTTATCCGACATTTGCGCGGACACTGCCTCCGAGTTCAAAGATTTCAAAGTCGGTTATATCACTACTAAAACATTTCTCATGGAATAAAGTTAGTCAACAAATAAGTCTTAAATATACTTTAATATACATTTTAGACATATTAACTAAAAATTGTTTTTAAAAATAAATATTTAGATATCGTTAGTGGTTTCGGATACACCACCTGACAGACAGGTAGAAGAGTCTCTGATCTCTATGTGTCAGACCTATGGAGTTATTATAATCAATAAATTTTATTTGCCCGGAGAATACCTGTCCAAAAATAATGCAACCATTAAAACAATTATTGAGAAGAGTTATAAAAAGACTCGGGGTATTTATATTTATTAATTTTTAGTATTTAATATAGTACAGTACAGTATTATTATACAGTATATTATATATTATTATTATTGTTTATAAAAATGTATATTATTATTATTTAAATTTATTTATTATTTTTAATATAATTTTTTAAATCAATTTTATAGAATGTCAAAAACTATGAAAAAACTTTATAACATAATCTAACTAAAATTGAACAATAATTTCAATACTGAAATTCAATGTATTTATCAATTATTTAGTATTTATTGTTTAGTATTTAGTATTTATTGTACTTTTCTTTATTTTTTAACCTTCAAATATCTGACGACCTATTTATAGACCAACCCTTTAACTCTTAAAGTAAGTCTAACCACTATATAGACAATAGAAGTGAATATATAGTCCATACCTGTGTTAATACCAGGGTTTTAAAAATGGAAGGCATAAACAATAGATGCCAATTTTGCCAAATGCCTGCCCTGTCTCTGCCATGCCCTGGGCATCTATTTTCAGGTGGTGACACCTATTTTTTTAATTTTATATTATTAATTAATTTATAAAACATTGTTTTTATAATATATTTGCTTGTATTTTTGTTTTGTATACCTTTAATTAAAAGGTAATATCATTGGAAATAAGTAAATTAATTGTAAATTTAAGTAACACGTTAAAACTCTAAATTACATTATTTTTATAAATACAGTTGCTTTTTAGCAATTTAAATTGGCAGGCAAATAAAATAGATGCCCAAAATGCCAGGCATTTATGGCATCTATTTGGGCATTGCCAGGGCAGGCATTTATTTCCATAAAACCCTGGTTAATACACACGACTGCAGCAAACAAACAACAAATTTATAATTAAATAAAACTATTATTAATAACTTGACTGAGTTTTAATATATTGTTAAAAAATGTATTACTTAGTAAAACGTCGACTAATGTTTTACAAATATTTTATAATCATAAGTATTTTTATGGGTTTAAAAAAATTTAATGTCTATTATAAAAACTATATTATTTATAAATTTAGAATAAAATACTTTTAAAAATGTTTTGTTCAATATAAAAACTCATATTTAATTAGGATTCACACTTAATTATATCATAATAGTTATAATTATAAAACCTATTATATTTAACTCATATTTTTTAGTTTAAAATTAATAAATTTGTCTTAAACTAGACATTATTTTAATTAAAAAATTATAATCAATGATAGATTAATAAATAAATAAAATTAATAGAACTATTCTATAATTACTTTTATTACAAAATAGTATATAATCTTTATTACAATTTTTATTAACACTGTAAAAGAATTTTATATTAAAATAATCCAAAAAAAAACTTTGACTAAATATAACTAATAAAAGATTTACACAAAAAAACATTAAGTTGAAGATTATGTGAACTCAACATAGATTATATAATATACGATATTATATTAGTGACATTGCCTTCAGGGCTCAGACAATATAGAGATTGTATAAAACATTTTTATTTGACCAAAAAAATTATATTAATATTGATTTTACATTAATAGCGGGGTTAAGCAAGGGATAGGGGGTAAGGCCAAAATACACCCCTAAGATCGAGATTTTTGGATTTTACTCCCCAGACTTTTGACCAAATTAAAATTATTGTCGCTAAAAACAAGTAAAACGACCCCCTCTAAAATGGGGCCAAATTTTTTTCAAGTTTATAAAAATTATAATTTGAATTAATATTTTATTAAGTGTTACTAACTAAGTATTATGTTTTTATAGCTTATATGAATGTAATTATTAAGTAAAAATAAGTAAAATGGTTAAAATCATTTAAAATTAATCTTAATTAACTTTATTTTAACATAAAAATAGTATTATTTTAAATAAAATATTCAAATAAAAAATTAACTATTTGTTTAAAAGATAGTAATCATATTGTAATTTAAATAGAATTTTTAGATAAAGTTAGTAAAACAGTATATTTTCTGTTTACCCACTCATTTGATTTTGGATTTTTAAAAAAAATCTGTTTAAAAATGCAATAAAAATCTAGACCTCAAAGTATACCTCCAAGATTTTTCGAGATTTTTGTCATTTGACCCCTTATACCCCCTAAAATCCAAAACTTAGCTTAATCCTGATTAATAAGTATTTCTAATACAATATAAATGATTTTAATTTAGTGTACTATTTGGTTTTTTTATTTATTTATAAATTTATACTTAAATTACATAATTTTTTAATAGAGATATAAGAACATCTATAAAATTAACAATTTTTTAATTATTCAATTATTATTAAAAAAATTGATTGTATTAAGTAATATATAATACAATTTTGTAGAATATGTTGATTAAAATGTTTAGTAATTTAGTATTATTTTATTCTTATATTTATTTATTGTCTATTTATATTTAATATTTAATAAATTTTAATTTTGTTATTATTATCAATTACATAGTCTATGTATTATTATCGGAAACGTATGCATTGGTAGACTTTGCTCGTGTAATGCAAGAGCGACAGCTTCTGGACACTGGAAAGTATGTGATTATATCGGTTGAAGAGGAAGAGGTCTACGATCCTAACAAAACCATGCAATATATTAGTAGAGAGTTTGAGTCACATTTGGAAAAGTTAGATCCCTTACCATTCAGAGCTGTTTATATGATAACACCGACGGCACCCATAAATCAAAATTATTCGCATTTTAAAACTGAAGTCAATCAACGCAATCAGAGACCGCCATTTAATATACCGGCTCATCCATTCATTACAGTTCAGGTTCCCATTTATGCCGGTCTTGCCTACGATGCGGTCATGATTTACGCCAATGCCTTAACACATGTTCTTTCAATGGGCGGATCAGTACTGAACGGCACAGCAATTCTTGAGGCTATCAAAAGAAAATCTTATAAAAGTATTTAAAATATAAAGTAGTTTTTAATTATTTTTTATTTTTTAAGATTGATTTTTTGAAGGTATATTGGGTTTTGAAGTGATGATGGATGAAAAAGGTATATAAAGTATAATATATTTAATTTGTTAAATTAATGGATATTTAAATTGATTGTATGGTTAGGCGATGCTGAGGGTAATTATACATTACTTGCGTTAAACTCGAGATACGGTGAAAGACAAGGCATGCGACCAATCGGTGCTTTTTATTACAATAATTCGGATCTTCCGGTAATCTATAATATTTATATTTTATTTTTTTAAGTTTTTAATTAGATTAAAATAATTGAAAATTTAAATAATGTGTTTTTTAAAAGACTCTTCGATTAGAAGACAATATCGATTGGATCGGTGACGGACCCCCTCTGGCTGAACCTCACTGTGGTTTTGATGACGAGTATTGTAAATACAAAAGAGATTGGAAACTGATCTTCATTTTTAGTATTTCTGCACTCATTATATTAATTGCAGCCGTTTTTATATTTCGGTTAGTTTTTTATTACTATTTATATTATTTGATTTCAATAAAATTATAACAGAATTTTTAAATTTAATTTAAATTATTTTTAGTTTTCAAGATCAATGTACTGTATTATGAGTTTTAATATTTATATAAACTTATATTAAAGTTTTATTTATATTGATTCTTATTTTCATTTTTTAAAAATATTTTTTTTTATTTATTTAGTATACTAACAATTTAAAAAAATTATTAATATATTTTTAAAAATGTTTTTTATTTATTTTTAGTTCAACAGATAATAATACATTATATATACTGTAGTAGTTGTATAAAATATCCAACATTAAACCAATATTTTATTAATATATTTTTTATATATAAAATAAATTTATGAATAATTTCTAAAATATTAATAAATTTAAATATATAACTGTTAGACACTATAGATATGAACACAAATTGACGCGATTGTTGTGGAAAATTGATATGAAAGATGTTATTGTACTCAACACTAACTCAGAATATACTCTACAGAATATTCGTAATACTATTAATGTGAGACAATATTTCTATTTATATATCTATTTTTAAAATCATTATATTTATAAACAACTTTCAATAATTTATGATAATTTTTTTTTAAATTTATATAATAAATAGAAAATAAAATTATTAGATTGTCAAATAGATATATAAATTAAATTATATAAATTAAAGTAGATTTTATATAAAACCAATATATTTATTTAAAAAAAAAAAACATTATTTAGTTTCAGGGCATTGATATGCGCCGATTAAGTCATTACGGGAGCAGCTCTTCGGGCCGATCGGACACTTTCGGACACAACAACATTATCGACACTTGCAATCAAAGTTCATTTGGTATCGGCGTCTATAAGGGAAATGTTGTGGCAATTAAAAGGATATTTAAAAAATCAATTGACTTGACTCGCAATGTTCGCAAAGAATTAATTCAGGTTTCAGATTAATACATAATTTGTTATCGATTTTTAATAATAATTATTTAATTAGACTAATAATAATACCATTAAAATCACAAATTATTTTATTATAAATATAATTATTTAGGTGCGAGAAATGAGACACGAAAATATTAATTCATTTATCGGCGCTAGTATTGAATCGACAAATATATCGCTTTTATTTTTATATTGCGCCCGAGGAAGTCTAGAAGTAATGGCTAACTTAATCTAATTGTGTATTTGAAGTAATATTTTTTTTCATTATAATTTTAAAATATTTTTTAGGATGTCTTAAAAAATGAAGACTTAGATCTGGACAATATGTTTATTGCATCACTTGTGGCCGATTTGATTAAAGTATTGTATTTTAATCATCATTTAGACTAAATTATAAATTTTTATCTGATTTTGATTGAAAGGGAATGATTTATTTACACGACTCGGATATCATATCTCACGGCAGACTTAAATCATCCAATTGTTTAGTAGATAGTCGTTGGGTTCTTCAGATTACCGATTATGGATTGCATGAGTTTAGAGCTAATCAAGACTTTGCTTATTTCGATGAAAATAAACGACAAAGAGGTATACAAAACAATTATTTAATTAATAATAGTATTGTTGAAGTTTATAGTATTTATTATTTAAATTTAAATAAACAAATTAGATCTTATATGGCGAGCGCCTGAACTCTTGAGGATAATTAATACTCCGTCGAGAGGAACACAAAAAGGAGACGTTTATTCGTTAGTCATATAATTATTATATATATATATATTTATAAAACTATTGTATGTATTCTTAAATTTATTAACATTTTTAAACCTATTGTTTTGTTTAGATTTGCTATAATATTATATGAGATAATTGGACGCAAAGGTCCGATTGGTGGTGATGTAAACCTATCTGTCAATGAAATATTGGAGCAAATTATTAATCCGAGTCATTACGGAAGGATTTATAGGCCGCCCGTTAAGGATATTAAATGCGCTCAATATATACTGAGATGTGTAATGATTATCATATTATGCTAACAGAGTTTAAAATTAATTAATTTTTTTAATGAAAATTATTGTCATTATTAAAGATCGAGGAGTGTTGGCACGAAAATCCCGACTCCAGACCAGACTTTAGATTTATTAATATAAGACTCCGAGAGATGCAAAGTGGACTGTAAGCATAAAACTGTTATTTTTATTTTTGTTGTTAATTATAAAAAAAATTATACAAATAAATAAATTTAAAACAAATATATATATATATATACTGTATATAGAAAGCCAAACATATTTGATAATATGATAACAATGTTGGAAAAGTATGCCTACAATTTGGAGGGTTTGGTTCAGGAAAGGACTAATCAATTAATGGAAGAGAAAAAGAAAACCGAAAACTTATTGTTACGAATGCTTCCAAAGTATTGAACAGTTTTTTTTAATTTTCAAAAATCATTTGTATTATCAGTTATTTTGAACATTAATTTTGGATAAACAGGTCAGTGGCTGAACAGCTAAAGAGATGTGCGGCAGTTGAGGCCGAGTTCTTCGAGTGCGTTACCATTTACTTCAGTGATATCGTCGGATTCACTCAATTGTCAGCCATTAGTACACCACTTCAGATCATTTCGTTGCTTAACGATTTGTATACACTATTTGATGAGATTATTGGCAATTATGATGTCTATAAAGTGGAAACTATAGGCGATGCTTATATGGTTACAAATTATTATTATTAATAATAATATTATTTGATTGATAATATTATTCATAAAATATATTTCATTATTTATTTTTGACAACAGGTTGTTAGTGGTCTTCCCATTCGCAACAATGACAAACACGCGGCTGAGATCGCGTCGATGGCATTGCATTTGTTGAGTGCTATTCAAAACTTTGAGATTAAACACAGAAGCTGTGAAAGACTTAAACTTAGGATTGGTATCCATTCGGGTCCGTGTGTTGCAGGTGTTGTTGGTCTCAAAATGCCCAGATATTGTCTCTTTGGTCAGTAAATGCAATATTTTATTTGATAATAAATTTATAGTTGTATTTTTTAAATTATTTTAGGAGATACAGTCAATACAGCATCAAGGTAATCTTAATACATACAACTAACTAATAAACTAAATTTAATAAAATTTATAATTTTATTGTTTACATTTTTTATGATACTTGTTACTAGAATGGAGTCAACTGGACTTGGTAAGTTTAAAATTTAATTTAATTTTTATTTAATAATATGATTTTTATCAATAATTTTTTTTCAATATAAAGCCTTAAGAATACACGTGAGTGAGGCCTGTAAAACAATTTTGGACAAATTGGGCGGTTATGTCATACAAGAAAGGGGTATCATTTCTATAAAGGTTGTTATGATATAAATGATTTTAATGTGTTTTTAAACATATAATACAAGTTTATACAATTTATTAAGTTAACTACATATTTAAAATATTTAAATAAATTTCTTTAATTTATTAATAAACAAAATTACATACAGTAATAATAGCAATATTAATACATAGATTAGTGTAAATCATGTAATTTAATATTTTTAGGGAAAAGGAGAAATGAAATCATTTTGGTTGATTGGCAAACAATTGGTAAATCATTCAAAGCAATCATATATAAGCGGTAATTTATTAACCAATGGATTTATTTATTTTCAATTGTATTATAAAAATCACATTTTTTATTTATAACAAAAAAAATATTTCATTTCTATAATAACTATATTTATTTAATAATAGATTGCAATTCTTCAGAAATGATTTCAGATTTTAAAGAATTACCATTTGATTCAATGGAAGTGAATCTCAATGCAAATAATAGATCAAAAATGACAAACTCTTTGGATGGCAACAACTTTTTGGCCAATATATCTCAAAATGATGATAACAATAGTCATACCAATACTGTTATCGTTAATATTAATTTTAAATCCAAATCTAATGGTGTTTCAAATGATGAACCACATGAAGATCAAAATCAAAAAGAGTTGAAAATAAATAATATTAATTAATTATATTTAACTTTTCATATCATAAATACAAAACTTAATTTTTAATTAAAATTAACGAACAAATCATCAAAATAAAAATGAAATGAATGAAACATAGTTTGCAAAAATTGTATTGTAAATTACAATTTGTAATGTAATGTAATGTACAGTATTATAAATGTGAGCAAAATTTAACAATTATTAATAATATAAAATACAGTAAAAATCATTAGTTTAAGTTTTATGTCAGAAAATGTAAATTTTATAATTATATATAAATATTATATAAATTGTCAAATAAAGTATTTATTAAATTGATTTTTACTGTAAATAATCTGTACCTTATTTAGAGCGAGAACTAAAATAATAACTATTAAAACAATTTTTTTTAAAGTTAACGAGAATATTTAATGAAATTTTTAAAAATTATATTAAAATTGTAATTATTTAATTAAATAACTAAACTATATATTTCACATAAAGTATCAACAGTTGTTTACTATAATATTATCATTAAATTATAAATAAATAATTAATAGTAGTTTTTCGGTTATAACTTTTTTTTGGATTAGTTTTGAATTAGTGAATATTAGAGTAAAGTAAACAAAATCCGTCAAAATTGGGATCTGTTCCGACTGTTGTCCCAACGACTCGATGCTGAGTCGGTTCACTGCTAAGTCTGTCGAGAGAACCGATGACGTACTCAAAGACAAATACGCTGTCTTTGATCTGACATTTTTTGAATGGGAACAAAAGCACGAACTCTTTCACTACCAGAAACTCTATGTCTGTAACGATAGACCAAATAAAAAACAAAATAAATCGCAACAGTATTATGTGATTCTCAAAATCGATAGACTTTCGACATATACTATATATAGAGATACTAATCAAAAGCCAGCCGAAGATGTCTACAATGAAGTTAAGATAAAACTAAGCATTTTGTCCGATGGAATCACATCAAAGAAACCGACAGTTGTGGCGCCTATACTAAGAGATATTGTCAACAATATTAGAAACCATCCAAACTGGACCTGTGCTCACATCGCTGCTAAATGTGGTTTAGAAAGATTTTTCATCAAAAAGTCGGATCAAATAATCAAACACCTGAACGATCAGCGAAAACCCGATAATTCAACTCCATTGCAATTGGCCATCGAGTCGGGAAAAATGTCCATAACTCGGGCTATATTAGCATTGAAGCCCAGATTGGAGTTAAAAGATGAGATGGAAAACGCGGCCATTCATTACGCGGCGATGTCCACCAAAGAATGCCTGCAATTAATGCTCAAAGAGTCGAACGCTATAGAGATGTTGCGGTGGAAAAACATCAATAACTGTACGCCTTTGCATTTGTCATGTTTTACCAAACGATACTCAAATGTCTTCTTAATAATGTCTTTGCCGGGAATAACCGTCAGAATGTTAACAGTTTGGGATCCAAAGAAAGACAGATCACATGATTATGAAGACAAAGTGGTTTTATTTAAAAAACAAGACTTGGATGATCTGGACACTGAAGATATGCAATTCGGCGGAACACCACTTCATTGGGTTAGACATCGGCGAACTCTTGAGAGACTTATTAATCTCGGTTTTGATCTTAATGTACGAAACATCGCTAAAGAGACAGCTCTTCATATTATGGTTAAGCGGTTGCGACTCAAGTGTTTGATCGGTTTACTATGTTTTGGTGCTAAAGTCAACAGAGTTAACAAAGACGGCGACACACCGTTGCACTGTTCGGTCAGAATATCCGATATAACTGCTACTCAAGCACTGACTATATTTGATTCAAACATAGATATAAAAAATCACAAAAAAGAGTCGCCATTACATTTAGCGTCACAGGTGGCCATACCTGACCACAATATGATCATCTATTTGCTGTCGTCTATTGGAGCTAAACGCTGTCCGTCTAGTATGAAAAATTGCAAACCTGGATGCGCTCACAACGGAACATTCAATGGCAATCCTTATCATCGATGGCCTACTTATGAGAATCAAGTCTTGTACAGAAAGGTATTACTAGAAGCTGTCATTCAAGAAGCTCTTCATAACAAAAGTCAAGTTAAAGGAAAGGGAGCAAAAATGCTGTGTTTGGACGGTATGTCAGAAATAACATTAATTTTAATATTGATTTAAAAAAAATTAATTTACTTTTATTTTTATTAGGAGGTGGTGTTCGTGGACTCATAACTGTACAGATAATGATTGAATTAGAGAAGTATATGAAGGAAACAAACCTAAAAGATAGTCAAATATCTAATCACTTCAATTGGATCGCCGGCACCAGCACTGGCTCTATATTAGGACTGCTTTTGTCGACCGGAAGATCATTAGATAAGATAAGATCCATTTATTTTAGACTTAAAGACAAAATACTTGTCGGTCCGCGACCTTATAGTTCAAAGAATTTCGAAAATCTTTTAGAACAAGAGATCGGTGGTCTTCATATGTGTGAAGTGATGACCAAATATAATAAACATCTCATAATAAACGCCACATTAATCGATAGAATGCCCGCAAAACTTCATATTTTCCGAAGTTATGAATCACCAGAAGAGGTGATGGGTCTGAGTGAACCCGTTTCCAACTTTAAGAAATATCCCAATTGTAAACAACAGGTCGCCTGGAGGGCGTGTAGAGCTTCGGGTGCGGCGCCAACTTATTTTCGATCCAGTGGTCCATTTTTGGATGGCGGGCTTATGGCCAATAATCCGACATTGGATGCATTGTCTGAACATCAACTCTATCAAAACGCTCTGAAAGCCGTCGGCAGACAAAATGAGACACAAACACTTGATTTGGTATTATCTTTGGGAACTGGTCGACCACCTATTGTACCAATGGAACCGGTAGATTTGGTCAAACTATGGAGTTACAGTTTAAAGGAATGGTATAAAAATACGGCATATCTCAAACAAATGTTTACTCTTATGATAAACCAGGTTACCGCCACTGAAGGACACATAACAGACAGGTTTTATATACATTTCTATAGATATATAACTAATTTTTTAAAAATCAATTAATTTGTTGTTTTTCAGAGTCGAGTCCTGGTGTTGTGGTATCAATACTCCATATTTCAGACTCAATCCAATACTATCTGAAGACATATCGCTGAATGAAACGTCTGATGTAGAGATTTGTAACGGATTGTGGGAAACAATGGCTTATTTATATTCAGTAAAAGATGACTTAAAAGCATTTCTTCAATTATTATTACCAAATGACGAACAAATTATCGACAATAAAGACAAAGTGAATAAAGATAAAGATGAAGATAAAGAGTCGACAAATAATGACAATAAAACTGGTTATCAAATAAATATTAGCAAAAATGATATCGAAGTCACACCTATTCCTCAAAGTTCAGACATAGCAAACAATTCTGAGTAAACATCAAAACAAACTATCAAAATGTTATTTCAATTATCAGTTTAATTAATACATTTAATTTTACTTTTATAACCTTATTTAATATATATTAAATATACTGTATATAAATTAATACATAAATAATACAAATTACTTTTATGAATATAAAAACTGTTTTCCAAACAAACAAAAATAATTACCGATAATTATAAAAATTAATTTAATGCTTTCAAACGTTTATCAAAATCAAAAAGTATTTGTTTAACTGATTCAACATTTTTTTCAAGCGATTCCTTCAACACTTTTAATTCATTTTCATTGGTTTTCATTGAGTCGACAACTTGTGTTTGCAATGAATCCAAATACGAGAGCGCAGATGAAAATTGTAGCGCTTTTTTGTTAATCATATTTATATAAAAAAATAGTTTCAATTTGATAGCAAATTATGAAAAAAATAAATTTATACAAACCTTGTTCTTGAAGTTCATTCAATGACTCCAATCTTTGCAAAACAGTTGGAAGTGTTGCCCGACTTTTCTCAGTCTTCTCAATCATATCAAACAACTCATTGATCTTCGAATTCTTCTCCAAGTCTTCAAACTGTTGCTTTCGTTCGGCAATTTGTGACAACTTATCGGTAATCATATGTAATCGTGAGTCCACTCTTTCCAATGAGTTTTGATCAAATTGAGACACTTTAGCACTCAGTTCTTGGACAGCATCTGAAAGATTTCTGTCTTTAAGATAATTGTTTAAAAGTGATAACTTGTTATCATTAGAACCCAAAAGTGTTTCAATTCTTTTAATTCTTTGCTCCAAAGCATTCACTCGCGAACTCTCACTGAGACTACTCTTCTCCGATCTTATCATAAGCTTATAACTCAGTTGTCCGTCGCCTTTGCTATTGTCGTCACTTTTTGTTGTCTCCGATTTATCAGTCGACGACTTGTCCACCGATTCAAACACCTCCTTCAAAGTACTTGTATTGTCAAAACGTAATATTTGCAAATCATTCAACTGTTCCGACAGTTTGTCCACTTTTGTCAACAACTCTTTACTCGAGTCGTTAGTATCTTTTGATGCACAGTCTGTCAACTCTTTGATCTCATCAATCAAACGATTATATTTTTCGAGTACTGATTCATTGGTGTCCTGAATAAAGTAACATATATTTTGATATATATATCTTAACTGATCGCCGAAGACGGCTATCGGCAACAAAAGTGTCGACAATAAAAATAACAAACCCTTTGAAACTGGAGTTCACTTTTAGTTGCATCGTTGAACCGCTTGAAAGCTTCAAGAGTACCACAAGAGATGACATCAATGGACGCGTCAAATATTGGTTCGCCACGAGTTGTCATCGATTGATCCACTTCTGGCATTTCGTCCGTCTCAAAGACATCTTTCTCTCCGATGGCCACAAACGGCAGGTTTGCATACTTCGATCGGGAATCCATTGGCCGACCACTTATTCCGGTGATAATCAAACGGTGTCTTCAATTTGTTAACTAATTTATTGATTCAATTAAGTATTGATCAGAAGTGGTCACTATTTTTGATTAAAAACAGTTAATAATAAAAACAAAATATATTAATAATAATTGTTTTCATTGAATGCATTTCAACACAAATTATGTATAAAAACAATGATTGTGTTGAATGTCAACACAAAAACATGCAGTAATTGTTGTGTTTATTATTATTATTATTATTATTACTGTGTTTTCAACTACTTTTTGATTGCAATTTCAGTGTTTTATAAATTAATTTGAAAACAATTTGTTTTAAAGCAAAACAATAACAAAAAATCATATAATATATAAATAAAATCAAGTGATATATACTGACACTGAAACACATGTCTCAAAACAAATGGGCGACAGAAAAGATTAAGGAGAAGTTGGGTCGCGACCGATACGGCGGTGATGATCGTCGGCGTGTATTTGGCGGTGCAGTCAAACGGCTTCCCTGGTGGTCACCATTTAGACCAACCATTTTTATATCAATGGCCGTTATTGCCAGTCTCGGCATTATGTCTAAACCATTGTATGATCTAATCTTTGCCATCACCCGATCCATTCAATATGAGTTCAAAGATAAGAAAAAGTTTATCAAAGAGTTGGACGAAGAGTTTGAAAGAGAGGAACAACAACAACAACAAACCAATAGTCATAACAACTAATAAATTAGTAATTTAATTGATTTATTATTTAAAAAAATATGTAACCATTTGTTAATAAAGTTATGTTAAAATTTATTAATAAATCATTTTATTTATTATAAAGAGTTTATAATAAGTTTTAGAAAAAAAGTTTTGTTTCCAAATATAATTTACAGTTTTTATGGGATTTACTTCCGCGATAATTGTCTAAAATAATATATAATCTTTTATACAATAATCACAATTATTATTATTATTTAACATTTTATTGTATTAAACACTTATTTCCAGATTTATCATTTGAGCCGTCGGTTGTGTCGTGGCCTCCCTTTTCTATCGAAATGATTAGTTTATTGAATAAGTCAATTACGGCTCCGTTATCTTTGGCGCTAAAATAGTTTTAAAAAACAATTACAAATTGAAAAATACTGTCATCCATACAGACTGTGACAATACATACCTGACTTCTACAAAGTCGGCTTTCATTTTGTTGGCCAACTCTTTGCCCATTTCAACGGACACCACTCTCTCGTGTTGCAGATCTAACTTATTTCCCACCAATATTATGGGTACACTAATCAACACATCGTTATACAATTAGGTCAATGTCACCATAAAATGTACAGTTGTTTAAAGACAATACTTACTGGACTTTTCCGGTCATATCTAACAGTTTCTCATATATGACTCTCACCACATCAAATGACTTCATGTTATTAATGCTAATTACAATCAATGACATCGATTATGATATGTCTAACAATTATTTAAATAATTGAATTATTTCCAACACAAACCTATAGACAAGACAATAGCCATGAATGTCGATGGCGTATGCCTGAGGAAAGATGGAGTACTCGTCCTGACCGGCGGTGTCCACCAAACGAAGGCCATAATCCTGACCTCTTAATTTGACATTTTTCACAAAAGCTATTACATATGGAAAAAATATATTCAAATAAGTTATCAATATGTCTTGTGAGTGGTAAGTAGGTCTCACTGTTTTCAATGGTTGGATCATAAGACTCGACAAACTGTCCGTCAACGAACTGAATGGTCAATGAAGACTTGCCTAAAACCAAATCAATCCATTATATATGGGATCAAACATACGGATAGTCTAAAACACTTACCGACGGACCGATAGCCCATCAAAGCAATCTTCCTCTGCTTTGTCGGCATTTTTCACTTCATTCACAGATCAGGTATTTTTAGTTATTAATTGTAAACAATAATAGTTTTGTTTGTTATATAATCATTAAACGACAATATATTGTTTAAATCACTTGATTTCAAACACTGTCGACACAAACATATGAATGTATTTATAATATCTGTAATCAAATTGTAATCAATAATTATATTATCATTTAAGTTGAAAAATGTTTTCAATTAATGGTTAATATAGAGAGCAATGTTTACATTCAATTCAAATGTCGGGTAAAAAGCGATATATAAACCACTAATAGATGTGTTTACGGCATTCAACACACTATTCAAACATTTAAATAGTTTTACCGATAAGTCATACAAATTGGACACTAATTGTCACTAAAGTGATGATCACTAACAACAATGCAGTCAAACAAATGCCTATAAAAAACACACTAACCGTTCACTTAATCGACTAATTAAATAGTAATGCAATCAATGTGTGTTCAAACACAACAACCACACGTTTGGTTAACATTTAGAGCTCTAGTATCTAATGGGTGGGTATTATCATCTATGACTACAATGAGGGCATTAAAGGGATGTCAAGCGCCAGAAGCCAATCAAATGCATACATGTATGCTATGAATGCTACTTCTCATTGGTTCAACACTAATGGTTTACTACAGTATTTAAGTACTTACTTGTGTGCGACACATACATACATACATACACACATATACATAAACACACACACATACATACATACATACACACATATACATACATACACACATATACATAAACACACACACATACATACATACACATACATGGAATATATACACACATACATACATACATACATACATATACATACACCACACGCAAGCATCTCATGTCATAAACTTTAAATACCCGACTCTTTGTTGTCTTAAACAATGAAACAATTTTTGTTTCAAATTTGATTTAACTATCGATTAAAAGTTTAATAAAGTTAATAATAATAATAAAAACTAACCTAGATAATATACTTGTCGATTTTGACATACAAAACAAATAATATATAAAATAACAACATTAGTGGTCACATGTACTAACACTTGATTTAATATTTATTGTTAACTAATCACATATGAAGCTTACAATGTATACTAAAAGTTAATAAAATAACTTTTTTTTCAAAATAACAAGTCGTGTGACTTATATTTGTCATAACAAATAAAAGTTAATAATTGTTTGTAATTTCATAACATATAATTCAAAACAATTTTATATTCATATATTATATCAATAATATTCTTTAACTATAAATTCCTTATAAATATCACTAAACATTAGGTTTTGTTTAATATAAAAATGTGAATATTTAGGAAAACATTTTTGTTTTATTATTATTTATTTTTAATTTCACAAATTGTAAAGATTTTCTAAAATTAAAAGTTATAGTAACTTATGTTATATCATATATACTGTAAATTATTTGTATGTAAAAAATCAAAATCAAAAGTTTAGATTATTTATGGACTCGAAAGTAGAGTTTTTAAAGAGTAAAATATATAATACTATTAATATTAAGACTAACATAAGCTTAGTTTGATTTAGTTATATATATAAATATTGCTAAAATAATTCATTTATTAATATAATTAGCTCAGGGATACCCTTATTTTACATTAATATTATAAGCGCAGTTGTCTCAGACATAAGGTATGAAATGGGATATAAATCAGACTAGACTTTAATTAAAATAAATAAAAACTAATATTCAAACAAAAAAAATTAAAAAACGTCTGTTAAATATTGTACTGTAGATGGCCTTCAAGTTTGTGACAAAATGTTAATAAAGTTTTATTAAGAAACTAATAATCAATATATTATTATTATTTATATAAAATATGTATTTTGTTGTATAGATATATACACAAAAAAATATTATATAAATATTTATTTTAAAAAATGTTTATTAAGTTTTAAAAAAATGTATGTTGATCATTTTAAAATTGTTACATACTTTGATGAAATCTAACGGGAAAATCAAATCGGGATAATATCGGGAAATGTATTTTACAATAATAAAGTGTTATGCGTTTCTATATACCGAAGCCCATAGTAATTGAGGTCTCTATTGACTACTAGTATTGACATCAGTATTGTCGTCACAGGAGTGGCACTACCTCTACATCATTGAAAGCACTGTCTATTGATTACAATAGCAGTGAACACACATATAGACTGATATAACACATATTAATATAGTATTAAGTGTTTTGTTGTCCGCACTATTAAAACACATATATTTTGTCGACATTTTAAAAAAACACAATTTGTTTGATCCGTATGTTTTGACATCTAATCTGACATTTGATTGATTGAATTTATTACTATTATAATTGATTGATTGTCACCCAAACAGATCCACTGTTGTCTTAACGAATATAACACTTTTGACATTATTATTGTCGCGTTGTTCGCCATTTGTCTTCAAAAGCTTAACACTTTTGAAGCAATTGTTTTGTGTGAATGAATGTCAGTCATGACTATGGCATCGACTCTTATGGCTGAAGGTATGTCTATTTAAACAACTGATCTGTCATTTAAAGAGTGGTCATAAAAATAAATATATTGATTGAAAACAATATAATGTAATGAATGCAATGAATTATCTTTAATAATCAGTGAACGGCAGTAAAAGGACGCGAACCATACAAGAAGTGACGACTGCCTTTCAAAGTAAGTATTATTATTATTATGACCACTAATATTGGGTTAATGTGTTTTGCGAGAAGTGGCCACCGTTTCGGATGAAGTTTTTTGGCCACAGTTTTTTAGTCGATATTTTTATTGTGCTAATTGTCTATTATATTATGTATAGGTTTGGCTGAATTGGCGCATCGCGAGTATCAGGCGGGCGATTACGAAGCGGCCGAAAGACATTGTATGCAATTGTGGAGACAGGACTCCACCAACACTGGAGTTCTACTACTTCTCAGTTCAATTCACTTCCAGTGCCGACGGCTTAAAGAGTAATTGATTTTTTTTAATATAATAATTTACATTTTTTTAAGTTGCAATTGACTTGAATTAAATGGTGTAAAGAATTGCTAAACCGGTTCCTCAATAATATTAAAAGTTAATTGTTTGTTAAGATAAGCGAAACGAGTCAATTGTGAATTGTTTGTTGAATTTTTTATGGTATTATACAATTCATTTCTAACATTTTTCAATTTATTTGTTGTGTTATGACTGGTATGTTAGGTCAGCCCACTTCAGTTCACTGGCCATCAAACAGAACTCACTGTTAGCCGAAGCCTATTCTAATTTGGGAAACGTTTACAAAGAGAAGAGTCAATTGGGAGAAGCGCTTGAAAACTACAGACACGCTATCAGATTGAAGCCCGACTTTATCGACGGATATATTAATTTAGCGGCCGCTCTGGTGGCCGCCGGAGACATGGAACAGGCAGTACAGGCGTATGTCTCGGCATTGCAATACAATCCCGTAAGTCAATTGTGTTTAATTTAATTGCTATTTTTTGAATCATTTTTTGTTGTTTTTTAAGGACTTATATTGTGTAAGAAGTGATTTGGGAAACCTATTGAAAGCTCTGACCCGTCTCGACGAGGCTAAGGTAACTTCAATCGATAAGTTATTAATAAAGCGCGCGATTATTGTGATGATTGACTTGCGATTAATTATACTAACAAATAGATTATTATTTTTGCATTAATTTAAAGGGAAAAAGGATTAATTTATTACCAATTTTTGCGATTATTTTATATAAAAATACCCAGAGATTTGCTAACAATTGATTTGTTGCGCAGCGTTTTATCATGTTTCATTATATATATATATATTTTAATAAATATTTCATATATATATATATTTTATTGATATTAAATTTGCAATTTAATAACATTTGATAATATCATGATTATGATTATGATTTTATTTTTAATTTGCGAGAAAATACACTTCAGCGCAATGCAGGCGATTGAATATTCAATTATTATCATTGACTTATGTTGTACTGTAATTCAATATTTTTAAGTGAAATATTTGATTTCATTAAAATTTGCTTTATATTGAAAGATCAATCAAATCAATTGATAGATGAGATATGCGCTATAAATGGAAATTTTTGCAGATATATTGCAGCGTTTTTAGTCAAAAATTATATGTATAATGCAGTGCATAAATTGCTAAAATATTACTTTTATATAAGTAATTAAATATTAATACATATAATAATTTTTAATAAAAAAAATAATGTATCTCTGGGATGTTAAAGCATTAAAATTGATTTGCATGATTGCATTGTTTCACAGTATTGTTTTTTAATTGAAGTATTAGTAAAAATACTACAAATAAGAAATTGATTTTATGAGATAATAATAATAACACGATTTTTGTGATTATTGTTTTCAGACAGTTGTCTAAACAAAATGAGTAAATAGCAAAAAACAGTTGTGAACTAAAAACAAAAAATTATTAATTAATGATTTCTTTTTTTCTTTCCATTGAATGATAGCATTGCTGTGAATGTCATTTACAGTACATGTCATGACCTCTTAAATGGTTTGAATTAAAGGTACAGTAATATAGGGTATCACTTGAGGTCACGTAAAGGCTCACAGATTGCAGTTAAGCTACGACTCTTGAGACACACCATTATTTGGCGGAATGACTGGAAATGATGGCACCGATAGTTAAATGTGGTAATACTTGACCAAACATTTGACAAGTTTATTCCGTGTCCGGTCCATTAGGTCAACCCTTTAGTTAAATTAATTTTGTTGAAAAATGTAAAATTAGATAATTAGGTCCCAATCCCCATATGACGGGCACAATCACTTCAGAGATGTGTTTAAATTAAGTAATTTTTATTGAAAGCACAGCCAGTGTTGGTCTGCTTGCGTTGTCCGCCAGCGCCTGCATATTGTTAGCCGCGATGCCAGCGATCGTCATATCCTTCCTACCACTTGGTTATGGCCGGCGATGCGCGCAGTCCTTGCCAGCGATGCCTAGCGTTGCCATTGCTATTATCAGCGGTGCGATAGCCATTGCTTTGCTAAATTATCGCACGAGCGCGCGCGCGTGCGTTTGCTCGCGTTTAGCGCACGCGATACTGCAATAACTCAATTGAAAAGCAAATTCAACTAATAATTAGTGATTTACTAATTGAGTTGTTGTGATATATTTTAGACCACTCACTGACCCACTGGCTGTGTTTAAGTGCCAAATGAAGACAGACTTTAATAACATTTATTTTTTCTCTAATCCTATCTAAAGGCTTGTTATTTGAAAGCGATAGAGACCTGTCCGACATTTGCGGTGGCCTGGAGTAACCTGGGATGCGTTTTCAATGCACAGGGAGAAATATGGCTCGCCATTCATCACTTTGAAAAGGTTTGTATAAATCTGTATTTATATATAGTATTTAATAATAATATTTGTTATGTGATTATAATTGAACTATTTTTTTCTAACTCTAAAGGCTGTCGCTTTGGATCCAAACTTTTTGGATGCATATATTAATTTGGGAAATGTGTTGAAAGAGGCGCGCATTTTTGATAGGGCAGTGGCCGCCTATTTACGGGCACTCAGCTTAAGTCCCAACAATGCTGTAGTTCACGGAAATTTGGCATGTGTCTATTATGAACAAGGTAGATTTTTGAATTAAATTTTGATTTTTTATTTTGTTAATAAAACCGATATTTTTAAATAGGTTTAATTGATTTGGCAATCGATACCTACAAGAGAGCAATCGAACTTCAGGCTAACTTTCCCGATGCATATTGCAATTTGGCAAATGCTCTCAAAGAGAAAAGTCAGGTCAAAGAGGCTGAAGACTGTTATAATACTGCTCTCCGTTTGTGTCCAACACACGCGGATTCACTCAATAATTTAGCTAATATTAAACGCGAACAGGGATTCATTGAAGAGGCCACTCGTTTATATCTAAAAGCATTGGAAGTGTTTCCCGAGTTTGCGGCCGCGCACTCTAATCTGGCATCTGTTTTGCAACAACAGGGAAAATTGCAAGAAGCGTTGGCACATTATAAAGAGGCCATCAGAATATCGTCTACTTTTGCCGACGCCTACTCTAATATGGGAAATACACTGAAAGAAATGGGTGACATTCAGGGAGCCCTACAATGTTACACACGAGCCATACAAATAAATCCGGGTTTTGCCGACGCCCACTCTAACTTGGCATCAATTCATAAGGACTCCGGCAATATTCCCGAAGCAATTGCCTCATATCGAACGGCTCTCAAATTGAAACCCGACTTTCCCGACGCGTATTGCAATTTGTCTCATTGTTTGCAAATAATCTGCGATTGGACTGATTATGACATCCGAATGAAAAAGTTAGTGGCCATCGTTCAGGAACAGCTCGATAAAAACCGTTTGCCATCAGTACATCCGCATCATTCGATGCTGTATCCACTGACACATGAACAACGCAAAGCAATTGCCGCCAGACATGCGTTGTTATGCATTGAGAAGATTCAAGTACTTCACAGACCTCCCAATATTTTCAAAAAGTCATTGAGTGGTCGTTTGAGAATTGGTTACTTAAGTTCTGACTTTGGAAATCATCCGACATCTCATTTGATGCAAAGCGTTCCGGGAATGCATAATAGAGAGAAAGTGGAGATATTTTGTTACGCACTGTCAGCCGATGACGGAACCACTTTCAGAGCTAAAGTTAGCTCAGAATCCGAACATTTTGTCGATTTATCTGGTATTCAATGTAATGGCAAAGCAGCCGATCGTATATATGCTGACGGAATACATATATTAGTCAATATGAATGGATATACTAAAGGAGCCCGAAATGAGATATTTGCTTTAAGACCCGCACCCATTCAGGTCATGTGGTTGGGCTATCCGGGAACTAGTGGTGCTCCGTTTATGGACTATATAATAACCGATAGGGTCACTTCACCAATTGAATTGGCCAATCAGTATTCGGAAAAATTGGCTTATATGCCGGACACATTCTTCATCGGCGATCACAAACAAATGTTTCCGCATCTTATCGAACGTGTCATTCTGTTGGACAGTAAGAATCAAGAATCATTGGATACGCCACCTGATAATGTGTCGATTGTCAACGCGACTGATTTGTCGCCAATTATTGAAAAAGCAGAAGTAAAGAAGATTCGCGAAGTGGCAGTAGTGACAACAGTTGCCACATCTTTTGCCACTTCACTACCAATTATATCCACCGAAAAAGTTGAAGTGGTCAAAACTGTAGTGGAGTTGCCAACCACTCTGCCCGTGCAGGCAATGATCACCAATGGTCACGTCCAGACATCAGTCAATGGTATTGTTGTACAAAATGGTTTGGCAACAACTCAAATGAACAACAAAGCGGCCACTGGCGAGGAGGCACCCAAAGCAATTGTGGTGACAACACGTCAACAATATGGTCTACCAGAAGATGCCATAGTATTTTGCAATTTCAATCAACTCTACAAAATAGATCCACAAACTCTGAGGACGTGGTGTAACGTAAGTTTTCTTCAAATTTACGGTTTGAATATATTATTTAACAATTGATATGTTTGTTGTGACAGATCTTAAAGCGAGTGCCCAACAGTGTGTTATGGCTTCTCAGGTTTCCTTCAGTTGGTGAGGAAAACATTACAGTATCGGCTGTTAACAATGGTTTGCCAATTGGTCGCATTGTATTTTCAAATGTGGCCGCAAAAGAGGAACACGTTCGAAGAGGTCAACTCGTAGATGTCTGTCTGGACACTCCTCTTTGTAATGGACATACAACTGGAATGGATGTCTTGTGGGCCGGAACACCAATGGTCACTCTGATGACTGACACATTAGCTTCGCGTGTGGCCTCTTCTCAGTTGACTTGTGTAGGCGTTCCTGAATTGATAGCCAAATCATATGATGAATACGAGAGCATTGCTGTTCGATTGGGAACAGATAGACAATTGTAAGTTATTTTTTATATTTTGTACCAATTGACAGATTATTAAATTTTTATTAATAATTTATTAATTTGTTATTACAGTTTGAAAGCGATTCGGGCAAAAGTTTGGCGCAACCGAACCGAATCTCCACTATTTAATGTTAAAATCTATACATCAAACTTAGAGAAACTCTATTTAAAAATGTGGACTAAGTTTTGTGAAAGCGATAAATTTGATCACATTCTCAATTAAGTGGATAATTGAATGAATGTTACGCCGTGGCCGTCATTATTGGCTTTATATATCAAATCTTTTTAATTATATAGAAATCAAAGTTATATTTTAGATGTTTTCATTTATGTATTTTACTTTTAAAATAAAACGCTTTTCAATAAATATAATTATTACACGAGAGATAAGTCAATTTTATGTCATTTTGTTGACGAGATTTGTACAAAAAAAAGTAATGAAATTTAATAAAAATCACATTATTATTATTATTCAAAAGTTTTGTGTCAATAGATTTAAAATTAAAACAAAAAAGTATCATAAATTTGAAGATAAAAATCGATGATAAACTTATTTAATAAGAGTGTGTATATTTGAGTTCAATTATTGATCTTTAAATTGTTGTTTAATATTAATAGTACTAAAGTAAACAATGATTTACCTGTAATAACATTTTTATAATACAGTAAATATATTTAATTTATTATTTTCGTCAAATTTGATGAACAAGTTTTAACAATTTAGCCCAAAAAAGTCAATGCAATGGTTGTTATGGCAATCAATCAATGTTTACGAAAAAATGTTTATTTTGATTGAATTTTGCGAAAGTTTTCCTCAAAAAAATTAAAACATTGTTTCCAATGAATGAAATGAATTGTTTGTCATATGACTGATGCAAACAAACATTACATGACATTAGTTGTCACATCACTTGTGGATCATTTTGGATGAAGTTGTCCAGCAATTTGAAGACATGGACAACAATCCGATACAATCAGTTCTTCACTATATATTGTCATCAATTCAATACTTTTTTCAAAGCGGACTCTTTATGTTATTTTGTCGCATATTTGTTGTGTTTGTTCAGCTATGGATCAGCTCTTTGGCCATCATATGGACGTCGATATTCATCTATTTAATGCTATATTATCATTATATTCCTCAAGTATGGACAGCCAAAGATGTGCACATTCAATATCACTCGACGTGCGACCGATCGGTTATCGATAGCCTTTGTATGATACCGACGGCTAGAGTGGCCTTAAAACAGGGCAGAAATGATGATGACTTTCAAAGAGGACAGACGTATAGATTTGCTATTGAAATGAATTTACCGGAAAGTGATGTCAACTGGAATCAGGGGATGTTTATGGTTAGACTCAAACTACTTGACCAAAAGCAACGAACAGTTGTCAATGTGGCCAAACCTACGGGTCTTAAGTATAAGTCGACTCCATTGCGAGTAATCGTAACACTACTGTATTGGCCACTATTTGTTATCGGATTAGCCGAAGAAAAGCAACACATTGTTGTCAATTTGTTGGACAACTTTACGGAAGGAAGTTATCCAAAGGTGGGTCCCGTCACTGAAGCGGTCATTGAGTTTGAGGCCAGAGATATACAAATATATCCGCCGACTATTCTCAAAGTGGGCGCAGCCTTAACGGGTTTCCGATACTTTATGTATCACCACTGGATTATTAGTGCCATTGTTGGCATCATTTTCATTGCTTCAACACTTTACTTCTTAACATTTATGACTTATATTAACCATTTATTTAAGTCTAATAATAATAATAATAATTATAATGTAAATAACATCCCTTCCATTACCAATGATGATACTGATGAAACAAATAAAGATTATAAAGATAATGACACCATTAATGATCAAATTAGTGATGAACTAAATGTTAAAGCAAATGAAGATAATAATGATGAGTATAGAGAAGCCGAGGCCAAGGCTGACCAACACGAAGAATCAGGACTTACGGGTGATATCAATGACGACTTGGAGTTAAGCATTGAAAGTGATGTCAGTAGTAATAGTGAAACACAACAAATACCCGACTCCTCCTTCAGTTAGAATCGGTTACCAGTTTTCCACAAAAAATAAATGTAATTTCTTGATCTCAACAAATCCTGACACCAAATATAGTCATTAATTTTTTTAAATAAAATTTTTGTTAATTTTAATAAAGATTTATTTTTCAATATTTTGTAAATGATATGTATTTAGCTTAAAATGTGATTAATTGTATTATAATATATAAAACTTGATTATAATGATAAAATTGTATACAGTATTCTACGGTACGGTATATTTACTGTATAATGTTATATTGCATTTTAGATAATTTTATTTTATCATATTTTAAGCGTTAATTCATGTAAAAAACGCTTTACATGTAATTGTAAAGTTATATAATTGTAATGTATCTCTGAATACATTTAAAATTTATTATATTACCGATACTCTTATATAAAATACTAAATAAAGTTTTTATTTTGATAATAATCAATAATTTTTTTAATTATTCTGATTTGCATATTTAGTAAATTATATATAGTGTAAAACAAGTGATTTTATAATTAAAACAATAAAATTTCAAAAAAACGTGTCCACTGGTCAAGTTTGGTGACCATTATAACAGTAAAATAATATAAATTATTGAATATTGTTATTATAATTATTATTAATTTTTTTATTGTCATTTAATACAGAATTCAATATTTTATTTAATTGAAATTCAATATATTTTTTTAATAATATAGTATATAATTTTTAAGTAAAAAAATACTTCAAACTTATTTAAAATAATTAAAATAATGTTAACTAAAATTTTCAATTAAAAAGTTGTTTTTGAAATACAGTCTATTAAGTAAAATAAAATATTTGAAACAATTTTGTTGATTAGTTTTATTAAGACATGAGATGTCACTAACAAAATGATAGTTAAACTCATGGCTTGTGTTTGTCTTTTTGAGAAATATTGTAAATATTTGTATAAAAACTTTTGAATTAAAATTCAATGAAATTGTTATCACTTTTTAAACACATTTATTGAATGAAATGATCACAAAATTAGTGCAAACAGAGTGTCGATTGTTGTCCGCAAATGCTGTCAACAAATGTTATAATCAAATGAGACACTTGTCTGACACGACAACCTCCCGATCGACCAACGAGTCGATCACCTCATCGTTTACGTCGACCCAAACGGAAGGAGTCCAGGAAAGGGCGGCCAAACGGCCCGTCAGTTATCTTCCCGACCATTTACCGCAAAATCAGAAATGGATATTACAGAAGCCGTGGTGGAGGTATCGATGGATTATTAATATCAATACAGAGGATAAAAAGCATACCGACTGGTCTGAGACACCCGAATATCCAACACTGAATGACCCGACGAGAGAGGGCTTCAAAAAAGACTTTCGGCTCGAATGGTATGAGTCCATCAAAAGGTTGCCGACGGCACAGCAAAAGGAGTTTGAAATTTGCAAACATTACAGACATTTGTCGTACTTCGTGGAGCCGGTTGTGTGTCAATATAACTCTCTGCCACTACAACAGTATATTACAAGAACTTATCTCATTTCTGGTCATTTGCCCTTTGATTACAATCAGATGAATGTCGACCATATTGTCGACGATCAGCTCAAGCGTCAGATTCTCGACTCAATTGCTTTGCATTTATTTCAAACTAAACAAAGATCGCCATCGATTGAGTTTAAGACATCATTTGTTCCAAATATATGTTACTATGATTTGGATCAGCTCAGTGAAGATCGCGTCAAGATTGGTGCTCAAGAGGATACTATACACGATTGCATTGCAATTGTACGCAAAGCACTTCAGTCAAAGTACATTCATTTGTCAAATCTTCAGGTATTGAATAATGATTTTTATATCTTATTTAAGTATTGTTTAAATTGGCTATAATTTCTATAATATTTCTCTGGTATTCAATATCAGACTGATTTAGACGCTTATGTATGTAGCAGTTGGTGGATGAATAGCTTTCCCATACCTTTTCGTAAGAAAAAGTGGTTTAAAGATATGGATAATATGGACCAACAGTTTACTTACAAAGGACTACATCCGTTACAATTGAGAAGTGAGAGACCATTACCTCCAGTATGTCGACAACTAATTTGCGATTAATAACAATTACAGTAATAATAGCTAATTGAGTGCTCTGTTATTTTTCAGGTAATTTCACCCGAAGATGATATTTGTACTAAAAGTGAAATTCCTGAATATAAACACCAATTGATTCCAATGGGTTATAAAATGAAAAGACATACGTTTACTAATTTACCCGGTTTTTGGTGCAATCACTCCAATGGATTTGATTTTCCAAATCTTATTTGTCATTCACGTCACGACTTGAAAATACGCGAAATTAAAAACCAAAAAACGTTTGGCGACGACCAACAAGTGTTGGACGGAATGGCTATTATGTCTTCATTCGGATGGCTCAATAGTTTGGCCTCTAATCTTGGTTTTACCACTTATCACGAATTGACTTATCCTCTGGTGACACATGTAATCATAACAGATGGCCAGTTCTGGTCATTCTATGTGTATCAGCTCAATACACACAGCTTTCATAGTGATGTCGACACCAATGCCTTACGTAACATCTGTTGGAGTTCTGGTGAACTCAAGCTTTTCGATAGCTATGAAAACGGACAGCTCGTTGGTGTCAACGATCAGGTCATCAAACTATTAGTTAAAGTAAGGGTTTTATTCATTTATATTTATATATATATTAAACTGAATTAAATAAAAAATAATAATAATCTTATATAAAAATTTTTGTAAATAGTTTTTAGTTCGTGAGCCACAACTTGAGAATTATTGTGAGCTTCGGCCGTATCTGAGTGCTGATAACCGAGACGATTGGGATATTCAAGAATTAGGTTATTCATTGAGACGAAAGTATTCAAATCATGTGAGCAGTTTTGTTAAGAAACGACAACAAATTCATTTATGGGAAAAGATATTCAAATATCATAAGGAAGCGCTTCCCATACCTCATATCAGATCGAGACCTAAGATGGACTTTAAATATCCACCATATTATCCATAGATATGAATGAAATACGTTGAATAATAAAATGTAATTTTATATTAAAACAACTTTAGTTAATCCATATTGTATTGTAGATTAAATTTTATTATTATTATTATAAGTTAATCAACAACTACTGAGTATATAATTTAATAAATAATGATAATAACAATTGAAAAATGACACTAAAAATAACATTAGTTATTGTCCGCTGACAGCAATCATATCAATAAGTGTTTCAAATGCTTTGCGAATCAATTGTCTGTCAAATGAAGAACAGATCATTACTTGCCATTTGAATCCTTGCATTACGTTCTGTAGGAGTGATTCCAATTCTTGTTGTGACTTAGATCCTGATATATCACTGTGTGTGCCCAACACAAGACACGGCCGACCTCTTAAGCGTGCATTTGATAAGACACTCTTGAGTGTCTCTTTTGCCAGTTGCAGTTCTTCATCACTTCCAGCAGAGTCGATGACAAACATAATAGCATTCTTGTCTGCAAAATAATAATTCCAGAAATTCTGTACTCTTCCTGAACCACCCAACTCTTTAATGCTGACAACTATCCCTTTAATAGGCAGTGTCTTAATATTAAACCCATTGGTCGGTTGGATGTTATCGGTGTTCTCACCGACTAATTGTGCTAATATTGTGCTTTTCCCTGAACCAGTCAGACCGAGACACAGAATGTTGTACTGGTCTTTGACTGCAAGCATCAATGGTTTGTGACATAACACGAATTGCCAGCACTGGTAGTATAGGATAAGAGAACATATATTACTAAATAGTTAGACAAATGATATGTTAAAATGTCATCAAATGTTTAAAATACTCGTCTGATTCCTGTCCGACACATTGAAAAACTACAGTCAAATGTTTCTCTTAATCCGGGCATTCCTTATGCATGTCGTCCGACAATTTGATACCAATTCAATCAGCAATCCATGAAATGGTTTGCATTTATAAATTATATTAATCCAAAATTTATAATCATTTAAACAAATGTCATATATTTCAACTTAAATTATTATATTTAATATAAATAAACATTGATTCACTAATTTATATCATATTAAATATTCTTATATATATATTCTGTATATCAATAGATTATGAAATCATAATATTCTGTTATTATTGATGAGAGTTCTAATGGAAACTATAATATTAAAGGTAATGTCAATTATGAACACCTTTACATACATTATATAATATAAAGATGTTTTTAAATCACACAAAATGTTTGCTATATATTGAAGCAAACATTCATTGAGTGAGAAAAACATCGATAAATGTCTCAAAAATGATTGATGTCTTGAGTCTGCGTCCTTTCAAATGGTTTAACAGATCTTTACAGACTTTTTTGAAACTTCTTGACTTTCATCACTTTTTTTAGTAATTTAAATGTCCTTTAAATACCTTTAAATGTTATCCATGTGTTTGGCAAATAAAAAATAAAATTTCAAGTATTTTATGTGTAAAATATTATTCTTAATGATTTTTATTTTAATAGAAATTTTCTATTTTTAAATTAAATTAAATGCTTTTCTCAAACAATTTTTACTTTAATACTGCATTTTTTGTAGCTATTAAAAAAATAATTTACATTTTTATGGTATCGTCTACTTAATTATTTATATATTTTACATACAAAATTCAAACATCCATTAAAAAAATTAGTTATAAATAATATGTAAATTAAATAATGATCTCATCGATCATTTGAATTTTTAATTTATTTATTTAAACTTTTTTAGCTTTAATTTACAATCATTTAAATATAGTTTAATTTATACCAAAATGAAAATAATATAAAATATTATTCAATTTCATATTCAACTTAATTGTGGACTCATTTTCTTATGGTTATAGCTCTGGTTATAGATCTGATCGGCAACGGATCAGTTGGTTGTCCACTACATGACTGTTCCGTTTTCATCAAACGTTTAGTTCAGTGACGACCGATAAAGTTGTTATAAGTCTTACATTTGTCGACTCACGAGTTGGTCAACCATTGGCATCGCACGGGTTTTGACCGACTTTTGTGGTCCAACTCAATGTCGTAAAATTTTTTGGCAATTTTCAAGTCAATACATGAATGAAGATCATTATGTGTTGTCATTGTTTTCGCAACAAAAAAATTAAGACCAGAAATGACTACTTATTTGTTGATATTTGCACCACAAATGAGGTCAATATATCGGTTCAAAACAAGTGTATTATATGTATATATAAATTATATATACCGTTTGTGTGGCACCGGTAGCTTTTGGAGGCCGACAACTGGTTTTAAGGTGTAGTCAAATATAGGATATTTTTTGGGGACTTTTACTAAAAACTAATATAACTTTAATATTAATATTATAATTGAAAATCATTTGGAAATAAATAAATCCATAAAAGTGTTAAATAATTAACTTTTTATTTATTACTTAATTAATTAAATGTTTCGTCAATTTGTTGTATAATAATAATAATAATTGACTTTAATTTGTTGTCAAAACATTTGTTGACAAATTAAAAGCCATTCAATGTATTTAATGGGCGTTTTGTTTGGTTTTTTGTGAGAAAGCCTTAGAAATACATATCATTTGATCGATTCATTGATTCATTGATTCATTAGATTTGTTTGTTTGACTCGTTTATCGTTAGTCTGTAGTCAACATCACTGCTATTATAATAGTCTAAACATTAGATACACTGACTATATATACGACACCTGACGTAGAAAACCATTGATAATAGTATTTCATATATTAATTAACAAAACTATTGACACCATTGGCGCCACTATTGACACACAAATCATATGAATCAATGAGAGAGAGAGTGAAAGACAACACATTGACTGTCAATGTTTTGATAGACAGACAGTCAGTCAACAAATCAATCAATGATTTTGTCACTGAATGGACACTAAAACTGATAACCAATTGATTTGTTTGTTTGTTTGTTTTGGGATCAGTTTATTAGTTGTTGTGATGACTGTGACAGCAATTATGTGACCAAAAAAACATTTGAGTCCATTGTTTTGGTCAACAAATTGTCGTTATCTTCACTAATCAATTGATGATATCATTTGCTGTCCAAAACATACCAACAATTTGTTTCTCAAATTTATATTGATTTTAGTGTTTTTTATATTGAATTTTATTTTTTAAATTATTATTATATTAAATGTTTTGAAAATAAAGTAATAATTTGTTGTCTGATTTTATTTGCGATGTTTATCATCAATCATACCATTGATTATCACAAATAAAATCAATTAATTTTTATCAAATATACTCTATATTTGTGACCAATAATTAAGACAATCAGTGGACAGCAAACAACTCATCATTTAAATTGATTTTAATGCCAATCAAGTTGTGAATGTATTGACCAAACAAATGGCCGAAAGTGATTCCGATGACCGCAACGATCGGCCACTGCCGCCATACGGACCACGAGTCGTATGCATTCACAAGTCAGACACGGGTTTCGGTTTTAATGTGAGAGGACAGGTGTCCGAAGGCGGACCACTTCGTAGTATTAATGGTGAACTGTATGCACCTCTTCAACAGTAAGTGATGACTCAGTTTTTAATGACAATCGATGGTATCAAATATCATATTTATTGATTGTCTATTCGTGTCCACAGCGTATCGGCAGTTCTTGAGTCGGGCGCCGCACAGTTGGCCGGCATTCGTAAAGGCGACCGAATACTGGAAGTGTTAGTAGTTTTGCAATAAATCATATTTAAGACATTAATTTAATTATTGTTTAATTGACAGCAATGGTATCAATGTTGAGGGCGCTACACATAAACAGGGTATTTGACCACTGATTGAATACTAAAAATTATAGGAATTAATTGTTGAACTTTTTGTTTTGTCAACAGTTGTGGATCTAATAAAGAGCGGCGGAGACAAACTAACTCTTACAGTCATATCAGTGACGCCAAGAGTGAGTCATTTGTTTTTGTGTATATAATTGTTTGATATAATAGTTTGTTTAATGATATGTTTAATCATTTGAAAGGAGGCCGAGAAGTTGGAGCCTAATGAAGACACTGCGAGCTATTCATACTTAGATTATAGCGAAAAGCGATCGCTTCCCATATCAATACCAGATTATAATTATATTGAAAGAAATGGTGACAAATACGTTGTGTTCAACATATATATGGCGGGCCGTCATCTGTGTTCACGAAGATATCGGGAGTTTGTTAATCTCAATACTAATCTTAAAAAAGAGTTTCCAGACTTTCAGTTTCCGAAACTGCCGGGAAAGTGGCCATTCTCTCTGTCCGACCAACAATTGGATACAAGACGTAGAGGTTTAGAGCAATATCTTGAAAAAGTTTGTGCCGTTCGTGTTATCGCTGAATGCGATATAATGCAAGAGTTTTTGACTGACTTTGATGATCAACACGTATGTTCAGTGTTTGATTGAGATATATATATATTTATGATAATATTTTTGCAATCACTTAAAAGGGTACGAACTCAGCACCAGTTGATCTGAAGATTTTATTGCCCGATAAGAATACAATATCTGTAACCATACGGAAAAATAGTACAACAGTTGATGTTTATGAAGTGGCCTTCGATAAGACCGGTCTAAACAAATCATTGTTCAATTATTTTGCTTTATTTGAAATCGTTGAGTACGGCTTTGAACGGAAATTGTCTCGCAATGAATACCCGCACTCACTCTATATTCAAAACTACTCGACCGCTGCTTCAACCTGTCTTATCATTAAGAAATGGTTATTCACGTTAACCAAAGAGATTGAGTTAAGTAGAGACGATTTGGCCGAAACATTCTTCTTTTGGCAGGTATTTAATCACTTTATATCATATATTGTACAAAAATTTACTAATTTTACTGAAATATATTTTTATATATTAATAATATTTGTGTTAAGGCTGTGGATGATGTAAATAAGGGTCAGATAAGACCTGGAAATAAACTCTATGAACTCAAAGCTCTTCAGGATTCATCCAAAAAATCAGAGGTCTTTAAAAATATTTATTTAAAACAAATTTAAATATTAATTTTAACTATTGTATGAAATTGTGATCGACATTACCTCTATAGTACCTAAAGTTGGTCCGAACTCTGGATGGTTATGGAGAACTATCATTCCCCCATTGCTCATGTGATGCTCGTAAAGAAGGACATGTGATCGCTACTATAGGCACTCCCTGTTTTAAACTGCAGGCGTGTAAAGATGATGGTATACTTGAGGTAAGAGTTTTATCTTTATAAACATAAATCCGATATATTATATATTTTTCGTTTTCTAACCATTGATTCATATATTTTTAGTCGCAAGTAATTGACTTTAGTTGGGACAGTATAAAGGAGTGGGAGATCGATGAGGAGGGCCTTGCATTTGCTTTCCAATATAACAGACCCGACAAAAAGCCCCGATTCGTCAGAATCCATACGCCATATGTAAGTACAGTCAGTATATATCTGATAATTATTAGTGTAATGTTTTGTCTGAATTAATTATTTCATAATAACAGCACGTTTTCCTTTTCGACTGTTTTGAACGGATCCGAGAGGAAAGACTTGCTTTCGAGCACAAGAAGATTGAATATAAAGACGAAAGATTCTAATGATAATTAAAAAACAGTTGAACTGTTAGTACAATCGTTACAATTGTATCAAATGATTGATACAAAAAACAAAGACATGTTTACATTCAGGACATAAATTATATGTTTTGTGGTTTTTATTTCCATAATATTCTTTAAAACAAAAGTGAAAATATTGTATAATTATTAAAGAGATTTATATTTTATCAAAAAAATCAAAACATATATATATAGTCTTTAAATGTTTGTTAGGAATAATAATAATGTATTTTAGTTTTAATTCTTAATATGTAAAAAAAAGTTTATTTATGAATTAGTGAATTTTGCAATTTATTTAATAATAATAAAACAAAACAATCGATGATTAGGGAGAAAGAACTGAACAATATTTTTAATGAACTTAGCTATGCATCCAATGTTTGATTTTTTAGATACTATTAAATTTTATTAATTTTTTAAATATATAATTCAATACTGAAGTTCTCATTCTCTTATCTTTTATTAGATATAATTAATTTATTTTATGTTTTTATTTTCTATGAAAAAATGATTTTTTGTTGTTGAAAGACAATTGATTGTAAAACAATCGATCATTTTATTTAAAAAATTAACTCTTTTTTATATATTTTTTCATCGATTGTGCCATAAATCTAATTTTCAAGTATTTTATTTATATATATATATAAATATAATTTAATTTTCTTAACTAACGGTTTTATGATTTAAGTTTATACTGATTTTAAATGTTAATTTAATTGTAATAAAATATAATACCGTAATTGTTTTTTTTGTTATAATTATTAACAAATAATGAGATCTCTTGTATTACTGCATTAGTGATGATTAGTTTACATGAAAAGCAATTCATTGGTTTTTTTAATTAATGTTTTATTAATTACGAATCGGTGATGAAATTTGCTTTCATTTGTCTCTACAGTATATTTAATTTTAATAAAGTTTTTATCACCAATAATTGACATTTATTTAAATTATAATTTTATTTATTTAGTTACACATCTAATTTAATAACATTACCAGTAATTATAAAGGAGTTAAATATTTTATTTTAACAAAGTATACAATTATTAAGATAAAAGTCTACAATTGATTTGTATCATCACTTGGTTTCATATCTTTGGATAGCATTCGTGACTAATGCTAAATAAAGTCCAGTTCTTTGACTTTATTCCTCTAAATGTTTATCGTTGACTGTCATCATCAACAGTCAGATCGATGTTTTGGTTGATATTTATTTATTGTCACAATTGCACATAAAATTAAGTAAATTAAATAATAATTAATAATAATTGTAATAAACTAATGTAAATCTTTTCAAATAAAATCGATGACAAAATACAATATTAAACCCGTTTTTATGGGAATAACTTTATTAAAAATTATATTACAATATAGAGTAGTAGTTTAAAAATTATTAAAACATGTTTTGAAATTTTAGCAATAGTAAAACTGTTTTAAAATAAAATAACCTTGTTAACTATTTTAACTATTTAAAAAAATAAACGTGCCAAGGTAGATCATCATATCTTTAATTTGAATAAATTAAATCTACTTTAGTTTAAATTCAACACTTGATTCACTTATACTTTCTTTGGTAACTTATTTTTAGAGTTTGAGATATTAATTTTAAAAATGCCATTTAATTACGATATTTATTAAATATATTAATGTATTTATGATATTAATTAATCTTAATAGTAATGAGTGATAATAATTATTTAAAAAATCAACTTAAAATAAGTTAATAAAATAAGTATGAATGAATCATTTAATGCAATTGAAATGCTTATTTTATTCAAATTATACATATACTGTACCTTGGTACGTTTGTTTTATGTTAGCTAAATAAAGTTATCAAATTAATAATAAGTTTTTAAATTAACATAAAATAATTTATTATTTTTTTGTTGTCAAACACATGATTGAAAACAATATATTATTTTCTATACATTGTTTGGTTACTCTATGAGAGAGTTCAGCAAATAAACTGTAAATACTATTATAAATAAAATGTTTACAAAAAAGTTATGTCTATTACTAATACAGTATTACATAAATAGTCAACACATGAGAGCAATAATATCCGTCAATAATAGATATGTTTGCTAAATGTCAACAAAGCCGTCGGCTTTTCACTGGTGGCCATCCGTGTCAGCGATGGGTGACTTCAGTGGTGCGCTATTTGTATAACAATAGTTTCGATAAAACCATGACTGCGGCCGACAACCGATGGCCGGCGACTCGTGAATCTCTTGTCAAACGACAACTTCATTCGTTAGTGAATCCGAAGAAGATATTGTTTAAAGATCGACAGCTGAAGATAGTGACACAAATGAGTAAACAATTTAGTTATTCATAATAAGAAGTGTCCAAATATTTTGTTATCCAATTATGATATATTATTTTCATCTTCAGACAGATCTATGTTTATTCAGACGGAAGATACGCCAAACCCTAATAGTCTTAAGTTTGTTCCGGGTGTTAGAGTAATGACTGAAGGAACCATCGATTTTCCAAATGTCAAGTCAGCTATGAATAGGTCCCGATTGGCTGAAGCGTTGTTTCGTATTGAAGGAGTGAACGCCGTATTCTTTGGTCCCGATTTTATTACAGTCACCAAAATCGACGACGACGTCGAGTGGAAACTATTGAAACCCGAAATATTTGCTACGATTATGGACTACTTCGCTACCGGACTGCCCATAGTCAGTGAAACCAGTGATGACACTGAAAAAACAGGTATTTTATGGCCACATATTTGATGAGTTAGAAGATTACATTCATTAGTATATTATTGTAATTATTTAACTTTAGATAAAGTGGGCGACGATACTGAAGATGAAACGGTAGCAATGATTCGGGAACTGATTGAAACTCGGATCAGACCCACAGTTCAAGAAGACGGAGGAGATGTCAAGTTTATGGTATGTTTTTTAAATAAAAAATAATTGTATTTTTATTAACAAATTATTATCGATATTACTGAATAGGGATTTCAAAACGGAACCGTTAAACTTAAACTTCAAGGCGCCTGTACTTCGTGTCCATCATCTATAGTTACACTGAAGAGTGGTATTCAAAATATGTTACAATTTTATATACCCGAAGTTGTTAACGTTGAACAGGTATTTGAATATTTTAGTCAATTAAATGATTAGTTTTAATAATTTATTTGATTTGATTATCCTTTAAGGTGAGCGACGAATTAGATTCATTGGCCGCCAAAGAGTTTGAAAAATTCGAGAAAAAGTTAGAAAACAGAGATAAATCAGATGACAATAAAAAATCTTAAAACTTTAAAATTTTTATTCAGATCCTAATTATCCACTTATACACAATTGGTTACACAATTGTAAGTATACTTAGTATACAACAAAAATAAAATAAAATTTACAGACAAAATGATAAAACATTTCAATAAATATCTATTAATTATATAAATACCGTATTTAACAATTATTTTCAAATATTTATAATTAAAAAACTGAGTTCAAATGTTAACGATCAGTCAATGGTTCCCTTATTGTGGAAGTGTCCCAATTGGTTGACTGTCCACTCACTTTCAACACCTTTAGTGTACTCACGAATAAATCTTATGAAAATCAAAGACAAAATTATGACACCGAAGAACAATAACTGTTGGCTTACCTATAGTTACAAATAATAATATTTGTACCAAATTTTTCTTTAAACTCTTCAAATGATAGATTAGGCTGTTGTTTGAGTGACTGATATTTATATAAGCAATAGAAGACAACTGTTATTTCCACCCAACGATCATTGTCTTTGAAAATCAAGAATAATAGGAATTATAATAAGTTAACAAAAAAAGTGATAGAAATGTAAAAAGCATTTAATTGTCACTCAATTACTGTCATTCATAATGATTCCGATTGTGTGAACAAATGAATAGATAATGTCATTCAAATCGATCCGCAAATCTTGTCTCTGACTGGCGTCCAATTTCGGGTAGTTTTGTCGGATCTCATCCAATGCCTGTCATAGTCTGTCATTAGTTTTAAGACATTTTGTGTCAAATATTATCGCTATACAGACCTCATCACTGACCAGACCATTGAGTGAATCCAAGTCACCGTCGGCTAAACGATTGGATATATGAACCAAAGCCTGTATTTTATAAAGACATAGGAATTAGTGGACAATAAATTTGTGTCGAAATAATCATTCAATGAAGATATGAGACCTGTTTGGTTCCAGTCATCAACTTATCTATAGTAAAGTCATTGTCAAAAAACGGACGAATTATTGTATTAATTGTAATAAAGTTTTTGCATTTAAACCAAAGGTTTGGCAAAACTATTGGATTGAATGCCATTAAAAGTGGGGTTTTGTTACTCTTGGACTCATCCGGTGATCGGTCTTCACTTAAATATCTTTTGCAAACCATTTCTATCTTATTATTACTACATTTGTTGACATATTTGGCGGACGCAAAAAATTTGGTCACATTTTGGACCGACAATTGTCGGTAAATACCGGCGCATGACTTCAATTGTGTAATATTTAATGTATGAAAATATTGTGATTTAATTGAATAAAAAGTTTTTGATGTGTTTTTTGGCCACAATTTCACACAATTTGTTGATATTATTAGTATTAAACTCATATTTTATAAGTGATTGCAATAATTGAAAAACAAAATTCAACTTTTAATACAATACAGTATTAATAATAATAATAATAATAATAACACATAAACTCAACACAAACAACGTTTTGAAGTTTAAAAGTTTATTTTGTTTATATAAGTAATTATTAAAAAAAAAATTATTCGTTAAATTATTAATAATTGTTTTATTTAGTTATATATATACTTAAAGCATTATAATTAGCTATTTTTAAAAAGTTAAAATTTTAAAAATTATAATACTAAATTAATTTTTTATTATTTACAACTTTTAGTCTTATCGCTACATTTTTAGTATGTAATACTATGTATAAAGTACTGTATGTTATTATTAAGTTTTTATTTGCTAAACAAATTTTAAATGCTTTAAATGCTTAAAATTGATAATTAGATATTTTAATATTATAATAATTTTGGTCAATATTATTGTACTAAAAGTATTTAAATAAATTATTTAGATATAATCTTTCTTTCTTTTTTTTAAAAAAAACCTATAAATATATTTCTATTATTTAATCGGGAATTTATAAGAAACAAGATTTTGCGAGTTTAACAAACTTATAGCATTAAAAAAACATTTTTACTTTTACTCAAATTTTTTATACTAAAGTTTTAACTTGGATAAAATCAATGATTTTTTTGTGTTTTAAAATTGTTTATTTTATATTACTGCTGCTTTTACTTTATTTAATTTTTTTTAAACAAAAATATGTTATTTTTTTTTGTTGCAATATTGTTAGCCCCAGACATTTAAATTTCAATAAAATACATATATTATAAAATAATAATTAATATATTTCAATGTATGATTTGATGTAAACATATGCCAATTCCTTGACCTTATTTTTAGTCCAACTAAATATCGGTTTTATTAATTTATTGGTAAAAAAATAATGTTTTGTTAATTCTTTGTTAAGTCGCGACGACTCTTCAATAATCGTTAACTAACTATAAACTAAATTATAAAAAATTAAGATTTTTTAGTTTCTTTTAAAGATAAGATTTATATATATAGTATATAAAGTATATATAATTTTCATAAACATTAACACACAAAAAGTTAGCAAACAATTTGAAGGCTAAATATACACTCTTATTAATATATTACTACTAATACTACTACTACTACTATAAATGTGATATTATAAGAAAAGTGAATTTGTAATATGACTGTCCGTCTGATAATAAATTTAATTGTGACCTTAAAAATACAGACTCACAAACACAATATTCAAGCTTTAAAGCACTTTTGAAATCTTTATTATAATGACAACCGCCTGTTATTAATTAAAAATACTTACAATTTTGTCGATAAATTTCTCTCAAAACCTCAATTTATTGATGTTTGGGACAAAAGCTTTCAAAAAGTGACCTTAAAATTAATGACAACAACGGCGTTATACTGTAAAAGCTTTTATTAATAATAATAAGTTTTGGTATAAATATTAAGATCAGAGTTATGGTAATGAAAATTAGGACTAATTTAAGTGCAAACTTAATAAAATAGGGTTTCGTATTTGAATTTATTAAATATTGGTTATAAATTATAACTTATAATAACATAAAACTAATCTACTAATCAATATATAACTAGTTTTGTTTATAATTAATGATTATAAAATATAAGCATGGTACATACATTTTTGTTATACAATATACTGTAATATATATACTGTATTTCTGTAAACATTTTGATGCAAACATTTACTTTTAGCCCATACGTCAAGACTTTATTTTTGCTAAAAAAAACATTTAAATACAATTTGTTTGCAAAATTTACAAAAACATTTATCCATATATTTTTCTTTTATATTTATATAATAATGTCATATATTAAATAAGATCCTAAAATAAATGGTAACAAAACTATTGATAAAAAGAAATATGTTTACAATAGAAATGCAACTATTTTTGGGGCATATATTTGTAATGTGAATCTCTCTCTCTCTCTCTCTCTCTCTCTCTCTCTCTCTCTCTCTCTCTCTCTCTCTCTCTCTCTCTCTCTCTCTCTCTGTGTGTGTGTGTGTGTGTGTGTGTGTGTTCACAACAAAGAAGTTCTCCGATTATATTGATGGCCACAAAAGCACAGGTGAGAGGAGAGACCGGTATGTCTTTCACCTGCACTACTCTACCACTGATTTATTGTCTGCACAAGAATTCTGTTGGCTATAGATTTATAACTATAACCTAAACAAATGGTTTCAGTAGTTGAAGACCTGTACCACAACTCAAACATTTCTTTCTCATAGACCTTAGGTTTCTAAAAACGGATCTCAGTTTTAGTGAAATAATAAGCCCACGGGTTGTCCCCCTTGACTGTCCTCAATGTACGCACTTTCCTTTGCTCACCTATCACTCCATACTAACATAATAACCAAGTATTTCAAAGAGCTCAGGTATGTCTTCAACAGGATTGTAGTGTATGTAATGTATCATAATTTCAATGTATGTACTCAGGTATATACGATATGTGTGTGTATGTATGTATGTGTGTGTGTGTGTGTGTGTGTGTGTGTGTGTGTGTGTGTGTGTGTGTGTGTGTGTGTGTGTGTGTGTGTGTGTGTGTGTGTGTGTGTGTGTGTGTGTGTATGGGTGAGTGAGTGACTGAGGCAGTGAGTAAAAGAGAGTTGTTTTGAATAAGAAGAAGAAAGAGAGAAAGAAAGAGAGATATAAAAACTTGTTGGTAGTGTTGGTAGTATTGGTAGACTGAGACTCGTTACAGACTATTGGTTAGGTTTGACTCTTCTTTGTTGTCGACTTCTTCTGATGCTAGGATCAAGTCTTTGACTGAGTTGGTTCAGTCAGTTCAAGGCCGACACCGATTCTCAACCTATGAATGAATGCATTTGCAGGCAATACTAGTGTATAATCATTGAAAAATATGATTTCAAAGAAGTTTTGAAAGTTTGCTTCAATGCGCTCTTAAATTACTTGGTTTGGGAGCGGACGTCATAAAAGTTTGCCACTGACACACACACACACACACACACACAGAGAGAGAGAGAGAGAGAGAGAGAGAGAGAGAGAGAGAGAGAGAGAGAGAGAGAGAGAGACTATGATTTACAAGAAAAAGCTACTAAAAGGAGGGTTAAGGGTAAACATGTAAGTTATATGATATAACACAACCATAAACTACCAGCAAAAATAGGTGCTCTTAACTCATGTTATTTAGTTAATGCTTAGTAGATATATATTACATTTTAAACATCTTATTTGTGAAATATTATCTCATTTACACACAAAACTTATGTAATCATATTCAAAGCATATCTCATGGCATATCATATAATTAAAATACTGTTTAAAAATTTGAAACACTCGAAAAATTCAGTCCATCTAAAAAGCGAAATACCTTTTACTATAAATACTTTATTTTTATGAGTTTTGGGACAAATTGCGGTCCTTTTTCTAAAATATCCAAAAGTTTTTCACAAAAAAGTGTAGTTCCCCTCTATTTTTGTATTTCACACAACAATACTTCTTATTTTTTGGTAGTAAACACACAATTATATTGTTATTGTTGTCTCCCTTTTCCTGGTTTGTCCCCATATTTACTTGATTTTGGAAATTTAAACCAAAACAAAATTATTTTCGCTAAAAAATTCATAGAGATTTTAAAGTAAAAAAGATTATAAAAATGTAAAAAAGATTAACAATAAAATATATATGCTATCAATGATCAGTTGTTTATGTTTTCAGTTATTTTATCTAAAAAATAGTCTAAAAAACTATGTTTCTAAATCTAGTCTAATATTTGACTACCTATTTACAAATAATTTTTATGTTGTTTATAAGTAAAAAAAATAGTTATAATTAACAGCTATAAGTATGGATAACATTTCAAAAACATAAATAAAAACTGTGTTTTGTTTGTTAGGTTTTACTATTCATAACAAAAACATTTTTTTATGAGCATTTGGTCGGCATTCGGCAAATTGCCTCAAAATGTTGTTATAATAGTAGAGAAATTTATATGAATTTCTTTGTCTCAATACTAGTGTAACAACTTTTTCGTTATTGAAAATTTCACTTCCAATCTATTGACCTAAAATCCAAATGTTTTCCAACACAAAAACAGCCGTCTCTTTCATTTTTGAATACTTAGATTTGGAGGGCCTCTCCTCTACCGATATATAGGGGGTATTCTCAGAATTCCTTCAGCACAGGAAAGGGCGTCTCTCTCTCTCTCTCTCTCTCTCTCTCTCATAATTGCCATCACTTTCATCTATTAATGACTAATTGGAAAATTATAACCTTTTTTCAATGAATCGTTGAATTAGGCATATAAAGCCATTAATGCATCTGTTTTGTCAACATTATATTCATATCTCTTTAAAAGTTTAAATAAATTAATTAATTTCACAATTGAGTTATTGTGTCAGAAATTATTACATATGTTTCTATTAGAAAATTTAAATGATTTGAAAATTAAGTAATTTATTTTTATACCTATAAATTAAAAGTTGAATAAAATAAAATAAAAGAACACATAAAATAAAGTTTAAGTAATATCTTATAAAAACACACCTAATTATTTGACTTATAAATCAAAATAAGATATTATTTTTTATACTGTAATTTATAGTTTAATAAAAAGATCATAAAAAGATCATATCTCATATAATAATAATATTATTATTATTATTCTTACATTTAATACTTTAAATTTAAGGACAATTATATATTTGTTTAGAAATGTTGTTAAAAATTTGTTTGTTTAACGAGTCGATTAAATATTGAGAAAAACATTTACAGTACTATTACTATATGTTATATTTACTAAAGTTTTTTTTCAAAACAAAACTAAAAATAAACAAAATTCAAGTCTAAGTAAAATAAGGAGTGCTGTATATATAAAGTTTAAATATCGCCATCGCTTTTGACTATTAATGTGTTATTTTGTTTATTGAGTGAAAAACGGGTTTGTAATCAAATACAAGAATATTCATCTCAAATATAATATGTTTTGTTTTTTAATGGATTGTCTCTAACATTGAATATTAAAATGTAAATAACTTTTAATTTCAATAACATTATACAGTATTACAGTAATAGTAATAATACACTTGTAGTTCATTATACACACTGATGTTATTATATTATTATCATACTATTACTACTATAAGTTCATTCATATATTCATCTATTATTTATTATAATGATTACAAATTTTTATCAATCATATATTAATGTAGTATTTGATAGCTAATAAAAGTCAATGTTAATTGTAAACTTTTATTTTTATCTAATCAATAATAAATATGTATAAATAAATTATTAAGTAATATGTGATAATTTTTTATATTTGAAAACAATAAACTTTTAGTTATATATATCTCTCCATTGAAATTGCGCGAAAAAAACTTAATTTTTTACCAATAAAATTGATGATAAAAAACATTTTGATCTCTTATGAAACTAGTTTTTATGAGTCATCATATTATATACTGTATTATAAGTTTATGTTTTTTATAATACCAATGTATAAAAGTTTTTTAAAATTAAAATAAAGTAAATGAATGGAAAATCTAATAATTTTTAGCCAATTATTTTTGAATATATTTGTTTGTGAATCAGGTGTTTGTCGATAACAGCATCACCTCTGAACTGAACAGTGATGTCCATAACAAACACAACAATACCAGCAGTGACTATATGTATGTATGAGTGTGTGTGTGTGTGTGTGTGTGTGTGTGTCTGTGGTTGTGTCAGTGCTGTGACAATATGTGGCGAATCCAATGTAGTGATCGGTAGAGTCTGGAAGAGTGAGGGAGAAGTTGTGTATGAATTATAGTTGAAAGCCATAGACAATGGCATAGAGAGTATAGTAGTGTATGAGTAGTGCAACGATAGGCCCCTCCCTTACAGCTGGGCTTTAGTGCCGGTTAGCGAAGCAATAGCTGAGTGACTCTCTCGAAGCCCTCTCTCTCTCTCTCTCTCTCTCTCTCACAGTCTCTCTCTCTCTCTCCTTCTTTCTCACAGTTGGACTCTCTCTTCAGTATTAGTCTTGCCTTTGGAGTCAATGCATTGGATGTATTGAATGTGTTGTTTGAGAGTTGAAGACATAGAGTGGAGGAATGTTTTGGCGCTTGAGTTGGACTGAAGTTGACGACCAGTGAAGACACTGTCACACCATCACTGACTGTCATACCATTCATACTATACTCTATTATAGACATTGCTATCACAAACCATCTGAACAATCATTCAGATGGACTGTAGCTGAAAGACATTACACACCATCTCATCAATACTTTTATACCAATTATTAAGTCTGTAAAAGACTATTACTATTTGTCTGTCGATTAATATCACAATTAATATCTAATATTAATTTCAAACGATATTTATATAAAAATATATTATATTTATATTAATATTGAATTTAATAATAATTTGTGTTTTTATTATTTTATTAATGAATTATATTTTTATACCGAAAGACAACAATTTTATATTATAAACAAATATATATCTAATATATTGAACTGAATTATCAGTAATTTATATATTAATAGTGAGAATCGTTTAGTGTTTTTATCGCAAACCAATTGTCTATCAATTGTCTCAATAATAATAATCAAATTTTTTAATTAATAACATAAAAATAATTTGAAGATAATTATCGGGAAAAATGCCGGCAAGTCTTATGTACGAAATGGATCACAACGTGACCACCGATAGCCCACTTAATGGAAACTCAGCCATCGATCAGCGGACCTATCAGTTGGCCATAGAGTTGTCGCGCTTCGGACTCGATAGCGACTGCAATGAGACCATTGGTGGTCAACCATTTGATGCGGACAATCGCAACAAGAAGTCACAGAACACTACCGAATGTGTTCCCGTTCCCAGCAGTGAACACGTGGCCGAAATCGTTGGCCGACAAGGTATGTACCGATTAATTGTTGACCAAAAAATCAGTTGTCATAAGTGTTAGCCATAAAAACATGCCTTTCTTTGTTAGCATTGCTTATAATACTTAATATATTGTTTGAAAAGCACAGCAAAAGCGTGTGTTTTGTGCCAAACATTCAATGCTTTGTCTCTAATATTATAAACATATTTCATATGATGTTTGGCTTAAATTAAGAGTACTTCTAGTTGTTGACCAAATTGTTGGTACTATTGATATGATTGTCATCTAATGATTGTCAGAGATAGTGATAATATAATGAATATACTAATGAATGTCTTGTGTCCACAATTTCTTTGTTCAACCATTGGTTCAGTTGTTGGGCTTAACAGCAAAACAGTCTCTCAAATGCCTGAGAGTTAGGGCCGACCTGTAAGACAGCCATACATAAGCTATTCATACATAAGCCATACAATACAGCCATACATTGACACATTCACTGCCATTCACTACAAGCTATGCACACAACACCACACATGTATCTCTCTCTCCCCAACTATAGTTCCCCACAAGTGATGCATTTATAGCCCACCACCGGAGCCATAGTTAACTCTCCCCTCCTTTTAAATGCTTTTTTAGCTCAAAATGTGATCTAAATTTGCTATTTTGCCAACACTTTTGGCTTAACAACAACTAGACTTCACATATGTGTTGTTGAAGTTGACTTTGGCTTAAAAAACTTAAGATATGAGGCATGAGATGTATATTATATACAATATATAAATATAAAGCATTTAAATACATAACTCGCTTGAAAAGCATTTTTAAATACATACAAAAAGTATCATTCATTTGGTTACATAACAGCTCATTATAAAAATTATGATTAGTTATGAAAGATAACTAACAGTATGTATAATATCTATATCCCTGTCATCCCATGTCATCGATAGGCTGTAAGATTAAAGCACTTCGAGCGAAGACCAATACTTATATTAAGACACCGGTCAGAGGCGAGGAACCGGTGTTTGTGGTGACGGGACGTAAAGAGGACGTGAATGCGGCCAAACGCGAGATTCTTTCGGCCGCCGAGCACTTTAGCCAAATACGGGCTCAGCGCAAGTCTAACCTGAATGGTTCAATTGGTGGACCCGTTCCTAATGCCAACGTTCCCGGACAGACAACAATTCAAGTTCGAGTTCCATATCGAGTTGTGGGTCTTGTAGTTGGACCTAAAGGTGCAACTATTAAGAGAATACAACAACAGACCAATACATATATCATTACTCCAAGTCGTGAAAAGGAACCGGTGTTTGAAGTGACAGGTCTTCCCGATAACGTCGAAACGGCCAGAAAGGAGATTGAAGCGCACATAGCTATCCGCACGGGTGGCCAAATTGATTCATCGGGCAATGGCAGCGATGAAAGCAGTTCAGACTTTTCTAACTCTCCACTACTCAATGGTATTGATAATCCATTTGCCACAAACACAACCAACGGATTTGGATCACAATTCAAGACATCAACGGATCCGTTCAGCGCCTTCTCATCGCGTGCTTCGGACACTTCAAACAACTCATTGATCACCCGATCGACTAACGATATCTTTAATTTCGTGAACCAAAACAAATTGAGTGACATATACTCACTGTTTTCCGCCAACGCGGCCAATGGTTTCGCCAAATCGATATCCAGCGGCTCGTATGACACGGACGAAGGCATCGGTGAATCTCCAACTTTCGACTCCGTCGGCAGTAACGGCAGTAACACAATTGCCAGCTCTGTTTGGCCGGACTTCTCAACTCAACGCACCTACATTTCCAACATCTCGCCATTAGACCGCCGCAGCTCAAGTCTGGACAGTCCCATCACATCCAACACAACAAATACCACCCCATCAATGATCTAAATTATACGGTAACATCATTTAGCACCCATTGATTACTCAATATTTAATAATATTTTTATCAGTTTTTAAAACATTATTTTTTAATTAAAAACAAACACAAAAGCAAATCAGTATTTTACAGCAAATTATATAACAAATTGATTATCACAACAGTCTAAACATTGTTGTTATATAACATTAAATAATGATGTATTGAATTAATTGATTGTGTGTGTAGTGTAAGAGCAGCTCATGAGAAACACTTTAAACAAAAAACATTTGATATAATTATAACTTAAACAACAAAAAAATCAAAGACTTAGAACTCAAACACAAACTTTGAAACTCAAATTTTTTATTATTAATTATTATTATAATTATTACTCATTTTTAAATTTTATTAATTTTAATAAGTGTTTCATTTTTATTTATATATTTAAATATTTTAAATGCATTTATTATTATTATTATATATAAATATATATTATATTATATTAATTTTTTAAAATAATATTTTAGTTTTTTTATTGTGTTAGACATAAATCTACTTACAGTTAGTAAAGTATAGGTTATAGTCTTCCAATTTTTTATTTTTCTACTCAAATATTAACTGAAAAGATGTCAATTTTATTAATTATTATCTAATTTTTATTTTTTAATGTTTCATCCCATTTGTGATTTGTTTTATTTGTGTACCACTTATGATAGAGATATATAAGAGTAAATCATTTTCTATATATATATAAATTTCATTGTCTAATTAAAACTATGCATAAATCAGTATATATTGAGTTACAGAATCGCAATTTGATTGTGTTTTATTATTATTATTATATTTGATTATATTATTAATTATATATTATTACATATTATTTAAATTTTTGTTATTATTGACGATTAATTCTATGTTATGTATATTTTTTAAAGCTATATATATTGTATGAAAAAATAGTGTAGAGTAAGAGCTGCGGTGTTATCGCGATATTAAACTTAATTATATATATATATAAACAAAAAAGTTAAGACAGAGTTTAGCAATAATTGCAATTATGATTACTTTGTGCTACAAATAAAGCAAATAAATGCCATTTCGTTATACCAATGAACCAATACTTTTACACACAAAAAACCATTTTAAATGAAAATTAAATGAATTTTTTAAAACAAATTAACAAAAATTATATATATATATATAAATATAGTAAATAAAATTATATATTATTAGATATAAGCTTATTTGATGTTATAAATCAATAATTTGATTATAAATTATATGCAATCTTTTATTAAATGTTTCAGCTCATCCTTTTTGCTATTAAATAATAATAAATATATGGATGAAACACATACCAAATATTTTATTACAATTTGTGTTACAAAACCCAAAATTTATATATATATTATATATTTGCTGTAAAAATTATTAATAAGATTGTAATTATTACTTAAGTGGCGCAGCTATCATAATGATATATGTCCTGTTTGTTATATACCATAGATTTTATTACTTTTTAATTTACAATATTAGAGATTTTCACACAAATTATAAAGAAAAGATTAATTTTAAGATGAAATTTTATTGATATTATATATATATTATATATATGGATAAAATTATATAAATATTACAAAGAGATATAATAATAAAAAATAAAACTTAATGACAATTCACTATAAATTTTTCTATTAGTAAATCCAAAGTAAATTTTAATAAATCATTTTTTATAGGTTTAATAATTATTGCATATATTATATTGATATTTAAAAAAATTTAAATGCATTTGTCATTTCTATCATTTTTTCGTATTTATAATAATAATAATGTTTGTTAAAATACTTTTTAAGACCCGAATTAACGGATAAAAAATAATTTTATCTTTGATTCCTAATCCCAATCCCTTGTTTAAGAAAAATTTGTCAATGATTTTAGATAAAGGATTGTAATTAATATAAAACTTAAGAAATGTCTTTATTAATGATAAATAGAGTAAATTCATAGATAAAATTATATATATTGTACTATAAAAAGGGTCTCAAAAAAAATCATTTGTGTTTTTATAAAAGACCTTTTTATAATAATTTAATTAAAATTATATATATATATATAATAAATATATTGATATATTAATATAATTCTGTCAAAAAAATAACTAATGAATGATCAATAACTATATTATTATGAATAAAATTGTATAAAAATTATTATAAATTATTATAAACCGTAAGATTATATATATATAATGATTAGCAGTAATGTTCTGGTGATATAAACAAATATTGTATTTCTATTATAGAAACAATTATCAAAAATAAGATGTGTTTAAACAAATTATATATGAATATATAAATATATATAAATATATTAAATATATGATTATTATTATATAAAGACAATTGAGTGTTCGTTAATATTATCATAGAGTAAATTGTAAAACACCATCAAAAAGAGCTCAACAAATATATATATATATTAATATTATATTTGCATTGTTTGTAGTTTTCATTATTTTATTAATTTTTATCTATAAATGGGTTGTGTATTTGAAAAAATGATTGCATGAGAGTACAGAATATTTTTAATTTGTTTTATTGATTGTAAAATTTTTTCACAATAATATTTTTAAGATTACATTAATTGTAAGAAAAAAATCAATTGATTTAAAGAATTTATTATTAAATAGTTATAATTATAAGATTATAATTATTATGATTATTACAGACAGAGTTCCACACAAATTCTTGTATTAAGTAAACATCTTTTTATTATATGATATTTATTTGAAACAATTTTTGAGTTCAACTCATATATAAAATTAGCGTTAATTTTAATGATGATATACATTATTCCCATATATTTTATTATTACAAGTTTAATAATTAATTAAAATAAATATATTGATATATCAAAGATTGTATTTTATTTTCAACTTTTTGATGTTAAAAAATCAGTATTTAAGACAAAAAATTATAATAAAAATACTAATTTTATTGAAAAAAATTGTTTTCTTTATTTTTAAATTTGATATCAAATACAATATAGTATTTTATATATTGTATTTTTCATTAATTATCTACAACAACAATAATGTTTATAATAACATAAATTTGAAAAAAAACTTCAATTCAATTGTGTTTAAGACTATATATATATATATATATAGTCTTTGTGTGTATATTTGCGTTGATTTTATAATATATTAGAAACATTGGGCATTTGGATGATTGCATAACTTGTTTAATCTGGTCTTTTGTTTGAATGTTTTGATTGAATGCCTTCAATGGTAAGTCTGGATCTTTGAGTCTATGGTGTAGTGGTGGTCGTGTGTTGTCTCCAATGGCATAGTATCCATAATATAACAACTTTTCAATTCAAGGTGAGCTCTTTTTTTATATAATAGCAGGTGCTCTTAAGTTAATGAACTTATATATAATAATAATAATTGTTGAATTGTTGGCCATACATGTCGTAATATATACATACCTGTATATATATATATATCGGTGCTGGGCTTATATGCCATCACTTTCACCTTGAATTTCACTCTGACTGACACTATGACTGCAATATATGTATATTTGGATGTATGGTTAGGCTATTAGTTCTCACCCAACCAGTTATAGACTAGTTTTCTATTTAAAAAAATAAATATAAATTATATAAGTTAGTGCACTGTGCCATCCCTTGCCATCAAACACACCATTGAGAAGTTCCAGTTCTATACCTATCCATAGCATACCCATCCCGTCAAACAAGATTCCGTACCTTTATTACGAGCTTCTCGCTTGTGTTAAGCCAAATGTGGGCCACAATCGCTACTTATCCCCCAAATAAACAGCCTTAAGATTATTTAACATTTAATATATACACCAAACACCACACCAACAACAACAAAAACTTTTACTTTTTATGGCAATTTCAACAAAAAAAATACTTTTTTTCTTTTCAAACAACGAATTATGTGGATATTAAACTCAAAGAATTGATTATAATTTTTAAACAGATTTATCTCAAAAAACAACTTTTTTTTGCTATCCCTTTGTCTTTATATTGCAGTGAATCGCAAATACAACCGAAAACACATAATTAATAATTAATATAACTATAGTTTTTTGGCAAATAATTTTACTTTAATATATATATATCTAACAAAATATTGACCAATAAGACTAACTAAAATAATATAATAAATTATTATGTTTTTTCTATATCAGATTAGTTATATTTTGCAATATTTATTTTATAAAATATTATTTATATTTGCAATTAATTTAATTTGATATGATGTAGTTTTAATTATTTTAAAATATTTATATAATTTTTGTTTATTATATTTCTAGTGCTACTATACATTATTTTATGTTATTATAATTTACATACAAGAATAACATACGTTTATTATTGAGAGTGAATTACTAACTAATTTTAATCCAATATTGTATATTCTGTACATATAATACAGTATATATTATAAGTTTGTTATCAATATCTATATAACAATATCTATAATTTAAAATTCATTATTTCCGAAATAAAATTCATTTGGATATATATATATTTGACAAACATTACATATAATATATATATAAATATATATATAACCAAAATATTATATAATTCTGTATATAAACGAAAGTCATATGTAAAGTGGAAATAATGCCATAAAATGCTATAAAATCAATACTTTTTTGATGCTTTGAGGTCTATGACCTGCTATACAATATATGAGTCTCTATGGCAACACAATGTCTGTCCCTTTCTTGAACCTCATGTTTCTCAAACACATCAACGGAATCGGTACTAAAAAAGGAGAGTTATATTCACGTAAAACCAGAATTAACTAAAAGTAAGGGAGAGAGAGAAAGAAGAAAAATAATAATATATAAATAAATATCATATTTTTGTCGCATTTTTATCATCACTGCTTTCGTAGTTTTCTATATAATAATATATAATTATAAATATTATATATTTTTATATACATTATATATATTTCTTTATGCAATTCTTCATAAATACATAAATAAAATTATATATATATTTATTTAAAATTCTCTCTCTTTTCATTTGTTTACATTTTTACTTTATTATTGCTAATATATAAAGTAGAAAATTTAAGAAAAACCCAAATATTTTATTACATGTAATAAACATACTGTACTTTACATAAAATATAAAGTTTACAGAATTTTCAACAGACATTATAATCAATAAATATTGTATTTTTTATAATAAGTAGATTTATTGGAAATTAAAAATTGTTTTTACATTAAATAAATATAGGATTTAATATCAACAATATTGATACACTAGTATTTGCGAAATATATGTATTTAAACTAAAAACGATATCAAATTTGGTTTATCTATATTTAGGATATTATCTGTTAAGTACAGTAGTATTCGTTGCTTCATATGTTTTGATACTATATTTATATAATTTATTTTTATATACAAACAGTATATATTTATTATATAATCTATACAAATGAAATATCACTAATGCAATGTACTAAAATAAAGTACAAACAACTAAACTTAATTATAGTAAACATATAGCACCTTACTATATAGAATTTGTTTATATAATTATCATTTAGATTTTATGATACAGTATTATGCAATGATTACGATATAGAGTTGCCAAACAAATTATCGTCTAATTGTTATTTTACAAATTTATTATGAAATTTAAAAGTTATTATTTATAATATTATTGTTGCTAATAATTTTATTATTAAATATTTTTTTGTAATATTTAAATAACAATATATATATAATTAATTAATTTGTTAATTAATTGTTTTTATATTAATTATTTTAAATTGTTTATATCAACTGTATATAGTGTCTTATTATTAAAACTATTGTATTTGTCAATTATACTATACTAGACTACTGTATACTATACTATATTTGATGGCAAAACAATATTATGTAATGCTATACAACATATAAACGATGAGCTTAACTGCAAACTATTGGTGTATTGCTGTTTAGTGTGATTTACAGTATTTTTTGTATTAATTTATTATTTGTTAAGAATCGGTAGGTTTTTACTATATTTAGATAGTTTTAAATAATAATATTTTGTGACATTTATTAGTCGTACGATTGCATGCTTTGTGTAATAATTTTTCATTTATTTTATATTCAATGATATATAGAATAATATTTTAGGTATTGTTTTGAATATATTTTTATGAATCAAATGGTGAACTAATTTTCAAAAGGAGAGTTCAATAACACATAAAATGTTCGGTAAAAGTAATGGTAATGTTGTTTGAGAGCCTAAAACTCTGACTAAAATCAATATCGACGGCAAAAGCGGTTAGAAGTTTGCGTTCAATACGTATAACAATACTACCAGTGCTTTGGATACACTTTGCTCTTCAAGAGTTCATTGCCTTCTCGTTTAGACTATAAGAGTGAAAGAGAGCGATGTGTTTGGTATCCAATGATATCTGTGTTCTGTTTTCTTCACTCGTATTGATGTTTCATTAAATAACAACAAATATATAGATATATAAGTTATATATGTATTTATTTTATACCAAAAAATACTTTGCAAGAAAATCTTTATTTAATAAATTAATTTAAAAAATTAATCTCAAGATTACTTATATAATGAGATATTATTTAATATACTATATTATATAATATTATTTATATAATGTATACATATATTTATATATACAATATAATCTATATGACACACATATATATATATATATACTTATACATACATATATACATGTATATGTGATATATGTGATATATATTTAGAAGTGAGAGACGAGGCCTCATATATAGTGATGAATTGGGCGCATGTATTATAAGATAGGAAGAGATGTTAAAGGATGGGGTCGTTGGCCGTTCACTCGTTGCCAATACATTAACAGCACTAAGAGTACAGTTATTTTTGTTATATTCCCTGTGCTTTATGTGAACTAACACTAGGAATAATGATTTTATGAAAGTCTCTGCAAAAATCGATATGATTTTAGCAAAAGAAAGAGAGAGAAAGAGAGAAAACATAGAAATAAAGGCTAGAAATAGTGTATAGTATAGTATAGCGAAAATGGCGATATAAGCTATATTCCGGTGTTAATGCACTTTAAGGGCTACTTTTTATTAATTTTTCCTCTTATTATACAAATTTAATGTTTTTTATAGTTATAATCGCCAACACATTATTTATTAGAAAACATTGTTTTATGATTTGTTTGATCCCATAATATCTTTTTGTGGGGGAAGCTGTGTGTCTTCCACCCATTTTGACGGATCAAAATGTCGACGAGCACATGGACCACAACCACATCAGCGACGGGATTGCCTACACTTGAACCCGAGCCCTCCAGAAAGCGTAGCACTAGCTTTAGAAACTTAGCTCAAAGTCCAGTAAATGTTACCGCACCGCCACTGCCCAGGTTTGCACTAAAAATACATTTAAAAAATAGACATATTTATATATATATATATTTTATAGTATGGCCTGTTTGCCAATGCCTTTTAAAGGGAGATCCTACTCGACAACCGCCCTTCCCATCGGTACATTAGCCGCACTCCAACATAGATATGAAATTCGTGAGCGAAGCGATCAAAAGAAATTCTATCCGAAACTTAATCTAACCGCAGATTATGACAACAAAAACGAATGGATGAGTGATAACAATACAACACCTGATGAGAGCACTAGTAGTAAAACAATCAAAAATCAGGTGTCGATTAAAAGTGCCGTAAATGATAGTAAGCCAGTCGTCAGTAAAGATGACAATAATTATCACATAACTCAATGCATTCTTTGCGGAAACCAAATAAAGAGTCATTCCTTAACCGATAAGTCACCAGTGCTTCAGCCAAATTGGCCACTCTGTGAGCCGCCACCACTTGATCCACTGCTAGACAATCAGGACCAATACCTCATAGATACTGTTACTTATAATTTAAACGATTTGGCAACTGATCCCCTATTATGTCGTATTCAAGAATGGGATTATCCTATATTTGAATTACTGAACAAAACAGGTGACTCTATACTAAGCAAAATGACATATCATGTCTTTCTTGAGGCCGGTCTACTCGAGGCTTTCAAAATACCAAACCATGAATTTCTCAGCTATTTTAGAGCTCTTGAAAAAGGATATCGAAATAAGCCGTGTATGTCTTGATTTCATTTTATATACATTTTATAAAAAACTCATTTATTTCCATAACTTTTAAGAATTTATAGATTTTTTGTTATCAAATTATATTATTATTATTATACAAATTTATTTCTTTATTATTTCTTAGATTGATATATAATAAGATGATATGCTTTAATAGTATTAACTTTTTTGTTTAAAAATTTATAATATTATATAAATTTAAATTAATTTTTATTGTCAATTTTTAAATAAAAAACTTCATAAATATTTAAAGTTACTATAATATTGTCATAAAGTTGGTTTATATTATAGTACACTATTGAATATTCAAGAAAATACTAAATAATACACTTTATTACCAAATAATATATACAAACAAATTATTATAATTAGTAACAATTTCCAAAAATAACATAAATAAACAAATTAAATGTTAATATAAGTTGTTTTAAAACACTATTTAAAAATAATATAATTTTAAACAATTAGAAATATTTTATTAAGTACTTAATTTTTTTTACTACAAATTATATAACTTTTTTAACAAATTTATAAAATAACACAATAAGTAATATAATATACTGTAATAGCATAAAATAATTTTAAAAAATTTATTGATGTTTTAGATCACAACCAAATGCATGCGGCAGATGTACTTCAGGGGGTCTATTATCTGACATCACAGCCGATCCCAGGGTTTGCACAAATACCTGCCGATTCTACCGATTCTCCATTACATAAGACATCAATCGGTCCATTGCCTCAAAGTTATGTTAAACACATAACTGTTTGCGAGGAAACCTATGGCATAATAGGAGCTAATTATCCGGCTCTGGAGCTAATGGCACTGTACACGGCATCATCAATGCATGACTTCGATCACCCGGGGAGGACTAATGCCTTCCTTGTGGCTACTTATGCGCCACAAGTATTGGATTAAATGTGTTAATAGAAAAATCCCTTTTAATTAACTATTTTATTGTTTTATCTTTTCTATAAAAAATAGGCAATTCTCTATAACGATAGGTCGGTGCTGGAGAACCATCACGCGGCCGCCGCCTGGAGTTTATTCATGTCTAAACCGGAATATAATTGGCTCCGAAGTCTCGATAGGGCAGAGTTTAAAAGGTTTAGGTTTCTGGTCATTGAATTTATTTTAGCCACGGATTTGAAGAGACATTTCGAAATTGTGGCCGAATTTAATGCTAAAGTAATTTCCAATAAATTCTAATTAATTTAATTTAATTTTTGATAATTCAATTTAAAGGTCAATGACGACGACTCGACAGGCATTGACTGGTTTTCAGAGGCCGATAGACTACTAATAATGGAAATGGTAATCAAATTGGCCGATATTAACGGTCCGATGAAAACATTTGAAATTCATCAACAATGGACACAACGAATAGCCGATGAATTCTATGAACAGGGAGATGAAGAACTACGACTCGGTCTTCCTGTATCACCATTTATGGACCGAAAGAATCCACAATTGGCTAAACTTCAGGAATCATTTATTATCAATTTGGTGGGACCACTATGTAATGCATATGAAGAGGCGGGCCTTTTGCCCGGTGTTTGGGAATATCAAGACTCTAACTCAGGTGATAAAAATATTTCTGAAGACGAAACAATTAGTGATAGTGAGCTCAATACTATTACCATTAAATCAGGTATACATTAAACCATAATTATAATAATATTTTAGGCGCAAAGCTATGTTATTAATTATTTATTATAAATATCATATAAACAGATAACTACAGCAAAGCTCGGATACGAAAAGTCAGTTGTTTACAGACAACACATCTTCAAGAAAATTATAAGTTTTGGTTGAATATCATGAAAGAGAAGAAAAATTCGTTACAAACTTCTCCTAATATAAGTAGCGATGACTCGACGACACCAGTTCTCACTCAACTGGCTTTAGAAGAGATCACCGAAGCTGAAGAAAATCAAAGCCAAGGAAGCAGTAGTTATAGTAATGAAGCGGATAATAGTCTAGTATTTGATACAAACACATGAATATATCACTAAAAATAGTTTTGTTTAAAACGCAAACCATATTAAGTGATTATTTATGTCAACTTTTAATCCCTTTTCTCTAACTGTGATGTAAAACAATTGCTTTACACAATCGCTCCTAAAAACAAAAATAGTGAATCAAATATATATATATATATAATATTTTTATTCATTATATTGACAAAATGTGAAAATTATTTATTATAACAAAAATTGTGTTAACCTTGTAATTGTGATTTGTATTATAATTTCCTATATTTGTTAAATTTGTGTCAAATACAATACAATATATCTATACTGTATATATATATCCTGAAAACGCCACAAAATCCGTGATAACTTATAAATATATATATATATATATCTATATATATATCTATCTTCTTCAAATATGAATTATACAAAATGATTGCCTAAATGAATATATTATTTGATTACAATTATAATTGTAACAAATATTTTATCAATATATAATTATAAATAATTTGAATTTAACAATTCAACTTCCTCAATAATAAAAATAAACTATATAGATAAGTAATAATTATAAAATAATATACAGTATATATAAATGTACTGCATATTTATAATTTACTATTATATACTAATTTATTGCTTAATTAATGTAAATACAATATTAAATTTTAATTAAAATATACAATACATTATATTTGACTATACAATAATTAAACAATTCGCCAAAAAATAAAATAATTATAAGATTTAAAATCATATTTATTTATAACATATCATAAATGAATAATTAATTGTAAATTTTTTTTATAAAATATTTAGTAATAATCTGTTCAATTATAAGTTCGTTGATATTATACAATATATACTTTTACGGTAATTAAGAAATTATTGAATTTGAAAGAGTTTAATGATAGTCAAAATGTTGGGGTTCTTCACTAATCACTCTATGAAACCAACTCTGTATATAATCATAATCTAAACACTTGTTTGAATCGATGATATACTGTAGAGCCAAAGCTGCGTCAATATCCTCTTTTGTTAGTTTTGATCTGTTTTTAATGTAATTAAAATTATGTTAACAATAACAGTAAAATTAATTTATGTTAAAAAACTAATTAAATACAAACCCATTGACATAAAAATCAAATAGAAATGTGGGGGAAGAGGAAGCACTTATAAAACTTTCATCTGAATCACAATCAGAATCACAGCACTTAAGAGTATCATTACATGAAGATAAATGTTCACCACTTTCAGCACTTTTGTCTAAATCATTATTATATGATTCACTTCTATATTTTTGCGATAAATTTATAGAAATATTTGGATTAAAACTTAAATTTGATAAATCATTGACCAAAGAGTTTATGTCTGACTTCATATCTTGACTTTCACTTAGACTATAGTTATAGTTATATTTAGATTTATTAAAATTTGAGTCCAATTCCTAAAAAATCAATACTTATTGGTTTAAAACTATACTTAAATAAACAGTAAATACATACATAATATACAGTTCTTAAATGCTTTTCCAATCGATTTAGTCCCTCATCTGCAGTCAAATCGATACTACAGTTAAGGAAAGGCCAGAATTCAATCCAATTAATGTTCATTTCTTTACAAATATTTCGAGCAATTCTTTCCAATCCTTTTCTCGAATCAGTTAAACGTATTTTCCTTTGCTGTGGAGTAGACTTTCGCGGACTCTTCAATGTTTCAAACAAATGGTTGGCCTCATCGGCAGACATTGGTCCGGCCAAAGCACTAACAGTCGAGTCATGGACTACTCCTTTAACTGGTTTACCGATTTGAGCGCTAAAATCATCTCTAAATAGCGGTAAATAGATTTGTGATTTAAACAATTTTTGTATTTTCCGTTTAGTAATTTCATCCCCTTTTCGCTCACAAATCACTTCATAAGGTTTTCGGCTGTTTTTGTTAAGTTTTTCGATATCACAAATCTGATACTTAAGCAATACGGCCACCACTTCGGTGTAACCAAATTTGCATCCAAAATGCAGTGGTGTTTCGCAAAACTATAAAATAAAATATATTTAGAACCAAAATAATTACCGATAAAAACACATTTTTACCCCTTTTTCCGGTGTATTTAAATAAAGATCTAATAAGAATTTAATTCGAGATTCGGTGACATCGTCGGCATCGTAAGGAAACAGGAGTTTCATAAACGTCTTATCGGAAACAGTATTCAAAATTAGTTGCAATATATTATGTTTGCCGGCTTTGGCCGCGATGTGACACGAATTGTAACGAAAGCCCTCCATAAGTATGACAGGAGTGTCACCACTGCTCACCAAAAACCTCGGGTTCGACCAAATCAGTTGATTCACAGTTTCGTAGCTATCGTTTTCAATGGCTTTGCGAAGTCGAGCCAATTCTCTCGGATGTAATCCACTAAAAGGACTCAAACTTTTCTCCAGATTTCTGACCGATTTATTACTATCACCGCAACATTCTTCCGGTTTTATAACCTGTTTTGAGTACTCAATCGCATCATCGATATTGTGAAAGGCCTTAAATCGCGAACCTTTGTATAGTTTCATGGCTTTCAACACATCATTTTTGTTGTCAAAGACTAGTTCCGTATCTGAAAATGAAAACCAAAAATGCGAAGATATATCAGTTGCAAACAATCAATCGATTGATTCAATTAAATCATTGAGACCTTTATCGACATTAATGTCATCGACAACATGTGATGGCAACGACAGGCCGTAGAAGAGTTGGTTTTTGTCGCCGACATTGATCTCATTGTTTGTCATATTATATGAGGAAGTGATAGATCAGGTGATTGTCAAGTGATTGAACAACAGTTGATTCAAATGAAAAACAAAAGTCAAATGCATTTCAAAACGTTTTTCAAACAAAAATGTAAACAAACTGTGAGTTGACGTCACAGTCATTGACTGATCACGTGATAAATGGTTAGCCATTTGTTCGACATTTTGGTTGACATTTGCATTGAATTTATAGGACAGTCGTTGAAGTGAAACAAACAAACGTTTGTTTTGATTGATTGCAAACCAAACCTATTGTCGACACCGTTGTGGACACCAATCGGGAAGACGTCCTCTTTTCCCGACAGACAACAACCAACTCTTTTAAATCTCTTTTTTTCATCACTTTTAAACTCTCATCCAATTGAAGACAACTGACCGAAAAATTTGTTTATTTCTTGGTTTTTGTTGAAGACATGGAATCCAATTACTGAATACCAAACAGAATGTCATATAAGCCATCATTTGAAGAGCTCTTCGCTCATAATTATCTTCACTTTATCACTATTTTTAGTAATAATATCCACAACAGTGTGATTGTTGCCAAAGATCTGGTAACCAATGGATCGCACTCTAGTATCGCAACAACAGTTTCAGACACAGTCATCAACTGATCAGACAGTTGGTCGACAAAACAATCGGAGTAATCGTCGGCGTAATGATGGCTCAAACAAAAATTCTGCCAAATATGCGAATTGTAACCAATATAAGCAAAATGTGGGCCAAGCGATGGCCCGTCAGACATCCAATGGACGGAATCAACGTTCCCGAGCTTCAGGCGGTTCGGGTTCTGTGGCAACTAATGTTGATTGTGATCTCTGGTCGGATCACTTGAGCGTTGGCTCATCAGATCAGATGAACGATAAATTGGATAATAAGAAGGTATTCGGATCCAAGAAACACAATTTGAATCATTTGCTGAATTTTACGTATGAATCACGCGATCAGACTTTCGGTGATCATAGAGATTACCGATACCAGCGAAGAAGTCATCAGAGATACTATAATAAGGAACACTTTCTTCAGGCTAACTGTCAATTTGTGGTCAATAATCTCAATGACTATTCGATTCATTGCTTTGATCCCGACATTGCTGTTGACTGGAATGCTGTCGAAGAGATACGTTTCAATAGTCTTACGGCCGAAACATATTGTCCCATCTGTTTGGACACTCCAGTGGCCCCGAAAATGACTCGTTGCGGACATATCTATTGCTGGTCATGTCTTTTACATTATTTGGCTCTCAGTGATCATAAATGGCGCAAATGTCCCATTTGTTTTGACTCAATACAAGCCGATGACTTGCGTACGGTATCATCAGTCAGTAAAGCCGACTATAAGATTGCAGATTATATTACACTAAGTCTTATGAAACGTAAAAAGGGGTCAACCATTGCAAGTCCGGCTGTTCTCTATAACGTTAACGAGAATTGTATTAATCAAAAGTTTGAACAATTGAATGGCAATCCAGTGATCAGTTCTTACCAGAAAATATTAGTTGCATCACCAGCTCAGGTGTTGAATGAGATTATTGAACGCGAGAGACGACAATTGTTAGCTCAGATGGAAGCAGATAAGGACACGCCTGAGGTTTGCTTTATTGAGAATGCTTTAAGTGAACTAAAGAAAAGAGAAGAAATACTTCAGGAGAGATGTGACGTGAATTCATCTCAAGACATAAATGCGAATATCAAGGAAACGAAGGCCAACAGCACATCGAATGATGAGTTCTATTATTTTTATCAATCAGAAGACGGACAACATATTTATCTGCATTCACTGAATGTCCGTATATTGAAACACGAGTTCGGATCACTTGAGAACTGTCCCCATAACATAAGCGCTAAAATAGTTGAGACGGAATGGGAGACCATGACTGATGAGTTACGCAAAAGACATCGTTATTTGCAAAACTTGCCGCTGACCTGTGAGTTCAGAATTGTTGAACTCGAGTTCACTAATGAACTCATTTCGGACACCACTCTTGAGCTGTTCAACAATGAGATTATTCGTAGACAAAAAAATCGAGCCAAAAGAGCCCGTGAAGAGCGTAGACGTGAACGTCATATTCAGGTCGAACAGAATAAACGAATTCATGGCATATATCCGCTTCCGAAGTATCAGTTGAATAATATGCAACAATTTCCTAATTGTTTCAAACCATCCGATTCTCTACGCTCTCCATCGCCGATGCTTTCATCAGAATCATCAGCTATTGACGACAACGTCTCTCATAATAACTTAGACGTCGATAATCAGTCAGCAAATTATGGAACGAGTCCGCAGACAGAAATGGAGTTCCCATCGTTTGCGACAATGCTTCGCAATGGAAAAGCTAAGCCAATAATGTTATCAAATAATAACAATAACAACAACAATACTACTAATAGTAATACAAACGAGTTGGCGGCCAATGAATCCGATAGTGAGTATCGACCGACAACTTATAATTACACATTAAGTGATGCCTTTGCCGCCGCTCTCGAACTCAAGAGTAAGTCGTCGACAAATGACGAAAACAGTGGCAATAAAAAGGTCTCAAAAAAGAAGAAAAACAAACCAAAGCTTTTGTTGAGTACAGGAATGAATCGCAAGTATTAGTTATTTGTGCGGCTTATGGATTGGCATTAATTAAAGTCTATAAATAATTATATAATAATAATTACTTTTGGGTTTATTTATTTTGTTTTATTCATTTTATTCTTTAATTTAATCATTTTTAAGTAGTCTAATATACATTTATATATATTTGAATAGCAATAGAAATAACTGCAAATAATTGCTAATTAATTATTCACTTGACTAATAAAAAAAATTGTTTCTTTATCTAAAAAAATCACATCGAAATATCTCAATGCCTAATATTGAGACTATTTTTTACTAAACTATTTTTCTTTGCAATTATTATTACGGTACTTATTATTATTGCTAAAAACCCAAATAATTATTTATTAAAAATTTAAAGAAATGTTTTTAACCTATAAAGAGTAAAAAATGTTCGTTTTGAATGAGTTTATGTTATGTTATGTCTAATATATATATATATATATACTAATCGATAATAATTTACGATAAATTCTATAAATATCTAATTGTCTCTTAATTATAATATAAAACACTGAATGATAGACATTGAAGTCTCAATAATTTTTGATAAAAATCAATGGTTTTTCATTAAATCTTTGAATGATAACCGTTTGAATTGACAATTTTCTTTGTCAATGAACTCAAGTGATGAAAGTTCTGTATGTGATTTAATTTATAAAAAAAAATAATAAAATTATTTTAAAAAATCAATTGTATTATATAAATGTCTTATTTTCTTACCGTAAGGACTACAAAAAAGGCGAGTAAATATATAGCGATAACCACAGAGACTATAAGATCAAAGATGGCTGGCTTTACACTAATATTGGGAACAAATGGTTAAACAGTAATCAATACAATACAGTAATATAATATCAAACTAACTTATAAATGTTGAGAACCGCTTGTGTCGGCTCATAAAAGACCAGTTCATTATCTTTATTGTCGACTTTGATGTGTATGAGTTGGACATCATTGCAAAAGCGACGCATAATTTGTTCTAAACTACGAACTACTGGCGAGACATCCACTTGCGATGCCTTTCGAGTGCTAAGCAATAGCTGTTGAGACCGTGACTGACGTGTCAACTGATATAATAACGACTTAACAAATGTTTTGGAAAGTCTTAAATCGCTGTCAAATAAATTGGTATCAAAGCCTTTGTACATTTGATGGGCGATTACTTCAGAGATCAGATTGATATTGGAATACAACGGATCCAATTGTTTGTCATCAAATACATCTGTTAATGATTTGCGTCTCAATGATCGGTGCGAATTGAGTGCCGATAGAGTGAATGCCGGCAATCGTCGGATACTAAACCGTTCCTGAAATGAAAAATCATTAATTAATATAAGTGATCTTCTATTGGGATCAGTTAAAGAGTCAAATTACATGTTCCCACGCAAGCGTTTCTTCGGCCAAATTGATCTTCTTGTGAATCATTGAGACATTGAATGGATTAGTGAATGAATTGGATGCGATTTGTTTGAGATCCTCGAATAGTTGTGCCGCTGGCGTCCCATCTTTCGGCGGTTTTGAGACATGCATATAGAGGCCATTCGTATCATCTCTATTGACCAATGAGTCCAAGCATATGCTGAACAGTGATTCTGTGAGTAAAGTAGTGTCACTTCCATCTAATTGTTCTTCAATCCAATTCTTGGTTCCCAAATAATTGAATTTTCCGGCGCCGGTCAATACAAACAGTAGATTCACTTTTGGTTGAGTTTTAGGATTAGAGTATAGTTTAGAAAACAAGCGCAACATTTCCAGAAGTGCAACGACTCCACTGCCATTGGAATCGGAACCAAATGATAGGGACTGTTAGTCAAAGATACGACAAATTTTATTAATTTGTTAATTAAATTAATTAATATGTTTCATCAAAAATATTCATCATTAAGAAACATACCGGTGCTATACTAAAGGCATCGTAATGAGCAACCAATGCTATTGTCGGCATTTGTTCCTCACTGCCGGCACCAATTAATTTGGCCTAAAAATGACATTTTTAAGATAACATTAAATTCATTAATTATTCAAAGTTAGACCAACTAATTACCTGAACATTTGTGACCAGAAAATCTTTAAGTGGTAACGTTTGCGGACCCGAAACTACCAATTGGTAGCCATTAGTCATCACTGAATCGTAAAGTTTCATCAAATTTGATTGTTGTCGATCTTCTTCTGAATCTTTGACAATATTTGTCGATTGCATTTCATAAAGAGCTAAGAGTTGTTTGGACTCTTGTGTCACATAAATCGGTATTTGTATTTCACGGGACACTAAAAACCTTTCGAGAGTCAAAAACTTATCCAATTGTTGTTCATTTAATGATTTCATAGTCTTCGGTAATATAATTAATATACCGGCGACTAATGTCTCGTCGATTATAGTCTGAAATGTTTCCATTTGGTCCAACAGTTCGTTTAACTTAAATATAACACACTTCTTGGCAAAACTCTCTTTGATTTGATGGACAGAAATTGACTCCAAATTCATTACCGATTGTCGCGATCCGTAGCGACTGTTGTGAAGATCAAATTGTTGCACACGATATACGTTGAGCTGATCCAAAGCCATGGCTGGTGAAACCACAACCAACAGTGGCATCAATACCATCACCGCAAACAACGGCAAGAAGTCCCACACACTTTCGGCTTCACTTAAACTAATCATTTCTTCAGATATATCTTTGCATCAATTGATCCGTTACTTCAAACCTCTTAGTTTAAGATGTTGTCGACTGTTATCCTAATTGTCGACACAAATCAAAAGTTGATTCAATGGTGTTGTGAGACAAGTAATATATCATCAAATTGTAGTGTTTTTTGAAGGAAAGTAATTAATCAATGGTTTTGAATGTATGTCTCAAATGTGTGCCTCAATGTTGCAGTCAATGCAGTGCTTATAATATAAGTTATATAACAACACATGACTCGTGTGTTTTGTTTAAAACTATTTTTGTCAATAGATTTCACTCAAAATAATACATTAAATAATATATGTATTTAAATATTACATAAAATCTAATAAAATGCTTATAAAAGTCAAGTTTTTGTGTATAACTTAATACAGTATTAACACTACTAAACGTATTGGTAATAGTCTTAACAATATTGATGTTATAAATTAACTTTAAAATAACTAAATTGTTTTTAACACATCTTTCAAAAATATCGCTAAATTATTAATTTTTGAATTTTACAGTTTTTGTGTTAAATAATTAATACGAGTAAAACTTTGGCGATAAACGGTTTAAATGGTTGTGTGGACAGCCATTAAAGAGGTCACCGAAGCCGGTGTGACGATGGCCAGTGCATTGTCGGACACACATTGAAGATAAACTATTAGATATAGGAGTCAATGGTATTAAAAGTAATAAAATCTACTCAAAGGTTGGATCGCAGACTAATTAATAGACGGATTCAATAGAGATTTACACACTTTTCTATCATTTTGTTGGACACCAAATACCGGTACATATAAATTACCGGTAAATATATTATATATATATTGTAAATATAATACCAAAGCCATAATTTATTGTTTTTATTTCATTAAAAAATAAATTTTATATTTATTTATCAATAATTGGATAAATAATAGTTTTTTAAATTATTTTTATTCAAAAAACTAACGAAATTCCAAACAAAACCAAAATTATATAAAGTTTGAGAACAATATGTGCTCACCGTCTGTATGGACTCGGAGTGACAAATGAATGCTTTTTTAATTGACTGTATTTACATAAGATTTATGTTTTTTTTTGTTAAAAAATTGATAATTGTCTACAATATTATGTATTTATAGCCCTTTTTTGATCAACAGTTGAATCACTATCGACCACATCCTGTATGGGTGGCGTCGATGACGACGAAGAGCGCACGTATTGAGGCTTAGCTTTGCCTAAAACAACATCTTCTGTAATGTGAACACTGGAGACATCACTTCCCGGAATATCAAACATTGGCTCCAAAAGAATATTTTCCTATAAAAAACATTTAACAATAAGTTCTTGTATTGTAAAAGCATATACAGGTATGGATGGTATGACTCACTAGTATAGCCCTTAGACCTCTGGCACCGGTTTTGCGTTCCATTGCTTGCTTAGCGATAGTCTTGAGTGCATCGGAATGGAAAGTCAGCTCTACTTTATCCATTCCAAAGAGCATCTGGTATTGTGGTATTAATGCATTTTGTGGCTCAGTTAGTATCTGGACTAACATTGTCTCAGTAAGACTATGGAAGGGCACTACAACTGGGAAACGACCGACAAATTCTGGTATCATTCCAAACTCAATCAGATCTCTGGCCTCAACTACCTTCAAAAGAGCGTCTTTTTCTGCCAAATCTTCAGCGGCAGTACTGTTTGAACTGTAATTATTGGCCACATCTGCAGCTGAAGCGGCTCTTCTACCGGGAGATTGTGAAACAGGTGCTCCAAAACCCAAATATTTTTCGTTTTTTCTTCGGCTCACAATTCTGTCCAAACCATTGAAAGCACCCGAAGCCACAAACAATATGTTAGTTGTGTCGACTACTACTGTTTCACCCCTTAATTTCCGGGAGTTACGTTCGGGAACGTTAACAATAGCACCCTCCAACATCTTCAACATTCCCTGTTGAACACCTTCACCACCGACATCCCTGAGCTGATGAATGCCAGGCACGGCACCAATTTTGTCCACTTCATCCAAAAATACAATTCCTTGTTGTGCTCTCTCGACATTATAGTTAGCGTCTTGTAATAGTTTAGCGATCACAGACTCAATATCCTCCCCCACATAACCCGCTTGAGTTAATGTAGTGCAGTCACAAATAGCAAACGGCACTTCCAGACAACGAGCTATCGTTTGTGCCAATAATGTCTTTCCACTACCAGTCGGTCCCAATAACAAAATATTAGACTTGTCTAATCTTAACTCATGAGTAGTTGAATCCAAAACATCATTTCCACGATTCGATGGCATTGATTGACCGCTTGGGTTGTTTGAATCGGTAGATTCAGCCGATTGAAATGTCTGTTGATTCTGAAAGTTGCCGACACCTAAAGCATTACTACTGGTTCCCAAACCAGTTATATGCAATAGATCTGTAAAATTGTTTAAATAATAAGAGCCATCATTTTAGTCAGACATTCAGATAATTTTTAATATATAATTAAATGTCAACAAAACCTTTGTGATTGAATATTCCGGTTGAATGGGTCTCCACTATATTGGAATCGTTTGAAAGAACTGAACGATTATTAGAAGAGCTGCTGGAATTGGCCGGCATATTGTGATAAATGCGTTTATAATGATTATAAACGGCAACCGATAACACTTTCTTTGCGTAATTCTGTCCGACGACGTTCTTATCCAAGAACTCGAAAATCTACAGACAAACCAATATATAAATATTTTTAAATATATAATTATTGTCGATATTGTCAGCGGATTAACCTTTTTAGGTGGCGGTGGAGGCTTTCGCTGAACATTTAGCTTTTCATTAGACATTTGTCTGTTTTCTTTAATGGTTTTCTTTGAGTCAATTTCAGACAAAACAACAAAAAAGTGAAGACATTTCTCACATTTCACAAACCGTGTCGAAGCTTTGAAATTATGTCATATATTAGATCATAATTTATATGAAAATCACATTATATTACATACAAACAAATGTCTCGACGTGAGTACAAGGATTGCCACATTTCGGACAACACAACTGTCCATCTTTACCACCATTTCCCGAACCACCTGTGGTACTACTCGAACCACTTTTATCTCCGCCATTGCCGATACCACCCGATCCGCCACTGGGACCACCTCTCAAATGTGAAGCATCGCCACCTCCTGGAGGGCCCACAACTATACGCATATCCACACAACTCGAGTGAAAACAATTTCTTAAGTCTATTGAAGCTATCGATGGATTCATCAGAGATTTATTGGGAGACTTCGGAAATACTGCAAACAAAAATTGATTACTGACTTAATCATCACTTTTTTGGTTAACTATATGTTAGTCATTGACTTTGGCTAACCATTGGTTGTGTTATTGATAATGGGTTTTGAGACACGCGTTGATAGGTATTTAAAATCATGAAAACGCGTCCGAAATGCACTCATTGTTGTCATTAAATTCATTCAAACGATTCACTAAACTTTTAACAACAAATCAATTATCAAATCATTCAACACTTAATTAGGATATCTTTACATATGTTTTATACAATTAATTTTGCATTGATTTCCATATATTATTATCAATACATTTCACAAATCAATACAAATATTTTAATCATAATTATATTAAAATCAATTAAAACAAACCTTTAAAATAAAACTAATTAAATATATATTAAAATTTTATGTAATTTTGACTAATAATAACAAAAACAATTGCCTATAATTTTAATGCTAAATATTCATTAAATAATATTATATTACATAATTGTAATCACAATTTTGTTGTCAATTAAATATATATTAAATTTGATTAAATAAATAAATAATATAATAATAATTGAATGAAAATTAAAACAATAAGTTTAACAACAAATCTATAAATTGATTGAATGACAAATCGAAAGTATATTTATTTATTAATATTTAATAAATACTAACAATAAATATAAACGTATTTACAGTGTATTAATATTTAACAATACAGACAAATCACGTTAATATAGATCACATAGTTTTTTTGGGTGATTAGTAATTACAGGTAATTACATAATATCTGTACATTTGTTGTTAAAAAATAACTATTTTCTTAATGTAAGAAATAAATAAAAATATATTAATTTTGTTTTTTTGCTGAAAATATCAGTTAAAATCAAAAGTCAATAATAATTTAATATGCATTCAATTGATTGTCTATCGTTGCAAATCAGGTGTTGTATTGTATATATCAAAAACAGTTGAGTAATGCATTGCCTAATAGGTATTATATGTAATACTAAACAAACACTGACTGTATGTATGGATCACATGCTATGACAAGACTAACGTTGCGATACAACAATACTTACAGTACTGTAGTGTGAGTTCATTGCAATACAAATGATATGACAATCAATGTATGATATGATTATACACTGTATTTGATTATTAAAAAAAACATTTTTAATATTAATATATAAATTGTGTGTAAATTAATGTTTGTTATCAATGAAAACATTATTTATTGAATTGAATGCATTGATTGATTGATTGACACATTGCTTACAGTTTTTTTTTAATGTAAAGTAGTTTCGAGTTTACAGTTTGAAAGCAATCATACAATCAATTAAATATTGAATCAATCGGTAAATCAATTGAAAAACGCCTAATGATTGCCATTAAGTGTTGCCAATCATTGTTGTTGTTGTTGTCTGTGTTATTGTTGGCGCTTAACGTATGGATCTGTTTGGGTGATAACAATGTGACCAAAGTTGTTGTCAATCAAACAAATGATCAGTTGATAGCACAAGAAGAAGATGTGTCGGATTTGTCGACAGTATCGATGAACGAGACATCAGTGAAGCACAAGAAGTCAAATCCCATTCATAGGATTCAGTTTACTAACGGATTTCTTTTGAGATCACTTTTTGTGGTATATTTCTGACTATTTAGTGACAGACATGCGATTAATTAGTAATATTTATTCATTGTTTTGTCTCAGATTACTGTCATATCGATGTCATTAACATTGTTATGCATTATTCGTATTTATTTGTCTTCAAAGTCGGCCAAACACCAGAAGATAACAAAAGGACTCAAAGACGGTCTCAATTATGACTCATTGCCGACGACTTCTATCAATGAATCGATTCCGAAGAATGCCTTTGTTTTGGATGATTCCGATGACGACGACGTGACTATCTATGACTCGACTCATCGGTTGATCAAATAGTGTGATGATTAACGACTAGATCTCAAACTAAGTCCTGATTTTTTTGATAAAATGTTTTTTGTAATTCAAATATATTTTGTGATATAATGTGTTTTTTAATGAATAGATATTTATTAAATTTAATAATCGAGTTATTAAGTAATTTTACAGAATATTCTGTAAAATGTATTAATTGTTAGTATTTGCCATACATTCCAATTGTTAAGACTTTTTATGCCATAAATGCAATCAATATTTTTAGTCATAATAATATTAATATATAACTACTTTAATAAAAAAAATACTTTTTATAAATTATAGTTATTTCTATAAACTATTATCTTTATAATGATTGTATAAATTTATAATTGTTATAATAAATTATTTAATTATTATTATATAATTTGTTTGTTTAATATTTATTGTATTTATTGATTAATTCAAACACTTATAACTCGTTGTCCAATACCTCTGATGAGAAGAAACGGAGGCATTCTGTAAAAGCAATCCGTTTCTGAATCCGTCAAATTTGTCAGCACTTCAAGCCATGACATATACAGTGATACCGATATTTGTTTGTTTGCCATCGGAAGAGTCCTAAAAAATTATATATTATTTTTTAATTATAATTTATTTGTTATGTTGTCATCACTTTAACTTACATAACAGTTAATATAGTATTTGAAGAGTTTTCAATCAATAATTGCCTTAGTTTTAAGTATTTATTTGTCTATGTATTATAAAACAACATTATAAATAATTTTAAATTACCGGTATTTATAAATTTAAAAATCATTTTATGAATCATAAATTATAATACATTAAAATACAGACCCTATCTTTATATCTCTCAACTTCTTCATTGGTAACTGTAATATCATTTGGTGCCTTCAAATCATTTTTGACAATAAATTTTGTAATAATCTCATTGAACTTTAATTCACTAGTAGTTTATAAAGTAAATCGTTATACAGTATGTAATAATTTTTTATATTTATATATATTATATACCTTTTTTCGGTAATTTCCAAATCGGATTCAGCAAACACTAGAACATCAGTGCACGGAATTCTCAATTTGGACATTAGTTGAAGTAAACTATTATAAAAATGATAATAATATAAATAAGTTTAATATTAATAAAATAAAAATATTTTTAATTATTATATTATTTTTTATTTTGTTTTAATACTTGTCTTTCGTTTCTGTTATGCTTTCATTGTTTGCAGCCATCGTCAGAAATCTCAACCGACAGTCTCTCCAGATATCATTAAGACTTAATATATAGGGTATCAAAATAGTAAGCCCTCCGTCATCGGCCAACAACCAGATGTCAATCGTGCCTTTTTCTTGCTTTTTATTAAACTGATTCATAGCCTCAACGGCATCGTTAGGTATAAGACCTAATTGAAAAAATATTAATAAATTTAAATACCCGTAAATGTTAATAATGTGAACAAACATTTTAAAGTAGCCATCTTTTTGCTTTTGTCAATATTGTCGATATTAACGATAGTATTATCAACTTTTTTATTGCCATTTTCTTGTGTCCCTCCAATGTCTTCTCCATTTTCATTTGGCTCAGCTATTGTTGACAAAGCATTTGTGAAACCGGTATTTAAATTTGAACCTATTTTAAGACATATTTTTCATAACTATAATTATGAATGAAAATTAAAAAAAATGTTTTATAAAAAGTATTACTTGACTCAAAAAAGTCAGCGAAATCTAATCCTTCTTGAATTCTGAGTATCATAAGTGACAGTTCCATCTCTATTGCAATTCTATACGTTTATACAAAAATAAAATTTAAAAAAACATAAAACTTTTAATAAATTACTAACAGTAAGACATTGTAGTAATCATTTAAATCACTCGGAAGACAGTCTTTCCAACTGCTTTTGTATCCTTTAAATGTAAAAATTATATTTAAAAATAATTATATTTTTTAAACCTAATTAGAGATCAATATATTATAATACCGAGCATTAAAATATTTGGTCTTAATTTTCTGCCTAAACCCGATGCCTAAAAAAGCCAATATATTTTGTTAATTAATATTATTGATAATATGAAACTAAATTTAGTAAATAACCTGGATTATATTTTTGGACCCATCTTTCAATGAGTTTGACTCCATTAATAAATAAAATCCTTTGATACGCCTTTTAGACATCCATTCGTACTGTTTATTGATGACCTGTTCCCTCATCTGTAAACTGATTGATGTGTTTATTATATGAGCTATAAATAATAGGCTTCTATTTTTGGTTATATTATTAGCAAACTCGAGGAGCGGGATTCTTGCCGATGGGTTTCCCGTTAACAATAGTATTGATGGCTTAAAATCTTTGATACTATCTTCAGTTTGATTCAATTTTATGGCTGATGTTAGCACAGAGTTAAACATATGAGTCTTTTTAGATGAACCCCAACTTACATCTTAATAATTTAAAGATTTAAAGAAATATAATTAAAAATAGATAATATAAATAGCAATTGAATAAAAATTAACAATTGTACCAGGTCCTTTTTTAGCCATATATAGATATATGACACCCATTATAACAACAGTAACTATGGCTGATATATAATCTAAGAGAAACATAATGACAATACAAGCGATTCCTACTAATAGACTAATCCATTGATTGTAGAATTTAAAGGTCGGCCTAAAACTGGACGAACCGACAAACGATGAGTGAAAACACGCCATATTTACTAAGGAAAAGGAAGCCATAAAAAAGTTGGATATTATCGGTGCGATTGCATTCAAGTCTCCTATTAGTTGTATATGAAATATAAAGTTATATATCATAAAAATTAAAAAATATATTTTACAAATTACTACAAACCTATACAAATAAAGGCCAATGAGATAATAAAAGTGAGTACATATCCTCTTCGCGGGTCATTTATCTCTCCATAACCTTTGGCAAAGTACTTGATGTATGGGAACAGATTGTCTTCACAAAGAGCCTAAAATAATTGGCACAACAAAAACATGTCTAAAGTTACGTTAAGGTTATTTATATTGTTGTTAACAATTGTTTTTTAGAGAGATTTCACAGAATATTCTGTATATAATACCTGAAATATTCTGGGTGCGCATACATACGAGCCCAGTGCTGAGCTCAATGTTGCAGCAAATATGCCGACCCAAATCAATGGTCCGTAACCGCTGGACATTGTCATTGTCTTTTTTAATATCAATTCTTAATTTTAATATATTAGAGTTATGATCACAAATGTCTTACTTGATAGTCGTTAATCAGTCCTTTAGTACACGTTTTGTCGATTAGACACTTGAGCTGACTATAGTCAACATCGGATAAACTATTTGATGCGTATGGATATACAGTAAATCCTAAGCACAGTATTAATAGGATATATACTGAAGAAGTTGTAGCGATGGCCAGGAATGTGCCTGAAATTCATTACATTAATATTTTTAGATAATATGTAAATCATTTAATTGTTTTAGAAAATAGCATACCTTTAGGTATGGCATCGTTTGCATTTTTTAGATCTCCACTCATACTATAAATTATTATTTAATATTTTATTACATAGTTTTTATTTAAATTATTAATATAATAATTAGATTGTATAAACATTGGCATCATTTAGTATTAGCTAATCCATACCTGGCGCCGGCAAATATACCAATAACTGATGGAAAGAAAACACCGAAAACTTCAAAAAAGCCGACGCCATCCCACTTAGGCTTTAGGTTTTCCGTCGCAACTTTCACTAAATTATAAATGTTTTCTATTATTATTTATTTTTAAACATATAATCAAATACTGGTATTAATTACAATCCCATCCAACAAATCCTTGTTTATATTTATCGTCAGTCATAAGAAAAGTTCCCACTAATGAAAAATAATTTTTAAAAATTAATATTACCGTAGATTTTAATATTTATTTTATAAAAAGTTGTTACAACAAACCAAAATAGTTGATGAGTGACACAATTAAAAGAACCATTAATAATAGCATAGCCTAGAAAATAATGACAATTTACTTAACTATAAGATAATGCTGTCTAAGATAATATCTATAACCTACCCGAGCCTCCCAACTCATACCAATTAATGGTATTATAGCGATCAGTACTAACAATAGTGCACCAATAAGTCGGGTATCATTAATAGCATTATTTGTAATAAGTATATCGCTAGCCTTAATAATGAATAAAAAATATGATTAAACATTAATTATAAAACAATGACTCAAATACTGTATGTCATACTCCAAGGATTTCAACAGCCGTTTCCGCGGCACCGACCAAATTGGCCGATACGAGCACTGCATTGGCAAACGAGAAGATTATACCTAATTATCAAATAAGATGTTAATATTTGTTGACTATTGTTTTTAATAATTGTATTGTAATAATTTAATTAGAAATTTATTAGTTTTCTTTAAAACATACCAATCATAGACCCGGCCTCTGCACCCAAACTTCTACTAATCATATAATATATTCCTCCTAATTATAGCACAAAAAAAAGTTTTGAATACAAATTTGTAAATCAAGTTAAAATTTGTTTTACACACCCGTTCCCACTTCACCATTGGTACAAATAGCTGACATCGATATAGCCGTTCCGAGAGTGACCAGTGTTGAGACCAATACTATTACAATGCTCAGAGCTAAACATTTTTATTTATACAAATTTATAGTTATTTATTAATAATTTCAATCTTAAAATTTATGATGTATATAATTTAATAATAATGTAATAATTTAATAGCTAGATAATTTTTATTGATAATAATTTTTTTTATATGTTTTAAGATTTCTAAATTTTATCAATAGTATAATACAATGTAAACTTTTTTTCTATACATGTACAGTATAATTGATTTATTAACAAATCTACAACAAAATTTTGTTTTGCAATTAGATAATAAAACTTTATTAAAAAAGTATAAAATGTTATATTTAATTTAAATAATTAAAATTTGATTTCTATGTTTTAATTTTAGAAAATTTACATATTATGCACATGATTTCATAAATTTATTGGCTAATTATCTTAAAAGTATTTATCATATATTATCATAAGATATTTATAGATAATTTAAAAAAACTGCAAATTTTAACTTAATAACTTATTATTTTTATATTATTAATAAGCATTACTATTATTAATAAGTATGTACTGTACTATTACTAACATACTATAAAGTAATTAAATAGAAATCCATTCATTAAAAGCACAAAAAAATTACAACAAAGTAAAGTATAAGAAATTAATTTCAATACATGTAATATAAAAACAATATAATAATAAAATAATAATAAATGTTTTAGTCATACCAATGCCGGCGTGTCCTTTAATATGCATTAAAATGTCATAAAATTGTCGCAAATGAATGAATTGAATGATGAGTTTATTTGTTAATGTGATTGTTCATTGAATCGATTCATTAAAATCGCAAAGTTTTTTGTTTAATCAAACAAAAAGTATTAATCAATTAAATCATTGATTTATATAAGATTTGTTTGATTGATTAATTTCACACATAAACTATTCAAGTGTTAACTTTTCAATACTTGTTAGATAAATAGAGTCAATTATTTAAAACTAATAAATGTCTCCCTGATCAATTATCAACAATAAAATTTCAAAATTAATACATATAACGTTAGATTGGTTTTCTCACAACTTGTCGATTGTAATTTAATTGATTCAATGATTTAAAAATAATATTATACTATAATACCTGTCATCCAACCCATCCTATAATTATATAAAGCATAAAATTATTTTCAAAAACATTTTAAACAATTATTACCTGAGAAACAGCATAACTCCCCAAATATTCAAAACAGTTCTGACCTATAGTTTAAATAAATGTTTTTATTTTATTTGAAATAATGAGAATTTAATAGCAATTAATAACACATACATAGACACCATTAATCCAACCAAATTTAAATGTAGACGAAGATTCATCATTTTTAATGTTAGGATCTGTATATTCACAAAGTGTGGGTAACTTATCGTTAAAAAACGGATATAACGTTGTGGTTGACTCTGATGTAAATATTGAGTCTTTTCGGTTAGACTTTCGTCTAATATATGCGGGAAATATAGAGGAAAGTCTTCGAGGAAACGATGTAATTGAACCGGGAGTTGACGGTGAGGTCGTCGGCGAGTTGAAGCTGACCACCTTAGATGTCGGCGACATCGGTGGACTCGGATTTATTGTTAGTTTCGGTAAATTTACATTATTTGATGGATTAATTATTTCTAAGCCTTTTTTGTTTACAACAGGCATTACTTTTTTTTAAAAAAATATTAAAATGCAATTAATTTGTAATATAAATTTAGTTTAAAATAAATTAAACATTTATTAATAAATTTTAATTAAATTTTTTATATAAAATATTAGCTATTTTTTAAATAACCAGAAAACCACTTTCATCTAATTTATTTTACTAGAAAAAGACTTTTAAATATATGAATCAATTTATAGCATCTATAATACTATTGTATTAGATATACAGTAATGTAGTTTTATAATAAGTAGAATTGTTAGTTATAAAATTACTAATGTAAATTAATCGTAAATTACACAAAATATTACACAAAATATTACACAAAATATTACAAATTTTATATTACAACAAAAATTATATTAACCAAAAGACATAAATAGCCACAAAAAAATATACAAAATTTAATAAATAATTAACACAAATAAAAATTTAAAAATAATATTAATCTAATATGGATGATTTAAAAAAATATAATCTATAATAAAGTAAATTACAATGGAAAAATAAATTACAGTAGTTTATCAACCCTAATAATTGAAAGCATCATTAAGAATTTTGATTGTCTTGAAACTTGATTTGTTATCTTTATTACTTAATTATTAATAAAGAAACAAATATACCGACAATTGTCGTATTATTGCATTATTATTGTGTTGTCTTAAATTGTATAAACTATTTATATATAGTTGTATTTATTTGTGAATAGAAATATAGTATAATATGATACTGCACTATACTATGTGATAAATAAACCATAAAAACATATTTAATATAAATTTATTAATATTTAATAAAATATTTATTTAAAAATAGAAGGATATTTATTTAGATATTTATATTTGAAAAGATCAACAAAAATACAATAGATTTATATTTTAATTTGTCGTTCATTTGAATTACTTTTGTCTTAATTTTCACATTACTATTAAAACTTAATTCATCACCAAAATTGACTGATAAAACATTTTCATTCATCTGTTATTGTAAAACATGATTGGTTTTAAAACGTCTTGTTTTAAGATACTAAAAAACAATTATACAAATAAACTATTTAATTTATTGTATTTTTTAAACTACAATAACATAAAAAATTGTTTAGTAATTTTATATTAAATTATTTCATTATATTTAAATAAAATGCAAATTAATATTCTAATTAATTTTTAATGTACAAATTTCAAAATATTATTTTATTTAATTAAGATATTTTCTTATGAATTAATAAAAGTCAAATAGTGTACACTTATAATTAATACAGTAAATTATATTTATGAGTAATACATAAAAGATTTGACGTTTAAATAATTTATAATTTTAAAGACCTAAATTAATTTTAGCAAACAATTAGTACTTTTAATATAATAATTCATTAAAAAATCAAATTATAATATTGATTATAATTATTTATATAATCACGATTTAAAATGCCAATTACAATTACAGTAATAAAAATTAAATCTAATTTATTAAAAATGTATATTGTAAATAAAACATTGTAACATTAACAATAATAATTATTATCATTATAATAACTAAATAACAATTTTTATATTATAATCTATATTATCTAATGATTCACTTAATGTATAGATACATGTATTCTTATAATATGATATACACTTTATACGATAAATTATATTACATTTTATTATGAATACAATATAAATAAAATTAATGAATATCTTTGATAAGACTGAAACATTTTAAATAACATTTACACCATTAACGATGTGAAACATACATGAATTAGTGATTCAAAAATGATAAGATTAAAAGTTAATCTAAAGCATAATTTTGATCACTAAAAATATTATTAATATAAACAACTTTAATGTTTTTAATATGTTTAGTCATATTGAAATTTTTTCATAAATACAGTCCATTTAAATATCTAAATTTAAATATTGTTTCAATTATTTTATAAAGACATAGATTTTTTTAGACAATGTTTTTCAAGATTTCAATGAAATAATAGCGAATAGATGAGTATTAATTACTATTAAATAATATAATAAATAATTTTATCTATAAATATTAAAATACATTATCCGTATTAGAAAATATATAACATATACCATATAATTACTATTATATAATGGTCAATTTAATAAATAGCATTGTATTGTGGGTTAATATAGTATGATGTATGAGTTCATTGACTTTTTTTAAAGCTTAAGATTATAAAATTGTTGTAAAATTAAAGATATCGTAAAATTTATTAAATATTTAATAACCTTTTTTATAAATTTTATAATAACTTTTTAATGTTTGATTATTGTGAAAAACTTTTTTAGTGATTAAAAAAACAAATAACACTTAAAATCTTTAATTATACCAAATGATATAAATAATTTATTATAGTTTAAACCAATTGATAAAATTAAACAATATTTATCGAAAATATTATTTTGTTTTGTTATACAGGTATATATAATTAGTTATATTTTTGAATAATAATACATATTATTTATAATGATTTATGCATTAGTTATTAGAAGACTTTAAATATTTATTTTTATTTTATTTGTTTTGTGCTTATTTTTAAACTCACAATTCAGTTATCCATAATTTGATTAATAGTTTTCAAAAAAATTTAAAAATAAAACTTATATAAGTTATATATAAGAAAAACCGGTACAATATTTATTTCTTATTTTGAATAATTTCAATTCAAATAAAACAACTTATATTTTAAATATTAATATAATTTTGGTTAGCATATTAAATACTATACAATACTTATATTATAGTAAAATATATTATTAGAATAAATTGCTAATAATGTAATCTATTATAAGTGTAATTAAATATTAGTGTAAATATATCTGTTTAATTATATATAAACTAAAATTAAATGCTTTTAAATTATTGCTATTTTAAATTATCTCAATAATGTAAAACCTATAAAAAATGACATATTGTAGTCAACCCAGTGATTAAAAAATTTAGTCTCAATAATAAAGACCATTGACTATATCATTGAGACCACAACACTAACATATAAAAAGGGGTTTAAAAATCAATTTAAAAAAAATTCAAGGAATTGGTTTTTATTGTAATAGAAACTAACAGAAATATTTGTTAAATTTAAAAATAACCAATTGATGTTTTTAAAAATATATAAATAAAAGGTCTAAAATAAATTGCAAAATCAAGATGAATATCATACTGTTATATCTAAACAATTTGTAAGTTATATATTCAATGACTTGAAAAATCTAACCTCTATATCATATGCCGTTTAAAATGTATTATAGTTTGTTTTAATAACTTTTTTAAAAAATAAAACAATATAATTATGCAATAATTAAAAAATGGTATAAATTATTTTTTTGTGTTGTGAAATCTAATGTAAATATATACAGTATATACGGTATATTACTCGCCCATTATTGTAGGATTATTCATTATGAAAATTCAAGCATTATATTCAAATGTTTATTATATTTTTTTTTATTAATAAACAAAACTTTAATAATTATAATATAAAAAATGATTTATAAATATATTATAAAGTACTGTACTATAAAACTAATGAATTGTTATAATGTTATATAATTAATTCACTTATAACTTTGTTATTTTGCTAATTATGTAAAAATGTTTTTAAAAATATTTTTTTTACTGTATTGAATAAAATAAATAATACAAAATAACAATAAAAATTATAATAATAAGTGTACTAAAATATATATTTATAATAGTAATATGATATATTTAATTGCAAAAACTTGAAGTTGTGGTCTATTTTTGTCGATTTTTTAAAAATATCAAAGTATTTATATAGATTTGAAATGCTAACAAAAAACAAGTATTATTATATTTTGTGAAAATATAATCTAACCTATTGTTGTATAACTGCACACATCTATGGCCTCTAAAAACAATAGAAACAGTGGGTTAAACATTACAATCAAATGTTAGTATTTCTCAAAAAGTCATTCAATGGTCAAAACATTAATAATTTTATATAAAAGCAATGGAAAAGCACGTGTAGTCGTGAGATGAAGACATACATGTCTTATTTGATTTGATGGTAGAAAAACTGGTACTAAAAAACAACAATAAAATCATACAATTTTTTCTTCACTTTAATTAATAGTCATTTATATGATATAACTTTTTTTTCTCTCTCTCTCTCCCAATAACTAAACACATCAAAGACAAAACTATAGAGGATTTGATTTGAAACAGTTTGAGGTCAACCCATGGCAACAGTTGAATAACCCATTAATCTAATGGACGTTTTAATGTAGATTATAGTTAACTTAATAATTTGTGTCATATATATTAATACATAATAAGTATATCTATCTTTTGGTTCCCATGTTTTCAATGTTTATTTTTTTATTATTATTTGATTTGAATTCAAATTTATTAAACAATTGTTATAATCATTTGGCAAATTTTTCATTTATTTTATTATTGACAACTATTTGATTGATTCAAACATAATAGGATTTGTAATACAATAAATTAGTTGATTTGCAATTAGTTTTGTTCAAATTTCAATTAATCAATCGATGACTTATAAGGAAAGTTTTAATTTAATTATTTATATATTACTAATTTCAACAACTATTTAACTATTAATGTATTAGTAGCCAAAATTTATAGTCAATTATACTATTATAATATGTATTACATTATTTCATAAGTAAATGCTTTAAATTAGTTGAATTTGTATATTAATTGAATGCTTTAATAGAGATGTGGAAAAAATGAATTTTTTATAAATATGGTAAAATCAATGCATTTGAGTGGGATTTTAGCTATTTATGACATGAAATGTAATAATCAATTATAATGTGTGGTGTAATATAAGTCAATTTTTATGTTACAAATTGTAACTTACAATCACTTTCAAAATTTTTATCAATAATTTGTTGTCAGTATTCAACTATATATTAACTGCCTTTTTGTAAATGTCACTCAAACTGTTGGAAATTTTGGGGTCACTTTTAATTTTAAATTAAAAACAATTTAATTTTCGAGATTCAACACACAAAGTGATAAACATATATTATATATATTGTATATATAAAATAAATGAAACGTACAAACAAACAATTTTTAAATATTTTGTTTTATAGTAAAACACAAAAGTTTATTTTAAATTAAAATTTAATTTATTATTTAGGTTTATATATTTTGAATTATCATATTAATCAACGATTCATTGACTTAATACCGTAGTTATCATTTCATGTTTTTTCAATAAGAAAATCTTATACTTATAAATTGTTGCATATTTTTGCAAAATAAATGAATATGTGTTAATTGAAAAAATAATATAAATGATTTATAATTTAATAAAAAGTTTAAACAAAAATATACAACAGTTTATATAACCTTAATTAAAAATTAGGCACATTTTAATTAAATAATTTATAATTTATTGCATTTATAAAATCAAATTAATTATTACATTTGCTATAAAATTAAAATAATTATATACAATATTTATTATAAATATAATATAAATATAATTATTTAATTATAAAAATATATTAATTTTAACGCGTGAAACCTATACCATGCTTATATTATATTAAATTTGTTATCGCTAGTTTTTAATTTAATTTGGTTAATACACAAAATTTAAAACATTTTGTTATGCAGTACTTTATTGTATTATACAATAAAAAATGAAAGATAAAATAAATAGATAGTTAGATAAAGAGAGAGAGAAAAAAAAATCTTAAACAAATGTTTTACGCAACAAATAGTTCACGCAATCAAATGATTAATAAAAAAAATATATGATTATTATTTTATTAGACACATATACTGTATATTGACTTCAGTGTACTGTATATATAGTATATTCACAATTCAGTACTCATTTCATGGGGTTGTAACGGATAATTGACTCGATAGGCATTGCCATTGGATTTATTTGTATATGTATTGTCTATATTAAGTTTGTGTATCTAAAACAAAATTATTTATTTTATTATTAATTATTTTAAAAATTCATAGCAATTAATTGGATATAATTTTAATTAAGTATAAAGTTTTTCTCACATCATTTGGATAATATGTTGTGGTGGGAGGCGTTTGAAATGTGACCCTCGGAGCTGAGCTTTGGTTTATATGGCAATTATCTTCAATTATTCTGTCAATTTTATATATAAATATCAATTTTGTTTTTTAAATAGTTTTTATTTTATAAATCATTAATTAATATTATTCAATTATATTAGCAATAATTATTAATTAGCGGCATTGAATTATATTATAGATAAAAAAATTAAGCGATAATTAAGCCATGCAAAATATGGTACTATAAGTATATTAATAAAAATTATATAACGAAAGTTATAATACGGTAACTAAATTAATAACCTATTTAAAAATGCTTCTATAACTATATTTTGAATTATAAAATATAAAACTTGAATATAAATCAATATCGTAAAAATAAGTATAAATCAAAAAAAATATCAAAAAATAAATATTCAATATCTGATGAAAGATATTAACTGAAAATTTTCAATTTATCGATTATATTGACTACTCGTGTGAAAATGTGTGAAAATGTAATCAATAAACCACTATTAAGTCACTAAACTAAAAAAACATTAATGTTTAGCAACAATATTATTTTGATGTATATATATATACTAGTTTAACAATCATTATATGATATAAATATTGAGTGCTAATGATTTTTGGTAGAAATACAACAACAAAAAATTGTGTACAATAAGTATGATTGAAAAAGCAAAGAATCGTTAGATACTATTTTCAGTGATATATATCTCAATATTATTGTCTTTTAATGACATACCTGTCAGACTTGGCGTTACTATTATACGAGTTATGATAGGATTCGTTGTTTTTATTTCTGTTAAAATCGTTATAATAATAGTCGAAATGAGAGTATGGCTTAAACTCAGATGTACTGCGAGTCATAGCCGTAGGCCTATAAATATCGTATGAATTGTAATTGTTTTGATAGTTTTGATGATTTAATGGATTGTTTGGTGGCGGCTGTGAACTATAGTTGTTTCCATTCAATGAAAACATTTGTCCACTAAAAAAGATAAAAGAAAAAGTTTAATTTGCTTTTTTTCTTATAGTTGACATTAATTAAATTCATTAGTCTTTTAATAATGACATATAGTATTAGTATTAGTAGTGCTAACATACCTTCCGGTGCTGTCAGAGCCGTCCAATTTGCTTGAATTAGAGACATGACTACTGGAGACACTAGCATTGCTGTCCTGACTCTTGTGAACGCCATTGAATCCATTGAGTAAATTATAATTATCTCCATAATTACCACTATTTCTCACGTAATTATCCCATAATTGTGTCTTTGGCTGTTTCTTTAGAGAATCGTTTCTAATTAAATCATATAATCATTAGATAATTATCATATAAACAAAGGTCAACATATTCTTGTATTTATAAAACAATAACTTACTCGACAACGGGTACGGACTCGAGTCGATACCGATGTCGACTACCATTTGGTGAATATCTGATCTTAAAGAGGCGACTGTCAGTCCTATACAACAGTGTTTATATTAATTTTATATATTATTTTAATATTAATATTATTTTTTAATTTTTAATCTATCAAAACATACTCTATTTTCGTGTATTTAATATCTTTGCGTTCATTTTCAGTTAAAGACATCGGATCTACTAATTGGTACTCAAAATGTTTTTTCATTTCTGGTGGTAATCTATCTCTTCGGTTAACATCCGGTGACTTTGATCGAGATCTTCTGATTTCTTTATTCTTATTTCGGTTAAGAGTTGAGTGATGAGTAGTAGTTTCGGCGTCACTTTCGAGACCAGAATTGACATAACCGGACACATGTCTGACAACAGCGCTTTGTGGACCGTTTGGTCTCAAAGACCGATCATCTATCTGTCCATTCAAGCCGTTCATCTGCTGTTGTTTTTGTTGCAAATCTCTCCATTGAGATTCAGTGTCGACTAACTTATCTGAATAATTGTTTCCATTATAATACTTATGTTTTCGTCGATGTCTTCTCTTTCGTGACGAATCGGACTCAGTTCCGCTGTCTTCAGATTTATTTCTGTGTCGACACCGATGTTGTGAATGCTGTGAATGTCTTGACTGTCGGGATTGTCTCGAAGATCGCGAACATTTGCTGACTTCGCTTTCATTATCAGAAAATCGTGAATTTCTTGATCTCGAGACATTTGACGACGAATTGGAGCGAACGCGGGAATAGCTGTTGGCGTTGTGGTCGAGGAACTGGCGATTTATATGGGATGCACTTCGCACTGATCGGGGCGACGGGTTTGTGTCGCGGGAAAACAAACCCCTAAGAAATTGTTATTTTTAGTATATTATTATTATTAAAGTATAAATATTATATATGATTTTGAAAACAAAATGCAATATCTTATATAATACTTGTACATACCTTTCACTTTTATAATGATACGGAGCACTAATCAATGATTGTGTGTCACCAAACCCTGAATACGGCGGCTTATGTATTGCCGAACTTGAGTTATGCCGGTTTATGGCCGGCATTAAAATACTAGACTTTACTTCAATATAACCATTTTCTTTATAGGCCTCATCTTTATCTATTGCGCCGGCTATTGCATTGATATAGTTATTGAAAAATTATACCAAATAAAAAGCATTTATTATAAACCATACCGTCTGCACCGTCCGGTTGTCCCATTCTCCGTTGATATCGTCTACTCGGGACCCGAACCACCATTGGTGGCGGCCTTTCGATCACATTTTCTTGAAATCCTTTTGATAAAGTACTACTAGTTTTAAATTTTTGCGATAAACCCGGTTTTGTATCGATTTGTAATGTGTTTTGTGTTAATTTAAAAAAGTTTTGGTGTTCAGTACAACACTTCCAGATCTGTTTGCTGGCACTCTTGTTGACCAATTCAAAGCCATACGTTTTTTCTTCATTCTAGACATTAATTCACAACATTTATCTTTACTATACTATAGTTATCCTATATATATAAGTATGATATTTAATATCATCCTTAAAATTATCAAATATCTTATTAGAAATACTAAACGATTTTTAATAAGTTTATTAAAATTCATTAAAAATACTTATTAGCAAATCATCTTTTTAACAAATTTTTATAAAGCAAATAAATAGTCAAATAAAAAATTACATACATTTTTATCGATAACTTTAATCATAAAATATTTTCCTTTCCTAATAATCTTCAAAATTCTTGTCCTGTTTATGTATTTTAAGAAAAATTTCCAAATTTAGAGATATATAACATTTTATTTTCAGCTAATTTATTGATGACATACCAAAAATAATTACCAACTTTTGATTTATTACGTAATACAATGACCCCACTCGGGGTCAGACCAATGAAATACTCGACGTTATCCTCGCCCTAATGTTTGGCAACAAATTTAAAATCAATCAAATGTTACTAAAAAATATATGTGAAACAAACAAATAATTTTATTGTTGTGACAAATATTTAGATAAAAACTAAAATTTATAATGAAAAAAGAGGATTAATAGCTCTATTTAATGTTTCATTCAATTTATTAGTATTAAAATAATTTCAATATAAAAAAATAACTGCAATTTATATCCTATCAGTATTGTTGTTATCCTATATATGTCATTTCATATAAAAATCTCTGACATTAAATAAATTATATATATATATTGTATATACTATTAATAAAATATTGTTATATATTAATAATATTAAATTTTATAAATTATTTTTAATCTATAAGTTTAATATAACTTTCTTCACTAATCATTTAAAAATTCAAATTTTTGATAAATACAGGTATTTGTAACATTTTATTTATAGTCATAAAAACTAGATTTTTATGTAATTTAAATATATTATATTTACATATTATAAATATTGTTAAATTGCTAATAAATTATACAAAGAAACTTATATTTCTGAATAAATTACTTTTTATATATTTATATGATATCTAACAAATGCAATGAAAGCAAACTAATGTATTATAAATCTGACACTACTTTGTTAAGAATTATTATTAAAGTCAATAATATGTAAGACTCTTGTTTTAAAACAATAAAATAATTATTTGTTTTATTTTTATTTTTTTGAAAACCAAAAGTTAAGGAGATTTTGACTAATGGTTTTTGGTTTATTAGAGATAGAGAGGAATGTATTGTATTGTATGTATATATAACTTATTCACTTACAAGAACAGGATGAAGGTCTGCCCCATACAAGTCAAGCCATTTAACTCTATCTAAGAAATTCATTTCAGCGGTTGCCGGCACCTGACCCCTGATTACAACCAATATATAAATATAAAAGAAAAGCTCATAAATACACAATTTTATGGTTTTACAGCATTTGCATGGCTTTTAATGCCGTTAAAAGTTTTTATTTTTATTTATTTATAAAACAAATAACAAAATTTCAATTTATAGTCAGTCTTACACTAATTTCTTGTGCAAATCGTGTGCCTTACTCTCCAATTCAATGGATTGGTTCGGCAATAGTCGAAACTCAGATATATATCCAGTTTGATGTTGACGGCAGTCATAATCGCCTAATTCAGCTAAAAAAAGTATGCATTCAATCAAATAATAGTTGTATTAATGAAAAACAATTTTTATAGCAAATGTTTTCATCAATTAAAAACAATGTCTGCAAAAACACAAATCATTTAGCGCTCGACTTGCAGTTATGAATTAAATTTTATTTATTTTTTTAATATTCAATTTATAAAAAATATAAAATGATTTGCCTAATAATTGACATAATTAAAATGCATAGTTAATGATTAAATAGAAAATAGATTGAATGCCTGCCTTATATTTTTGCAAATAAAATAGCTAAAGACCGCACCTAAAGCACCTATTCCTCTATGTTAGGGATGTATAAAAATTTAACTCTGGCATCAATAGTCAATCACTTGTATGACCACTAAATGTATTCAATAGTTGAATGGTATGATAGGCTTATAAAGTTAAACTGAAAGAGAAAGAGAGAGAGAGAGAGAGAGTCAGGTGATTGACTTTGCAATAACAAGTGATATCGCATTTTGCAATACATGTCTTAGTGATCGATACATTAGAAAGTCAACTCGTTTTTTAAAATTTAATAAAAAAATGAAAACCAGAGCTGTCTGTCCTTTAGTTTAAAGCCAATTAGTGTTTGCATTGAAGCACACAATCAAAATAATACATAATGTCCACCACTTATGTGGTGCAGAGTCGCGCACATCCCTGTCCTGTCCGCTCTTGTATAACAAAATCATTGGCAGCAAAATGTATATGAAATAGACTTACATTGAACTATGTATGCAAGCAGTTCTGATGCCAATTCAAATGGCACGGGTAGTCGTGATTGAAGGATGTCTTGTTTGATTTGCAGAAAGAACTGGTAACGGGTGATCTCTTCCAGTAGTTTGCACGGATCGGACGCATAAAATTTGACACAAAAATATAGTGTAATAGGATTGCTATAATTTAGTTGTTTCATCACACGTTTGCTTGAATCCAACCAAATGGGCTGTTTCTTGTCATTTATATATCGGAGCCCGAAGTATGCCGTTTCCAATAAATTTAGATGTTTGACGACAACGTCGAGTACATCCTGTCCTCTTGAGTTCTCATGTATCTCCTGTATGAGTTCTGTCTCATCCAACAAAACTATCTTACAGTGATAGTTACACTGTCTTCTTCTTAGCAAAAAGCAATCCATGGCAGCAGTTGGTCACTCTTGAAGTGGTCACTCTCACAGACAACCACACACACACACACACACACACTCACTCACCCACTTAGCGCACTATCAAATGAGCCAATGTTTGAATCATCACTTTCTCTGATGACTTTTTGGTTCTCACTTTTGTAATAATAAGATGTAATGTTGTTATTGTTGGCTGAATTGGAAACGACTTTCAAAATAATTATCGTTCAAACTTCAGGTGAGGTAAAGGTATGATAGCTATGATGAGGTATAGTATGAGTGGTAATCTGAGCACTTGCTTCACACGTAATGCCGTCTGAAGTCTAACTTAACGTTTTGTATTTAACATCAACTCTACCATAAAGTTGTGGAAAACTGGTTTCAATTTCTAGTGTTGTTTTTCCCATAAGAGATAAACCTGTTTTATGATTGCAATTATGAACAGGAATTTGTCGAATAAATGGGAGAGTATTTCCCACGGGCGAGGGGTAAGTGGGGGCAAATGGGAGGTCAGTTCCCAAAAGTGCCTCAATTAGGTACCACTCCCGTCAATCTCAATCTCTATAATTGTTGCGACTTTTATAAAGTTATGTTAAATATATATCTATTCAGACTCTTACTCTCTAAACAAAAACTCCTATCATTAAAGATATCAATACTAAAATAAATGCCAAAATCTAACAAACTTTATGATCTTTATGGCTAACTGTATGCCTATCAGTACGGGTCTGTCCAACAATTCAAAAATATTTGCTCTGTTTTTCTCAATTTTCAAGGCCTTCCCACTCCTGCCTCACCTAAACTTTTTTTTTTAATTAATGCCAAACTTATGATTCAACTAATTATATGTATATTGTGTACAGTATTGTATTATTATATTAAATTTTATAATGCACTGTAAAATGCCATCATTATATCATATATACGGTATATAGATATATACACCACGAAAATGCTTGAAAACAATGAAAACCGATATATAATTATTTGGGTAACTAAATCGTGACAATTATATTAGTCAAATTCAAATTGTTATATCATTTTCAACACTAATATACACTATAAAACAGGTGCAACTGTTAGCACCTGTAATATTAGACAACAAGAGAGTCATAACCATTAATAATAACATTTATGGAAAGATAATAAACAGTTAAAAAAAGAGAGTCAAACAAAAAATCATAATTCATGTCAATCTAATAGCAATTATCTAAAAATTTATTGTATTTCTTATGGTCTTTACATTTGAAAACAATTTGTAAATTATTATTTTTTTGTCATTTAAATGTATGTTAGACTCAATGAATATACAGTTATCTAAACCTCTTATCTAAGCCACACAAAAGTTTTTGACTTAACTTTAACAGTCAATCAATGAGAATATACTACTGTATAGACTCTATACATATGAATGAAATGCCAAACAACAAGTGCTATACACTTATACTGTATTATTAGTGGGAGTTTACACTAGCGATACAAATGCTGTCAAATGTTTAAACAGTGTGTCCTATAAGTTATACAGTAGTTTACGTCACACATCAAACACAAGGGATAATACTTTATACTGTACTGTATTATAGCAATAAGTTTTATCTGACAAACAAATTGATTAAAAAAAATATTATAATTTGTTAATTACAAACAAAAATTGATTTACACTTTGTTTGACACTTATTTATTTGATGTTAATTATCAAATTATAGCTGATTTCTAGTAATTGGTTTTACAAAAATACATTGCATTGCATTTGATAATCATTTTGATGATGAATCACAGCAACAGTGATGTACGTCATTGATGTCCATTGAATGTTATGATCAAAATATTTAGTTCATTAGTCAAACACTTTTTTTTAGTAATGATTTGTAAAATAATATTAAAATTAAATAAACAAATAATAATAAATAATACAAAAAAAAGTAATTTTAATTAGTGTTTAATATATTTATTTTTTGTACAAATTGTGTGACAATTAGTGCCTTCAAAGCTATTAATGTTTTAATAATAAAATGAAAGTCAGAGTATTGTATGAATTCATAGCTCAACCAAATTCAGGTGAACTCAGTATTAATATAAATGATTTACTGACCGGTAAGTGACCACCGATTCGGGTGTAATATTATATCACATTATTAAAAGTTATCATTAATTTTATTTGTTTTTTAAATAGTTACCCGACAGGACATCGGCGACGGCTGGTGGGAGGGAACCACTCAATCGGGACAAACGGGACTCTTTCCGGCCGGTTATGTGGAGCCCGTAGCCGATGTACAACAGGACTATACTCGAACACAACCTGAATTACCGCCAGTGCCGGTACAGCAGATACAGCAAGCGGTCAACAGTGCCCCGAACTATGATGACGGCGATTGGGGTGACGATGACTGGGACGATGACGACGACAGTCAGGCCTCTAATTCTCAGTCCAATTATGATTACAGCCCGCAGTCGCCGACCAGTCTTTATAGTACTAATGCAACGACTCCGACGTCGCAAATACAGCCGATAACCGGTCCGTCTAAACCAATTCAACAGCAAACGGCTCGCAAAAGTTTCAATCGATTTTCGACTTTTGTAAAGTCCGGCGGAGAGGACTATATATTGGGTTATAAAAAATTAAATGTCAATCAATCTAATTTCATCTTTATTATTGATAACGATTGTACATATAAATGGGAACCGAATCCCAATTTATGTCAAGTTATGGTCGATAAGCCTAAGAAAGAGACTAAAATGAAAGGTCTGAAGAGCTTTATTGCCTATCAGTTGACACCCGACACGACTCGCATTCAAGTGAGTCGTCGATACAAACACTTTGATTGGTTACACGAAAGGTTTCAAGAAAAGTTTACAACAATACCGATACCGGCTCTGCCCGATAAACAAATTTCTGGCCGATATGAAGACCAATTTATTGAACACAGAAGACTACAACTACAGTCGTGGGTCAACCGTATTTGCAAACATCCTGTGCTCTCGCAATCGGATGTGTGGAACCATTTCTTGACGTGTGGTCCGGACGAGAAAAAATGGAAATTAGGTAAACGAAAGGCTGAAAAGGATGAGTTGGTGGGCGCCTCACTATTCTTTGCTATACAACCACCTCCTAATAGCGGCCCACTAAACATGATAGATGTAGACAGAAAAATGGATCAATTTAGTCGATTTATTTCAAAAATGGATGATTCAGTAAAGTTAATGTACATAACAGCACAGGATCAAAGCAAGAAGTTTGCCGGTCCTTACAAAAGGGAGTTCTCTAAGATTGCCCACTCTTTTCAAACACTCGCCGATTCATTTGCTTTCAGTGGAGTCGAACGCAATTTAAGCAACGAATCGCTAAATAAAGCCATAAAAAATACGAGCGATACCTATGAAGATATCGGCAGATTGTTTGCTGAAGAACCTAAACATGATTTTGCGCCGATGTCTGATATGTTACATGAATACAAAGGCATACTAACGGCTTGGCCAGAGATCATGCAGGTCCACAAGGGAGCCATGAATAAGAAGAAGGAACACCAAAGAATGCTAGAAGAAGGCAAGATTGACAAGACTTCGGCGGATCAGATCAATAGTCGCGCCGATGTCGTCACATTTGCCACGTATGCAGAGATCAATCAATTCCAAGAAGAAAGAATAGACGACTTCAAGCAAGCGATGCAAAGTTTTCTTACGTCACAAATTAGATTTTATCGGGAAATTGCCGAAAAACTTGAGGGAACGCTAACATACTATAATTTTTAATTTTATTTAATTTATTCAGTTTTAATACCTAACTTTATTTACTAAAATCAAAATCAAACATTTTATTACAATTTAATGTTTATTTTTTATAACTTATTTTTTGGAAATAAGTCACTTGTAATTAACTATACAGTGACTGACATATAAATAGTAATTTTATAACATTAATATAAATTGAAAATATCTGTTAAATAATGTTATAATATATATATATATTTACAAAAGTCTATTTATTTACACAATTTTCAAGTTTACAATATTTATATATATTGATGATAATCATGTTTTTAAAATTTGAACGCTTTTATTAATAAATTAATGTTTTGAATATATTGATTAAATCTTACGATAAGATAAAAAGTTTTCGATAAATACCAATAGTTGGCACTCAGGGGTTCATAAATGAATAATCATTGGGAATAAGTTTTTTTTATTGAAAAACTAAATCATATCTAAATATTTTAAATATAGAATAATTATTTAGCATAAAATTAGAAATACTATTTAATTAATACTATAACAATATACCATTTTTAATTTACTAAAAATTAAAATATTACAATTTTGATATTTATTTATTGTTTATTTGAATACAACATATTTTTTAAATTACCAAAACAAGTATTTAATGAATTTGTATTTAGGATATTATGATTTTTTATAGAATTTTAATATCACTTATACTTTTTGAGATATATAACATAACTGACCCGTTCATCCCAGAGCCGTAATTTGCAAAAATATTATTGTATTATAACATCTGTTCCATGGATTAATAGTAAACAAAAAAATTATGTTAATTTAATTTTATAACTTTAATAGTTAGTCAAAAAAAACCATTTCAAACACTTTTATGTCCGTTTTTATATCTATCTAAAAAATTAGTTAAAATAGACCAATAAATAGTTTATATAATACTATTAAAATTAACAAATAAAGTATAATTTTTATCATAATATGTCAACAAACAAGTTTTAGACTATTTCTTGAGTATTAACATATCCAATAATTGTGCATGGTCAAATCATATCTAAATTGTTGGACAAATTGTTTAATTTTATCTTAACTTTATTTCACATGTTTTTTCAAAATTATTACAATAATTAACTAATAAAGTATTTTTCTTATTTAGTAATAATTATTATAAAACATAAGTTATAGAAACCGCTGCTCATGTCTATTGTATACACATTATTGAATGCAAAGGAAGTTAAAATCTTAATTACAATTATAAGACAACATAATATTAAACTAAATTAAACTTTTAATAACATATTTAGACTAAATTCCTACATTTTTATTGATATTAATAAAAGTATTATTAAAAGTATTTAACATTAAAAATTCTAGACAAATACAGTATAAATTTTTTGTGACTTAAAATTGAATCTTATATTTAATTAGAAGTTAAATTATTTATTAAATATAATCTTTATTGTAGAAGTTTTTAAATAAATTAACGAAAATAATATAGCTTATTATTATTATTATTAAAATTATAATTGTTACTATTTTAGTTAATTATAAATTAGTTGTAAATTGGATATATTTTTATTAAATGTTAAAACAATTGTAATTATAATTTATTTTCTGCCATAAAATTATATAAAACCTTATATAATAATTTAATATATATAACTATAGTTTTAATATTTATTAAATTATATTTAGCTAACTACAATTGTAACATATAATAATAATAATAATAAATTAATTAATTCATAAATTAAAAAATAATTTTTTAAAAAACAAAGTGTATAATTTAAAACAAAAATAATTATATTAAATAATTAATTAAATATATTTGTATTTAATGTCTCGATTGTTTTTTTAAAAAATAAAAATACTATAATACTGTAATTAATTTTATCTAAGAAACTACTACTAATTGATTGGTTCAATGATTTGTTGTTTGATTCAATGGATAAAATGAAGAAACAGTATTAAAGTAAATCAATTGATTACAAAATAGAAACTTTGGATCAAATTTAAGACTTGAATGGCAATGAAGATGTGGAGACAACGAGACAACGATTGAGTTGTTTATTGATAGTCGACTGAAGGCAAAGGGCGAAGATATTATTTAGTCCTTTACTCGACAAGAGTTTTGATTCAATTATAGCCATCGATTGAAACTATAACTACATTAAGAGGTCTTCAATTGAAGCAAAATCTGTTGTTTGATTCAATCGCTTTTAGAAACATTAAAGAAAATCATTTGTGACAATACATCTTATTTTGAGATCATTTGAGACCAAAAAACACGAATATCTCTGCGATTGTGATAATCATTGAGTGGAAGTGTAGTTAACGAAGAGGTTGTTCTCACAGAAGTTTCTGTTTGCGTCTCTTCCAGAGTTGACTCAAGAATTATTTGAATTATTGTCAAAATTATTATTATTATTATATTTAAACGGATCTCATTTTAACAATAAAAAGAGTTAATCAAATAAATATAAAATATTGTCATTAGTTTATGAAATTTTATAATTTAATTTAATTATCTATTTTTTGTGGAAATATTTTCATATTTTAGTTATATTTGTCTAATTTTAAGTTTATTAACACATAATACTTATTATCAATTAAATTGTATTAAATGTATGTGTGTTTAAGCATAAAATTATCGATGAATAAAAAATGATATCATCATTGGCTTTATAAATGTGTCTAAAGTCTCATCAATTATTTTGGCTTACAATCCGATGATTTAGTAGTATTTGTAAAGATTGGCGATATTGGCATACAGTATATGTAAAGTAGTCCTCTCACTAACTTTTACACATTAACATAACCATTGCTGACAATCCTCATGACTATTAAAAGGCAATGTTTAAGTGCTATGTATGAGAGAGAGAGAGAGAGAGAGAGAGAGAAGCTGAGGACAGGGAGGATTGAGAGGTGACAATGAATGCAAAGCGTTTTAAACGGTCTAATAGTGTTCACAAGTAAATGGAGTTCTTTATAAAGCGTCACCCATTAAATGGTGATGCGATTCACTCATCACATACACACTATTGTACGGCACGTGCCGTTTGCACTGCCATTTGTGTCCAGTGCTGTCTACTTGTGCTCAATGTTTATAAGCACTGAATATTTCATCACATCTCACATCTGTTACTGTTTTTGCAAACATATTCTCCAAACTCATTGATATATTTAAAAACTATACATAAAAGTTATGAATTTTAATTTATTACTTATGTTAGCATTTGTTACGATTAAGATTTTTATTCATTTCAACTCATTATTTGGTCATTTAAATCATTTATTCAAACAATTTATTTAAAAATAATATCATATATATAACAGCAGTGATTCTCTATTACATGTTTAATCATAACTTATTTTACTCATAACTATAATATTATATTACAAGACTTACAAAATATAAGCTTAATTTGATAAAAACTTTAGTTTCAAAGCTTTTAAGCAAACTATTACTAATTAATTAAATTGTTTGCATAACTGTCTTATTCAATATTTTATTTTGACTTATTTTAATTTTATTCTTTTAGTTAAATTACTAAACATTAATATAATATAGTACATAAAATAAACAATTATGTAAAATAATTTTATATTCAATATATGACTAGAAAAAAGTAGTACTAGCAATGCAGTAATTTAAGTATAATAAGCAAATATATCTTAATTTATAATTGTTTAAAATTTTGCTTAAATGATAAATGAAAAAATAACATTTTTTTTCAAAAATCAAGTTTAAAATGTTTATCATAATAATGACAACTATTATCTTAACAATGACTTTATCTCATTCACTTGCTTTATATGCATTAATATATAATCATATATATAAAGATTTCAGAGACAAACCAAATGTCAAAAGCAATTTTGTATTTAATATTTTAAGATTACAATAGATTGTCACAAAAGTAGGAACAATATCCCAAACAATACTCTCAAATCGCACGTGTATTTCACGGAATATCCAACAAATTTACTTATTTTCCGCTGTTGTCACCCATAAAGGTCTTAACGCCGGAACCTAAGGCCTGTCAACTCTATTATTACATTATAATTGAATTAGTCTAATGTATACTAAAATTGTATGTTATAAGCGATGTAATGATTGTTTGCCACAAAAAACACACATTGAATGCCTGGGGTTGTACTCAACGCTTGTATTTTTAATTCAATATAAAATCAACAAATGAACAAAATATTTGCCATCAATTTGGCTTCGCGTGTGTTGTGTATACCCAGAGGACAGTTGGATACGGGTTATAACTGTGACACACTGTAGGTCAGTCATCACTTTGATAGAAAAGCTTACTTTTTTGTTTTGTTTTACTAATTATTATAATAGTGTCCAGGACATATAGTTTCTATTTTATTAAATATTTATCAATTTTTTTATTATTTACTAATCAACTAAGAATTATTTTTTATAATAAAAATATCAATATATAATTTGTTATTTATTTTTAATTTTTTAATTTTTTAATTTTTTAATTTTTATTTAATATAATACTAATATTTTATAAATTATTGAATATCATTAATAAATAAATAAAAAGAGAGATGAACAATATAAAAATTACATAAAATAAAATAATTTTAAAGTTTGATGTTAATCTGTATACCGGTATAATCTATTAAATGTTAAATAAATGTAAAAACATTATTATTAGTCAAAATTGAAAAATGTTTTATAATAAATAAAGATTTGAGATTTAGTGAGTCGATCAAAATAAAGATGAAATTTTAGAAACTGTTGCATTAACAATAAGATAACATTTTTTAAAATAAAAGATTTTTATATAAAAATATTAAATATACGGAATATTTGTATATATATATATACATACATATGTGTATGTGTGTGTGTCTGTATTTATATATATTTGTAGGAGTGGTAGTCATTATAATCCTTCATTGATTTTTAGTAGGCTTTCCAATCGTATGGCACTGTTAGCAACGCATGTGCTATTTTCAGACGTGCCCATAGACCACATGGGTTTGAAATTGTCAAGAATTTTAAGACCAGAATTGAACAGCAAATTCTTGTAATACTTTTATTATATAACTATTGCAAAAAAATTGAAACTTTATATATTAATAAAATAATAATAATAATAATAATAATAATAATAATAATAATAATAATATATGAACAGAATAACTGTAAAAACATTATTTGTTTATTTTCACTTATTTTCATAGAGCACTGGGTCAGTGGTGACCAAATAACTACTAATAATTGTTGTTTTTTATATTTATTTGTAAAAATTGATTTTTTTTAAATAAGTCAACAAAATGATGGACGAACACCTTTTTCCTGCCCTCGCAAACAATAAAGCACTACAAGGTATGAATTATTATCATTTAAATTTTATAATCATTACTTCATAAACTTGAATATTTGTTGCAATTTTTGCAATTATCGGTAGTTTAAAAAAACATTTATTTACATTGAAATATTTTTATTTATTATATCAAGAGTTCATTGATTATATTCATATATGCTATTGATAAATGTTATTCATATGTTTATAAAAATACTAATAAACTAATATAAACTTAAATAATATCTTATAGCAAATAATAAATTATATTTAAAGAATTTTATACAATATATATATATATCTTCTTATTAAAAAGGTTTAACTTCTATATATTTTATTTGATATACATTTGGAAAAATGACTACAATATACTCTATTTAATTAAATTGTGATTTATATATAAATTTTGCCAAATTAAATTTTATATAAATAATTAATTGTAAGTTTTGTCATTAAATGTAGTTTTTATCTTAGACAAAAGTTTTTAATAATTGAATAAATAAGTTAAAATAAATAAATACAAACATTCACAAAAAAGTCATATACTGTATATGACTTAATAAAGTATAATATAATATAATATAATATATTTTTTAACTTATTGTTATTGAAATTACAATAGCATTAAAATTGATCATTCAATAGATACTAATATAGATTTTATGATTTTATACCTGAAATTTGTAAACTCTCTTTTCCTCTCTCTTTTCCTTTCTCTCTCTCTCTCTCTCTCTCTCTCTCTCTCTCTCATTTAAATCACATTCACCTGCCATATCTTTAGGACAGTCATTCATAGAGCACATTATGATATGAATACATGAATAAATAGTTGTTAACACAACATAAATATTAAGATCATTAGCTTATTTAAACAAACCATATAATGTTACAAAATATGGTTATTTAATGGGAAAGTTGTATTACAAAAAAATGATACTTGTTTAAATAAACTAATGATTTTTATGTAAATAATTGTTAAACACTCAATTTGAACGCTAAATCAAAATCGTTATAATAATACATTATTGTTTTTGTTATTATTCAATTTTGGATAAAACTTTAAATATTAACCAAAAAATATATACAGTATATCAATTATAAATATTTGTTGACAAATAATGTATGCAAACATTTTTTAATAATAATATTTTAATAATAAGTACTAATCTTATGGTCTTATATTTGACAAAAATTAGTCGCTTTTAATGTCAGCATAAAACAGATGCCCTTTTTATTGAGTGCTATAACCACTCCATGTTATCCTATGGATAGTGAAGTGATTCTCGAAATAGCACTTCACTGCAGTACAGCTAATATTTTTACAACACTTAATGATTTCCTATAAAAACAATGCATTTATTTGTTTAGCCATTCAAACCATTAAAAACTATATATTTGTATTTGTGTTTTGTATTTCGTTGTTTTGTTGATTTTTACGCTAACTTTTTTAAACGTAAATTTTAAATACAAAAAATGTGATGTTTTTTATGAATAAGTTATTTGACTTTTTTCGTACAACATATCTAATATATAAATATTTAAATGATTTATTCATTGTTATATAGTGTTATAATTTTAGATATTTTTTGATAGCTATAAAGTAAATAATAAAAAAAATTTAGTTGATAAAATAATTAAAAATTTTATTATTTATATTATCGTAAAAACAACAAATATAGTGATTGCAGAATAATTGTTACGCCATTGATAGACATGCTATTCAATACAAATACAATTATACATTAGTTAATTCAATTATGTTATGCCTCCCTATCATTGCCAGTGCATTGTTGTTGTTGTGTCGGTCCATCAGTTCATCACTTTTTATATCATCACTATATGTACTCATATTTGGTCACAGCTGTCAATGTTTCATATAATATCGTATAAATCTTTAATGTATTTGCGGTGATATCTGTCTAATTATTTTTGCATTTCCGTTCAATTAAAGTATTATTTATTGCAAATTATTAGAAAATTATTTTTATATATGAATGCAATTCTTAGATTATATTTGTATTCAAAAATAAATAAGAAGTTTTAATGTTAGGATTTAATTGATTTGCATAGCAGATGGACAGTCAGGTTGTCTGGTTAGAGCATCATTTGTATGCATTATTGCGATTTAGGTGTAATGTGCCTGTGCTTGGCTAATGCAGACATGCGTTTATATTATAGGTTCAGTCTTTATGATAGTATTAGCACTGGTATTAGTATTAGTATTATTATTATTATATAGAATGTAGTGATCAGTTGACTGAGTGGATCAGCCTTTTGACTCTATACTATATATATATGGGTTTCAATGAACAGATGAACTGTTAGAACGATGCAACTCTGCTGGAGTGCAGTCTCTAAAGCTCTATGAACACAGAAAACATAGAGCAGAGAGAGAGAGAGAGAGAGAGAGAGAGAGAGAGAGAGAGAGAGAGAGAGAGAGAGAGAGAACTAGAGACAGCTTTTTGACTCGTGTTCTCTAAAGTAGAGCACTGGTAGAGCACTGGCACTGAAAAGAGGCTTTGCTTTTCAACACAGGCATACATGTAGTCAATGGTTTGGCTGAGATCTGCATTGTTTGCCGGTTAGCTCCGAGATTATTATTGTTGCCTTTCATCCATCAGATTAACAATCCAATTGCTTGGTTGTATTGTCGGCTTGTTGTCTATGATATATAATATATATTATATATAAGTTGAATACATTTTTGAATACAACAAAATAAAGACATATACAGTATATATATATTTTTTGATCAAAAGAATTGTACCGCAAGTTAGCTGTTCTGTTGAATAGAAAGACAGTCGATATTAGATCTGATTATTAAAGTCTTCATTTTGTAGTTTCAATTGAATACTTTTTCAATAAATTTTGTCGACTTTTTCTAATATAAGAATATAGAGACAAATGAATGGCATTTAATGTGTTTGATTGATATGTTGTATTCACATGTTTTGAATGTAATGTTAAAAAACAAGAGGAATGTCTTGTTATGATTTGTTGCACAAGATATTTGTTGCTACCCTTATATATCATTGATTATTGTTTGGTCACATCAATGATGAGGACAAACCCATTTTGAGTGACCGTTGAGTGAAACACTGTCTAAAGTGAACCCTCAATGACTTTCACTCATCAATCGATGTCTTAACCATCGCTTCTCCTCCTCTTTACTAAAGCATCTCATATATAAAGTTATCATTCATTCAATGTTTTTGTCTATACGTTTGGCTTTAATGTCTGTAATGATACTTCACTGCATTTATGGTGTTTTATATCAATGACTCAAATGATGCCATTTAGTCAATACTAAAAGCTTTTTATATAAAGCTAACCAACAAACCCAACAAACCTCTATAGATATCAACTTTATATGTATTATATTCTATGATATGGTCTGCTATTTGTGAGTATGTTATGGTGTGGGACCACTCCTGAGACTTATTATCATTACTATATAGTGATATCAGTGAATCCCATTTCCCTTTCGGACACTTATTTAGATCATCTAAAAGTTTTATTTGCAATGATATTCAATTCAATTATGTTTTTCACACACAAATGAAAAGCATTAGAAAACATAAAGAGAGAGAGAATCGATGCATAAATTGGTGTGAATTATATATTCATAAAACTATATATAACTTATATGACTGACTGGTACTCAATACAAATACATTTAAGCCGTATTGTTATTGCCGACACAAAAATCAATACTTAGTATACTTTTTGTATGGCTGTAACATATATTACATGTATATACTGTGATGTGTGTATGTATGTATGTATGTGTGTGTATGTGTGTGTGTGTGTGTGTGTAGAAGAGGCAAAGTAATCAAGTTAAAATGCTTTTACTCAAATCACTTTTACCCCCACATGACTTTCCCCATCTGACAAATCGACAGCGCAAAGCACGCGCGTCAAACCTAAAGTGCACATCCCATACATCCCATCACTAAAAACTATAAACAGTGTTCGCCAACAAAATGCAATGTTGTGTAAAGTAACGATTGAGTCTATGTTTAAGCTTACAGTCCCTGAGCTCTCTGTTTTGTCTCTATTTCTCTGTTTTCTACTCTATTTGATATGCCTTTCCTATGGTTTGATAGCTCTCTCGCCAACACAATTCAATTATATCAAACTCTGTGCGACTTTTTGCGGTTTCCGTCAACATTTAACCTCTGACTTCGGCACTAATTGGTAGAGCCTGTTGTCTAACACTGCATATAGTGAACAATACAATCAAATGATTTGATAAAATTTTATATAAAATCCATAAAATGGTTTTTATTGACTTATATTTTTAATTTAATTTATCTCAAGATTGTCATTTGTATAGTGCTTTTGTTGTTGACATTATGCAAATGTCTTGTAAATGCAAAACACCCTCAAAACAAACTTTTTATTTTATCATTTTATTTAATCGATATATTGCAACATTAATTGTTTGACTTTAAATACTAGTAATATATTTGATATTAAATGCACGGTATTTGTCAATATAGCAGTCGAGTCTCGTTTTAAACATTAGCACTATTTTTATAATAATACAGACAAATGAGTAAAATAACAAATGAATCACATATTTGTGATTCAATACAACACTAGAGGATGAAACACATGAAAAACTTTAGGGACTGACAGCACACCATTCATGAGACCAACATTAGTGACATCGGCGCTAATACCTATCAAGTGGTTTACTTTAGGCACCGTTACTATGGCCACAATCAGCTCCACCCGACTCACCTCAATAGTCAGTCATATATAATATACAGTATATATATATATAATAGTGGATTCAATACTAATAATATCTAAAATAATGTTTTCCATTAACTCTCGACATACTTGTGCAGCATATCATCAGCAGATGGTTCATAAAGTTTGCATTATATGAGCGCCGACATCATAACCAACGACACCCGTATGAGTAGTTGTGCGTGTCTTACATATCCACTCCATTATTATCTATAGTCAGAGCTCTTATATATACAATGTATACATAACACACATCACTGACTAAATATTTGGCACTAAAGCCAAAAAACAAACAATATTTCGTGTGTTTTATTTTCTTGAAAAAAACTAATATATCAATAAACGATTAAATTATGTCGTTTACAGCATTTTTTTATAAAAATATAAATAATTTTAATGTTAATATAATATTTATAATATTTTACTTAAACATCTCAGATATAAATATTATGTTTAACATAAGGGCAGTTCAAATATCTTTTTTTTAAAAAGCTAAATAAATTTATATATTAAAAAATCGTAATTGAAATTACAATTCCTATTATAGATACATATTTGTAAAAAATCTTTATATTAATGTAGTGTTTATATGAATATTAATATAAATTGAATGCAAATTGAGTCCATAAAAGCATTAAAATCTTGGGTTGAGATCATAAATCGATTGAAAGCTAAAAAAGGCTGAAAATTTGATCATAAAATATATGACGAATCGGTAGTAATAACTAATTGGAAGTCTCGTGTCGCGTGTGCTCTCCAGTCAATGCATTAGTGTAGTACTGACGGCACGTGCGGCTATTGACTGACTTGAGTGTATCACTGGTATTGTTGTAATATATGATGTGTACATTATAAAAGCCCAGTAAAACACACCTGAGCCGTGGCTGGCATGCCATTGAGCCCCCGGTTCTGGACCACTGCTACACAATAGACAGCTTATGGAGTAATAGACTGGTCGTCGTAGGGAAATACTGTTGAGAGTAATGGGAGAGAGAGACCAACAAACCATTTGATGTGATATATCCTGAAAGGAAGATCTACTGTATGTTATGGTTATATCACTGTTGGTTTTCCGACAAATATAACATCAAAATGACTCTTCAATTTTTATTATATTTTATTTATTGATTTGATTTATGTTTTCCTATAGTTTACTGTATAAACTTTATACAATATGATACTGTATATTGTGATAAATTTATTAAATATATTTTTATGAATCACTATGTAAACTTTGCATTGCTAATATTTATTTATTTTTTATGTTATCTTGACAAATAAAGTAACAAATTTTTCAACTAAAATATCATCAAGATATTTATTTTGAATCTATACAATATAAATCAATTTTTGTGTGATTGACTTTTTAGAGTAAAAACTACAATCTATATAATGTCTTATCATTGTTTTGAGCTAAAATATTTCAATTGTACGTTTGATAAAATATGTATATATTTAATAGTCTATTGATAACATGATATTTATGATTTTTTGTGTTAATCAAATGATGTTAATATTGATTATATTGATAAATAGACTGTTTGTTTAATTTTTTAAGATACCCTACCCCGATGCAATGGATGCGATGGTATTATTTTTGATAGATTTATATTGAAATTAGGTCACGATAATGATAGGCACACTTGTTGGCATTCAGGTATTACACAATAAATCATTTAATCATTGCTAATTAATTGCTGTCCAAATTTCAATCCAATATATATTAATAGTTATCTATAAATATTAATTAACTTTTCTAAAAAAAGGGTGTTTAGTCTGCTGTGAGTGTCACACAACGCTGACTGTTAAGTGTTATATGCGAAACGGACAGCCCTATTGCAAGGATGACTTCTATAAGCGATTCGCAAAAACTAAATGTGCAAATTGTGAACTGGGTATTTTATGACAACCACTTGTTTCCTAACCATATAAATTGGATTTTGTTTAAATATATATATATAAATATATAGCTAACTGTGCCCACTGTTGTTGACACAGGAATAGCGCCGACGGCAATAGTGAGGAGAGCTCAGGACAATGTCTATCACATGCATTGTTTCAATTGTATTCTTTGTAAAAGAGCTTTAAATACCGGTACGTGTCTTACAAATTTGCATTTCATTTATTTATTATTAATTGCTTAGAGATATGTTTCAAATAAAACCATGTATTGTATTTGCTATTATAATTAGTCAATCTATATTCAGTATTAATGTACATAAAAATTAAATTAATATTATTTTATATTATAGTAATTTATATTAAATAGTTATGTTTTAAATTTATTTTTATTTATTTTTTTCGTTAAAGTAAATAAGAATTAATTATGTAGATTATTAATAATTAATATACAGTATATAAAAAATAATACTATTAATTAATATTATGTTCTGCTAGATAAATTAATTATAAAAAAATAATTATCAAATGAAGTTATTATTATTATTATAAAATTAACTAAATGTTATTTAAATATATTTGTAATTACATTGTAACTAAATTGACATATAAATAATAAGTGTTAATATCTGTATGTAATTTATTATAAATAGGCGATGAGTTTTATCTAATGGAGGACAACAAATTGGTTTGTAAGACGGATTATGAATCGGCTAAACAAAGAGGTATATCACTTACAACCATATAATATAAATACAATATAAAATTATACATCAAATTCATAAATTTAAGTATAATTGCATATTCAGAATATTTTTAAAAAACCAGTTTAATAATTTAGTCAATCAAAATTTTTAGCAATTATATTAAAACATGTCAGTAGAGTCATTTTGCAGTTAATTTAATAATAATTTATATATTTTTTGATAAAAAAAATCTTTTATCTGTCAATATATCTAAATTATATATCGATATAATGAACTCGCAGATTAATATATAAATTTTTTAAAAAAAGTGTAATATAAAACAAAAAAGATTACTAATAAATAAATAGATCACTATAATCTTGACATATAATACTATACTATATAATGCAATTTCATGAAATTTATTTATTTTTATATATCAAAATATATTTTACTTGAATTAAACCTTATAATGAATTAATTTCAGCAAAATTGCTAAAATGTAAAATCAATTGAATGTTTATGTAAACAGAGTCCTCATCAAAGAGACCGCGAACCACCATAACTGCCAAACAACTCGAGACACTTAAGATAGCGTACAATAACTCTCCAAAACCCGCCCGACATGTGAGGGAACAGCTCAGTCATGACACGGGTCTTGATATGAGAGTCGTTCAGGTATTTACTTGATATATATATTAATTTATAAAATATACTAAACATTGATTACATTTTTAAATAAAGGTATGGTTTCAGAATAGAAGGGCTAAAGAGAAAAGACTGAAAAAGGACGCACACGGAGGACATGTATCCAAAAGTCATCACTTGAGCGCACACAGTGGTAGCAGTGCCGCTAATAATCGTTGGCACAGTGCTAACAGTAATAGTCTATCAGTAGATGCGATGCCACCGAGCAATGCCTCATCAGCACTACTGGCCAACGAAACGTCGACATCCTGTTCCTCGTGGTTTGACGACACCATCATTGATGATGAAGATGACAGTGAAGACGAGTCAGTTATCACTCAACCATATTAACCCATCATTTCATTTATAAATTAAGTTTGTTTTTTGTTCACAATTTTCTGTTGTTTTGTAAAATAAATTCAACTTTTTAAAGTACAAAATAATTAATATATTTATTTTTTATTTGTTTGTTTGTCTTTTACAATATAAACTATTATATATAAAAATATATATATAATTAAATAAAAATAAATGATTTTATAAACTAAATGCTAAAATGTTTAATTTTGTCTCAACCATTATACATATTAAATATATGCAGTTGAAAATCAGCTAATAATAGTTGTATTGCAGTCTAAATAAAATAATTTTAATTCATATCAATTCAATATAGAGATGTTTAAAGTATATATACTGTATATATAATTATATACCGGTATACTAGACAATAGATATACTAAATGTATATATTGTATCTGATTTTAATGTATATTTATTTTGCTACACAAAGTTTTGATAAACTTGAAATCATTTTAATCACTTCCCACTCAATAATTTTAGTCCTTAAAAGTTAATTAAACTTCAAATAGTTGTCTGAAACGAATAGTATTTATATATATATATATATATATTAATAAATAGTTAAAATTATTAGTTATATAATTTTAGATAGACTATAAAAATAAAGTTTAAATAAAGTTTATTTCAAAAACAAAAATAAAATGCATGCATTAAAAATAGTATATTTACAATACTTGTATAAATATATAACAAACAAATAGACATAAATTAATGAATCGATTAATGATTTTTTTATTAACAAATAGATTTTTTCAATGTTTTATTTCTCAAGTATTTTTGACTAAAGAAAAAAACAAATGATAATTAAAGTGAAAAAAATATTTTGTTTGATACAAATGAGTGGCAGTCAGTCGTGAGGTTGAAGTCAATACGGCCCACACTTTTTAAGACTACGATTGCCAACAATGAGCCTTCAAAATGCCTTATTAGGCGAACTTCACTATCGATAACCACAAACACTACCATTGAATGCCAACGAGAAAAACCATTTATTTGCACGAATTATTCATTACTTACAAAAAGCTTTAAAAAGTTTATCAAATAATTTGTATAACTTATTATTATTATATATAATTTTACTGTTTTTTAGTATAAAGTTTATTTGTTGTCTAAGAAAAATGTATTCAAAATTAGATGAAATGCGAAATAAATTTCGCGAAAATTTAACTTTAGATTCAAATGAAGGCAAAAAAGTTCATTATATTAAAGTTGAAACAGAAAGTAATGATTATTATAGTAGTAATGATGTTAATAATAATATCAATAATACTAATAATACTAATAATACTAATAATAGTGATAGATATGAATCGAAAAGTACTATATCCTCAACAAATTCAAGATATCCCAGTGTTGTTGGTTGTAATGGATCTCCTAAACCAAATGTATCGTTTGCTTCTTCGACAAAATTCAAAGACAATACCAGTAGTGCCCATAAAGTTGTTCCCAGTGTTGCCAATAAAGTTTTAATAAGAAATGCACCCAAAATCACTTCAAATAAGTTGGAAACAAATTTTTCGGATAATAATAACTACAATAAGACATCTGTTAATAAAATTAGTGATAACTTAAATAAATCATTGAATTCAAAGAGTGGTTTAGCAGAGCAAAGAAAACCGAGAAAACTGTTGATTCGGACGCAAAACAAAAGCACTTCCAAACCGAAAGAGCGGCCATTATTTAAAGCCAGATCTGATGGATACCCGTGTGGTCATTGCGGCCGATATTTCAATGCCATCGATAGGTTGGAAAAGCATCAGTCAATATGTGAGGTGATCTCAAATAAGGAGAGACCGGCTTATGACTCAACTAAACAAAGATTTAAAGGACAACCCAACGAATATTTGCATTTTTATCGCAAATCTATAAATGTATGTATTATATCATTGTTTGAATTTTATTATTAAATATTAATAAAATTTTATTCAACAGCAGAATGAGCCGACAGATGAGTCAAAGAAGTGGAATTGGAGGCAAAAACATGAGTACTGTTTGGCATCAATACGTTCGGCCAAAGATGACCCGTCGGGTCCAACCACTTGGGAACTAACAAAACCAACTCTAAAACAATGCAATTATTGTAAGCGACTCTTCAATGATGATGCTATCAAAAGACATCTTCCTATTTGCAGTAAACTATACCACAAAAAACTTCTCAGCTATTAATTAATGAAAACCTTAATAAAACAGTATTTAGTTATTGAATCATTTATATGATTAAATTATGTTCAATACTACTAATAATATTAATACTCTATTAACAAAATAGTGATGAAATTATACAATATTTTTATGAATTACATGTAAAAAGTAATATTCAAATATTAATTATTTCAGATAATAATTCAGAAATTATTTTAATTTTTAAAATGCTAACTAATAATACATTATAACTTATTATAATTATTTCAACTATAATAATCTATATATAAATATAAGTTGTTAAACAAAAATGTATTGTTAATCCTAATTTATTATACTTATATAACTTTTCTGATTGGGTAACCATAATTACATTAACAGCATTAATGTAATTAATGTTAAAACCAATGAAATATAATAAATTCAAAATTAAAATATATTTTTAAAAACATTTTTAATATTGTTTAATAAAATTAAGATATATAAATATATATATATAACTAAATTAAGGCAAATTCAATCAACAACTTATCAATAATTGTCGATTTAATTCATTTTACAAATTATTTCAAAAATACTGTTAAAGTACAGAACGATTACCTCATGAAGTGCTTTCAAAAATAGTTTTGTTTAAATTTTTAAATATAAATACTTTATATATAAATTATTAAATTATTTTAAAAAGATATGATTTCAATAAGTTATATGCAATGGGATAAACAGGTATACCATATAAACAATACCGTTTAGTTTTTAAAAAATATATAAAAAGCAATTATTTTTTACAAATATCAATAATCAAATAAAAATCATATCAATTCATATCTAAATGCTTGTTCAATAATTATTAATAATAATATTATAATAATAATAATTAACAAAAATAAAATATCATTTATAATAGCAATATATTTGATGCAGTTTTAAATAACTTTACTATCAATCTCTTTCTCTCTCTTTTGTTAATAAAATTTTTCTTTATATATAATTTTGTTTGATTTTATAAAATATTTTGCAAATTTTTTTCGATATAAAAGGCAACGGAATGGATGTGTGATGTCTTGATGTCATCCTTTGAATAAAGGAATGTATTATTTTTCGTATATTATATTATTTTATAGCTTTTAAAGGCAAATAAATTGAGGCAAATTAGTTATTGTTGTTTTGTGTCAATTGATTGATTGTACAATTAGTATAAAAATCATTGCAGTACTAAAACAAAATTATAGTATTTTTTATAAAACTCTTTCCAAAACCTTTCCTAAACAATATCCCATTTTTTCAGTGATTGATTTGTTTGATTAAACACTAAATTGCAAAATAATTATTATTATAAAAATATGGTATTAAAAAAATGCAATATTAAGTTAGGCAGGACTGTCATCATTGGCAGGACTGTCGTCATCGAGTGGTGAGCCAACAGAATTGTCGTCACCAGTTCCACTCATTGAACCTCTTTTATTGTTGAGGTAACTTCTGGAAGCACCACTGGAACCACCAGAACGTCTGTAATTTAGGATTTGTTTATATATAAGTATCGATTTGTTTCATCAAATTTGCTTTAAAAAATCAAACCTAATTTTATTCTTAAGATTTCCGATTTCTTTTTGCAGGTTTTCATTGGATTCGGTCGCATCTTCGAGTTCTCGCTGTATTTTACGACGAATACCCTTCTCTCTCGAACATTCTTCTTCTGCTTCATCCAACTGTCTCTTCAATAATTTGATTCTATTGTTAACTTTCTCGAGCTGTTCCTTATACTGTTCCGTATGTCTGCGTTCATCCTCGACCTGCATCGTCGCGTCCTTTACTTTCTTTTCCATTTTACGGACATTCTTAGTCGCCAATTGTCTCTCTTTGGTTTCATCATCGATGGCTAACTCCAACTGAGAGATTTTTGCTTCGAGTGCAACAATTGTGGCTTTGGTTTTAGTTCGTTGAGATGTTTCCAATTCATTCAATTTAGTCTTAAGTTCTTTGTTTTGTCTTTCCATAATTATTTGCGAACTCTCGAACTTCTGTGCGTTCGACTTTTCTGTGGCCACTTCCTGAGTCAACAGTTCGATTTGTTGCATTTGTTTTCGGGATTTATCCATAAGAATCTCCGAATTGCTCTGTTCTTCTTCCAGTTCTTCTTGTAGTTGACTAATGGTAGCCTCCAGTCGTCTCTTCTCGTCCTGCATTAATGCTCGTAGAGGTCCTAATGAGTTATTCTCTTCAAAAAGCTCTTCGCGTTCGTTTTCAGCCGAACGGCGGGCCCTCTCACTAGAAGCTAAGTCTTCTTGAAGGTGAGTCACTTCAGCCTCAAGAGATTTGGCACGTTTTTCCGCCTCCTTGGCCTGGGCTATTAACTCATCCCTCATTGCTTTAGCCTCTTCTGCTTCTCTCTGATAGTCTTTCATCTGCGCCTGTAATCGTTTGTACTGTCGAATGGCATCCTCTTTATGTTTGTTTGCCATTTCAATTTGTTGTTCCAACTCATGGTATTCGCTTTCATGTTTCTTTCGGGCACCGATTGCGGCCGCTTTCTGTTTGCGTTCGTCCTCTAACTCTGCCTCTAAATCTCTAACCTGTTTGAGTAGAAGTCGTCTTTTATCTTCTGACTGTTCCTCTTTGGCCAACATATCGCGATCGAACTGTGACTTAAGTGCCTGCATATTAACTTCAAGACGAAGCTTTGCGTCTTCGCTCAGTTGCAATTCGTCTTCCAATTCTTCGATTTGTGCCTTTTGTTCGGCCACTGCGTTCTCAAGATTTCGTTTAGCCTTTTCTAAGTCATGGAAGCTCTTATGAGCCGAATCTTGATTGTTGACCAATTCATCTAATTCTGTTTGTATTTGACGTCTAGCTCTTTCTAGTTCTTCAAATTGTTCCTCTTTTTCTTCAAGAGCTCGGGTTAGCGACAAAATCTTCGTTTCCTTTTCTCGGGCCTCTCTCTCAGCATTGTCTCGTTCGGCAGCTATGCGTTCAGATAAAGTCTTCTCTTCGGCAAACATGGCGTCAAATTTTCTTTGCTTTTTCTCTAATTCTGATACTTTAGATCTTTGACTTTCAATTTCTATATTCAAATCTTCCACTTCTGATTGAAGTTTTCTCTTAGATTTCTCAAATTTGTCGGTATTAACCACGGCTTCATCTAATTGTCTTTGAAGTATTTCATATTCTTTTTGAATCTTTTTGCGCGACTCTTCACTCACAACTAACAGTTCTGTTTCATCGTCGGTCTTCTTCTTCATTTCGCCCATTTGTTGAACTAATTGTGCGATTTGTTTCTCAAAGTTTTTCTTTGCCTCTTCTTCCTCTTCAATTTGCTCTTGAAGTGCATCTCTTTCAGCCTCGACTTGTCTCAGACGTGAACTTAAGCACAATTTTTGCTTAGTTTCTTCATGAAGAAGATCCTGAGCTTCGGTGAGCTGTGATTCGAGTGCAGAACTATTTTTAATCGCATGACTAGCTCTTCGTTCTAATTCTTCGAATTGAAGACTAACGCCTTCCAACTCTGTCTGCAATTTGACAGTTCGTTCGCTTAAATCATTTTTTATTCTTTCAGTGTCAGTAAGTTTTGCGGCCATTTCCTGCAATTGTGTTTCATATTGTTTGCGTCTTCGATCACTATCTTGTTTGGCTGAGTTGAGTGTCTGAATCTCATTAGTTAACTCTAGTTTTTCTGCCTCCAGATTGCCTTTCGATTTATCCAACGATGTCTTAGCTTTCTTCAAGTTATCCAACTGTTCGTTCAATTCATCGATAGCTTTGGCATGTTTTTGACGAAAGTCAATAATCTGCGACTCGTGCTGACTAGTTTCCTCCTCCAGATTCCTCTTCAGTCGTTCCAACTCTTGTTCTCTTTTGACAGTCAAGTCTTGCTGAGCGGCCGTCACATCCAATGAGTCGAGTAATTCATTTTTAAGTGCTTCCAGTTCTTCATTGAGATCTCTCTTTTGTTTCTCTGCCTTAGCTCTCGACTGTTTTTCACTTTCCAAGTCTTCTTGAAGTTCCAGTATCTGTGACTCCAATTCCCTCAACAGTTTACCCGATTGGGCCTTTGAAGCGCTCTCTTCATCACATTTTAGCAAAGCCTGTGATAACTCGTCCTCACGTTTCTGAAGCTGTGTCTGAAGCTCTTCGACGTGCAATCGTTTCTCATTTAACTGCTCTTTAATGTCGTTCAGCTCTGTTTCTAATCTTCTTTTAACTCTTTCGAGTTCTTGTCTGATCTGTTAATTAAAATATTAAAATTATTGTATAAAATAGTAATAACATAAAAAACAAGGTCTAATAATATAAATTATTATTTTGACAATTACTTCATCAATCAATGCATATCCGATATAAAATAATATAAATATTATTAATAAAATAAATAATGGAATCATTTATTAAATATATCATAAATATTACTAAAACTGACTAAACATTGTATATAAAACATTATTAAACTTTTAAAATTGTTACCAATTATGTCAATATCATATACGCCTACATCACTGACAACTAAGTTATGCCTTATCTAAATCTAAATCATTTAAAAATACGTCGCTTTCCTTATATTTAAAAATACGTATAAAATCTAAATTTTTAGTATATATATGTAATATAATGTAATATCTATTTTATTAATACAATTATTGGATAATACCGTAACCCACGACTCAATTATAGCATACCTGTTGCTCCTTTTTATGTCGATCCTCGAGATCAGTAATAGTCGCTTCGTGTTTGGCCTTCAATTTGCTTAAGTGTTTAGCCTTTTCTTCCTCTTCTGAGGCCAAATTGGATATCTCTCCCAATCTGTCTTCTAATGCTTTCTTTTCTTTCATTACTTTATTATTAGTATCTTCTAGAAGAGCATAGTCTTCCTCTAATTTCTTTGCCTTAGTATCCAAAGTAACTCTTTCGAGTTGAAGCTTTTGACGCGTTGACTCTTCTTCTTCTAACTGTTCCTCTAAGTCTTGGATGGTTTGTTGTAACTTTTTCTTTTCAGTAGTTAGTGATTGATTTCTTTCCTCTTCCTCTTCAATGCGCGCCTCTAAATCGTGAAGAATTTCTTCTAATTCTTGTTTACGCGCAGCGAGTCTAAGACGAGCTTCTTCTGCTTCGGCACAGAGTTCGGTTTCGGCCTGAAGTTGTTCGGCAATCATAGCCTTTTCATCAACCATTGTCTGAAACTTTTTCTCAATCTCAACGGCTTCTTGTTCTGCTTTAAGCATCTGTTCCTTAACTTGTTTGAGTTCATCTTCTTTTTCGAGAAGTTTATCTTCATGTTTGGTCACTTCAAGCAATGGTTTAACTTTGGTGTAGAGCCTCCACCAGCTCCAGTTGCGGAGCTTAAGATATGCGGCACAATTGCGCTGAAGTATTCTTATGGCATTTAACTGTTGTAAACGTTTTTGATAATTTCTTCGCGCCAATAGACCCCTACACCAGGCCTGGAAGTTCACTATGAGGTCAGATATTTTCATATCCCTTTCCTCTTCAAGTTGAGCCAAAACGCCGGCTCTAAAAAATATTTTACTTTGTCCGACTCTATATAAATTGGGATCCAAGTCGAGTGCGACAATCATCTTCTCACACGCCAACTTGCCGTCCATAAAACCTTTGGGTATGGCATTGGGGGTCAACAACTCGTATCGTTGTCTAAATTCTTGGAAAGGAATTCTATTTGGAAATCCTTGACGACAAATACGAATTCCTTCGAGTACACCATTACATCTGAGCTGATCCAACACAAGTTGTGCGTCTATTTTTCCGGCCTTTTTCTCGTGATTGGGAATAATACAGCGAACAAAGTTCGGGTTAGTGTTGCGTAATGTAACCATCAATTTGGACAGTTGATCCTTATACAATTGACTAACTGTGCGGAACATTCCTTTTCTAGTTCGGGCACCAAATTGAGTGTCGCCCATAGTGGCCACACCCATACCGACAATTTCGGCTACAATTTTTTTAAATAGAAATTTGGATCATTATATTAAATTATACAAATAATATATTATAAACTAACCATCTTTCCAGATCTGAACAACAAATGGATCCAAAGAGTTTTGTAAAAGAGAAACAACATTCTCATTTAAGGGATCCATATTTTTCATTAACCATTGAGTGGCCAAATAATCAACCTTTAAAAACAAGACAACAGTTGCTTACTTTGATATAATAAAATAATTATTATTATTAAATAATACCTTTCCTGCGTAATGAATTATACTGAAGTCAGCATTAGCTCTGAAATCGGATTTAATAAACTTTGGGTGCATATTGTGTGCCGAAACAAGTTTTTCAACAAATGTCTTATCAGTGGCTTTTGGAAACCAACATTCCTCATCAAGAAGTGCAAGGATTCCCATTGGCTTTAAAAGATAATTAAAATTAATTAATTATTTTGTGTTAATAACAAAAACAAATACCTTTTCAATCAAATCAATAGTTGGTTGTAAATCAAGACCGAAGTCAATAAATTTCCATTCTATGCCTTCGCGTTGATATTCTTCCTGTTCTAAGATAAACATCGTGTGATTGAATAGTTGTTGAAGTTTTTCGTTCGTATAATTAATGCACATTTGTTCGAATGAGTTGAGCTGAAAGATTTCAAAACCGGCGATATCGAGGATACCGATGAATGAAGCGCCCTGTCGTTTGGTTCGGTCTAATGACCGATTAATCCGATAGACTAACCATTTGAACATTCTTTCATAACAGGCTTTGGCAATGGCTTCGACCGCAGACTCCACTTGTTCTTTAGTCTGAGCTTTGGTCACATAGTCGCGACCAACTTTAAGTCTGGGTCTTAGGAATGCTTTTATCATTTCACTAACGTTTAGACCTAATAAATGGCTAACTTTTTGAGCGACAGTATTGTCTGGAAGTGTCGCCTGATCTGAATTCCTCTCCTGTTTGAACTTCATGTTACCGAAAAGTATAACAGACGAAACAACTCTGAATATAGCACTCAAGTCGTCGGGCGAGAGACCCATTATTTGCATGGCCTGAACAGTATTATTAAACTCCAGTGTTTCGTCAACTCCAGGCACGGGTACGTTACCATGAGTTAGGAACGTATAGTTTTTAACGTCTTCTAACAAAAATTCTCGCGTTTGTTCCGGTTGTGTCCCGTTTAACAATTGATAAAATATATGAAAACATCGCTCATCAACAGCTTGACGTATTGTACGCGACTTTTCTAAGAGGTCTACAAATAACAGACAAAGACATTATTATAGTTATTATAAATGATTGATACAAAAATCACTTACAGGTTTCAATATTAGCGCCGGCAATGAATCCCGAGGCGTCGAAATTAATTCTAATGAATTTCCCGAATCGGGACGAGTTGTCATTCTTGACAGTCTTGGCATTTCCGAAGGCTTCGAGTATAGGATTGGCTTTCAGTAACTGTTGTTCTAATTCTCCGATTATATTTGGCGGCGGAGGCGGAGTATGATATGAGTGTAGAGATGTGGAGGTCGACGTTCGTGGCTTAGATGAGGCCACATAAGCCAGATATTGAATCACTTTTTTAGTATTCTCGGTCTTACCGGCGCCACTCTCACCGGTACACAGTATGGACTGGTCTTCCCTGTCCTGAAGCATTGACCGATAGGCAGCATCAGTGACAGCAAATATATGTGGCGGCACTTCATGTCGTTTCTTGCCTTTGTATAACTCAATCACTTTATCGGTATAAATGGGAAGCTTTTTGTATGGATTGACGACAACACAGAACAGTCCTGAATAGGTGTAGATAAGGCTCGAGTAGTACCTGTCCTTTAGGTTGTGCAACACTGAAGCCTCGTTAAGACACGTCAGTTCGGCCATGTCTTCGACTTTGTTAAATCGCGGCGGATTCATCTTCTGGACATCATCTTTGGCCACAATGCACTTCTTGTTTGTGTCCACCACTTCCACTTCCAAGTCATCCTGTCTCTCCACTTTAACACTGGCCGCCACAAAACCCACCGATTCATGTGGTATCCAAACCAGTCGTTTGGCCGCCCATTCGGCCGCTTTTGTCGGATCACTCACTAGTGTCCGGTCAACGGCCAAAAACTTAAAGGTGTCGTCTCGGCTCACGTCCGATGACATGCTGTCTGTTCACCAATTGGTGTGACAGTTGCTGATGATTGCAATGATGATTATAGTAACGATTGTGTGACAGTTGACCACTAGTTTTATATATTGGATCAAATGTAGTGATTGTCGTCAACAATGATATTACTTATGATTTTATTAATAAATAAATAGTAAATAAATAGAAAAACATAAATCAAATTAAATTCAATAATAAGACAATCATTGCATTCATTGCAGTCATCAAACAATTGATCGTTTCATTCATTCATTCATTCATTCAATACAACACTCTCTCTAACTATTTCTATGTATTATTAGCCGTCAAACCAGTGCTTACTTACAGTAAAAGTCAGTTATTATTGACTAACAAAATATGGCTCAAAAGGCACGCCTCACACACACTCACACACTGTCACTAACACACACACACTGTTGAGAGTCATTCATGAATGACGTGTCAATAATAGGAGGGTTTCCTTATACAAGTGGTGCACATGAATGCTATTAAGCTTAACGTATATAAGGGTTTGCTATGTATGCAAACAAATGATTTGTGAATCAATTGTCAAATATTACATAAAACGTGACGAAAGGGATAAAAGTTTTAACGAAATGGCAGTCATTGGCAAACACTGTGATTGGCTGTCAGGCCTGTGATGGGCCGTCACTAAGCAGTCAATGCATTGATGAAAGTCATGTGAAATGGCATTACATTGTCTACCCCTCCCTATGATTGCCCCCACTATGACACCCATCCCATCATTGAAGTATTAGTACAATAGGTAAGGTATCCCACAGTGTGTTAGAGATACACCAGTGCTGCCAAACTCTACCGGAAACTTAAACTCAACTATTTGTGTGAACAATATATTTGTATTAAAATAGTTTTGAAAACTTTTTTTTATTATTATTATTGATTTACATTATGTATTGAATAAATGTGAGACACTTAACACTATATGTCAAATGTTTGCATAACTTTTGATTTAACTTAACAGCGATTCGCAATATTTTTTTTATTATATTAGTTATAATAGTCTAACACTAATATAATTAGTTATAAGTTATAACTAAAATATAATAAATTTTTGACGATAAAATTTTGTGGATAATTTTGAAAATGCAAAATAGATATAAATTTTTATATAAACTATATATACAGGTATATACTGTATATAAAGATTGCAATTAACATAATAAATGTAGAATTATGCATAAAGTATTTAAAAATACTGTTTTTTATTTTAACAAATATTTACCTTAAACTATATGTGAATATGCCATGTGTACTTTTCAATTGTCCCTGATAAAAATTATCATATTATCATTTTTAAAATTATAATTTTTATCCATATTTTATATTTTATTTTATATTTTATATATACTTCAATTGCATTAAATTTTATTATTTATAAATTTAACTATATTATAAAAGTATATTATTTATGCTCATATACTAGAATATTAATTATTAATTACTCATTTTTTTGGTCAAATATCATACCTAAAAATTATCAAACAAATTTAATAGACATTCAAACAGTTTTATATATTATTAATTTTAATATATGATAATACAAATAAAAAGATTTAGTTGAAAAAAATATAATATTTTTTTTATATAATATATAGAAAAGTGAAGGTCTTTTTATTGATCACTCTATTACTACCACTACTATTGGTTTGCCATATATAGTGATCGATATTCTCTAATAATGTATTAAATTCACAATTTTAAAGCAAAACAAAAGCAAATGCAATGATTTCATAAATCATATAATGTATTTAAAAAGCATAAAATATTAGGAAAAAAACATAACAACAAAATAAATGTTGAAATACTTTACACAGGATTTCGTGAAAATTGAGTTTCTTATGGAAACACAAACCAAAAAACCAGAACAGGATTTGATTTTATGAAATAGTCGACACTTATCTAACAAAAACAATAACTATAATATTTTTATGATATTATTATTATTATTACCAAACAATCTTAATGATAAAACACATTCACTGTTATTCATAAACTTTTTTTGATTATTATGAAAAAAATAAATTCATCTAAATTCTGACTAATATATAAAAAAATGTTTTGAATTCCAATGTACTTTATATATACTAATATATATATATATATACTATTGATATATTAATATTTAAATCATAAATAAATTGTTATAAAACTAAGTCACCGAAATCACATAATTATAAACATAATTATTATTTTAACTATGGGTTATTTTAAAAATAAAATTGATTTAGTTATTATTTACAATCAATTTTTCATCAACATTTCTATAACAATAAATATTATTTAAAATAAATTATTTTATATATATACTGTTTATAAAAAAAATAAACTAAAACTATATGCAGAATATTTGAAACTAATTTAGTAATATTTTTGTGCTTAAAATTCAACACTTGTTTCACATTCAATGTAAAGGTATTTGATGGGGGAAACAGACAAATAAAGTTATATACGATATATTTATCACATATACACTATTATACAACATTTATAATATTAAAACATTTTTCAACAAAAATTTATAAACACACATAAAACTCAAATCGCATATATTTTTTTCAATTAATTTTATTGTTTGATCTTTTCTTTAGAAAAATTATTATATTTATAACAACATATAATAATGTCTACAATAATATCGTTAAAAGTCATTTCGCCAAAACTTTTCTATTAATTAATGTATGATTTAAAAAAAGAATTAAATATATATTTATAATTATATGTATATACTATAGTATATATAGTACAGTAATTTGTTTGGTGTTTAAACAAAAAATGCAAAATAATATATTTTTAAGCAAATATTTATATATATATATATTAATACCAGAGTATTGATTTATACAGTAATTTAATTTTTGCATTTTATAGCACTGGACAGGTATTTGGATGACATCTAACATGATATATATTATATAACATGTTTTATCATTAACTCTCAAATATATAAACAATGATGACAATATAATAATACGAGTTTTTACTACAACTTGTTTTACAATCAATTTTTTTTAAATTACCGGTATACTGTAAATACAACTATATATGCAAATTAAGCAATTATCAAATAAATTTAAAAATATTATATATCAGTTGTTGTCCAAAATATCCATTGTTTGATAAACTAAGTCTCAGGTTTAATCATTTACCACTTGCCAACTAAGTCTCTCATAAATCAATACTCTGTTAATAATTGTTCAATAAATCATATATAATGTTTGTTTTAATATAAACTAAAATTAAATTATAAGAGGTGTTAGTAATATTAGATAATGAAATAAATGAATTGTTAAACATAATTATCCTACAAAAGTCAATTAAAATAACAAAAATTATATATATTCTAAAATTAAAACATGATTCATGTGTTTGCATTTTTTTGAAAAGATATTTAAATAACTGCTTTTTGTTTATATTTATATATTATTATTGTTGTCTGTTATACTGTATATAAGACATTAATCTTTAATATATAGTTTGGAAAGACTTTAAAAATTCGATCAATAATTAACAGAAAATTAATCAATTAATGAGCAATAATTGAAATAATTATAATAATAATAATCTATTGAATTAATATTAAGAAAAGTTCAATTAAAAGCTAATTTCTAAAATATTTTAGACATTTGGATGACTAGAAAATTCAAAACTAACTTATTTAATGTAAAAATTTTGTTATATAATTGTTTGCATTACTTTTTGCTCAAATTGAGTGTTTGTTTGTTTGTTTGTTGAAGTGATGAAATTAAACCATTACCGTAATTCACAAATGAATCGATGACTTAATCATTCAAATGATATCATATATTATTTCCAAAATCCGTTTAGTAGAAGAAAAGGCGTTTGTTTTGGAGGTTCAATCGCTTTATATATTTATATATTAAATATTAATAATAAAAGACCTAAAAGTTGTATTTCTATTGTTTTTTTTTGTTTGTGCGAATAGTTCGACACTTCAAACAAATACAGTATATATTTATATATCAATTATTAGACCGATAGTGAAATAAGTGAGTTATAGTGCTCTAAATTGCGCTTCAATATGTCAGCGCAGGGACCTAACAGTCTCTCAAAGCGAGCCCTGTCTAGTTTGACACATTTAAGTGGTCCTTTAGCCACAACAGTTGCCGCTCGCGGTCTGTCCAGTAGTAATGCAATCTCTCCGAAGTAATCAGATTTGCCGAGTCTTCCCACCTCTACCTGTGGTTCATCAGCTGAACGCCGCTGTAATACTACTGCAGTGCCTTCTTCTATAACATAGAAATCATCGCCCGGTTCTCCTTGTTTTACAATAATGGCGCCGTCATTGAATTGGACAGGTGTTAGGGCGTCGGCAACAGTTAATCTCTCGTAATAATCCAGACTCTCTGCAAATAAGTTAAAATTCATTATAAGGTAAATAAAATCAATAGTGTTATCATAATTGAATGCTTACCAAGAATTGATACTTTGGATAAAAATTCTTCATAAAGTTTGCGTTTCCTAATAATACTTCCCATAAGAATTCGTCGATATGTATCTCTATCGATGGCCCACAGTTTGACTATATGTTTTGCTTTGACTGTAGCAGCACGTGGTGTACCGTAAATAAGCGCCAATTCACCGAAACTACCTCCCTCTCCTACGCTTGTGACACATACATTGTTAACATAAACCTGTATATCACACACATAATTATGTCTATTAATATATGGATATCACTATCGGTAAGTATTGTATGATATAGTCAAACACATTACCTCAACCATTCCCTCATCAATAACATAAAAATTGTCGCCTTCATCCCCCTGTTTGATGATAGTTTCTCCGGGATTGTGAATCACAGCAAACATTGCATCAAATATATCACTTTTTTGATTATCATCCAAATGCTTGAATAATACATTTTTAGACATCGCTTTCTCAAGAGATGCTTTTGCCTTATCGTCTTTGGGCACAACCTGTGATGACAAACACAACAAATGTTATTCAATAATATTATCGGTAATTATGATAATAAATAAATACCTTTTTAACATAATTTTTGATATCATCTTCATTGTAAGTCTCAGCAGACACGCCACCCCTCCTGATACGTGCATTCATAGTGGGAACGGGTGACAACTCTTCGTCGCGATCGTTATCTGGAGAAGTGGGCGCTTTCTGCTTGGCTTTAATTGCTTCTTCCTTTTCAATCAATTATCAATAGTTTTATTATTACTAATTATCTTTAAAACTAATAGATTTTAGCATTAAATGTAAACTAATACTAAATACTCAAAATATGTTTAAATATAAAATTTAATTTATATGATTACAATTTTTTTATAAATATTACCTCAAATAATTACAAATTTATTTTTTTTAATACATTCATCAAAATATAAGAAATATAATAAAATTATTATTAATGTTAATTACGTCAAATCTGATTTTGAATATATATTATATTGAATTGTTTTAACAATAATAAAAAATTTTAACTTTTATTCTATATTATAACTTAAACTTAAATTTATCTAAATTGCCTTAAAATACAATTTTAAAATCATAAAAATTCTTTATGAATACCAATATACCAAATATTTTACATAAAATTAATTAATATATCCTAAATTATTTTTGCAAATATTAAAAAAAAACAAGAATATAAACAAAATATTTACAGTTAACCTGGTTATTTACCATTTTTTTAAAGTGTAAATATAAGTTAGCAAAAAACGCTAAAATAGATTTAAAATTAATTAACAAAAATTAAGTGCACACATATACATATATACTAACAATTTTGCTACAACTAAATATACTAAACATAAATAAACAGTTGTAAAATAAATATATGGCAAAAAAGACATATTATCATTAAAATTTTAATTTGAAAAGATATTTTTAGCAGTAATTATTCATGTCAACACAATCACTATTTATGTAATGTACTCATTAACTATTAACCATGCTTATTCATAGGTATCCAACAAAATCTAATCTATTATATAGTCAACAAATAATTACATTTTTGGTTAAAATGTTTCAAATTTTCAGTATAATTACATTAAATTTTATTGTATTCATAATGTGATGAACACTGCAAGTGTCAACACTAAAAGTTTTAAAAAAATAATTTCAAACATATTTATTGCTATTAATATTATTTAATCTACAATAATATCATAACAAATGTGTTATGAATACATAGTTTGTCGCTTAACTTCATTAATGTAATGATAACTTTTAGACTCAATAAAAAATGTATAACTTTACATAAAATGTTACCATTTGTTTAGTCATTTATATGCTATTAAAAATTAATTTTTAAAATAAATGAATTCATTTAATTCAATGAGTAAATCATTTGCATTAATGAATCGACACATTCATTGCATATAATACTGTACAACAAATTTATTTTAAAAGTCAATTATTGGTCAATCAATTAAATCTATTCAAGTAAACCCGTATTTCATAAAATAAGTAAATCTCACTTAAAGCCTATTATCACATGTAATACCATAATATATGGTACTCTAATAGATATGATTGTATAATAGCAATACTATAGATAAGGTGCTATACGTTTGACATACTTTAACATTGCAAACCATATACACCACCGTTATGTGAGCCCATCCCACAGTCAACTTAAATTAATTAAAGCAAAAATGCAAATCATTTTCATTTACATTATCATCAATATATTAATTAACTAAATAATTAATATTAATTCATAATTATATATCATATTCATTCAAAACAATGCACTTTCTGTTACTAATATTTAAAAATAAATAACACAAACATTACAATAATTATTATCATATGATATATAGTAATTGGATATTAAGTTTTAAAACAAAATTATTATTAGAAATAATTTTCTAAAAACATTTAACTAATCGTTTAAAATTCAAAATAACTAATTGATTATATATTTGAGACCAATTGTTGGTGATGTCCACAACAACAACAATAACACACTGTTTGACATTTGGCTGACACATATAAGACACATATTATTAATTAATTGATACATAATTTTTAAGATATTTCATGTGTATTGATATGACAATTGATCGGTCAATCACTTAAATGGTTGACAATATCATCAAAGAAATGGTGTATCAAATAGTGACTCACTTTTTCCAAGACTTGGAAGTATTCCCTGAGAAAAGAGATGGGATTTTCAGGTCTGCCGACGCATAGCTGGACAATACAGTCTTTAAGGATCTGTTGAATGTTATGTCTTTGGACGTATTGTTCGCACTCACGAAGACTCTGTTCTTCATCAGCGGAGTGAGGATGTGATTGATGTGACTGAGAGGACGCCATATTTGATACTAAAAACTACTGTATTATACATATAATAAATGATATGTTATATCAAGTGATTACACAATCAATACATACATACATACAGTCAGTCAACACAACACTGACTGCAAGTCATATAATAATACAGTCAATAGAGAAACACATTTACACTGACATACAGTACTATACAGTATTATACACTCATATTAAGAGTAATGCAATCTATGAACAACTCATACATACCATCACTCAATTGTCATGTGATAAACATTGCCGTCAATAGCAATGACGTCACACATATTGACTGATCACTTGAATGACTTAAATGCTATCAAAAGGTTTTTCAATGAAAAAAATCATTCAATTATTTATTCAATACATCAGTGTTTTGTCTCATAAACACTGTGTGCCTAACCATTGAATTAGCCATTGATTTGCATAGTATTTCCTATGAAAAACTACTTATAAAACATTTATACAGTAGAAAAACATTCAAAAGTTAATCGAGTTATTCAAGTGTGTAATACTCTAATAATACAATCCCTATTACAGGTGCTTCAAGTGCTAGTCCTTTATATTTATTAATATTAAAATAAAAATCAATTAATCTTAAGAGACGTTGAAAAAATTGATTAATTTTTTTGAAATGTTTTGCATTTTGAATCAATTAAATCAAATGTATTCATGGCTTGCATTGCATTTGATGTTTGATAAACACGTCAATCAAAACGACAATTCATATTTATTATTAAATATAAAATCAAAATCTATAATTATTATTAAATATATAATTATTTTAATATTTAGTTATTAATGTTAAATACAAAAATCGTTTTCATTTAATGTATTCAATATAATAATCAAATACACTATCAATTGTTTATAATTTGCGAAATAACTTCAGACTTTTGTCTTCTAGTCGTCGTTTTCATCGATAGTAGTGATCTCTTCCTTAATCAAGAACTCTACTGTTTCTTCAGTTTCGTCATCCTCTTTGTCTTCAATATTGTCTTCGGATCTCAATTCGTTTCTTCTCTTTTTGGTTGTATTAAACATTCTCTCATTCTTCTGGCGATTCTCTTCGAACTCTTTCATCAATTTTTGTCTCTTTTCCAACATATCTTTGGAGACCTTCGAGAGTGCCATTCTGTCTTTAATGTCAAACTGTGCGCTGTATTGCTTCAGATTTTTCTTAATTTCCTTGATTTTCTCGTCAGACAACAGTGTCGGTGGTCGTGGTCTCCAAAGTAATTGACAGAAGCGGTCGAGATTGTGCTTCCGTATGAGTCGCCCTTGAAATGACCACAACCAGTAGGAATTGTCCACCTATTCATTATAAACGGCTATTTTTAATAACTATTTATCAAATATTAAGATAATAATGCTTCAGACCTTATGCGCCCAATTGCTAACTCCTGTAGTGACATATCTGCCGGTTGGATCCCATTCAACATCTGTCACCTGGAAGTGATCCGTTGTATTGGTAATCGTAAAATCAGATGTGTCTATGAATTCTAATGTATGGGCAGTTGATCTAAGAGAAGCTAATACTATAAACTGTCCGGAAGGCGACCAAAATAAATGATTGCATTGTTTTGAATCAAATTTCTCTGATAATTAAAATCATAGATAGAATTAAGATATATAGAAACAAACAATATATATATATAATTGTCTCACTTAATAGGCTAACAGTTACTCCGGATTTAATGCCATAAAAGCTGACACTATATGTTGATGGACCTTCTCCATGAATTATGGCAAATTTATTTCCTACCGGTTCCCAACTGAATGCTACGATTTGCTCTTTAATTTCTAGACTATCGACTGGTATTTGTTTTTCTCTCATATGAAACACTTCAAAGTTGAAGTACATTCCACTATATTTGAATTCATTCTTCTCCTTCTTGGCCTTTGTATATCTGTCTACTTTGACACACAAATAGTCACCGCATTTCTGCCAATGCATCTTACAATCGGCAACATTGAACAAATTCTTGGCTCTGATTTCATTACGCGATGGTATCTCAATAAGAGTGACCCGAGCCGGTACGTTCTGGTCTTCGGCCACCCAATAGGCCAGAATGTTCTGTGATGGAGACCACGTGAAGTTACGAATGCCGGCAATCTTTGTTGACTTTTTATCTAATAAACCAAATGACGGCGTTTCATAAATACTAAGTGAATCGGCGTAAATGCGGGCAAAGTATTTGTCATCAAAAGACCATTTAAATATCGGCCAAATGAGATGTTGCGAAGGATCGGCACTAAACGCTCTTTTCTTAGTTTGTGTCCTTATATCCCAAATAATGATAGCGTTGGCGTCATTAGCCATAACAAGTTGTTGGCTTAATGTAGTAATGTATTTCTCACACGGACTGAAGTCAATTAGGTTGACACTGTCGTGAGCAAATCGGGCCAATTGTGTAAAATCTTCGCCGCCCCACAAAGCTATTCCTCTTTTGTGAAATGTTGCCATATATGTTCCCAAAGGTGACCATTGAATATTCTGTTCGGTCCATAATTTCCTTTCTTTAAGAAGTGATGGTTCTGGTGTTGAATTGAGAAAAACGGCAGTCATTTCGCCGGCTTCGTAAAGAACAGAATATTGGTCATAACATTCGGGTTCAAAAAGCCAATAGTAAAGGTTCCCTCGGGTGCTGTACTCCTGTATTTGGGGATCTTCTATCTCATCGGGAATATTAACATATTTGTCAATATCTGTGAACTGATTCACTGCAAATACATGCTGTTTGTCGAGTTTGTGTCCGTCATATGTTTTGACCGCATCTAACGCTTGTTCAGGATTTTCATATTCAAAGAAGACATATCTATTGATAATAAAAATAAAGATCAGTAAAGAAATATTTTTTTAAATAAAAATCATATCTAACCCTTTGGTTTGATTAGTTTCATCTAATGGATAAAATTCGTTCATTATTTTACCACATTTCGAGAAAAGTTTAAACAATACAGTCTTCAATTTTTCGGCCCTTTCGGGACCAACTTGTGGTATGCGGTCAACAATCACTACATTTTGGAGACCCGACTGTTCTGTCGGTTTCTGCCGCAATAAATGGGATAAAAGATCTGTAAAATGAATATAAAAAATCTTAATTACATTTTAAATAAAAATAGATTTTATGAGTTAATATAATAATAAAAATGTATTAATTGTCAATAAATGGCTATATTTTGATGGATCAGCCTTTAGGTGAACTCATTACAAGTCAATGTAAAAAGCAGTGAACACGTGGATAGAGACACACATTATATAATGTATGCGTTTTTAAAACACGCGTCACTTCATATCAAGACATCACCGGCAGATCAACTCAAAGACACAGTTAACCACCTAATTAGTTAACAATTGTTAATCAAAAATAAGTGTCTTAAGTGTGTCTGAGTGTTGATAATTTGATGCCGAAATTAGTGACAATTGATATTATTGTATTTTCAAATGTCATTGTATTATCAATACCTTCATCGGTAATATCGTCGACAAAGTCTTCTGGATCACTGAAGTCGGGTTCTTCATGAAATCCATTCTCTAAGTGTTGTTTCTTGAGTTGGATGTCATTGTTTTGGTCGTTGTCATCAACGGCCTGCAGATCTCCTGAAGCCATCTTTGAATGATATGGTCTATGCGTTCACAATCTCTATACATATCACTCATAGAGGGCTCTATAAGTACTGTATAGACTCTGTATATACTATAGAGTCTATAGACTCTAATAATGTATTTTAACACTAGTTTCAAGATTATCATATAAAATCAAATTCATAATCAAATTTATTATTATCTATTAATATACTAATATTTTTTGACAATCATTATTATTTGAGTAATTAAATTAAGTACAATAAATATTTTATTTGTATGAATTAATAATAATAATAATAGTTAACAGTGATAATAGTATATATATAATATTAATTAATTATTTAATCATAAATGTTAACAAAATATAACATAAACTTATTTAATATTAACAATTTAAGTACTGTATATCACATACAGTTATTTTTTAGATACAATGAGATAATTTACAGTAAATTTTTTTATGTAAATAAAAGCTAAATCTATAAAAAAAATTAAAATAACTACTAATTTATAAATATTACAACAACTATACAATAAACAATAATTACAAATAATTAATTATATTAAATCATATCATTATTCAGTTAGATATCTATTAGTATAGAATGAATTATGAATTATCATTGTTTCTTAATTTTTATATCATTTAATTTATATTTTGTTTAAATGATTAATTCAATTAATGAATTATAATACAGTAATACATTAAGTATTACATTATTAAACAATACATTATATTGTATGTATATTTATCGGATATTTATTGGACAAAAAATGTAATGTCTATTATTTGATTGTACTGTACATAGAATCTATGTATATATACCTATAGGTCCTACTGTAGATAATTACTGTAGTTATATTACAATTGTTTAAATCTATAAATTAACCTTTTGATGACATTTTAATTACAATAATAATTTTTTTTGAAATATAAATTAATAGTTATAAACGCATAAAAATGTTTTCTAATTTTTAAAAATAATTTAAAAATATGGTTTTTTAATCTTTACTTTACTATAGTGTTAGTTTAGTTTATAATATTTACAAATTATAATTGTTCGCTTATATATATATTTTTATTTATTTATATTGTATTTGATATTGAACTAGCCGTTACAATATAATACAATTAATTCACAGACAATTAAATTGTTCAATAATTTTAGAGCATTAGTTTTAGCACCTTTTAATACAATTAATTTTATAAATATATATTTTAAATTTATAAATTGTTCAACAATTATATTTCATTAAATAAGATTTAATTATAAATACTGTATAACTTTTTAATCATCTATTAAATACAACAATATTTTTTTTTATAAATTATTACTTTTTTGTTTAGTTTAAGTAACTATTTTTTTAAATTAAATTATTTAATTATGTTTATAACTTTATATTTCTAATTAAACAAATAATTTTAAAATAAGCTCGATTTTATAGTTAGAATTACTGTATGATAATAATAATAATCATAAAATAATAATAGTTGTATCACATTATAATTTTTTTAATAACTTCAAATATAATATTATAAAATAAAAAAGATTGTACTTTAAGTTTCTGAATAAAATTTTATATTAAAATATAATCAATAGTTTAAATGAATAAAAGGTTATAAAAATAATTATATAATTATTAATAATATAAAAGATTATTTAGTTTTTCGTTCACTGTTATGATGTAATGTAGATATAGATCCGTTTACGTCGACTGTTATCTCATAAGATAAAGGACTGGGAGGACTGACCTCAACATTGGAATAAGTAGTATTGTCGTCAATATAAGTGGATCTCCTGGAAGTGTTGGCATCAGTATTAGAGTCGTGTTTGTTGAATGGTATGAATGAATATTTAGCAAAATATCTTTTCCAGATTCTCCTGAAATTCAATGAATAACTTCCGTAAACTAATGGATTGACACAAGAGTTGGAAACGGCAAACATGAATAGTGTGTTTTGTAAGCCTTTATCCAATTTTTTGGCCGTTTCTGAATCAATCTGATATAATAAGACAATGAAGACATATGGTGTCCAACACCAGACAAATGCTAATACAATGATTAGAGTCATTCTGAGAGTCCGGGTTCGGGCCCTCTCTATCTGTGTGACGTCCGATCGTCTCAAATGCATTCGGTTTCGAGTTATCGACGAATTATTTAATCTCTGGCTTTGAGTTTGTCGTGATTTGCAATTATATTCAGACGATATTTGCTTATTATTACTCGATTCACCACTTTTTCCTAAATTTAAACATAAAATCAATTAAAAATATTCAAAGAAAAGTAAAACTATTTTTTTATAAGTGTAACCTTCAGACGATTCTTTAGATCTGCGATATATTTCCCATAATATTCTGGTATAACAACAGATTATTATAAGAAGTGGTACCACATAGAGAGCCATTACACAGAATATATTATAGAAGGTCTCCTTCCAAGCGGTTTTGAAGAAGTTGAAAGTAACGCATTGTTCAAATTTAGGATAATCTGGATGTGACTCAACGTGATATATCATACTCTAAATTTAAATTATTATTATTTGTAAAATTGCTTAATTTTTTATAATTGAAAATATAATATTTTTCAATTAAAAGACATACTTGTGGTGCACTGCAGGCAATGCTTATAATCCATGAAAAAGATAACATGATTTTGCTTCTTCTGTGGGCATCATTTACTTTTAACGGATGTATTATAGCAAAGTATCGATCAAATGAAATGCAGACCAATACCATTGATGACAAATACGGTCCAAAAGCACGTAAAGCCTGTAGTAGTCGACAAGCGAAGTCTCCAGCGATCCACGACTCGGTGATTCTCCAGCCGACCTCAAGAGGAATCATTATGAATGTGACAATCAGGTCAGCGATGGCTAAATTAAATATCAATAAATTGATTCTCAATTTTCGATTACGATTTCGCAATAATGCCGTAAAAACGGATATATTTCCAGCGGCAGAGATGACAAACAATATACTGTAAATAATTATATCTCGTTTTGAACTATTTTCCACATCTTTAGGCACACCTTCCAAATCATTATCAATTGATTGATTATAATAGGAAATGACAGACATTGCGATTCAATTGGTGGCAATTCAATCGCTACGACAAAGCGATCTCAATTGGTTTATCAAAATTGATTACAATTATGATGTGCTTCAATGATAAGCTAATTTATATATAAAAAAGATGGATGTTTTGTATAGAATATCATCAAATTTCAGACAGAATATGCATTTATGTCTTTGCGCACCATATAGTCATCTCTCTCTCTCTCTCTCTCTCTCTCTCTCTCTCTCTCTCTCTCTCTCTCTCTCTCTCTCTTTCTCTAAGCTCAATAATATACAGAATATTCTTCAATATATAATGTATAGAATATAATATTTATTTTAAAGATGTTATGCGAACATTATATTTATGAATCACTATTATTATAAATTACTATAAAAGCGCATCACATGAATTCATATTCCAGTATATGATGTACAGTATATAATGTAATGTATGATATTGTATAATACATATTGTATGTAATATTGTTGATTACGATAAACTAAATGATTATAAGTGTTTTAATATTTATGTAAATTAAGTTATATAATGAATTTATATAATGATAGTACGAATTATGAATTATATAACACTTTGAATTATTAACAATAATAAAATTTAATCAATTGTCTCTTTAGAAACAATATTCTGTATAAAAAACTAATTAATTATTTATTATGATTAATAATTTTTTTGTTATATAATGTTATATAATAGTTGTCATAAGATAAATGAAAAACATTAGTTTAAAAAAATTAGCATGATCATTATTTTTATTTTTAAATTTAAATTATATTAAAATACTTACTTTTATAATGCGATACAATTAAATAATATGAATTAAAATGATTTTAAAATCAATGAAATTAAAATATTTTATAATAATTAATCATTTAATCATATATTCAAAATAATAATTATTACTTTATGTACATTCATTATAAAGAGTGAATAAAAAGCTTTAGATAATAGAAAAATTTATTATTTATTTATTTTTTGTTTAAAGTTATTTTTAAATAAAATAATAATTAATTAATAAGTATTTAAAGATTACAAATAGAGAGATCAAACTTATGTAAAGAGAATTAATTGAAGACATGTTTGTAAAGAATATATACCGTAGTATACTATCATTAAATTTGGCTTAAAATTAAATGTGGATTTTAAAAAAGATTAAAATTTAGATTATCTAAAAAATAAATTTAAATATGCTGTAATATTATAATAAAAACATTAAGATATTGTAATTTTTAAAAATAATTAAAAAGCCTATACAGTATTGTAAATGTTTTTTAGCAAATTATTGCGTTACATGTATATTGAAATTAAGTGCAAAATGAGAAAAATTGCTTAAAAACTTCTCTCAAATTTAAATTACAAATAATTATATTGTTGTTAGTTATTGTCATTGTTTTACATTAAGTTATCAATTTAATTAATAAGTTTATTAATAATAAAGTAATTTAATAGATTTATCAATCAATAAACGATATATTTGTAGAAAAATTCAATTATTTTTTTATATAATAAAAGTCAAAAATTCACGTCAAATTCATGTCATTTAGTCGCCAAAAATACTTGCAATCAAAAGTGTGAAAAAACAATTCATTAGAACAAAACAAAAACATTTCATTTCATGTTAACAATAATAAAAAATTTATATTAACATTAAAACGTATTATATATTATATAGATATAAGATATGAAAACATAATGTTATAACAATTATATGCGAATCAATTTTAAGCATTCATTGATTCATCCAATAATAAAAATTTATATATATATATACTGTATATAATATGTATATAATATATTTGTAAATATTTAAATTTTATATATAAATAATGAAATTATATAAAGTTTTTTTTAAACTTTTGAATGTCTTAACAGTTATTATACAAATGAAGATTCAATGGCATTACAAAAACAAAAATTTATAATAATTACGGTATAAAAAATTAATCGTAAGGACTGTACAAAAACTTCATTCAAATCATTTACAATTATAATATTTACAATTAAAATTATAATCCATTTGAAATAAAATTATTTACAACTCATGATAGGTTCTAAATAAAAACTACAAATAAAAGTAATATTTGCATTATAATAAAAAATGCAAAAAATGTCTAATAAGATAACTAACGTAATTGAAAAATATATGAAAACAAATAACAAAATTAATTCAAACCAAAGCTATTGAAGTATAGCTAAGAGCGCTCTAAACGAAACGTCTCCTCATTGCTGGAGTCAATATCGGGCAGTATTTGCAAGCCGTCGAAGTCGATTGGATCCAAACCAGCTCTTATGGCCTCTTCTGCTGAAGGAAATAAATCCGAATCGAAAGAGCCCGACATACCGGCCATCGCTGTTCCAATATCTTTAGCAAAGTCTGTTCCTCTAAGCAATGGGTCTTCAATATTGGGTCCTAATATACCGGTTAGTGTAGTATTAATTTATATATTAACTATTAAACAATATATTCAAGTATTATAGATTTACCGGTGAGAATAATATCAGGAATACTGGTAGGTGTTTGTGGCGTTTGTGGCTGATTTGAAGCACTCGATTGCTGGTATTGATTGACTGATGAGATCACGGACTTGGAATAGGCCAGAGTAGGCGATTGATTCAATGGTACCGAACTCGATGAGGTGTAGTATATATTACTCGATTGGCTGTAGCTTTGATGACTATTTGCACAATTATTGACCAATGATTGAGGAGAGTGTGGCGTATGTTGTGGTGAATACTCATTTAACGTAGCGTTTGTGTCAGTCATAGTTCCGCGAGGAGATGATGGTATGGCACTGGCACTCATATAAAGAACACCAGTGCTAGAACTGGCACTACTGCTTGATGAGTGAACTGTTCCGTTGTTGGGCATCTGATACAATACAAATTGATTGTTTAAAACTGGTAACAAATAATTATATAATTAATTAGTTACAAACCATTAAGTAATGATCAGCAGAATCATTGATTTTATCGTTAACCATACGAAACTGTTCCAATTGTTGCTGCAAAACACTCGTTTGTTGTACATTAAAGTATGAGTTATCAGTAAAAGGACTTTTGCTTAGATTATTGTTTGGTAAACCAGGAGAGCTTATAGGAGAGATGTTATGGGAGACTGGAGATGCCGGTGCACTGCATGAATGGTCTGAAGGAGTCGTACTTCTATGTAATCCCATTGTCATATGCTGTCAAATAAAACAAAACAAATTAGTTAAAGTAATTATAGACATTTAAAAATGTATACAACAATAATATCAAGTATTTGATTAATACCTGCAATGGAGAGTTAGTTTGTCTTAAAGACAAAGGTGTCTGTGGTTTTGGCTGTGCTTGTGGTGGCACTGATGGCACATAATTTTGGCTCTGATGATGCAAACTCTGGTAATGCTCTGATGGAGAATAGCCCATTGATGGTCCTCCGGAGGAAGTCACATAATTTTGTGAATTACCATTAAGTGTTAGAGCACTTGTATCCAAAGTCAAACCCTTATAATAATTTTAATTTAAACAAATTTTGTTATAATTTAAATTTAAAAAGAAATAAATTAACATCAGATTAAAGCAGAGATAAGGCGTTTAGAGAATAGATTTGCAAGTTTTTAAAAAGTTATTAATAATTATGTCGAGACAATTGAGAGACGTTTAATGTTTAACAACAAACTAAGATAATTGAAGAACAGTGAACAACATGTATGTGCGACGCCTTACCTCTACAGTAATCCGCGGTGGACTGTGAGGATAACCTACTGTTTGCGAGTGCAGACCATTTGTATGGTGTTGATGCCTGGGATTACCGATCACTAAGTTATTAATATTGTGATGATGTCGACGACGTGATGATGTTGGAGATGGCGATGGCCCGGGAGATGTACTCATCTGTCGATGATTCGAGTTATTTATATTTATGGCTTCGCTTATAGAGCTAACGCCTCCACCGGTGCGCGATTGATACAACATATTATTGTTAATTTGATGAATCGCCATCGGGGGTGAGGGAGATAGGTTTGCATTACTGTGCGGTGAATGAGGAGAATAAGGCGAGTCAGGGCCGCTCTGATAGGGAGAGTTGGGCTGAATGTTGGCGTTTTGGTCGTCAACATCTATTGGCGTCGAGAGTGGCGCAGGAAAATGAAGACTTGTTAAGTCAGGTAAAGATCCCGTATTTGAAGAAATGGGAATATGTGGCATATGATTGTTAACAAAATTGTAGTCCTCTTGAGTCGGACATATCATAATACCGGGCACTTCGCAAGACTTGGGTCGCGAGTGATCAGGCAGTGGAGCGTTGAGTGCGTACTTGTCATACCTGTCTTTTCCCGGATCCCATGAATTTATGACTCCTGAATCGTCGATAGACATCGAGGTGTTGTCCATATCATGAAATGTACTTCTTCTGGAAATTGAGTTCTGGAAGGCCTCCAATTGTTGATTCGTCGACATGAGTGCACTCTGGTGTAGGGCTGAGTCTGAGTTAGTTCGTCTCCAACTTGTGTCGGGCGGTGGACTCAAATAAGTGGCCGAATTTGGAGACATCGTTACACGCTTTTGGTCCAACTGTAATGCAGATGTATTATTATGTGTGACACCTAATCTACGGTTACTATTGTGGTCACTAATGCCGGTCTTATTTCTTACATTTCGACGACCCATGCGGTCATCCCTTCCGTGCTTTATGTCCTCTAAGTTATTAAGAGCTGATTGCAAATCTATTGCCGATTTATTAACACTTTGTCCAATTTGGTTAACATTAGGCAAAGATCCGGCCCTACAAACCATCGATGAAGATATATGCAAATGTTGCGGACTCTTGGGATAAGTCGGTCCCTAATTGGTAGACATTCATATATTTATTCATAAATTTATAGTTTTTTATTAATTAATCAAAACATTAATACATATAAAATAATGTTTTGTTTCATCTCAAGGCCATTAAAAAAAACTATACAACAATCATGTGTTTGCTATTAACTATTAATTGATATTTTTGGAGGAAAATAGCTTTTAAAACTTTTATTATTATCATTGGGATATAATCTATTAAATGTAAAATTAAATTGTATCAAATTTTTCACTAAAAATCCTATTATCATATTTTACAAAAACATTGACTAATTATAAAAATAATTTTTATTAGTAATACATTTGAAAAATATAATTAATTAAAATATCAATTTATCATTTAATGTGTTATTGAATAGTAATGTAATGATATTGCCTTACATATCATATTAGAAAAATAATTAATTAATTAAAATCTAATAAAAATTAAATAATTTTAATATATTTATAGACTTATTATTTAGCATAACATTGATTATTACTTATTATTATAACGGCAATCAAATTAATGCAAAAAAACCTAATCTAAGAGCATATCAAAGATATCAATAGCCAAACACTGATTAATAATTAAGTGTTTGTATTGACAAAGTGGTCATCGATGGTGTGATACATACTCTTGTGGCTCCAATCACTTCCCTCATGATCTGTTCAAAGGCGGCCGTCTCTTCTGCCTGTTTTTGGTTGTGAAGAGCGATCTTTTCGCTGAATTTGCGAGGATTTGCGGCCATTGTTGTCGTCGGCGATACACTCGATGGTCACTTCAGTTAAATCATTAAAATGTTTGGTTGCCTTCAGATTGTCCGCACAATTAACTTAAGACTAATGGCTGAACCAAATGGTGAGCACTGATGCAGACAAACACAGTGTTGACAATAAGTATTGGTGTTGTCGTATGTGGTCAGTGATGGTCACAGTGACCTCCGGGTGCCATATGTGTGGTCTTGTAGTCGTATGGTTTGTCAATCACATCGATTGATGACAACAAACAACCAGACATTTGCTGAACCAATGCTATAACACATAACACATACTATACTACAGTTTACTATACGTATAGATCGTATATCGTATACATAACCGTATGGTAGTCTTACACTCATTCACTCACTCACTCACTGACTCATCAAATATATAGAAATCAATGGCTCAATACTGTGACACTCGACTCAAACACTACTCACTGTTATGTTAGTTGTATTGCGCAACACATGCATTGAATATGGCATTCAATGTTTTGTAAGTATTTATTGCTTTCACTATCAAACACATCAACTATTGCTTTGATTGCTATTCACGTTATTATTATTATTACTACTATTAAGTTGTTTGTTATAATAATATTATTATACAGTAAAAGTAATATAATGTTTATACGACACTACATGTAAAGTCATACGGTATATAATAGTGTATAAAACTGTATGAATCAAGTATTATACACTTTATAAGTCAAATAAGTTTATCATATCTTTTAATTAAATAATTAAAAAGATATGTTTTTTCAATATCTATATTTAGCTGATGTTTACTTAGAAATAAATAAATTATTTATTTATTTATTAATTAAGATTTTATTTGTTAATTTTCATTAAATATACATTTTATTTAAATTATTTTCATATAAAATTTAATACAGTATACACTCTGTATTTTTATTATATTTTACTGTAAAGTAATAATTTTGTATTATAGGCTAATGTGACAAAAATGTTAATTTACAGTAATAGCCTGGGTCATATTATTAAATGTTTATATACAGTAGTAATGATTTATATTAACTCTTATTTATATAAATCTAGTAAAAACTAGTGTAGTTTATAAATATATATTAAAGTATATAACGATAATAACAAATTATTTATAATTTAACACTAAATCTAATAAACAATACAAAAAAGTATCATATATTGAATTATCGGGTTTTTTGAACCATTTTTGTCTTAACTTTTGTTTTCTCATTTCGTTGGGTTTCTCCAAACAATTTAATAAATTTAAATCTCAAAATTATATTAAAAAATTTATTTAAAAAATTATATTATAATTTTTTGATTATAATGTTTCAGTAGTGTGTTATTTAATAATAAATTTTAACGATTCACTATTAATAATCATTTTTTTGTAATAAAAATAGCTAAAACAAATTAAAAAAAAATGTATTATCATAAACATTTAATCATACAATATAACGATTATTATCAACATATGATGATATGAGATTGACAAAAAAATAATAATTATTATTATTTAATAATTGTTTGGCGCCAATAAATAAAATTTTATAATTTTATATTGTTAATTTTTTTTGTTTAAGCAATTTTCAAATTTTTCCATAAACATGCTTGCTACAATAATTGTAAAAAAAACATTCAAAATTATTTTGAAATAATAGTATATTTTACATAGTTTTACATTTTATTATTGTATATATTAAAAAAACTGATTTAAACGATAAGCATTAAAAGCTATAGAAATTTTATGGCACATTTGACTGTCGGAAACTGATTTTTAAATAATAATAATAAGATAAATAGGTTTTTGCAGTTTGTTTTCAAATAATTAAAGAGTAATCTAAATAAATATTTCTCTTTAAAAGATATTTTTAAATCCCGTCGACAATAACTAAAGAGTTTATTGAGTAAAATGAATTGAAACTCATATATAATAACCTTTTTTTTAAACCTTTTACGGTCTTTAAAATAATGATTTCATTTGGCAATCATTAAAGTGCATTGAAATGTAAATATTGTATTGAAAATTGATAAAAAATTGTATAGAATTAATGCCAGTTTTTTTGTATAAATTTAATTTATTATTACTTTTTTATATGAAAATATTTGGAAAACAATACAATATATCAAACTAAATGATTATTACATATATTTGTATCACATATTTGTTAGCTTTAGTTTTGGCTGAATATTCATTGCTTGTAATTCTTGCAGAAGTAGTTTATATGCGTAAGGAATCTGAGCCGAGGCTAACGTTTGACTGGACTCGCATTTGGCGCACCACTTCTGGTAACCGAGAAGACCACATTGACCGCAGACGTCAACATCAAATGCATCACTGGATAGCAAAAGCCTTTCCAATAACAACATACTTACTCCATGTCCTATAAGACAATCCCTTTCCATTTCACCCAAACGCAAACCTCCATCTCTAGCTCTACCTTCAGTGGGCTGTCGTGTTAGTACAGCTCGTGGACCTCTTGATCGTCCGTGAATTTTATCCAAAACCATATGTTTTAACTTTTGATAATAAATGGGTCCAAAATATATGTAAGCGTTCAACGGTTCGCCAGTTATTCCGGATGTCATAATTTCTTTACCATTATAATTGAATCCATATTGTATCATAATTTCAGATATTTCATCAATAGTGGTGCCACCAAATACTGTTCCGTCGTGAAGAGTGCCTTTCAATAGGGCTGACTTTCCTGCGACCAACTCTTTTAGTTTGCCAACCGTCATACGAGATGGAAAGCCGTGCGGATTCATAATCATATCGGGACAAACACCCTGTGAATTGAATGGTAGATCCTCTTGAGGAACAATTAGTCCAATCACACCCTTCTGTCCGTGTCGTGAACTAAACTTATCGCCCACTTCTGGTCTTCGCATTTGTCTTAAAAGCAATTTTATCAAAAATGATTCTTCACTATTGGAAGTGATCATCACTTTTTCAACAACAGAATCTTCTATTCCTTTATAAGTAACGGGACAATCCTTGTATGCCGTCGAGTCTAATCCCGGTCGTCCAGGAGTTGGAATACTCGTATCTTCTATATTGCTCACAACTGGTGAAGATTTGTTGACCATAACAGTACGATTTGTGAGTATCTCTCCGGGAGCTGCAATACCATCAAAGTCAAGACAGGCGTGTTTGCCAATTGGTTTGTAGGGCGGTTCGGCAGAAACAAGTGGTCCCATTATTCGGTCTTTGATATTATTAAATTTTGAATAACTTCTGAGAACACATTTTTGATTTCGGTAAACAAAACATCGACCGTAACCTCTATCGAGACTCGCTTTGTTCATAACAGTGGCGTCTTCGATATCGAAACCGCTGTATGACATAACTGCAACAATAGCATTAGTACCGGCGGGTAATTTGTCGTAATTGATTATCTCTATTGGCTTAGTCTTGACAACAGGACGCTGAGGATATGCCAACAAATATAAAAGTGTATCAATACGTTGTCGCTGATTAAGACCAATGGTTCCCATAGCTTGTTTTCCCATAGCACACTGATAAGTATTTCGTGGTGATTGATTGCAATGAGGATATGGTATAACACCGGCACAGACACCCAAAAGAGTGAAGGGTTCAATCTCGAGATGTGTTGTCAAACCAATAATAATCTTTTGTTCATTGATGGCAATGTGTGCATCACTGGCTTCGTTGACATCTAAGTATTCAACTAAACCGTCGCGAATAAAATCTTCAAATCCCATAATTTTTCGATTAAGAGACTCCAGATGTTTCGGTTGCACTTTAGGAACACCTAATCTTGTGTTGACAATAATATATGGTCGACATAGTCGTCCGCCATCAGTGGCAATATAAACAGCTCTGTGGAGCTGATTCAGAGATACTGACACAAACTCTGACATATAATTATTTCGTCGAAGAAATCGAAGATTCGAAACAAGTCTTTGTGGATCAATAGTGACTCCAACGATAAGTCCGTTAACAAATACCACATAATTTTGATTGATTAAAGCACCGGATGAACACAATAGGATGTCTTGAACGAGACCTATATTAAGACAAATGCGAACAATTGACTGTTCGTCGACATCAGTTGTTATGTGTGTCATTAACGCCAGATTCTTAATGAGACCACAAGATTCGCCTTCTGGTGTATCACAGGGACAGACGAGTCCCCATTGGCTCGCCTGAAGAGATCGCGGACCCGATGTCTTACGAGTCTTTTCAAACTGTGAATTGATACGAGTCATCATTCCTAAGCATGAGATATAACTCAATCGACTCAACACTTGGCTGACGCCCACTCTTTCCATTTTGAATCTCTTGAGCGTCCAGTTGCCGGTTGCGATGGCATTAACCAATCCATTGGTAATCAAATCTTGTCTCATATGCTTAACGATATCGAATTGAGACACTTTAATCTTTGGTATGTTTTTGTCAGCGATGGCCTATTAGCGATACAATCAATCAATCAAATCAAATAAATAACTTTCGATAATAAATTAAAATTTTATATAAAATACCCGCAATTCTGAATTAAATCGTTTGAGAAGATCCTCAAAAAGTATGGCAATGAGAGAACCGGCTAACTCAAGACGTTTGTTTCCATAATAATCGCGATCATCAATAAATGACGGATTATTCAAAGCACAGATCAAACGCTTAACCATTTGCGCCAAATAAATGCCTTTCAATCTAAAGTTAAACTCTTTGACCGGAATATGTGCGACAATAGTTGTGGCCAACAGTTCCCTTGTGATCTCAACGGCTGGTTTTCGTCTTTCATTTGAATTCCACTCAACTCTGCCCGTCATTGGTGTCTTTGATTTCAACTTATTGGCCATATATTTGAGTGCCATTTCACTCGTCCAGATCTGTGCCTTATGACAGACTTCAATCGATGGGATCAATAAGTTGGAGTCAATGTTCTGATTGTCTGAAGTAATACCGCAAATCAATTCAGTAATTTCAGACTCACTCTCAAAGCCCATAGCTTTGAAGACAATAAATATAGGAATGCCTTCGTCTAAGAAAGAGTTGTGTTTCATAATTATTTGTCTCTTTTTATTGATAATCAAATTGGTCCGCGACTTGCGCTCACTCGTAGTACTCGTCACTTGACATACCGGTCCATCTTCAATAAGAATACGATTTCTGGACAGTTGTTCGTGAATTAGGATAACCTTTTCGGAGCCATTGATAACGAAATAGCCGCCGGGATCGTAGGGACACTCATTCAGTGCAACCAATTCGCTAAATGTCTTGTTGTTGAGCACACAGTTAGCACTTCTCAACATAATAGGCATCCTTCCGATGGTGTGGTCGTTACGGATAACCCGTTGCTGTCCTCTCATGTATTCAATGTCCACATTAATAGGCGCACAATACGATATGTCCCGCAATCGACACTCATGAGGTGATGTTAGTCGGACCACATTAAAGCCCTCTTCAATCTCTGGTTTACCAACTCTGATGTCCAGATATCTGACATACCAATTGGGATCGGACTCACATGTGATCCTCTCGTTAGCCTTCAAGACATTCTTGATTTCTTTATCTATGAAATGATTGAACGAATCCAAGTGTTGTTTAATAAGACCTCTGATCTCAAGAAATGCCGGCAATAATCTCCACTTTTCTTTAATGCATTTGATTGGCTGATCATTACGAGTGTCAGTCATTTTGATGACACTTCTTGTGGTCTAAATCTGTGGTCAAATCATTGTAACAAAACATGTGATTCAATCAACTCATGTGTTTGTATGCACTCTATGACAGCCCTCTCGTTGACAAACAAGTCATTGAATGATAGCTTAACTTAAAATCAAATTTACATCAATTTGTAATAACATTTGTATTTCTTATAATAAATTTAAATTAAATCAAATTTAATTACAATTAATAATTTATGTTTTATTAATTAATTAATTATCTATAAGTATTATTTTAATTGTATTTATTTTTAACTTTTTAGCAATTTTTTGCCAAAATGAATGTCAAATTATATGTTTGATTTATTTTTCAATTTCATTACAATTTTTCGGTTTTACGCTCAAAAAGTTTCCAATATTTTTGATTAATTTTAAATATTTATATAACTTTAAACTATGTTTATATAAGATACCTGAAAATATTATAAAATATAATTATTTTTAAAAACTATTTATTATACATAAATTATAATATATTTTTGTAAATTAATTGTAAAATCGTGGTCAGCATTGAAAAATATATAACTTAGAAATCGACAAAAATATTTAGGATAACTCATTAGCCCTTAACAGGTCTATCTCTAAACAATTTATAAATAAAAATTTTATCCCTGAGCTTAATTCCTGGTGTCCTAATACACAAAAATCTCCCAATAAATGGTAAGTGATTTTTCTTAATTAAATAATTAATATTTTTATTTAATTGAAAACTCTATTTGTAAGAAATTTAATGTTTGGTTAAATAAATACCGTATACTGTATTTTATTTATTTTTTATACTTGTATTTATAAAAGTCAACTATAAATTAGTCGTGAAAATAAATATAAATGTTGAAATTAAAAAATCACCAATATCATTTTAATTTATTCTTAATAAATACTGTATTTTAAGTTACACCTGTATTCACATGTTTCCTAAATAATAATATTGCTATAAATAAAAATAGTATTATACGTTTGAATATTTTTGTATAACTTTTTCTCAAAAAAATATGATTAAAAAAGTTTTTTAGACACAAACTAGAAATATATTTGATCATACATTCGGCAGATATTAATACACTCGAAGACTAGAAGGTAACTTTATAAAGGAGTATATACTGATATATGCAGTAATTTTTTATATTAATAAAACTATGCAATAGTGATGACAACAATCTCTGATGTCTTTCCCATAGATTGATCCCATTTGTTGATCGCATGCATTAATGCAGTCATCAAAATAAATGGGAAGCAAATAATACTTCCGACATATAACCAAAAAAAAGTTATGATATATTAATCGCACACAAAGTGATGTACTAATTGCAAACCCGTATCCATTAAACATATTATTACATGTCTATAGCAATACATAGAGAGATAGTGCTTATTGTTTATACCATTATATTATCATATGAATGAAATTAAGATCATTTTAAATCAGTTGAAAATGCTAGATAGCATTTCTACAATGAAATTTTAAATAGCATATCTAATTGTTGTCTGAGCTGTTTATTGTTATGTTTAAAGTTAAGAAAACTAATAATTAAGTATAAACAAATAAAATATATTAATTCAATAATAAGTCAATATTTACACAAACACACACACACACCATCTAATTTACTTTACTTTACATAAATACTTATTTATTTAAACTAATCAAAAATATTAAAAACTAATTTTAATTATAAAAATAATTTTTCTATCATTTTAACCATATTACTTAAGAGAATTATTTTTAAAACAATTTTATTATACTTTTTATCAAATCAAAAGTTTAAATTTGATAGATATACAGACAGACAACAGACACACATTTAGATTTTAGTTATTAACAAAGTTTGTTGGATATAAAATATTACATTATGTACTGTATATGTATTGCATAGCAACCTATTCTCACAGAAAAATTTTATTATAGCATTAATTTCAATGCAATTATTTAACAAAAAGTTTTTTTGACATTACATATCTCAACTGTTGTGTAACTATAATATGTAGTACTTATTATGTTATGTTACTGTTATCAAAAAAATTTCAATTTTGTTTTATATAAATATAAAAAACAACTTGTGATTTATATGAGAACTTTATTATAAGTAATTAATTAATTTTTTTTCTATATATATCGTAAAAATAGAAATAAAATATTTTTGTTTCATTCATATCTATCATTTGTTTCATTTATAATAATATACTGTACGTACAGTACATTGAAATATAAAAAGTATATTGTATTAGAAAAATGGTACTCTATATGAATAAATAATATATTTATAAAATTGTTGCAAAAAATATTTCATTTAAATGTATGTTATGTAACGTGCTTTAAATGACTAATAAATTTTTAAAAAAATTAGTGTTTGCTATGTTATATCATATACAATACATACAGTAGTTTAATAAAAATGATATTACAATATAAAAGTATAACAACAATACAAAACTAGTCATAACGACATCCGCTGTGTTTTTTTTAGATTGTATTTAATGATAATATTATTGAATGTGTTGTTTATATATAATTAAATAATTTTTAATATTATTAATAATAATTATTATTATTATTTTATTTTGCAACAAAACTAGTTTACTGTTCAGCGTTTGGTTTAACTTAAGGATGTTTTTTTCTGAAACTCAATTATAACGATAGTATAGTTAAATATTTTTAAAAAGATTTCAACTAAAGTTTGTTTAAGCAAACAAATAACTCATTGCTTATATAATACTAAAATTATGTAATTGTGATTTCTAAAATTTAAAACATTTGTTGTGCACACACATACACACAACAAGTTTTCATTATTTATAAAATATAATATATTTAAAACAATTATTGTAATTTTTTGTAAAAATATTTCATCTAAAACTAAATAAATTTCAACATTTGTTTATTCAACTTATGTTTTTCCTACAATTAATTGTACAAAATAGCCTAATTTGTTATATTTATGATAAGTATAGATTATCTTAGATTATCATCAAATAAGTTTCTGTAAAGTGTTTTATGTGATAAAATGCTTAAAACATAATTAAAAACCATTTAAAATGTGCTAAACTTAATAATATATTGATATATTATGTGTGGTTGTAATAATTATAATGAGAGTGAGATGTATTGAAAGTTATTACGAAATATGATTTATTGTGATTTAAAAAAATAAGCAATTAAATTATTCGTAAAAAATTAATACCAAAACGTGTTTTATATACTATTTTAATAATTCATTGATAATATTAACTTTGTTATTACACAATTTGTTACTAATGTGATAATCAATTAATTTGAAGTTATAATTATAACAATATATCAAATTGACTTACTATTTGTTTTAATAACTAATATAAGCTATATTAGAAATTGTGAATTAATTAAAAACAACTACTAATTGAATGATTTAATACTTTCGATGATAATGGATGTCGAAGAAGTGGTAAAATCCGGCAGTCTTTATGTACCTCCACAAGGATTTCTCAAACAAAAGGTATTTATCATATAAATTATATGTCAGATAGAAAATGAAAGTTATTTATATGCATTAAATTAAATTTATTTTTAAAATACTTTACATTTTTTTTTATACATAAATAGGTTATAATTTATAATGAAAAAAACAATTTAATATGAGTCATATTAAATGACCTGTAATTTAAATACACTGTTAAAATTCCTCTATAAGTATAGTGATATTATAAAATATATGGTAACTTATTAATACTGTATAATATATAGACTATTTTTAGGATACTTAAAATTATAAACATTCAAATAGTTATTTATCTAAAACTATTTAGTTTTTAATGATTAAATTTGTTAAAAAGTTATTTTTAGTTTTAAATAATTATTTTTTTTGTAATTAATTTGTTTCTATTTATTGATAATGAGCTCAGAAGTCGTGGCAAAAAAAGTATTATGTATTGTATAGGAATTCACATCAAGGAATACAACGACTGGAAGTGTTTGATAGTGAAGACCAATACATCAAACAACACAATTGTCTTCGAATTATACCATTAAGTGATTGTCTAAAAGTGGTTCCATTGCCTCAGAAACAACAATCCAATGTCTTTGAAGTAAGTAATTGTTTTTTATTTTTATTGTTATATTATAGTATATTTTTATTTATATATATATATATACTGTAGTTTATTAATAATTTTTTTTTTGTTTAACAATTGATATTATAATATAATATATTTTCTTATATAACAAAACATAAAACTAATTATTTCTAATAAAACATAATTAATGTGAAAAGTGAGGCCAAAAATGTTGAGAAATAATAGTGTTATTTGAAAAGTGAACTAATTATTTGACATAAAACTTATTGTGATTTGTTATATATTTAATAACTATAGCCTAATATAATAATTGCAAATTTATGTTATGTGTGCACCTGTACTGTATGTATCGTAAATTTTTGAAATTGTTTTATCAGTTGTTTTGTGTTTTTTTTTCATTCAAATACCGCCCAAAAACTAGACACAGGTTTTACCCGTTAAACCATTTAAAGCTATGTTCTTGAATTCAAAACATTTATACATTCATTCATTAATTTATTTATTTATTATTTGCTCTTAAAATATTCAAAAAAAACTAAATTATTTATCATTTCTGAATCAATATTTATATAATAAAATATTAACTAAAAACAATTGATTTATTAAATAGTTTTTGCTTTAAATAATTATATTTTTTTAATGTTTTTAACCACATTTTTTATATTTTAAGGCAAAACGATTTTTATCTCTGAAACATATGAATGACTTTATATATCATTTGTTACTTAAAATTTGAATGTCAAATGTTTATTAAAAAATTTCAAAAATTAATTTTATGAATAATTTATAATTTTCATTTATATATATATATATATAGATAAAATATAGATATATAGAAAAAGATTTTTTTATTAGTGGGAACTGAATGTTACATTTATATTATACTGCATTTAAATATTGTATCTATAATTTAAATTAATAATATCTGTATTGTGTGGGCTTATAATAAACTTATAATAAACTTACATTTCCTTTATGACAACTGAAATGAGAACACATTTAGTATTATTTTTATTTTTATTATTATTATTAACTTATTAACATATAGTTTTCATTTGACAAACAATTTGATGGGAAATTTAAATAAAATTATATATTGAGTATAATTTGAAAAAATTGGTTTCTTGTATTTACTCACTTATCTTATAAATATGAATACATTTATCAAACATTAGCATACATTAAATGTTTAGTTAATAAACCGATTGCTGCACTCATACAATACTAACTTCACTTTATTCTCATATAATTTAATTTTATTGTCAAACTTAATGACATCTAATAATGAGAACTAATGTTAAGTTAATAATATCTTTATTTTACATTACTTTTAGATATAGAGATAACAAATTGAAAGCTTTTATTTCTATATTTTTAATATTAAAAATGATTCGCAAGTTATTAATAATTTGCGAGAAAAGTCTTAACTTTTAATTATAATAATTTTTATTTAACAATAGATCCGAACCAAAGACACCACTTATCTGTTTTCATGTGAGACCTTTCAGGAGATGACAGAATGGCTTAATTGTCTTCAATCGGTTGCGTTTGGAGTCCATCAAAGTTTAACAAATACCGGACTACAAAATAAATCTTTTACTATTGATTCAAATGCCAATCAATTTAATAACATTAACATTACTAATATAAGTAACAACTCATCGATTGCAAGCAAATTATCAGACATTCAGACAGAAGAAAATTTATTATATTCTTCAGTTGATGGACCACAAAGCTATCGGTAAGAATCATATTATTATTGATATTATTATTATTTATTCAATAACTACTATAAAATTTTATTTAATAATTTACTTTATTATAATAGAGTCAAACTCATCGATTCCGATGCATCGCTCAGATGTGGTCTAAGAAATAGTTATGAATCAAATTATACATTACTTGTGACTGCGGTTAACATATCGCTAGCCGAAGACGATAATGTGTTGTTGACGTGGCCTTACAGACACATCAGAAGATATGGCTGTACTAAGGATGGCTTCTCTCTAGAAGCGGGCCGTAAGTGTGCCTCTGGTGAGGGACTCTTCTCGTTTATCACAAAAGATGGTAACTCTATCTTTCAAGGAGTAGCCACTCATGTTAATAGTCTAAAAGCTTCGCGTCATTTAACGGATGACTTCAAGTCTGGTAACAATGATTTCGGTATAATTAATATTAGTCCTAAACCGACATCAAAGGAAATACCATTTGCTTTAAGCCATTTCTATGCAAATGATTCAAAGTCTCCATCGCCACCACTTTCATCGAGTTATTCAACAAATTCAAGTTATCTCGAAACTAATTCATCGTTATTGCCATCGAGTAAAATATCGGAATTAAAAAAACGACATTCGGTTCAACCGCCAAAAAGTCCGAAAATCAATGAAAAACAAATCCTAACTCAAGTAACCTCTGTATCCAATACTAACTCAATAATAATGATAACCGATTCAAAACCAAAGATATCTCCGCCTGTTTTAAAGCCTCCGCGAAAAAGCAAAGAAAATAAAATAACTGAATCTTCAGAACCTGTATTTGCTTCGCGTGAAGAAGTCTTTAGACAAAACTCATTGACTAATAATTTTGATACTAAAGAGTCTTATAAGTCATTAAAAGATGAGATTCTTTACGACGAACCGGTAGATCTAACAACTGACACAACAAACATTAGAGAAGACGACCAAACAAAGAGCTCATTGTGTCCGAGTCCGCCACCCGTTACTCAAACTGTATCTAAATTGACGTCAGTATTGAAAATGATGTTCTCTGGAAATGGTCACCAAAATTATCATCAAAATTATGGAAAACATAATAGAGTTTCAATAAAAAACAGTATTTCAGAAAACACTAGTAATGTGTCGTCGACTCTAAATATTACTGCTTCACAACCTATTGAGACCCAAGACTTACCAAATAGTGATATGAAAATCAGTCAAATTAATAAAGAAGAAAAAATTGCTAACAATTTAACAGATGATACGTATGGTTATTCAGAAGTCACTAATGATAACGATGTGGACAATGACACCGATGAAGGCGACTACGAAAATGTTAGACATTTAGAAGATTTGAATGAATTAAATATATCAATTGAAAGCAAACAAAATAAATTAGTTAATAATAATCGACACAATAGTCAACAAACTGAACACTACGTCCAAAATGATTGTGAATACGCCAGAGTTGTTAAACGACCCGCTAATAACACTTTGTTTTAATTATATTATTTATATTTTATTCATTTATCATTCATTTTTATAGATTAGTATTATATATATATATATTTAAAACGAAACACTAATTAATGAATATTTAAAATATTTAAAAATAAATGTATTACAATATTACATAATGGTCCAGGTTTTCAACTGTTATAATATAGTTTAATTTATTTCACACTTGTCTATGAAATTTTAAATATAAAATTACTAAACATTGCATTTTATTTGAGACACTAAATTACTGAAATTTACTATTAAACTATTTATTTATTAACAACTTTTATATTTTAGAAAATATTGTTTAATTATAATTTTCATGTATCATATTTTTATTTTATTTTATTAGTAAACAATTTGAATTAACACATAGTTTCAAGAAATTATATTACTTTCTATATAACTATGTCTTAATAATTGATATAATAATAAGCTTTGTGTGTTTGGATAATATTGTTAAATTGTATAATAAATATTAATTTTTTTTCTACTGTAGATATTATACAGTAATTATATACTGTATTTATATTTACACTGATGCTTGTGATAACTGGCTTTAAGTAAAACTAGTCAAACGTTAATCAAATAGTTTATAAATCAATCAGCAGTTACTATGAAATATATTTATGTAATTTTATGATATAATAATAATACTAATATTTTAATAATACTAATAATAAAAAAAATCTATTTATTGTAATCAATTTATTTTAATTCATTTATACCAGCAATATATATACCAAACATTAATTACTATATACGGTATGTGATAATAATAAGTTGTAATATTAAGGTAAAGCCAACGGAGATGAGTCCATAAACCCGCCGTCGATCTTCAATTGGACACCTGTTATGAATGACGACTCATTGGACGCTAAAAACACGATAGCTTTGGCCACATCGTCCGTATTTCCCGGGCGTCTAATTAATGAATATTTTTTATTTATTTATAAAATTTTAAATAAAAAATAAATTAGTCTTTACTTCAATGGATACTTTTCAGTGACCGCTCGCCACATGGCCTCTAATTCAAATTCATTTAAACCCAAATATCGGGCAAATATTGGAGTTTGTATTTGTCCCGGACTATATTTATTTATATAATACAAGTTTATTAAACTTTATTTATTTATAAGATTAGATAACATGAATATAATTTTTTATAAAATTATTTAATTTAAAAAATAAATTATCGTATATTTATATGATTTAATAAATAATTAGCAAAATTTAACTATAATTACCAAACACTGTTAACACGTATTCCTTTGGGACCCAAATCAATGGCCAGACATCTGGTCATCATATCCAGACCTAAACTTAATAATTATCTTATTATTGATTTTATTTTTAAAATTTATTATTTTCGTGTATAAGACCTGCTTTTGATACACAATATGCCAATAATTCGGGAAACTTTTTTTTGTTAAAATTAAATTAAATAAATAAAATAATTAATAAAAATAAACTTAATTGAAATCTTAAGAATAATAATAGTAATACAGGTTTAAGACCACAAATGCTTGAATTATTGATAATCACACCCTTTGATACTTCAAGCAATGGTAATGCCCTTTAAATAATTTATAAATAATAATAATTATTATTATTGGTATTACAGTAATATTTTTATATATCATACAATTGACTTACTTAATGCAAATAAGATAAATTGATCTAAGATTAACTCTATGCAAGTCATCAAACGATTTGATAAGTGATGGCTCAGTCCTATCAATACCACGACCCGCGTTATTAACCACAACATCCAATTGATTATATGTTTTAACAATTAGATCCATAAGTTCATTCACACTTTGGTCTTCACCTAAATCACCCACATATTTAAGAGTCTTTTATAAATTAAAAAAATGCTAATATTATAATAAAAATCATTATATTGTATTAATAAAATTAATAAATGACAATTAACCTCATATTTTTGTGGTGATAATAGTTTGCACTGATCAGCCACTTCATCAACCCGTGACTGGTCTCTACCGGTGACCACTACTTTTGCACCCAATTTAGCAAATACTAGTGCAGTAGTTTGACCGATACCAGAGCTGGATCCCGTCACCAAAACTACTTTATCAATAAACTCTGTCGTTGCAGACATAATAATGTATCTAATAATGAATTGACAGCAAATTGTCAAAAAAATATATTAATAGTTTTTTTTATTAATATCAATATTTATATGCACTCATAATATCATATGCTATAGATTTATAATCATAAGAAAAAATAAAAAATAATTTAGATATAAGTAATAATATAATTGATAATATAGAAATATATACACAGTATATATATTATTATATAGAAATTAATATTTTTTTAAAAACTTTTTAAATAACCAGTTAAGAAACCTTGATGTAACTCTAATTGGTTTCTACTGTATTTATACAATAATTTTGCAATCAATTTAATTAATGTACAAGGATAAATTTATATAAATTTCATTTATTAATATATTCAATATATTATATCGAAATAAACTATTGTATAAATTCAACTTAAATAATGTATTTAAAATGCAACAAAAAATATTTAAATAAAAATATTTGTCAATTATTTGACTAATCATTAAATAAAATGAATTGTTTTGTCATAACTTTTTACAACAACTAGAAATATACTGTATTTGAATACATTTCTATATAATTATCTTATGTTATGTTAAAAATTTATTCATATAAATCTCAATATTATTAAAAATATAAATAAATTGTTTTATCAATTGTTAAACACAATATCATAAACTTATAGATAAATACCAGTGTTGGAAGTGACAAAATGTTTGTATAATGCAAAACGTATTATACAATGTATAATACAATACATGATAATTTTGAATACAAAACAAAAGTTAGAGCCTCTAATATGAAAAACAATTATATTAGTAAAAAATAAACATAATTTATAATAAATATCAATTTAATATCAATTTTTTATTTAAAATATTGTAAGTTTTACTTACTTTGACAACACTTAATAACAACAATTATCTACAATAGTGTTGATTTGTGGACACATATACCAGTAGAGACATACCAGTGCTTTAAGTCGTACGGAAAGTTGGTGTTTGAGTTAGATATTTGATAAATTACTAAATAGTTTATATTATTTGTGTGTTTATATAATATACAGTATTTAATCATTATTCCCAATAATTGACTGGAGTTTTAATTACACAAATATATAAATATATAAATTTTCACGAACTCCTGAAACGATACGTATCTGAATTCTATATGTCCTTCCGTCCGCTTTTTATTGAATTTTTACATTTTGACTTCAGATTCGGATTAAGCATCAAAAATAAGGTATAGGGTATTGACATTAAAATTTTGATATCTCTTCGGGAACATAGAAAAAATTGATACAAAAACAAAACTATTATCAATTATTACTAAATATAAAATTTACATTTAATATTTATGTATGTTTTATAATATCTAAATTTTGTAAATATTGTTAAAATGTATATTTCAAATAATTTTTTTTTGGCTAAAATAGGGGTCACCCGTAATATTGCTATCCTTGAAGTGACCTATAATAGTGTCATCAGTGACCTTATGAAAAGCATATACAGTATATTTTGTCAAAAATTATATTCAATTTTAATACTCAACTAATTTTAATAAAGTTTTGATTTTGAACAGTTAAACAACACTGCTGTTATTACATTTAAAATGTTTTATATAATTTTTAAAAATAAAATAATTAACCTTGATAACCTTGGTATAAATATTGTTTTTAATGTAAAATAATATTTACTTTATTTATTATTTAAAACTTTTACTTGATAAATCAAAAATGGACAACTATTACATTATTTATTACTAGTCATAAATATAGAGTATAAAATTTCTTTTAAATAATATAACCATAAATAGCTATTTCAATATTTTATTTGTTTTATTAATTGATAACATTACTACTTTTAAAAAAAAACTTCTAAATATGATAATAATAATATTATTATTATTATTAATAATAATAAAATTTTAATTATTGTTTAAAGTATTAGAGAAGCGGAGTCAAGAAATCCGCCGTCTATTCTGACATTAACTCCGGTTATAAACGAAGACTCTTTTGACGCTAAAAATACAATAGCTTTTGCAATATCTTCTGGATATCCACGCCTTCTAACCGGATAATTGGCGTCAACTGCTTTCCACATGTCATCAATTTGTTGTCGACTCAATGATGTCGATGCCTCCCAAATAGGAGTGTCTATTTGTCCCGGACTAACAAACGAGAAAAAACAATTTGAAATTTTAGAAAAAAAGTTTATCCATTTGACAGTAACTTACTTAAGACCGTTAACTCTTATGCCAATTGGTCCCCAATTGATAGCCAAACATCGGGTTAACATATCGAGACCAGCTTTCGATATACAATACGACACATTTGGAAACTACAGTATATTTTATAATTTTTCTATTAATACAACTGTATAAGTAATGATGAATTTGTGTATATAATAATTAAATGATATAATTTAACATTACTGTAGTATTAAATCATATAATTACCGGTTTGAGTCCATTAATACTGGAAATGTTAACAATAGATCCCTTTGTAATCTCGAGGAATGGTTTTGCTTTTGTGCACAACTGATAAACTGATCGTAAGTTAATATTATAATAATTATCCAATTCTTCTAATGTTTCGTCAGGATGTCCGCCACCAATCGCCGCATTGTTGACCAATACATCGATTTGACCGAAATGTTGTACAACTGAGTCAATGAGTCTATTAATATCTTCTTCTTTTGCCATATCAGCCATTACTTTCAATGGCTATTCAAATAATTAATACAAAAGTTAAATAATTTTGCTTAAAGTTTAAACATTTATGAATATTTTAAATATTTTAATAATTTAAACCATATAATTATTTGGTGATATTTGTTGACATTTATTGGCAACCAATTCATTCTTATGTTTATCCCTTCCAGTCACCACTACTTTAGCTCCCAATTGAGAAAACAATAGGACAGTTGACTCTCCTATTCCTGAATTACTTCCGGTCACTAATATTACTTTATCTTTAAAATTCATATTAAAATCCATTGCAGACACAAAAAAATTGTTTTAATAATTTCAATATTAATATTCAATAATTTAATTCCAATCAATTACAAGCAGATTATATAATAATTATAATTATGATTGATAACTGTTCTCAATGTTTAAATCAAAATTTATATTTTTAAAACAAAATATGATAACTATAGGTTTTTTTTAATTTATCAATAATAGATTATTTTATACTTTAAGTTGAAATCAAATCCAAAAAATTGAAAATTTATTTTACTAATATATCTATAAAACTATTATCAATTTGTAAACGTTGTTTTAAACTAACAATCATTTATGATTGTTAGCCTTGATTTTGTTAAACTTGATATCAATGTAAAGATAAATAAATAAATTTTTTATAATTTTGATTATTTGATTTCATGATTATTACGGTATAACACAAAATATCACATGTGGTTAATATAAGTACTTACAGTATACCAAATTGCAAATACTATTATTACCAATAATGCAAAATATTATTCATTTACTTAATTATTCTTACTTTTCAATTGATTTCTCTAATTATTCTTACTTTTCAATTGATTTCTCAAATTATTCTTACTTTTCAATTGATTTCTCAAAATATATCATAAATATTCAAAACTATTATCTAAAAATCTATATATAAGTTATAGCTTATAATCATAATAATTATAAAATATACTAATCTTTTATTTAATTTATTATTTAAAATTATGTTAATAAACTTTAGTTAATTAAAAACAATTTGTATAAATTTTTCTACAAATAATGAAAAAGTAATTAATAAATAATTATTTTTTATGTAAAATATCAATGATTTCATTGGTGTCGACAATCTTTTCTCGTGGCTTTCCAAGAGTTGATCCCATTTGTTGTTCAATTTGATCGATTCGTTTCCAGTCATCAAAATGAACCACATTTACACCCTTTTCGGATAACTTATTCAATATATTTTTGGAACCGTCTCTCCTGTTTAACTCAATTTGATTGTCCTCGATATCCATTAAAATATTTTTTGCCACTTCAACGCTTATATTAAGTGTGTTAAGTAAGACTCCCTGAGCTCCGGATGCCGCCCAACCACTCGTATAAAGACCAGAACCGCAACCAACGACTCTTCCATTTTCATTAAGAATAGTTCCCTTTCTTTTGTCTAACGGAAGTGAACTGTCTATTAAAATGGTTTGATATCCAATACTTGTCAAAACAAAACCACAGTTAATAACTTCTAATTCTTCAGTTGTAACAACGTTTGTATTCTTGTCGAACCAATTATCTTCAGACTCGTATCGATTGATACCAAAAACAACGCCCGAAACAGCATTTAAATCGTCTTTTTTCATAAGTTTTGGTGATCTTAAAAATTTAACAAAACATTTCTTATCGTATTTTCCAAAATCAGTTGAACTCTCTTTAGACACATTTACTATCAATTCTGTTAATCTTCTCTTTGGTCTATCGAGTGATTCCTTAAGTTATTAAATAAAATAATAATTTCATTACTAATATATTATAATTTTTTGATAATAAAAATATTTTACCACAAATGATTGTGATATATGTTGACAATCTTGTGGTGAAATAATTGTTTTGCAATTCTTCAGTTTTGTCAATTCTCTAAATTCTTTGATAGTAAACGACACCTGCATTGGTCCACGTCTTCCCACAAGATATACGTTTTTGATTTTACTTTTAGACAACTTTTCCAATGAATACTTAGTTATGTCTGTGTTCTTAAAAGAAATACAATTAAAAACAAAACAGAAATTATTCATTAATTTCTAAACATTTATATAATTCAAAAGCAAACCAACAGATAACATGTCTTTTGGATCCGTCAACAAAATTCTGGCGCAATCTAAGGCAACGTTTCCGTGACCAATGATGACAGCAGTATCGCAGTCAACATTGAACTTCAGATTCTTATCATTTGGTACACCATTATACCAACCGACGAATCTTCGGGCGGAAAATACGTGCGACAACTCTTCGCCTTCAATATGAAGTCTTCTGTCTTTTGCGGCGCCATAACAGAGAACAACTGCATTGTAATCATTACGGATCTCTTGTAACGTAATATCACTATCGGATCCAATGCTTACGTTTCCAATAAAAGACACTCTTTTGTTGAGTGCAGTTGTCGTGAATGAGTTGATCACATTCTGAACCAAATCAAACCATTATTTCAATGAATTAACTCAAACGGATGGACATATTAAAGACAAACCTTTACTGATTGGTGATCGGGTGCGACCCCATAGCGGACTAACCCAAAAGGCACCGGAAATTTCTCGTAAATATCAACAAAAACTCTTGGATTCTAAACAATGATTTGTAATTATTATCATAAACTCAGTAATTAGTCTCAAGAAGTATTTAATCATAAAATACAAAGTCATGTCAAACAAGCCTTCAAGAGTTGTTGTGTTGTGTAGAAACCCGACGGTCCGCTGCCCACCACTGCTATCCTTATCGGGTCATCGGTGGTCACTTGACTTTGTGGTGACAATAGTCGTGAATATATACTAATATATCTCTTCAGATCTATTGACAGATGACTCTTGAGATGGCAATAAAACTTTGTTTTCATTAATAAAGTTTTGCCCATTTTTTCAATTAATTTATCGGACAATTAGTTTGAAATTGATTTTTAATTTGATATCATTTATAATTATATTTGTTATTGAATTCAATTGATTGTATTTATTAAATAATTAAAGTGTTTATCCAATAGTTAGTAAATGTATTGACAATTAAATGAATCAAACAATTTGTTATTCAATATTGATATAGAAATTACTGTAAAATTTATATTTATTACAGTATTTTAGTATTTTCTAAACACATGTTTTGTGTAAACGCATGTCATTTACAGTAATACAGTATACGGTATAATACAGTATAGGTATCATTAGTTGACATACCGTTACCTTTAACTGTAAATTTATGAATTGACATAAATATTAATATAAATCACAATAAAAGCTCTTTAAAAATGTTTTGAATTTTTCATTAAAAACTAACTTTAGTTGAAAACACTTAATAATCGACAAAAAACTATTGAATTAGTATTACGATATCGATATGGTTTTGGTGTCTCATAAGTAAAACCCGAATCCCCAGTAATTCATTGTCTTATACTGTAGTTATTGACATCAATAGTGCTTTCTATAAGCATTACGGGAGGTTTGGACGGATATAATGACACCCGAGATGTGTGGATATATTTTTTGTTTTTTTAAATATTGTAACTAATTATTGTAAAATATAAATATCAAATTAAATATGCATTTATAACTATAGTCTATAACAACAGAATTTCATATACAGAATCTTAGATTTATTTAATTTTAATATTAAAATAACATTAAAATATTAATATTATTTAATATTAAAATACAATTTATTTAAACATACATTTTAGGTGTTATTATTGCCGTCCAAACTAAAACTATACTTACATTTAAATTAATATAAAATATAGTTTATTTCATTTGTTTAATCATCAATTGATAACATTCTTGTCTATCCATAAAATATTTAATGTTTATTTATAATTAGATATGAATTATTAAATTAATTTGACAAATAAATATTGTATAATATATATAAATATTAATATATACATAATTAATAAACATAAATAATATATATGATTAAACAATAGAGTACTATCATTGATAACCTAGATTAAATATAATATACAATTTTATATACAATTTTACATTTCCAAAACAATATTACCGGTAAATATATAAATAAATTACAAAATTATTTTTAAAAAATACTGTACATTATGGTAATCAATCAAAATAAACTATAATAACAATTAGATTTATTATATAATAGTTAAGCATTTAAAAGACTACTAAGCGGTGAAGTCTTTATTGGTATAAAATTTAACTGATCTCGTGTTCTGAAGAAAACAAATCCATTAGTTTATTGAATCTCTGCATCACTTCGGCGACACTTTTTGATAGATTATTAGCCACTTCTTCGAAAAATTCTTCACTTAAATCGTTAGATCTTTCGTCAATAACACGTGATCTACAGATATCTAAAAGTAATTTGTCGTCATTTAGTGTCCATCCTTTGGATTCATTATTATTATCCAATTCTTTATTATTATTGTTTTCGATCTCCAATTCATTATCGCTTTCAGTCATATCTTCTTCAATCATTTCGTCATTAGATTTAATACTACTAATTGTCGACAATTTGTTTGAACTAATATCACTAATGTCTGTAAAATGTATTTCAGCCAAACCTAACTTCTTATGGTTTTGTGTGACATAAACTCTTCCGCCAATAAATCGTATGCTACAAGAAATGCAATGAGTAGTATGTCCTCTGGGACATGACCTGCACGGACACTCATTGGTACCGTATTTGGTTTCGTCATCATTATCGGGTATATTAATTGTTTCGAAGCACTTGTTATCACTCATGTCAACCATATCTTCATCATCACTGCTAGTGATGACTATCTCATCAAAGTCTTCGTCTTCAAATAGATAATCACTCGGCTTCTCATCTAAAATAAGTGACGAAAACTCGTGCATTAAATATGAGTGACCGTTCAATACTCGACTAACTGTCGACCGAATCTTATTTTTGTCCAAATTCTCTGAATTTTGTTTCAATTGATTCAGTGATCGATATAATCTTTGTAGACATTGTGAGTCATTTAATGAATATATCTCTAATTTTCGGGCAAAATTGAAAAAACGTTTCCAATACAAGAAGTCAAACATTTTGCCACATTCTTCTGCCTGATTTGCGCTCAAAAATAATACAAATTCACTCTTTATTTCATTACAAACGTTTGACTTATTAAAGATTTCTTCGATTTCATTACATAATTCTTTAGCAAATCCTCTTGTGTTCAAAGACTCACTTCGTTTTTGATGAAAATTTGACAAAAGTGTCAAAAATTTGGCGAAATCTTCATTTGGAATACATTTCCTTACTTTTTCCAAATAATTTTGAATCAACACTTCTTCCTTTTGTTGTGCGTATGGATCGCTTTGATTGCAATCAAATGCTAACAATTGAAGAGTTGATTCCCGTTGTTTGACAGCCAATAAAGACTTTCGGCCCTCTTTTCTATTGCTGTTTTGTTCACATGAATTGTTGACATCACTGATTGATTTTGTCTTATTCTTGTTCTTCATAGTGATCGTTGAACTGGCGGTCATAAGAGCAGCTAAATCTGATTCGTCGTCAAATTCCATGTCTTCTTCATTGACTGTATTATCAATAGGAGATGACTTTTCGATGTCATCTTTGTTATCATTGTCTTCTTTATTGTCATTCAAGACACAAATTTCTGGACCGTCTTCATCGACCAGATCTATTATTTCATTTAATTTTTCATTTTCTTTTACATCCGACACTTCAATGGCATCTTCATTGATATTATTGTTACTATTATTACTATTTTTATTATTGTTTAAAATATTATCTTCACTGTTCAACTCAATGTCTTGTATTGTTTGGTCATTTGATAATAAATTTTGTTGATTTAACGGCAATTTTTTATAATTAGTTAGTATTTGTTTCATTGGATTAACTCTATTGTTAAGATATTTATACTTTTTGACGATTGAATTGCATTGTTTTACTGGTGACTGTTGTTGTGTTGAATATTTTTGTGGCATTTGTGTTGTCTTCACTACTTTCTTAGACTTTGTCATTAGTTTGGAAGTCAATGAATCTTTAGAATCCCATTCATCAACCATTTGAAGCATTTCTTCACTGATAGAAAACTCAGGATCATTAGCTTCTTCATTATCATCCGATTCTTTATATGTATTGTCGTCATAAATAGAGGTCAAGAACTCTTGCCAAAGAGTATCAGAATTTTTATCCACAGTTTGTTCATATGTTAAGAGCTTATCATAATTGAATTTATTCATTTTGATGGCCTTTTCATACCATTGTGGAGGTGTCTTATATTGTAAATAGGTATCCAATTCAGGATCAATAATACCCGAATGAGTTTCCGGTGCCTTTCCGGTCAAACTTTGAACAATTATAGGATTATCTCTATACTGAAAATATTGACAATTATTTTTATCTTTTTCTTCTTTAGCTCTTCTCTTGATGTTCTTAATATGAGTACGAATTTGATCCACAGTTTTGTTTGGCACAAAAAGTTGTCTTATATATCGATAGCATTGTCTCAATGAATATAAAGGTGTCAACTGTTCCAAACCCAATGCAATCAAATGGTCTTCAGCTAAAGTAAACAATGTTTTGTTATTTTTGTCAACTCTTGTGCCATAATAACCGCAATTCGGCAAAAGCCAAGTGTATGTAAATAAGTGAGGATTTGAGAGATAAATTTCTTTGTTTATCGCCGTAACGGGCAGTGATCGCCACGAATGCATCGTTAGATTCAATTTGGATGTTCTGTCACTCGGATATTCAGTTATAAGTTCAACCATTGGATTGATATTCAATGAATTATAAATACAATTAGTTTGTAAATCAGATGATTCCTTCACTTCTTCCAACATTTTCTTTGCATTTTCCGCTACCGATTCCAAAGAAGTCATATTAACTGATTGTAAGTAAGTCTGAGCCAACAGTTGGATGTGTTGTGACCATTGAGTTACTAATATTTTAACACTTTGTTCATCAAAGATATTGTTTGTTATTTCACTTTTAGTTTGAATGGTAACTTTGGGCAGACTCTGCACTTCCATATCAGTGTCATTGTCTTCATCAAGAAGTAGATCCAGTTCATGGTCAGTCACTTTGATAGCTCTGTCATCTTTGAAATCCCAGTCATCAACCATTCCAAGCATTTCATCGCTGATGCAAAACTCTGGATCACTCACTTCTTCATTATCTTCAGACTCCCTATAAGTGTTGTCGTCATAAAGTGAAGACAAGAACTCCTGCCAAACGGTGTCCGAGTTTTTATTTGAAGACATCTTTGGCCACACAATTGCCGTACAAACACAACACAGACTATGATATGTCAACAATTGATTCGTCTGTTTGTAGCCAAAGATAATATCACATAAATGGTTATATCATTAATACAATTGATTGTATTGTTAGTCCAATATATCATATTATATGTCTTAAGTGTTAATCAAATCAATAATTAGTACCGAAATAATGGCAACAATTGGTTCACAATTTAGTTATCATTAGAAATCAAATGTCAAAACAATAACATTTCTATCACTCATTCACTCCTATACTCCTATACTCACTGTGTATTCACTCAATAATAATAATTATTATTGCATTTAACTACAGTATTTAAAGCTAAAGCAAAAGTGCAACAAAAAACTAATTAAATTACATTACATTAAATTAAATATTAAATTATATAATTATAAAGTATACTAATTTAACATAATTTAATACTCTATATGTTGTAATACACAACATTTGTATTTATAAATTAAAGTATATAAAAGTGAAATTATTATATTTAGTTAAATATTATATTTATTCAAAAGTCTGATATGAAATACACTTAAAAATGCTAAAATGTTGTCATTCAATATCATAGTACTGTACTTATAAAAATAAGTACCGATAATAAAAATTTATAATTATTTACAATTATTGTAAGTAACTTTTAAAAAATAATTTATTCATTATAAGTTATAAATAAATTATTTTTTTTAAATCTAAATTTATTATATTTTTAATAACTTTTAATAAATTTATTAAAAATTATTAATTTTTATAAGTATTTCAAATAAATTTTTATATTGAATTATTACTTTATTTATAACTATAATAAAATTACTAAAACGCAATTATTTTGTAATATTATAAAATAATTAAATAAAAATATGAATATATTATCATTTGTAAGTATAATTAAGAAATTATAATATACGAAAATATAATCTTCAATAAAAATTTAATGATTTCATGAAAAATCTGAGGTAAATTGTAAACTACAAAATTATTATTTTTTTATATATTAATAATTTACCTTATATTAAAAATATATCTTTGAAAATTAAATTAGATTATCGTAATTTTGAAAAAAAGTTAAATAAGTTATACCGGTATAGTTAGTTAAAATATCCACCAGTTTACCCGATTACAGATATTATATATTATTAACTTAAATCTATATTATTAACTATAATATATAGCAGTATTATCCTAAATAATTATATAATTAATAAAACTAATTGTTTAAAATTTGTTAAAATTTATTGATTATTTAAAATGTTTTCCAAATTTGTAAAAAAGCACATCAAAAGATAAATTATTGATTAATTAAAATGTTATAATAAAATGATTTAATGTCTGAATTCGAGTTGTTTTTTATTTCCATAGAAAAGTTGTTGTTTTGCCGATGATTTATAGGAAAATGGTTTATAAGGCAATTGAATGCAATCGTAGATGACTTTAGATAAATCAATAATTTCTCGATCGACATGAAGTGAATCCATTGGATTAGTCGGCAAATTGGCCGAACCAAAGAAGAATTCAAAATTTGGTTCGCCTTTAATATTGTATTTAACAATTGGTATGACATGTGGTCCGGAGGGAAGTGCCGTAAGATTAAGTGTATTCATGACTTGCAATTTAAGAGCAGTCTTGAAGTGTCCGTTACTGTCATTTTTGAGCATTTCAATGGTTTTTTTCAGACAATCAATTTGTATATCTTTATCAATACAAAACATGCGATTCTCGTAAACCATTAGCGGATGATTATCATCCATCTCTTCAGAAACGGCAGACCGACGACCGTCACTAATGTCCGACTCGTCATCCGATGCAATGGCAATATTTGTGGTCAATTGCTTATTCAATTGTTTATCCAATTGTGTCATACTTTTGGCTACAATAGACTTCGAGTTTTGTCTAATTGTTTGGTTAGTCATTGAATTTTTGGTCATTCGTACAGACTTTCTGATAGGAGTGCTATTAACTGAAGAATCGTCCGGAATATTGTTTTCTTTGCGAAAAGATTTTTGTCGTAATTTTTCTAACGTATTGTCAGCAAAAAATCCAATCTCTCGTCTGTCACTTCCATTGATTACTCCTAAAACATCAGAATTTAATACTCAATATAAATAAACAAATAAATAATATTTTACTATAAAACATATCAATTGAAATCAATTATTTTTACGATACATATATACAGTATTAGTGCTACGAATAACAGTTTTATCTTAAATAAAAATCCCGTAATTTAGATGACAAAAGACATACCTTTCTTGTCGCTCACGATTTCCATTGCATTCAAATCAATGATAGCGTCGTCTTTGACTTTATTTTTATACTGAAATATAAATTTTAAAAATCAATGATAAAAATAATAATATTGTTAATAAAGATGTGTTACTTTGGATTCAATTTGTTTGACCGTCGAGTCAAAGAAGTAGTCAAAATCAAAGTTTTTCTTCACATTTCGTTGACGTCTTTTTACTGAATGTGCTATTGAGTCGTCCATCGACAGACCAACGCCTTCATCGCTGGTCACCGACGATATCGACTGTCGCGACGCCTTACTGGCAAAGGCCAGTACTGGTGGCGGACATGACTTGCGTTTAGACGGTCTTCCTCTTTGAGCCGACGGTTTATTAGCTGAAACTGACTGAAAGATATCACTCAACTCATCCATGGTTTGTATGGTTTGAATGGAAAAAACACTACAAAAACAATAATTGTTTTCATTTGGCGCTCAAACCATACAAAACTAAACAACTATTCAATCGATCGTATATTACGTTACCATTGAATACAAGTATTATAACACATGTTTGTGTGATTGCATTGTACAGTACAGTGGGTTTGGGTACACATCTAACGTATATACTGTAGTCAAATGCAAACAAATGTTTGACCAAAACTACAGTAATGACAATATTTATTGAAAAACTGTATACAATTGTATTGACTCTAACAGTACAGTACTATCAGTATATGTATTAAGTGTTGTATTAAACGATACACTGATTGTGTGTTTGTGTGAACACTGAGTGAATACACGGATAGGCGTCGGCTTTGCATTGAATGCAGTGATTGACAACTGATTGCACTATAAATTGTCGACATTTTAATTGGCGATCATTTGATCCAATTTTTTAGGCCAATATGTCAGAAACGGGTGGCGACCACAAAGTGGACACTCACGAGGAGGAAGAGGACCTGAGTTATAAGCCTCCACCGGAAAAGACGTTGAATGAAATCATTAACGCCGACAAAGAGGATGAAAGTCTTCAGAAGTATAAACAAACTCTTTTAGGAGCCGCCACTCAGGATCTGGTGATCATTGAAGCAGATAATCCCAACAGAGTTATTGTCAAACAATTAGCTCTTCTCGTCGAAGGCCGACCTGATATGGTTCTCGACTTAAGTACAGGTCTGTAGACATTGTGTTTCTGTCAATGATTTTATCAAATGATTAGTTGGAGATAAACGATGTTTTCGTTTTTAATTATAGGAAACTTAGAGGCGATTAAAAAACAAATTTTTACAATTAAAGAAGGCATTCAGTATAGGATCCGAATTGATTTCATTGTTCAGAGAGAGATAGTAACGGGTCTTAAATATCAGCAGAAAATACACCGACACGGCATCCAAGTGGAGAAAATGAATCAAATGGTCGGCAGTTATGCGCCTAAAGTGGATCTTCAATCCTACACGAGTCCTGTAGAAGAGATGCCATCAGGTTTGCTATCGCGGGGCACATACAATGTCAAGTCCCTGTTCACAGATGATGATAATCACCAGTGGCTTAAGTGGGAGTGGAATTTTGAGCTCAAAAAGGACTGGTAGTCACAAAATATGATAATCAAACCAATTTGTCAGACGCGCAAAACAACCAAAATCACCTCAACCTGTGATTACCCCTGTCTTAGATTATTGTAATGTATGTGCCTTTCAGTGTCCAATTATTTGTCGTTTTATAATTAGATATGTTTTTGAATTTTGTGTCAATTAATTCAATTCATATTAATCGCCACAAACTTTATAACAATAATAATAATAATTGTATTAAATTTTTAAATCTTATTTCTTACAAATACTTATTTTTAACCAATTTCCCTATTAATCTTATATAAAGTATTTATATATTAATGTAATAATTTGTTTTCTAAATTTTTATTATTTTTACGTTTAAAATATTTGAAAATATTATCCATATATTTATTTAATAAATGGCTTCCTTTCCTTAAATTTTTGTAAAATTTAATATATTACTAAACTAAAGCCAATAAATTGTTTTATTCATTAATTACAAATAATAATAAAAGTAAGAAATAAGAAAAATAATTTATCCATTGATCACTTATCACACAAAATAGTATAATTTAATTGACTTTTAATCAATCGATAACATCATCGTAATTGGTTTAATGTACTGATTGTACAGTACTTCTGTTTATATTAATAGCTCTAAAATGTACTCTATATTACAATACATATTTAAAATTTATTTAATTTACTTTTTTACTTAATTTTTTAATAACTTATGCCCATTCATTATACGGTAATTATACATTATTTAAAAATAAAAATCAACTTAAATTAAACAAATCTAAGTATAACAAAGTTAAATAAAACTAAATGAGAGATTAGTTGAATAATATTTGATATGATAAGTACTATATCACTATAGCATTCATTTTATCAAAACTATTAATATAAAATTAGGTAATAATAATAATAATAATAAGCTATTCAATTCAATAAATTTTCGTAAATAACATTTGAATTTAAATCAACAATATTTTTTATGTAACACAGAATCTACATTAAGAATCTATTGATCACTTAAGATATTCAGAAACATCTTTATTGAAACAATAGACATACTCTAATGCAAACAATAATTGTTAAATTGTTGTTTATAATGAAAACTGAATTGTTGTTTGAAATTCAATACTTTATTAATATAATTATTATTTTTATTACTGGTTTTTAATACATGTTAAAACAATTGATTTCATTAGACATTAAATATAGTGTATATATTTCATATATAGAATAAAAATGTAAATTAATTTTAAGTTATAATTAAAAATATCGCTTAAAATAATATCACATAATTCTCAAGTCTATCACAATTAACAGAGATTTGATTCGTTCTCAACAATAACTCTGATATATTGTATATAATAATTGTAATGAAAATTATTTTTTGTTTGTTTACTAACTTCTAAGTCACTTTTTAATTGACACTTTGTTTGCAATACATTTGCAATTATTATTATATTAATAATATATTAGTTCATTTTACAATTAATATATTGTATATATATAGAAAAATAAATAATAACTCTGAGAAAAAATATAATTTTTCATGATTTTGTTTGTATGTGTGTATAGAGAGAATCGAATCAATGATTTTTTTAAATAAATAAATTAATTAAAAATAATTAAATTAAATGTTTGGTTTAGTTGTTTGAGAATAAGTGCTTTTTTGAGCAAAAATACCCATAAATTGCTTTATCACGGATTTGTGTGTCACTCACAATAAAATGTGTGTTTTTATTCATACTCTAAGATCTGTTTGTGATAAAACAGTAAATACCTGCGAAACCGAACAAAATCACAATTAAAACAATAATTTTAAATAATAATTTGAAACAAACCCTTCACTATTGAGCACTTCCTGAACACTGGCGCGCATTATCAGGTGATCATCGCATTTAAACCATTGGTCGCGATGTAATCTAATGAATGCCGTATAATGACCGGTCTCTATGGTTCCCGAGTGATTAACAACAGCAAAAAGACAGTATCTAACAAATCAATTGTAATGATAATAAAATCATAACGAAACCACCGAAAACAATGGTCTCACTTGTTGTTATTATTTGAAATCCCATTGATATACGTGTTGTTATTTAGAGAGCTATTGGGAGCTTTACAACCAATTTTTGAGGCCATAAATGGAGTCATATCCAGATATTGAGGAAATGATATAAAACTTGATATTTTTTTATGAAATCGACTCGAGTGTTCAAAACGCTAACCAATTAATCACAAATCAATAAATGTTTTTTAACAGATCAACGATTAAAAACCTTAAGATGAAAGCTGGCGACAACCGGAAGCTTCTTAAGCGACAACTGTTTAGTGGACTCCTGATAGCTCTGACACGAACTGCATTTGATTTTAGCAGAACTGCCCAAATGTTCGGGTCGTGTGAAGCGCTCTAAACAATCGATCAATGATTTTGGTTCCGATTCATCACAAAGTGTTTGGTTGGTTGCTGTCGATGTTGAACAAGAAGATGAAGCAGCCTTTTGTTGTCGCATATGAAGCGATGGACCCAAATCAAGGCTAAAATCCCAAATGGGATCTTCAACTGAACTCACGCCTCTGTATTTAACAAACAATTTAAATCAGTTTTAATATCTTTGGTTAAAAACAACTATTTTTAAATGAAAAATAACGACTCACTTGCAGGCCTGACATACAACATCTGATTGAAGACTTCCTGTAAAAATTTGATCGATAATACAATTACAGTGATGCGGACTATTACTTGTTGGACCGTTTGTGCCTTTAGTGACAAATATATATCAATTTAAATTAATTATAAAAAAAACAAAATAAAAATATAATTCATATAATTAAATAAAAACCTCTGCAATGGCGGTGTAAAACATCAAGAGTTGCGATAAAAAATTCGTGAGCGTCTTGTTGTTCATAACCAGCTAAATGTCGGGCGTGAGTCCAAACCAAATGCAATAATCTAAACGGAATGTGTGGCGCGCTTTTACCCGAATAAAACTATTGGCCAATAATTGGTCACAAAAAACAAACATTAGTATATTATATCCAATTGTCTCTACCATTTGGTCAAACCTCTTGAAAAAGTCGGACCATTTCACAGACCAAACACATGGATGGATCCGATTCAAACTGACAAATATGACGATCAGCTAAAAAATAATCACGAAGTAGTGGAGTATGTGTTAAGGCCTGAACAATACAATTCATAAAACAAGTATTTCCTAGATTTATAAGACCACGAAGTCCTATACAAATCATATAATCAAATAGTAATAAAATTATTAATAAGAATCAAATTAATTGATTTATTTTAAATGCCAACCGATGTGTGAATTTTCTGTAATTCGTTTTCTTTGAGGATTATCTTTGAGTACTTGAAGCTCTTGAGAAGTTGGTTCCCATATATAATACTGAGCGCTACGAATACCATCCATTTTGTTGGTCTTTCGCCGCTGTTTTCGAGCAATTGTCTCGAAGTCTTTGTCGTGCATATAATCGGTGCAAATGAAACAATAGACCATTCCGTAGCAAAGATCCATTGCTGTAATTCAAACAAAACATTAATTGGTAAATATATTCATCAATAAATAGGATAATAACCTAAACAATGGTTTTGTGTCTTTGCGTGATCGTGAATGTGATGTCCAGTAAAACAACCAAAAAATACACAATAAAGACATGAATGGAGTCGAGAGTTCGTCTGTCGACATGTAAAACATATACAACTTTGGGCCTGAAATATAAACAATGGATTAATTGAGTGATACAAATGATAGCCATCTGAGTGGTGTACAAACCTTGAGTTTACGGGACTCTTCAGTGGCCACCGAAACGAACTGTTTGTAAATAATTCGGTAAGAATTGAGACCATATTTATGTTTAAATGACTCCAAGTGTTGGCAAATGCTTGAACTCATAGTTTTTTTTTGGTGACAATCAAGTGGTCAACCAATTGGTCACTCAATGGCTAAATCACACAATCAGTTGTTGTTTGCATTCAAACATTCAAACAATTTATTCAAAAAAATATTTCCATTCATTCATACATTCATTCAATTTATTCAATGCTATTATCAACAACTCATTGGCCATTCATTCACAATAACGTTACGCTTATAATGCATTCAATGCGTCCCCTAATGTGTGTGTGTTTTGGACAACACATTCAATCAGTTATACACTGTATTAATAATATATGAATTCAAACATTCAATGTATTCAATGCTTTTGTTTTAAAAATCCCTTTCAATCGTATGTTTTATATACTGAATAACAATTCATTAAATCATTAAATACTACTAATAATTATTAATAATTAATAAAGAATTTATGATATCATAAATAATTTTTAACACTTTACTGGTTTGTTATATAATTGATTAATAATTACAAAAATTAAGTATAATTAGTATAATAATTATTGACTAATTGTTGGCAAAAACATCATTTAGTTGGAAATATTTATCAAAGTTTACTGAATTTCATAAAAATTAATCTTAACTTTTGAGTAATCTTTCTAATATTATACTTAATACTATTAATATAAATTTAAATAACTAAAGATATCTTACATTATTTTTATACAATATATATATATATATATATATATATATATATACTGTATATTCTGTATATATATTTATGTGATTAAATTGCTGTTATAATAAAATAGAGAATTTTAGGTTAAGTTTATTTATTATAAAATATATAGCAAATTGACAAATAATTTCAAGAATTTGGTGTCAAATAGTTTAAGTTTATGAACAAATATTTTAAAACTTATTTGTAAACTGAATATAAAAGTTGTAATTATGTAATATTATATAAACAATAAGTCAAATAAATTCTTGTGAACAAAGGATCGCATGAATTACAGCAAATAAAATGAAATTAAATACAATCTATGTTTAGCTTATACTGTACTATATATATATATAATTTATATATTATATATATATAGTACATATCGTACATTTAAAAAATCTTTTATTAATGAGAAATATTGAATAACTTAAGAATATAATAATAAATTTTTGTTGTTGTTAGTAGTGTTTTAATTTTAAAATACTAATTAATATATATATATACAGTAGATATATATATATTAATCATATAAATATATGTATTTGAATATATTGTATATATATATAATATTCAAATACATATATGTATATAATTAAAATTTGTGAAAAATATTTACATTAGAGCCCACAAAATGTAATTTAAAATAACAACATTTTAAATGATTTGAAAACTTTTATGCGAGTATTTAAACGCTAAACCAATTTAATAAAATGATTGACAAATTCTGTTAACATAAACTTTTAATATAATTAAACATTTGTATAGTTGATATCGTTAAACACTATGCAATAACTTAGTATCTGTGATATTATAAAATTTGTATAATATGCTAATATCTTCTAATTATTTAATAGTTTATTTGAATATTTTAATAGTTTGTTTTGTAAAATTATATTACAATTACAATATTGATGATGACTATCAGCTAAATGGACATTATATGAATGTATGGGCTGTTCACATACCATCAGGAATTGATACGAGTGATCGAGTGGCTCAAGACCTGGGATATACTAATTTAGGACAGGTTTGTATTGAATTAATTACGGTATAATAATTATATTTTATTGTTATTAATATGATTATATAATTTATTTATTTAGTTAATTAACTTACTTTTAAAAATATATATTACATTCTAATATATTATATCTTAGAAATTTTTAAATATAATTTTTAAAATATATAAATATATTTTTTATTAAAATAATAGTAGTAATTGAGAAAACATAAATAATTGTATATAAATTATCAACAAATGTAAAATATTTACACATTTAATGTATGTATTGATTAGAAATTGACAGTTAATCACGTAATAAATATTACCATAAAGTTAATTTATATAAATAATGCAAAAGTTATTAATAACTATAATGAAATTTAAAATTAAATATAATCAATGATAATTGTGATAAAAAAAGTATAATCAATGATATTTATAACAAAAAATAAAATATAAATAAAATATTATAAAATTTAAGTTTTAAAAATCTAATGATTTTATTTATTAAATTGTTTGAAAAGATAAAAGGCCTTGATAACTTTTATGTATTTCACAACAAATATCATCCGCGTCGCAGCAAAAGACATGCACACAACTATACAAACCAATTGTCAAGTGATGGCAGAATCCGTTGGGCTGAACAACAAATGGCAAGAATCCGGATTAAGAGAGGATTTATTAAATTTAAAGATTTGGATAATCATTGGACTAAATACTTGCGCCACTCAAGTGATCCGTTAGAAAGAGGTAAAAAGTATCCAGGTGCTTACCATGATCATACATTCAATGATGAACTATGGAGCAGACAATGGTATCTTCATGGCAGTAGAAATGTACCAACACTTCCCAGAATGGACCATGGAGTCAAAGAGGTTAGATGTCATCTATTTAATCATTTACACATATGATACATGACTTTAATTATTATACAATATAACAGTAAAATTTGTAAATTATATAAATTAAATTAATTGTAATCAATGTAAATTAAAAGACATAATCGCAATTGTGGTATATATTAAATATTTTTGTAGTAGTTTACTACAGTAATAAAATATACGGTATATGTAAAATATATATCCTATAAAAATTCAATAACTTTAAATACACAGAAACTTAAGTTTCATTTTTATAAATTTTAGATATTTTAGTTTAATTTGAGATAATTTTCAAAAAATATTAATTTATTTTTAAGGCCTGGCAAATGGGGTTTACTGGAAAAGGAGTGGTTATAACCATTTTGGACGATGGTTTGTAAATCAACAATATTTAAAAAATAATGGCATTATATTTTTAATTATTTCAATAGGACTCGAGTGGACACATTCCGATATATACGCTAATTATGTTAGTTTTTAATAAGTTTTACTGACTTTTAAAATTTAAAAAATGACAATTTCTTTTAGGATCGTAATGCAAGTTGTGATACTAATGATAACGATATGGATCCGAGTATACTATTAATATATCAATTTTTTGTTGTTGAAAAGTGTCAATAATGTTAATTAAAAGTTTGTTTAATTATATTATGATTTTAGTGCCACGTTATGATAAATATGATTCCAACCGTCACGGGACCCAATGTGCCGGTGAAATAGCTATGATTCCCAACAATCATAAATGTGGTGTTGGTATTGCTTTTAATGCTAGAATTGGAGGTAATTTCCAACAACTGTTATAATTATAACTGATTTTTAAATTAACAAAATATTAAATATAATCATTTGTTAACACTATTTGTCATAAATGCTAAGGAATTCGTTGTTTAGATGGAGAAGTGTCGGATGTCATTGAAGCCATGTCTCTGTGCTTTAATTATAATTACATTGATATTTATAGTTCAAGTTGGGGACCAAGTGATGGTATATTTTTTAAACACATAAATTAGAAATTTACAAATTATTAATTGTAATTAAAATGATAAACATTCTAACAAAATGAATATTTTAAACTTATAGACGGTATGACAGTTGACGGTCCTAAGCGTTTGGCCACTGAAGCCATATTAAAAGGCATCACTTATGGACGTCAAGGAAAAGGAGCTATTTATGTTTGGGCGTCTGGTAATGGAGGGATGAAAGGAGATAATTGTAATTGTGATGGATATGTCAGTTCCATATATACCATAGCGATTGGTAGCGCCAGTCAATCGGGACAGTTCCCATTTTATGGCGAACGGTGCTCATCGACATTAGCGGTCACTTATTCGAGTGGTGGATATACTGATCAAAAGATAGCCACCATTGATTTGAAAGACAAATGCACGATTGACCACTCGGGCACATCAGCGGCTGCACCGTTGGCCGCCGGTATGATTGCACTGATGCTCGAAGCAAAGTATTAATTTGTTATCATATTTTGTATGTCATAACTACCGATAACTAAAATTTCTATCATTAAAAATAGCCCAAACTTGAACTGGAGGGATGTTCAACATCTTATTGTCTGTACCTCACAATTTAGTCCACTCATGGAAAACAAAAGTAAACAATTGTTTAAATTAAGTTAAATTAGTTAAATTTTCATATATATATATATATATATATATATATATATATATATATATATATATATATATATATAGGTTGGAAACGCAATGCCGCGGGTTTTATGTATAATAGTAGGTTTGGCTTTGGACTCATGAAGGCTGATCTTCTGGTTATGGCTGCTCTCAGATGGACTACTGTTCCTCCAAACCATGTCTGTTATATTAAGCCAAAATCAATGTAAATATGATAAAAATAACAATTTCTAAAACTAATTACATTACCGATAATTAAAATTAGGACATCAATACTTATACCTGTATAATATAATTAGTATATAGTTGTACTCATTATTATATTCCACAAGTAGTTATGAAAATGACAATTTATACTTAAAACAACTAAATATAATATTTTTTATAAATGAATATTTTTAAATGATTTTTTATAAATGATATTATCTAAACGTATTTTGGATAAAAATATTACATTTTTAAGTTTTATTATTAAAAAGCTTTAAATATAACAAAAAAAAATTAAATTTATATAATATAATTAAAAACTGTATCAATTGATAATTAACTACAAATTCATATAAAAAACGATATATTTTTTAGACTGCCATTAACTCTATCATCTGGTGGTGACATTCAAATCAATTTCTTGAATATAGGACATCGATGTTGTATCAAATTTATTGAACAAATACAGATCAATCTTTATATGGATTATACGAGACGAGGAAATCTTCAAATTATACTAATATCACCACAAGGTTTGCATTGTATTTGAGAAAACAAACTTTTTTTGTAATTTATTTGACTGTATGTATGAAACAATTATTGTTAGGAACCGTAAGTATGTTAATGACTACTCGACCCAAGGATACCAATCGGGTGTTTCCCAATTGGAATCTTACATCAGTTCACTTCTGGGGCGAGAATCCGATGGGACACTGGAGGCTCGTTATAAGGGATCCGGTAATTAAATTAAATATAATACATGTATCATGTTTTGGATATTTGATTAATATTAGATTTTTAATAAATAAATGTATATATTTTTGTATTAATTAGATTGTTAAACATAAAAACAGTGAAAATAAGGGTAAAGTAAAAAAAGTCACTCTTATACTTCATGGTACAGATGAACCATCCGGTTGTCTGAAAACTGGTCGACGAGTTTATGAAGATGAAGATCTGATCGAAAGGACAATAGACATAACACCGGTTGTTTGAATTTCAAAAATATTTGCAATAATTTAATAATAATTGTATAAAAAATATTTTGTTAGGAATACTTGGAGGACACTAAAGACCAAAACGATTTACCAAATGATTTGAATTCATTGAAAAGTCCATTAGAAATGGATTTTACCGATGATTTATTGATTCTTTAATACTATATAATACTATTACTAATCTATATTTTTAAAAATTAATTAAATTATTTAATTTTTTATATAAAAATGTACTTAAAACGAGTTTATTTTACATAAAATAAATATCACAATATTTGAGAGACTGACAATAAAAAAGCCTAATTATTAAATAAATATAAACTTAAATAAAAAATATTAAAATAAGAATCTTTTCTTTTAAGACATAATTCTAGCTCTTAATAAATGATAAAATACTGGCATTTGATATTTGATTTAATAGTAACAATGATTGCAATTATATTAATAATAATTATAATTAAAAACAATTATTAATTCGTAAAAAAGTAACGATTAATACTATAAGTCTTCTTCACTGACGTCTTCGATCTGATATTTATTTCGTTTATTTTTGAACGCATCGGTGCTGACGACCACTGAATGAGTGTTTAGCGGTAGTCCGTCATAGACGGGTACCCGACGACCGTTGGACAGCCAACAACACAATATATTGCCGTTTCGATCGGTAATTATATAAATAACTAATACTAATATTACAAAACATAGACAGAGAAAAACAACGGCCACTCCTGTGTACCACTTTTCCAGTGCCACCACTTCCTGGACTAACTCTTTGGCAAAACAATGACCATTTCGGTGAAGTGTTGCGTCAAAATAGCATTGAACGCACTCGTTATCATTGGGACCAAAACAACGTCGACAAGAATAATGACAACTATTACAGGAAACTGTTGATGAAGTATTGGATGACCGGTGTTCAAGTGATTCGCTTTTCGCCACCAAAAAGTATCCGTCGGGACACGACTCTAGACACTGACCATTATAAAGCAATAGGCCGGGCATGCAGTCTATTTGGAAAAAAGCATAATTAGCCTTTTTTATCGTATTAGTGCCCAAACTTATAGTTGCCCTCAACATAATAGTGCGGAAGAAAAGTTATTTAGTTTGATTCATAACACAAAGTACTCAATAGTATACTCAATGACATTAAAAAAATTGTCATTTTATTTGCTTTTGTTTGTATATTAGAAAATATTTAATAAATTTAAATGCAAGTCATATTGATTTGATTATATTTATTTGAAAACATCTTTAATTATATTTATAACAATTTTTATCGTTTGTTTATTTTTGTTTACTATTTATTTAGTTTAATGAGTATTATAATCATCCAAAAAAAATTTGTAAATAAAATCTAAATAAATTTAATTAAATATGATTTATATATATAATTCATTTATATAATTTTTTTATAGTTGTCAAATACTAATATTTGTTTTATATATTGCATTTGACTATAAAATGCCGTTTTATGATAATCAATCAAATTAAAAACTTTGACAAATTTTTAAGCATTTAAAATATTTTTTTGCATAAATGTATATCTGAGCAAATTATATGCATTAAAACTAGTTTTTTATACAACTAATAAATTAATTCAACTTATCTCTCAAACGCTTATAAAAAATAAGCAAAAATTAAAAAATAAATAAAACTAAATGTAAACAATTTATACATAATTGTCCTATAATTTGATTTTACATAATTCAACAAAAAATTGCAAAATTAAGTTAATATTACAAAAAATTCACAATAAAACTAAATGTTTAATTGTTAAACGACATGAATATATGGCTTAATCATGTATTTATGAATTCAATGAAATAAATGATGGAATGATTGATAAATAGTACAAAATAGTTAAAACTATATTTACAATATATATGCATAGTATATACAGTATTATAATCAGTTTATCAACATTTTTTGGTCACATAAAAGGTCTATGACTTGTGTATGACTTGTAATTTTACATTTAATGATAATATGCATTTCATGTGATACGGAACCGATGCTAATGTCAAATAAGACACTGACTTTAATAGCTTAAGACTTGTACTCAATGGTCCCAAAACTTAAAACATTGGAAAAAGATTGCAAATCATCTCTAATATTGAAATACAGGTAGACTTGTGTTATAAAGATTTTGATTAATGTCTAACAATAGTTTATAGATTAACTATAATATAGGAATAGCTTTCTTTAGAGACTTTGAAAATGATTTTAAGATTATTTAGTTTCTATAAAAAGATGTCGAGAATAGTATTGACCGCAAAGGCACAGATGAACCAACCTATACATCGTGTCATTACGGGATCAAACTGAGCACAACCACTGGCGACCGTTCCCTCGGGAATCATATCATTGTTTTTGCTGTGACGCGTGCCGTGAACTAAAATAGACCAACCTATAAGTGCCGTTTAGCTCATTAGTCTTTAACTTAATTGGTGGTAAAGCAAAGTAATTCATGCAATTCAAAGCAAAAGTGATTTTATTAATAAAGCATTCATTATAATGAAAATATTATATAAATCAAATAATTCAGTGCTTTTATAAAGTTAATATTTTTTTTAATTATTTTATAAACTTTCAATAGATTTAATGCTCAAAAAATATATTGAAATCATACAATTATAAAATTAAATAAAATTTATGTAAAACAAACCTTCTTTGCGATTATAAATGTTTTTTGTCTGACTGTCGGATAAAATAATATTTTCAGAGTTGTCTTCATCATCGATATGATTACTATTTGGCTCTTTTAGAATAAGCTCCGGTTCTTTGGTAGGACTACTCTTCTCTGAAACGATTACTTTATTGGCAAAGTCTTGGACAGGCGATGGTGTAGATAAAGGCACTGTTGGTGTATAGGTTTTTGAACGCAAACCCGACCACTCTTTGTTCTTGACTTGTCTTCTATCGGGACTGACTGACGTTCCGTATAAAACAAGAGTCCATTCTTTAAGAAAAGCTCGACCTATTCAATAGATTAAAGATAAATAAACCGATAAATAAAAGCAAATAAGTAATAAATATTAGAAAATATATTAATATAAAGCCTAGACTCGTACCAAAAATGCTTTGCAGGCCATTAGATACTGATTTATAAAAAACATCACAGAAAGCAAAGTAAAGACAGAATAAGATAAACACAATTTAAATGAAGTATTTAAAAGAATATTAATGAAAACCTACTGTAATATCTGCCCTCATTGTGTATCTCTAGTCTCCACTCTCCGTTTGGATTCTCTCCCCACGAATGGACGCTCATAAATGGCCAGTTCTGAAAACCAGATCTCGAGTTGTCCATTGGTCTCTGGGCTAATAGAGTTGATCGGGTGCCGGCCGGAGAGGTCAGATAGACATGAATATCTCCTCTTCTTGTGGCAGTCAGTGTAACTTTTGCCTGAGTGTGCTCTAAATACTTGACATTTTCACACGAAACCTATAAATTTGTTTTTGTCAATAACATTATCATATCTTAATTATTGTCATTTAATTATATAAGTATATTATTTAATACCTTTAAGGACATCTCAATGTAAGACTTTGCGGGAACCAGTCTTAAAGATTGTAATTAAAAGATTAGACTTTTGTTTTACAGACTATTTATTATTAAACGCTTACTTATCAATTGGTTGACTTCTAACTTCACATAACTTTTGTGAGGGAACGGTAACCCATTGTTTGGCCAAATCAACCATTGCGTTGGCATCAAGTAGTCCGTAACCGAATGAATGGCTAACATTTCTGCCGACACCATTGATCTTCCAGTCTCTGGCGTGAAGGTTGGCTGGTTTGGCCGTTTGTACCACTATGTGCTGCATATCCCTCCATGTCAACTTGGGACTGGTATTTATCAAATTTAACAATATTTATTAAAATACTTGAACCGTGTCTTTATTATATAAATATTTATCAAATACATTATATTTCATAATAAACGTTAAAAATATTGTTGAAATAAACTAAAGCTTGAAAAAATTACTTTTCATAAAACAACAAATACAAAATAATTAATACTATATAATTAATTCATAATTATAAAAAAAACATGACAACCAATTTGATTATATAAATGCATTATTATCTACTGTATTACCTAATATAGGTATTACTTTTTAATACTTATTGTTATATTAGTTAAAGTTAACTTAATGTAATGTTTAGACTATGCAAAAACAAAACGATAAAATTATAAATGATGGCAATTATATAGTAGAAGTTAAAAATAAGTAATTAATTGTATCATAAAATGTTTTTAGTTTATGATAATAGCTGACAAATATTTGAGGCATTAAATAATTATGTAAATAAAACAAAATTTCATTCAATTTTGTTTATTATTTTTTTGAAAAATCTAGAAATAGCCACAAATTCTATAGTAATCTTAATCATCAATCCTTAAATACTGTATAATATAATATACAGTACAATATATTAAAACATTTTGAAAAATAGCGCTTTAATAACTTATTTAACTTTAACTGTTAAGTAATCATAATTCATATGATAAGTGTTAAAATGTAAATAATTTTAAATGTATTTAAAAATAGATTTTAAAAATATCAAAATACAACTCACTTGGCCTCCAGAACAAGAGCACAGATACCAGCAGCGAGTGGTGCCGATGCCGAAGTGCCCGTATGGCTGGAAGTGCAACCGTGATGTAGATCAGTGGTAACAATCTGTCGTTCGCCAAATGAACCGCTACTATATGTTGTGGCCAATGTTGAGGAACAGGCCTCACTATACCAGGGCACCAATCCATTTTCAGTGGCACTTGATATGGAAAGAGTCCAAATTGAATTGGTATATCCATCACAATTGCAATTATCGTGTTCCCGACCACCATTTCCCGAAGCCCATACAAAAATAGATCCAAGTCCTTTTCTCCCTTTATTGACACCATCCATGAATGCGCGAGTGGCCAACTCTCCCGGTCCATCCACTGTCTTGCCATCATCATCGGGACCCCACGAGGCGCTATATATGTCAATGTGTTGTGGATTCAAACTAAGAGATCGTGCCTCTACGGCATCAGTCACATCCCCATCAAGCATACGAACGCCTCCAACTTTGGCATTATAGGCAATACCAACAGCGCATATATTGTTATTAGCGTTAGCGGCCACTTCTCCAGCACATCGAGTCCCGTGTCTGTTTGAATCTATCATATCATATCGAGGCATCGGATCTTCATCGTGATTATTGACATCAAAACTGGCCAATGGATCATAATTTGAAATAAGATCCGGATGATCTTTTTCTAGACCATCATCGAGAATTGTAACGACGGCCCCTCTGCCAGTGATATTCTTATTCCATGCCATTTGGACATTCATGTCGAGGCCCTGACCCCTATTTAAATACCACATTTGTGGCCATCGCGGGTCATCAAATTGCATGCGCTTTATATTGACATTAGAGGTACGAGTATTTGCAGACAAACGGACAAAATCTCGTTTATGTCTTGTCTTCAGTATTTCTACATCTTTTGAGTTTCTCTGATGTGAGACGAGAGACAATAACATATGAAAAGTGGGAATAAAAGACAAATACAAATAATACAAACAATTGTTTCGTTATCTAATGAATTGCTATGTGTTGTTGTGCTGACAATGAATGGATCCGGCAGTGGGTTATCGGCCGCAGTCTTCGCATCGAAATACATAAAATCTCTTTTAACACGACGTTTGATATGTTGCTGTTGTATCCATAGGACCTGTTGTCACAAGGGGTCAACCAATTTAAAGATAATATATATTATTATTTGCATTCAATTTTCACATATAATAGGAGTTCATAATAATACTGTAATAATACGATACAAATAATAACTCAAAAATTTTTTCATATATTATTTAAGAGAGGATATGAAAAATTGCAAACAAACTCTTTACACAATAAAAAAATCTCTTATTATATCATTTTTTATCTGATAATCAACTAAATTGAGGGTTTATTCATATAATTTTAGACAACTTTACAAAAAATAAATAATTATCATAAATAATATGTTTTTGTATCAATTAATAAATCATTATATCGTGAGATACAATAGATGAGGAAATAAGTTATCCTTAAAATAGGTATTTGTTTTATGTATGAGTATTGCCATAATTATTGGCCAATTCGTGAGTTACCCGCACAATAAAGTCAGTACTGATTGTACCGATACTTACATCCGAGTCCTTCTCAAGCTGTGAATGATCTTTATGTGAATATTGTGTCGATCTCTTGGAGATGTGATTCAATCGTAATAAATAGTGGCAATCAATTGATCCAATCTATGGGTCGGATTAGAGGCATTGATGCATCACTACTACAATCAATTCAATTAATCCATTCAAATACCTGTCCAACTAATGTATATCCATATCGATTGGCGACTGTCTGTGCATTAATGTCATCACATTTGTCTGGTTTGAGAGACACAGCAAACTCATTGGTAAACATCTTGTTGTCATTGTTTTGGTGATCACAAGTGACGCCTAAGATGTGATGATTTAAGCAAATGATGGCTAATATAAACACTAATAGACAGTCTGTCTTTGATTTGCATTTGATTTGTTTTGAATCACTAATTAATGCATTAATTATTAGCGAAAATATTATATAAAAAATATATGAAAATCTCAGTAAATAAGTCTTCATTTGAGACAATATTAATGCCATTTAATGATAAATTGATGTGATTTTTGGGATCAATTTGTTTTTATATCCAAACTTTTGTCACAACATTATTATTACAGTTAAATAATTTATTATTATTATTATTATTACAATTATTATAACTATAATTATGATTAATAATAATACTGCTAATATTAATTACATTTATATCACTATTAATATCAATATATATCATATCGATTTGAAAATTAATTGCAATTCAATTTAATTCAAATTAAAAGTTAAAACTATATTATAATTACAACTAAAAAATAAGTTTATATAACATTATTATTTAAAATTATTACTATTTTGTTGACTAAAAGCTGAGTGAAATTATTAAAAATATATAATCGTTGAGTATATTATCATTTAATTAGTAATTAACAGTTATATTGTTATCAATATTATTATTATTATTATTATTATTATTATTAAAATGAAACAACAAATAAAAGGCAATAAAAAATATGAGTGAATTGCTTATCATATGATTAGATAATAATGTATTTAATAGTGAAAACAATGTCATCAATGGTTTGATAAAATTGATTATAATTATTATGACTATTAATGCCAAACACTTTTCATATGTATTGTAAACAAATAGATGTGACACTCAATCACATCATTCACTCACTCACTAAAAACTCATAGACAGACTCACTGAGAGGACAGCCCTTAACAGCTAATATCATAGCACTGGTAGTCACTATAAACACAGGCATTAAGCCATTGGATAAGCAATCAGTCCTTACATGTGATGCCAAACGCAAGAAACTCAATGATAAAGAGCTTTGGATTTATGGTATAACTTAAGGCACGACTCAGTCATCAATGATTGCCTTCACTGTCGACCACATCATAGCACTGGTAGTTAAGTCAAGTCATACAACAACTTCTCAGAAAGTAATCAAACAAATGATTACTTATTTAACATTTTAATGCATTAAATGCATTAAACTTAACAACAATACAAAACTGCTTATAACTTATATATATTTATAACATTATAGCACTACTATTATAATATAGATATTAAGTACTGGTATATCAAATGTATTGAAAGCAACAAAAAATAAGACAATAAGTTGTCTTTAAATTCAGACAAATGACTAAATAATTGTGTCGTAAATAGTGTTGAACTAAATCTTATACTAATATACCAAAGCTTTTCAACAGTCATACTGTTTCATAGATATTGTATATGTATTTATTGTCAGCTTTTTAGAGCATTTCCCACATTTCCTTTGATTTGAGGGTCACTTGAGGACAGCCCTAACAGCAAGTGGTTCAAACTGGTCACACATGAGGACATCCACTTCTCTATTAATATCAATTGTCGTTCACTTTTCAAACTTTTTTTATGAATTAATTAATCTAATAAATTGAATGCTAGACTTTTTTTTATTGTTATAAATACTGTACACTAATTTAACTTATCACTAACTTTTATATATGGCATCAATTGTATGCAATCATCCCTAAAAATAATGTATATATTTATACTTATAGTCAGTATTTAAAATAAAAACTTTATTTAATTTTCTTATTCATAATAATTATAGTGAATAATCTTAATACATGTGTTTGTAATATAAATGGTATGCAATACTACACAATATATTATATACATTTTGAAAGTATTGACGGAAACGCACGAAATTGTGATTCATTCACTTGTATTTTCAATTATATTAAATTATTAGTAATTAATTTGTTGTCAAAAACACTTTTCCTACAAAAAATATTAATTGTTTAATTGATTGCATAAAGTTTTCACAATTTTTAGTTTTTTGTGTAAAAATTTTTAGAAATATTTTTCTCTAGTCTTTATATTTTTTGTTGTTGACTACTACTACTGTATATTACGATATTATAAGATTATAAATCAGCACTTGTTTTATGAAATGCTTACTAGTGTTTAAAATTATTGGATTACTTCCAATGAGTTTATACTTTATTTGCTTTAATCACACACTTGTGGCATAGCCAGGGTCACCTGTCTACATGTATAATAGCAGTTATGCAATTTTGGCATATATTTCATATAAACAGCATTAATCGATATCAATATTTAGTTATCAAAGTGTTTGAATGAATAAAAAATAAATTATTGATATATAAATTATAAATACATTAAGAGTGATTGACAAGCGCTTACTCCCGGTTTAGCCATTGAAACTGTTTTTATAATTTATTGCATTTAAAGGATAAAAGCATTTAAACGTTAAAATTGTTATTCACGTATGCAATTGAAATGTTGCTAATAAAACAAAACAAAACAAAAAAATATATAAATGATTGGATAATAATAGTAAATCCAATTTTAAACACTAAATGATTCACACATTAAATGTATTGTCAAAAAACAACAAAATGTTTATTATTTAAAAATAATATGAGATTTCTCTCATCATTAAAAAATAATACAATTGAATTGAATTGATGTCATTTCATAGTTCATCTAATAGTTGCTATAATATAAATAATTGGGTTAATAATCAAAATCAAAAAATATCATAAAAGTATTTTGTGTTAATTAATGTTTATTTTTAGGACATCTGAAAGCATGTGTGGTTTAAGCCAATTGACTAATGGAGTCACACCTGGAGTATAATGACATCGCTTATGATAGAAGAGAAGTCCGTCAACTTCAGCGGCAAACTGTTTGGGCGCCTGAAGTGTGGACACAATTTCTTGTTCATTACAACCACAATGTCTTAACACAACAAATGGATAATTATTTAACTGACTTTTTTGTTTGACTTGAGAACACTCGGACTCTAGTCTTGAATTTAACCAAAAGAAACGAAATTCAGTGTCACAATCACCGAAATGGGAACCGTTCCATGAGATCACATCCAATACATAATAGACACTTTCAGTCTCACTAAAAATACAATCTAATAGACAATTCTGATTAGATCCACGTGTTGTCCGTCGATTTCCACCGGGAAGTAGTGATGGAAACGTTGCCATCACATAACCGGTTCGGGAATATGACTTTGTCTGTCCTCGAGATGATATCACTAAACATCTTTTACCGACCGGACATAAAACTAAATACCAATCAATGGCAAAGTCTTGCGGTATTTGGACCAACCATTCTGATAGCATTAACTGATTTTTATATTTATTGACATAATATCTTCTTTTTCGACATTCTTTCGATATATTATCACTACTTGTATCCATATTTTCATGACATTTATCATCGCTTAACTCCATTTCCACTTCTTCAAGAAGTGCTCTGAATTTCATTACAATTTGATTCCTATTTCTATTGAAAACATTATATAATTAACATTTTGTACAAAAAAATTATTGAATTTATCTGAAATACTTCTTCTGATTTTCAAAGAACTCCTTTCGTCTGTCTTCTTGAAGCGAGTCTTTGGTCTTAGAGTTGTTCTTGAATTGATTGTACAGCGGATGACATCTATTTGTGTCATTTGGCTCTTTGGTCACCAAAAATGATTCACTGAAAGACTCTACCAATTCATCAAAAGACATGTTTTATTGTAAATCACTTTAAATAACATTCAAATCAAATGTTAAGTCAAACAAAACAAACAAACGATTCAATGATTGCAATAAAACTTCAAAACAAACGTTTGTTTGCATTCAATGTGTGTTACAATAAATACATTATACACCACATATAGTGTACAATAAATTGTACTTTACTTTTATTTATATTAATACATATTTATTGATTTTTTTTAATAATATTTATTTATTCAAATTTAGTCAACATTTTTCAAAATTAAATATATTATAAAGGTATTAATAATTATGAAAAATTATCTAGATCATAAATTAATTTTAATGTGATACAATAACGTTTTTGTATTGTATTTTAGTTAAATTATACGCAAAAATAATTTATTTACAGTAATACCGGTAATAATATTAATACAGTAGTATTTATTATAAATAAAAGTCTGAATACGGAAAAAATCAAAAAGTTTTAACAAAAAATCATTTTAATTTTCACCAAATAATAATAATAATAATAATAATAATTTACAAATACTCTAAAAATATAAATTAAATTACAGTATACAGTATACTCATTAAAATAAATACCGTTTATATCATTACAATAGTCAACAAATTGTTTTTTTTAAATGTTAATTAATAGTAAGCCCGTCGGGGATTGTTCTGAAATAAATGATATTAATTTGAAACAATTAAACAACAATTTAAAACAATTGATTAAATTTGTAGTACCAATGGATTTGGTCTAAATCTGTAGGCCATCATCATTCGCTTGCGATATCTATATAAAACAGTAATAAATCAATTGTTAAATTATTTGTATAACAAATCGGTATCCAAACACTTACGCTTCGTATTCATCATCAGTAGTGTTGAGTTCTTCGGGACGATTCTGACCTAAACCGGCATTATTTACAGCAACTGCTCCTCTAATGTTAAAAACAATAAAAAAAAATTAATAAAATTATTTAATTATGTTTTAAATATTTACTTATTAATCGGTTCCTGAGTGCCAGTACCGGAAGCACCCAAACCCTGTCCCTCAGTCCAACCCAATTTCTTAAGCATCTGAAAACCTACGTTATCTTCTTGTAGTTTGGAATCGCTGTAATCGGAATCACTTGGAAGAGGTGCTCCATTTTTGACTGCATCCCATTTTTTCATAAACTTGTCCAACTCTTCAGGAGGCATGAAATCTCCGATGTGATGCTTTCCGGCGGCCTTTTCAGTCAATTGTTGAGCCAAGATCTGAGTCTTTACCATTTCTTGCCTTCTCCTCTTGTGTTCCCACGTGCCGTCCTCTACATCTTCATCTGAATCATATTCATACTTAACTTTTCCTTTTTGAGCCAACATTTCATTCTGTTTTTGTTTATTCTGTAACATTTCAAACAAAAATTTCATTTTCCTTTGATCTTCTAATTGTTTCCACTGGTCTTCAGTCAGATCTGTTGTTCCAAACACTTGAAGGGCGTATTGAATCAAAGTTGGATCTGTTGGCAAAACCACCTTTTCATCACTCCATCGAGATTTTCGTTGTCGCTTTGGTTTGCTTTCTGACGACTCGCCACTCGATTCTTGTCGTATATTAATTTAGTATCAATTGATTTAACTATCAAACACAACAAATACCATTTTGTGCCCACATTTTGGCTTCTGTTAGCTCTTGAGTTCTTTTCTGATAAAATTTATAATATTCAGACTCTGTATCTCTCAACCAACTGTTGGATTAAATTGAATTAATTGATAGTTATTGAAATATAATAGATAAATGTTATATAAGTCATTAATTTAACCTATAATTTATATCCTCAAGAGTCGATTGTCGCATAGTCTCTTCGGCGTTGTCTCCATTCATAGCAACAGTAATGGCAGTCCTCTCAATAGCCAATTCAATTTCCTTATCCTCTGGTGAAAAGACTTTAAGCATCGGATCAGTTCTCGAATCACACAAAACAAACTCCGTTGCCATCGATTGATAAAAACATTGCGTTTATATTATTAAATATTAAATCAATACCTTTGATGTCATCCTCTAGTTTAACATTTGATTCATCTGTCGAATTAACTGCTTTTAATTTGGATGTATTGCTAATCAAATTGCAAGATATTATTGCAAAATCAAATCATCTTTACATTTGTCACGACTTACTCTTTGATAACCATTTTTATCGGTTTAATTGTTTTCTTGGTGTCCGTCGTCTCCTCGTGTGTTGTACTTTCAGTTTCGATCTTTATTTGACTGTTTGGCTGATTTTGTTTACTCATCTCAAGAAATTTGGCCAAAAATGAGCCATCATTTTGAAACTAAGAGATAACAAAATGGTAATTGTTGTCCATCAGAGCGACACTTACTTTATTGGATGATGAAGAAGAAGAAGAAGTTGGTTCGTCGATGATTGTAATGGTTGGACTCTCTGGATTTGGTAGAAATTCGGTGGTCGTTGGTATCACATCCGGTTGATCCGTCGGTGTCGGCTCTTCACACGTCGATGACGTTGTCGACGATGTCGTCGATGGTGTCTCTTTGCTCTTCAGTTTGCTTTCGATCTCCAGTTTCCTTTGGAGAATGAGTGCCTCCTGTTGTGACATCTGTTCCCTTCTTGTAGTCCGAGAGCCGAACCACTTATTAGTACTCATTGTCTGACAAATCTATTGACAAATATTGTGTCCAAACGTTTGAATCGTTGATGAGTTCAGACATGAAATGATTGATAAAAATAGAGATTCACTCAAAATGTAAACACAAAACACTAACACAAAAGGGAACAAACTTTCGATTGATTTGAGTTAACGTTTGTTTCAATGAAATCAAAGTGTTTTTGTGATTGACTTTTGAATTGCAATCCAATTATTGAATGAATGTTTTGTTTTGATTTAATTAAGTTTTTATAAATATAGTAGAAATTGATTATTCATTTCAATCATTTTCATTGATTTAATTCAAGAGTAAAACATATTAAAAGTTTGAAAAGTAATGTCATATAAGAGTGAATCACAAGATATGGTTTGGAAGCGACCAATCAATCAATCGATGAATGGCGACGAAGACGACGACAACGTTTGGGACGACAGGGCTCTCATCGATGCCTACGATAAGGCCGTCAAACAAGTGAACCAACGGATTGCAGACAAAGGATTGGAGATAAAGGATACGAAAGACCACAACAAAAGTGTCGCCAAAGACCACAACCGAAAATCAAATAATCCTAATGTTTGGCATTCGGGTCAATACTGTCGGGCCATTTATAGCGAAGATGGCTTTGAATACGAGGCACAGATTGTCTCAATTGATACATCAGATGACACCTGTATTGTCAAATATATTGGTTATGGCAATGAAGAGCGCAAAACACTTAAAGAATTAAATCCTTCGTTTGGTAAACGGTGTCGGAAACAACAGACGGACACTACAAATGTTATTAAAAGTTCAGAATCTGATTGTGAAACAAATGATAATCAGTCCAATCAGTTACCAACAACTCATCAAAAAGTATCAAACAATCAAAAGTCTACGAATAAACTGGACTCGACGTCAACAACCTCTTCATGGTTTACGCCATCACCGAGAATGACATCGAGTCAACCAATAATACCACCGCCGCTATCATTAGGCAACAACTGTCATCTTCCATCAGATGACGAATCTTTGGCATCGATGCTCATGTCTTGGTATATGAGTGGCTATCATACAGGATATTATACCGCATTAAAACAAGTTCGACAACAATCGGAACAGTTATCAACAGCAAGAAGTACGACAACACGAGACAGAGATAGACATGACTTAAATAATAAATAGTTTATTAAATAGATATGGATTTAGATTTTTTTATCAATAAAAGCTTTCAAAATTTTTTTTCATTCATTCAATAAAACAAGTGATCATTAATTAGTATTTGTATTCAATTTTGTAAGCAAACCATTGACCAGTAATCAGAAGACATCTTAAGTTATAAAATTAGTGAAGAGTTGTTTATCAAACAAATTGACAAAAAAGTAATGAAAATGAAATATCATTTAGTTTTGGATGTCTCGCCATTTGTCTGTTTCTTTTCCTCCGCCGCCTTCTGTTTTAATCTCATTACTTCCGCATCTCTGAAGGGGTCACACAATATCAGAGATTAGATACAAGATTAAGAAAATAGTTTGTATTGACAACAAACCGATGTTTTCTCTCCTCAAGACCGACACCTTTGTTGCCATCCTTAGTGTCCGCGGTTTTCTTTTTCTGCAATTCCTGCAGTTTCTTCTGGTTCTTCTGTCGGGCTAACTCTCGCTGATTACCACCTAATTAGTCAATTGAATAGCAAGTGATTAGTAAATTTAAAAAATAAACATTTTTGGTCTAATTTATGGTCAAAGATAATAAGTTATCGATGAAATTGTCTGAAGTAATGCCAAAGTATTACCACTTTTTCAATAATTGATTGTATAATTGTCTGCCATATCATCAATAAATTACTTTCAACGACAATACTTACGAGTCATTGCTTTTGTTTATTGTTCGCACAAAATACTGTTAACAAATAATTAACAAATAAATGGATCAATTGATGTGACAATTGTTGCCAAAGTGGCCAACAGTGGTGTTGACGGCGACCAACGCAACGATACGATTGTCGATGGCTTTAGTATTACACTATTACTTGAAAAACAAAACTAATTAACCAATCATTTCATTGCATTTGACTCTCATATGTATATTAGCGCGACATTCAAAAGTTGATTCAAAAATTATTGCATTTTAATTGTGAGACCACTTAAAGTCAATGCTTTTCAACAAACACTTGTTATTCAGTTATTTATTATAACTTTTTTAATTAACTTATTATTATTATTTAATAAATAAAATTAAACACATATTATAACAGATGTTAAACAATTAATTAATTAATTAATTTTAATGGTTGTATTATATTTTGTTTATAAAGTATGTTTAAAAAAAGCCTTAAAAAAGTTTAAATATTAAAAATATAAATTTATTATATAATTTTCTAAAAAATGTAATAATATATGAATTATGTAATAATGATTTTTATAAATTATTAAATTAAGGTAAATATATGTCAAAAAGGATTTTTTAAACTAAAAAAATTGATTAAATTATTGAATGATAAATGAAATGACATATAAATAATAAATAAATCAATTGTTAGTCTTTTGGATCTTTTGTTCCCAAACGGCAATCAAAGCTGTCCTTCTTCGCGGTCCACCAATCAAACAACCGGTCTCTTTAATGGTAGGCTTTTCTTCGTTGACCTCTTTATCGATTAAATTTGGATTACTATTAGCTCTACTGAGAAGCGATTGATCACTTGATTGTGACAATTCTTCTTTCAGACTTTCATCTGTTTCATCGCAAAGTGTACTTAAGTTAGGCTGAGAGAGACCGATCAGACGTACACTTCGCCACCTGAGCTCATCCTCTCTGGCTTTCATTTGTTTCAGCTCTTCCTGAATCATAGAAATAGCAGAAACACGTCTTTTGAATGTTTTTAAGTCTTGTTTGACAAACATCGGTGGCTTTAGTTCATAGTAGACGCCACAGGACTTATTGATCAATGAATTATCGTTTAGACCAGAATATGGAGAATAAAGTTTGTTGTCTTTGGATGCGATATTTCCTTTGCTTTTAATAAACATTTCAAACGAAACATTGGGTTTATTACTGTTAACAGATGTGACACTTGTTTTACGACAATTGGTCGCAAAGTTGACCGAAGATGAAGCAGAACTCGATGCCGAAGAAGATATTCTGTTCGACGACAATGAAGATGAGCTCATTTCACTCGATTCAACAGATTTGTCATTTAGATTGTGATGACTTAAATGGTCACTGTTTACAGTATATCTATTAATACAATTGAAAGATAATTAGTATTAAATAAATAAGTTTTACAATAAAGTTATTGAATATAAATATATTTTTTAGATAAATCTAAATGAATAAAAAATTACAATTAATAATAAATTTGTCACAATTGAAATATATATCTTTATATATTTAAAAAAAAATAATATACCAATATAACACTACTAAAATATTGTTTAAAATAAATTTTGTACCGGTAATTATTTTTATCAAATATAACTATTTTATTTTTTTTTAAATATCTAAATCGTTTAATCACTTTTAATTTTTAAAAAATCTTTTTAATTGTTTTTACATAATTTGAATATCTTATATTCAATTTAATATTATTTTTATAGATACGTTATTACACTCCCTGTTCTCGAATTACTATTATTTATGTGACATTTAAATTTAAATTATAAAAAATAAGTTTCTTATTAATATCAGTCATCATATAAATGATAATTTTTTCATTCAACGGTAATAATATACACATTTTTCAAATACAGAATATTAGATATTAATAAAAATTATTAGAATTGAAAATATTAAAAATTATATAAACTCTAAAAACTTATATTTTACATATAATATACCGGTTTAATAATAATAATAATATTAAGTTAAAATATTATATTAAATTAGACTAAAACTAATATCGATATATACGATAATCCATACTATAATTGTATATTTGTTGAATAATACTGAATATAGTATAAAAAATAGTTATTTAAAAAATCAAATCAAGTATTTTAATATTATTAGACATATATTTTTATTTAATAGTGAATACAATAGTGTGAGACTGGAAATGGGGTCTTAGGTCTGAACCAAAGCTAATGTAAGTGTAAACCAATGTATGGGTCAAACAACGGACTCATAGTCAACACCTGTTGAACATTGACTTTACGTTTAATATTATAGTAAACTTAATATTATAAATAAAAAATAAATATAGTATTTTGCATATTATTTTTAGTTTTAACTATATATCGTCGCCCACTATCTTAAAGCTAAATTTAATTTAATTTAAACTTAAATATATGTATAACACTTAGACATTTTGATTTATAAAGTAAAAAAAATAACTAAAAAATATTTATAGTAAGTGTAGAAAATTTTTGAACAAAAAAAAGTGCAACATATTGCAAATGACATTTCAAATAAACTATATAAAAGTATTTTAAATTATTTCAAATACAGTACTGTATTTTATTTATACATATAATTAAAAGAAAAGAGTAGTTATAATATATACTGTATATATAAATTATATATAAAATAAATAAAAGTTAATAAATATTTATATATATATAAAATAATAATAAATATATGAAAACTCTACTCACATCCGCATTTTGGTGACGGCTCTCTAGTTTAGTGCACTTAACTCTCAACACTAAAATACAATATATGAGTGCCATTCAAGTTGTACTGTATGTTATGTGAGCTACAGGTAACTCAGCATTTATTATATAACACACCTTTATATATAAGACACGACATTACAGAGTATGATATACGAGTGCATCACACGATGCCCACAGAAAAAAAGTAATACAAAAGTATTTTTCATTCATTAAACTTGATTTGAAAGACCAATGAAACCAGTATATCATTTATTGTTTGGAAAATATAGTCAAGTATTTCATTGCTCTTTTCGATTGCAATTCTCGTCGGAAGAGTCGAGAGTCACCAGAAAATGACAATTAGAGACAAATTTGGATAAATTATTTGGTTTTCTGGGAAAAAATACTTTAATAGCTTATACATAGCTTATAGATAACATTTTACTATACCTACTCAATAGTAATGCCAAAAAAAACTCCTAATCAACTCTATAGTCAAACATCATACCGTATATTATATACATATAAATAAATTTAATTTTTTTGTTTCGAAATAATTTAATATTAATAACTTTAAAAATTAGAATATATTGTACTTATATATATATATTTAATGATAAATTAGCAATGTACAAATTATAAATTTTATTATTACTATTTTCTTATTGTCAATAAAATTTTAAAATTATTTTTCAATTTATAAAATTAAAGATATTTAGTGATGGGTTCGCCTAAAATCTGTTCCAAATCAGTAATAATTTTCTTAATAAGATCTTCGATGCGTTCGTCGTCGTCTTCACTTAACTCAGATATAAAAGGAATTGTTTCCGCGATTATCGGCAAATAGTCTTCACCAGAGCCCAGAATCAATCGATGCAATACTTTGACGGCACCCAACCGTACCTTTAATATAATTGTAGTATTTTTTTATTATTAGAAATCATAGAAAAGATTAAATGATAGTAAATTGATATATACCTGAACAGACTCTTCTCTGGTTACAAGAAGTATTTGATAATTGATATCTTTAATAATAAGATCTTCTTTATTTGATTCAATCATATATTGAACACACAAACCAATCGATTCAATTCTTTCATTGAACTCTTCATCGGTTCCCAAAGTGTTAGTTAACTAAAAAAAAACAATTAAATTATTGTTAATTTATTTAACAAAATAAGTTGTATGTCATATAATACCTGATGAATAATAGGTTTGACTAATGCTTCTAATCTTTCCTTATTAAGAAATGAGCCGTTAGTGTCATAAAGAAAACATTTGGAAAGTGTGCCTAAAATCGATGTAATAAACAAATGACTCAATTCGGTCGTCATTTGAATTTCTGATTCATTGTTTGAATGAAACAGTGATAACATTTGCGAACAATTGGTGACAATCGATGGCGCGACAAATACACAGAACAGACCACGAAGTTTGTCAGCCATTATATGCAAAAATCGATAAAATGATATCATTCTGTAATACAACTTTCCCCTATGCATTCGTAAAGACCAATCACATAGCTATAGATATGTCAATAAATTGATTACTAGCGGTAAATGATAAAATTCAACAATTAATAATAAATTACCTTGATAAAAAATGGTCTAAAAACTATTTCAGTCATTTTCGGTACAAATACAGAAAAGGCGGAATAACACGAGTCTTCCACTTCTTGAATGTCTTTCAATGGAACTGTTTGGTGATTTTGATTTCTCAAATCCATTGTCTTCATTAATATGGTTCTCAAAATGTTTATGTGATTATTGATATCCGCCCTATCGGTGATGCTTTCAAATGCTTGTTTCAAAAGAGACATCAATTCACAAACTGATAGCTAAAATAATTTTATAATCGCCAACAATAAAGTTATATTCAGTTATTCCGTTAATTATATTTAAAATAATTGGTGTCAAAACTTACGAGTGATAATTGCAGTACTTTTTCATAACACGAATCGATTGCTGAGTATAATACTCTTTTGGGAATATTTTTAGCAAAAGTTTCCCGAATTGACTTTACTTTTGGCTTAATTTGAGGACAATTTTGCATAACAGTGAGTAACTAAATTTATAAATATTTAAAAAATGATTATATATCAACATTTAATGACAAAAATAAAAACTCTTACTTTAACTATAATTTGATCCAAATATGGACTCAAAAAATTTGGGAAATGTTGGGTAATCTTAGATACCGATGTAATGTTAGATATAATTACAACATCATCGCTGAAATAATTAAACAAATAGATTATAAATAAATCAATATAATTACATATCTTATTTAATTTAAATAAAATTATTATCAGTAATAATATATCCTCAGATCAAACTCAGGTGACGAAAAATATTAATCATCATAAACTTTATCAATAAAACCATTTGCTAAATGAGAATAAATCAATACAAACCTGATATCAAAATTGGCCAAAACTATTGGCATAAATGTTGGAAGCGCTGGAATTGCTTTATTACCCAAAGATATCATCAATTGTGATAAACATAAAATACAAGACGCCTTAAAATTAACAGATATTTGAACTTTCATTCCATTGATTAATGTTATTATCTTTTCAATCAATTCATAAACTAAAGATTGTATATCTTCATCATATCTGACGTGTTTGGATAATAGTTTACATGTAATCAATGATAATTGACTGTTATAGACATGTTGTTCATCCATTTGATTTACTTGTTCACTGGTTGGTACCAATAATGATAACGATTTCATTAGATGTTTTAATTGTCTTTTCTATAATCATAATTATAGTTGAAATAAATATAATAACAATTTTTATATTATATTATAAACCTAATCAAATACCTTAAGAAATTGATTCTCCATTTGTGTTAACTTTTCATTTAATAACTCCAAGACTTTGCGTTGAATTAGAAACGAATCGTTTGTTAACATTTTCAATACAAATTCAATGAGTTCTTCATTAGGCAAAAGTGAATTAAACTATTTGTATTAAAAAATTAATTAAAAATAAGTTGAATTACTTTTACATTGAATTGTTAACAAACCTGAAGTAATATCTGATATAAAATACTTCGGATACGTTTTCGGTGAGCGTTTGTGTCTTTTATCAAATTTTCGGTTTCAGTCGAGTACTTAGCAATCAATGCAATCAAACGGTGCAAAAATGTTGAAAAATTATCACTAATTTGAGTCCAATCACTATTATGAGTCAAATGAATGAATTCATTTGATGACACAATTCTTAAAACAATTTGTGCCAAACTTTGTGCTATAAGTCTGCGGTCGTTATCTGAAAATGATTGGTCTGTAATCGATAAAACTCTACGATTTTCAGTAAATTCTTCAGTAAAAATATCCAGTATTTTATTTAGTGATTCAATTTGGATATTGACATCAATGTGAGCGCTAAGAACAACCAAAAGACTGAGGAACGGCTCCTTTTCAGACTTTGATTTATTGAAAATCTTTTCAACAATTTTCATAATAACAAGTGTTAAGTGATCCCTCTCTCCCAATATATTAAGCAACTTCTTAAACAAATGAAGTCTTCTGTGAGCCGGAATGTCTTGTAAGGCGTCAATGAATACATTAATAACACTTTCTTTAGTGTTATTGACATCATCTAAAATAATAGGTATTATAGCGTCCATCGTATCGAAAACCACTTGAATTGAGTACTGATCGTCACAATGAAGCAAATTATTGCCAATAAATGTAAATATTGTGATCACGTAATCGAGAATTTCTTTCTTGAACTGATCCGCAACACTACTAATTAAAACCAATGCTATCTTTTGTGTTTCTTTCTGTTGCGATTCACGCAAACATTCAATAACTGATTCAATTGGCAATGAAGACAACTTATCGGTATTATGTTTAACACAATTGATTAGTGAATTCAATAATAATTGTCTCAAATATTCTAAAGAACTCTTGGAATCCATAATAAATGTATTCTTTAGGTATTCAAACAGATTTTTTACCAAATCTGAGACATCGTTTAGTTTGCTCTTTGACTGAACAATTTCAAGCAAAACAATAAACTTTTTCCAATGAGACAATTCAAGAGAATAGACGGAATCGTTTGTAAACATTTTCTTAACTTTTGGTTCACTTGAATCCATGGATTGAGAAATAGGAACCAATGATTTTAAGACATCTGATATAACATTTCCATTATTAAGCTGTTTCTTCAACATTTTCTTAGCAATTTTGCTATTGGTTTCAATAATTATTTTCAATAATTCATTTAATAATCGTATTTTGTAATCATAGATATTAATTGAATCAAACATTTCGTTGGTAATCAACTTCAGTGCCATTTCTTGAGTGTATTTTGTTTGAAGTAATTGAATAAAAAATTCAAATAAGATTACATCACATGATTGGAAAACATTTGGATTTTCATAAATTGAAAGTAAACTTTGAATTGTTTTAAATTGCAAACTATCGACACATTTTAAGATCAAAAATGACTTCAGTTGTGATAGGATTTCTTTAAGCAAATCAGAGTTACATCTGTTTAATAATAATATAAGAGACGATTTAAACCGTTCGTCAGTATTGTTGTCACTGATAATAGCAATTACATCGCTTCTCATTGAATCGATTGCTTTCTTTTCAGTTTTATTCTTTGGATTAGATGACAACCATTTGGATATAACTACTGAGATATTGTTTTCATGGCTTATAATAAACTCACTATTATTAAGACAATTTGCCAGAAGTTGATTGTTTGTCAATTCATAGACATGTTTAGCCACAACAACAGCTGCCTCTCTGTTCTTAGTTTGTGATGAATGCATTGCTATAAGAAGTGACAGAACAGTCTTGTCGTTAAATGTCGTTTGTTTGCCACAAAAATGTGATGAAGCCGTTAGTGATCGGCATTGCATTAATGCATTTCCACAATCAGCCCAAAGAGGAGACATAAAGTCATAACCATAGACTGTGAATGTCTTGTGAATCATTTGAAGACATGTTTGTCTGAATCCCTTAGCTTTGCTTTTGTTGTTATGAAATGAATTATTAAACAACAATATTAACAATCGATATAAATAGTGATTAGTTTTATACCGATTAAACCAAAACCAATTGTCTGTTTTTAAAGACAATGAAACCATAGAATTAACAACTGAAGTGATGCAATATAATATGTTTGATAGACTTAATCGACTTTTTCTTAAATTTTTTAAATTATTATTCAAAAACTCTTCAAATGAATTAAATGTATGCTTAGGTTTTGCTAAATCCAATGAACATAACATTTTGTCGATCAAATCAACCAAAATATCGCAACTTTTATCTCTAATATCTTCATCAGATGACAGACTTATAATTCTCTCTAATATTATTAGACTTAAAGAGTTAGTCATTTGTCGGCTAAAGTTTAGGGAAAATACAAATCTATTTTTTGTTATTAAGTCTGAATTTTGTATATAATATTCAGCAAAATGTGTGCAAACTATGGCTACAATAGAGTCGACATCATTATCATTGACTTTCCTTTCAATAATCTTTCGCTGCTCTTTTGATAATGAATTTAATAGATCCATATTTTTGGCTCTTTTTGAATCCAATATTAATGATAATGTCTTGAAATCATTTGGATTTAATGGCAGTAAAAATGGATATAAAAATGAGAGACTTTGTTCATTGTCTTTGTTCTCTACTGAGCAAAATGTGGCCAAAATAGTGTTCTGAAGATCGCGCCAAACAATGCCTTGTTTTTCATCGATATCTTCGTGTTTTAATTGACATACTTTTAATAAATTCAGACAAATATTAGTAACTTCTTCTTCACTAAACAATTGATACATTTTTTCTTTTAGACCGAAAAGCATTGACACAACTTGTGGTGACTTTTCGGTAAAAGTTTGTGTTAATAAACTCCTAATTGTAGTTACAGTAAAGTCATCTTTTTGGTCAATAAAAGCATCAAAATTTTGGATCAAATAATCGATGGCTTCAATTTGATTTGCTTCACTGCCATGAGTTAATCCAAAGATAAGTGGCATCTTTGAACTTTGCAAACATGAATACTTGAATGCACCTAAAAGTGGTGCAATTGATCCAATAGATGATAATTTAGCGATGCCTTCGTCAAAATATGTGGGATATCGGAGTTCAAGTAAAGACAATACTTTAACAAACGAATCAATTGGTTTTCGGTTGTCTACAATATCCATAAATTTGGCAATTGTTTGGATACAGATGTCAATTGTTTGAGAATTTAAAGACAATTTATCCAAGAGATCCAACAACTTGTCATTGATATTGAGTTCATAACAATTATTTATAAGACTTTTCATAAATATTGCTAAAAAGTCTTGAATGTCATGCAATTCACTGCACTTTATGATTGAATTTTCTGTTATATTGATTACAATATTTAACGGCAAATCAACAAAATGTTGGAACCGATTCATTACAGATAATGAAACGATTAGATCATCGCTTAATGAAGAGTCACATCTTTTCGCAATAGCTTTAAGAAGTTTATGGCTAACATTGGTCTCTAATTGTGTTTTGACGCAAATGTGAGCACTTATGCAAAGACTAGCTTTTCTTAACAATTGGTTCTTAGATTTTAAGCCTTTAATGACATAACCAATGATAACCAAAATGATGGCTTCGCTGGTATTCTTTTGGATCACATTAATCACAGTCGACATGAAAAATGTCACATAACTATTGTTTTTGTTATCAATTTTAAGACATTTAAAGCAATTCTCGCAAATAAAGCGCAAAAAAGATGGATCAGCTATGCATTGCTTTATTAGTGTTGTCTTAGAAATAGGAGTTCCCGCCTCTTGCATACCCTTCAACCAAAACCACTTACTTCTCTCTATCTTTGGGTCAGTACAGGTCTGGATCAGTCTAGTGAAGAGTCTGGTCTCGTGATAAGGCAATACACTGGCGATAAGTGCGTCCGCATTGAACTCATTGATACCGTATTTATATATCAACCATTCAATTGTCTTATGCGTTGCATTCAGAAGAAAATAATTGGTGACAACATTGCTAAGAAATATCTCAATCTCGGTGTCCAAGTCTCGGTTGGCCTCACGGCTCTGCAAACTTCGGTCCAATGTCTTACTCGATTCATTGAATAAAGTGTCTCGAAATCGTCCAAATCTTGTGTCCAATTGGATCAGCGAATCCAAACCGGACACTCCGATCGCGTAATGCATGTCATTGTCCACCGATTTGGCCTCAAGAAAGTCGTACAAAAACGATGCCTTTCCGTGTCTTTCCTTATGCAGCGAAGTCTGCGGCACTCGGAGTCGCGCCAACTGTTTCTGCAGTGATGTCATTGTGGTCGTGGATGACGACAACTGATGTTATGAAATGTGGTCACAAACGGATTGCGGACAATACTATCGGCAAAAAAACGGGAAACACGTTTGCAGTGAAACACATGTGAAACACGACTTTTTAAACACTAATTCAACACATGTTTACATTAATTACGTCACAACTATTTGTTGCTTTTGTGTGACTAATGTTGACTAAAATTGCTAACAAATGTTGACGTAATTGATGTTCAAAATGTTGATAAACACTATTGCATTAAATGTAAAATTCATTTAATATTAAAATGTATTGAAATTATAGACCAATAGTTGTCACCAATCGATGGTCAATATGATTACTGGTCACCATTTGGTCACTACTATCATCATTATTGGCCATCAATTGACTACAAGTTAATATTGAAAAGTAGATAATTAGATGATATTTGTCAAGAGTTATGGCTGAGGAATATAATATGTCTGGCGTTGCGGCCATTATATGCATCGCAATCGGGATTTTGGTAAACATTTTGATGAAGACCTCAATTGCTAATAATTTGTCGATAATTGTCTTAACCATTGTTTCATTTTATTTATCAACAATTAATTAACAGATCTTTGTTTTGCTATTTATTTTTGCAAAACGACAAATCATGAGATTATCACTGAAGAATCGTTTTGTTCCTCATATTCCTCTGGCAAGAGATGCACCAAAAAGTATGAGACAGAGGATCGAAGCGAAACTGAATGTCGTGCGAGACATCACTTTTGAACCAAATCTCATGAATAAAGGCGACAACGACACCAATGATGGTAATGAAATGATTTGATTATAACTCCTATACTTATATTATACTAATCATTCTTAATGTACAGCAAAGCAACCACTTTATGACCACATTTACCGCATGAAAGCAGTCGACTCATTGACTTTATTAGAGGCCGACATAATAGAGTTGACGGGAAATTATAATTTAAAGCGACCGCCCGGTCAGGACTTGAGATACTACTTATTAAAACTAGTCAGAGATGACGGACCACTTGCTAATTGTGATACTAAGTTAATAAATCAATTTGTCGACAGTTATAACGGTTCCAGACATGAACCATATCCTGTGTTTAATTTAGATAATTACAATCAATTCATGACTTTGTTGAATACAATACGCAATAGTATTCAAAATAAAACTTCTAATAGAAAGACAAAACTCAAAGGCAAAGACACGACCGCACAGATGGTCTTCAACGGTAAGACACAGGTCTCGATCCGTCAAAATAAAGTGGATTTTGTCGATACAGATGAGACGTCTGTTTAATTAATAATTTAATAAATTGTATTATAATTTATTTTTTATATACTATATATTTTATAAATTATATTTTTACTGTAAATTCAATTTTATGTTTACGATAGTGCATGAGATTTAATTAATATTATATACAAAATGCAATTATAATGTAGTTTAGTGTAAATAAAGTTATTGTTTCTAAAATTTTTTACTAAATGTTGAATTATAATAAAGACATCAAATAATTTCGACTAATATTTTCGAAATTGTTTTCTAAATTTTTCAAATATATAGTCATCGGTGGCCTTGTCTTTGCCATAAAATTTATTAGAATTGTGATCCCAATTCCTCGTCTGTCGCATCACTTGTTTGGGTTCGTCACCGATCACCACAACTGGTTCCTCAACATATTGATTGGTCGGCTGTGTGTCAATTCGTGGCCTTTTGGGAGCATTTGTTAGGCGAGGAATATCCTCTCTAATATTATACCTATTATGCTGAGCAAAACAGACGGCAATATTGTTGGGAACAAATGAAGATGAATTGGCATTGTTTTTGTTTCGTCTGTTATTTAATAACTGTATTTTTGCCTCTTCGGTGGCCTCAATGTTGCGAATCTTCTCATCCAAACCCAACTCAATCTCTGGAATTCCGTTAAGCATTTGATTTGAAAGCATTTCTTCACTCTTTTTGCTCGTATTTTTAATGAGATGATCGGGTAAGACATCAAACAATGTATTGATATCATTAGTGGTTGCGGTCATTGTTTTCTTATCAACTGTCGATGAATCAGATTTATTGACTCCCTTTCGTCGGGAGAGTTCTTCATCAATATATTTCATGAGATCTGTGTCTTCATCTCTACGATTAGTCTCAACTGAGAAAGTATTTCCCAAATCTAATTCATTGGTTAATGTCTTAGCATCGGATAGACCTCCAGTTACACCACTTTGTGTTTCATTTTTTGATTTACTGATATTAGGATTTTGTGTCAATTCAATGATATCAATACCTTTATTACATCTCTTCCTCGACATCTGAGTCCGTTTCAATTCACTCAATATTTTCCATTCGTCACTATTATTATCTGCTTCTTGTTGGACATCTTCATCATTGTCTTCATTGACATCGCGTTTTCGTTGTGCAAAACGTCGCGTCTTTTTCTTGAAAACAATCTTATTATTGTTGTCTTCACTCTTGAGTTCGCTGTCGTCACTCATGTTGTGTACAATACAATCAACAAATGATAAACCAATTAATTACTTAATAATGTGATTATATAATAATATCGGACCAATTGATCCAATTATTGTTTATAAACATAAACTTATTGACTGTAATAATAATAACACCAATAAATGGCATTCAATTCAATAATACAATTGCATAACAAATGTCAATCACGTGATTGGAGTGACGTTTCCTATATATGAATGCATTGTATAGTAGAGGTAGAGACCGGTTGTCATCTAATTAATGGTTATATAAGTTGTCGTACTTTTTCCAGTACTTTGCAGTCCATTAACAAAGTTGTACCACAACTTCAAACAACTGGTTTTCACACCATTTGCCACATTCTCTCAGACACTCTTGTTCTTCAGGTATACACTTATAGAAGATATTGTCTTTTTCGATCACCTATTGATCCATTCATTAATCATTTATATAATAAATATATTTTTTTAATAATTTGAAAAAATAGTATACATTTTAAATATCAAATAAATATAAAAGTGTTTACTATTGAAAAGGTATGTAAATGTCATGTTTTATATAAATATTATTTAATATATATATTTAATTGAGTATATAAAAAGTTGTTTAAAAATTTATATTATTATTTAAATTGCTATCAAATAATTATAGTAAAAATATTTTTATTGATTGCCAGTTATATAAATGCCAGATATGAATACACTATATGTTAGTAACTATTTCTATACTATATATTCAAATAATTTAATAAGGCATCAAATATTTGTCAAATCATTATATATTAAATGTGTGTTTAAATTATTTTTTAATATAATTCAAGTCCTATTTTGATGGATTGACTTCACTTCTAGTGAAAATTGAGACTAAATTGCTTTAATTTAAATCAGAGATTCAATTAAAGTTAATAAAATATTGGAAAAATTAACAAATATTTATGTTTAATGGTTTGATATCAAACTCAAAGTACAATTTCTAAGACTATTTTTAAGACACTTTTTTTGGAAATTTAAACTTTTCACTTTGATATCAAACTTTAAGTCAATGTATTGACTGACATATGATATGATTTTTGAGACCATATTCTGTGCTGTCCTTCACTTTTGATATAATAGCCTTGAATATAGACTAATAATCATTTCAATAGTTGATTAAAATTGCAATTATTTTAAAAATCAAATTCATTTACAATAGTAGTCTAAAATAGACAACATCTCATTATAGATACAGTACCTCTTTTGTATGATTAGTAATTAATTGTAATAATAATATTAACTATTATTTATCTCGAGAGTTGAGAATATTTACATTAATTTTCGATTGATTTATTATAATTTGTTGATAAATTGATTATATAATTATAAATTATTATTTTTCAGTAATAAGTGAAACTTAACAAAAATGTCGGTAAATCAAGAAATATTGAAACAATTGGAAGATATGGCCAATCAATTGAGGATCGATTCGGTCAGATCGACAAATGCGGCCAAATCTGGGTATATATACATTAATTTTCAAATATTATTTTCCTACAATTATTTCAAAACTAATCATTTTCTATACTAGTAATTAATTTATTAATATTATTATCTATTTTTAATATAATAAATTGCATCTCATTGTTGACTTAAATTATAAAAAATTAATTTCCTTAACCATTGTTTTCCTCAAAAATGACAGTTTATATATTAAAATAGGAAATTAGAAATCCGTATTTTAGTTATTATACAGAAAAAAATAATTACTTAAACAAAACATCATTAGATGCAAAGCCATTAGTTGTCAACACATAAATGTATTCAAATAATTAGTTATAAATATTTTAGTTTAATCATTGAATAACACTAACTTTGCATTAAAAATAGAGGAAATGAAATGAGTATTTTTTATTAAAAATTGTTACTAAAACTTTTTTAACAAAAAATAAAACTTATATTCTATAATATAATAATAAAAATAATATATTATAAAATAAAATGATGAAAATAATTGATAATCTATTATCTGATACAGTCATCCAACTTCTTGTGCATCGATGGCCGATATAATGTCTGTTCTGTTTTTTCATACAATGAAATATTCGTTGAAAGAACCAAAAAGTCCATCAAATGATAGATTTATATTAAGTAATGTATTTTGAAAATGGTTTAGATCTAAAAAAACAATTTAGTTAAACAATTGTCTAATCGATATAACAGGTAAGGGTCACGCGGCACCCATTTTGTATGCCGCCTGGGCTGAGGCCGGACTGTTTCCCGTGGATGAGATACTTAAATTGCGTAAACTTGAATCTGATCTCGAAGGTCACCCGACTCCCCGTTTGAATTTTATCGATGTGGCCACCGGTTCATTGGGACAGGGATTAAGTGTTGCCGCTGGTATTTGAATTAATTTTTTTTAATGAGAATATATGACAACTAAATACTGTAATGTGAAAAATGTTAGGAATGGCGTATATCGGGAAATATGTAGACAAAGCTCCGTATAGAGTGTACTGTCTTATTGGTGACGGAGAATCAGCTGAAGGATCTATTTGGGAGGCGTTATCTTTTGCATCAATTTACAAATTGGATAATTTGGTGGCTATTTTCGATGTCAATCGTCTCGGACAGAGTGAGGCCACTCCTTTTGGTCATCAGATGGAAATCTATGAGAATAGAGTAAAATCTTTTGGTTGTGAGACTATTGTAGTGGACGGACATAATATAAATGAATTGGTTAACGCTTTCGATAAACTATCAAAAACTAGTGGCAAACCCCAGGCTATAGTTGCCCAAACATATAAAGGAAGCGGTATTTAAATGTTTAATCAAATAATATAAATAAATTTATAAAAAAATATATATATATATATTGTATACAAAAGGATTTCCAAACATTGAGAACAAAGACAATTGGCACGGAAAACCTTTAGGAGATAAAGCCGATGATGTGATCGCTTCTCTGAAGCAAAAAATAACAACATCTAAGTATACGATCAAAGCCAACGCTCCCGTTGTTACCGTTCCCGCAACCAATCTATCAACTGTGCGATTAAGTGAACCACCAAATTATAAAAAGGGAGAAAAGGTATTTGATTTATTGCTCAAGTAATCAAATAAATTATTAATTTATTATTAAATATTTGTTTATATAGATTGCCACCAGACAGACATATGGATTAGCTTTAGTGAAGTTGGGTCGCAACTGTGATCGCGTTATTGCAATGGACGGCGACACTAAAAACAGTACATTTTCGGAAACTTACAAAAAGGAATTTCCCAATCGTTATATTGAGTGTTATATTGCTGAACAAAATTTGGTAGGCGTTGGCATCGGTGCCGGTTGTCGTAATCGCACCATTCCTTTTGTATCCACTTTTGCTTCATTCTTTACCCGTGCTTTTGATCAGTTAAGGATGGGTTAGTTAAACAGAAAATAACTTAATAATAGCAAATAAATATTTTTAAAAATAATTTTCAGGTGCTATATCACAGGCCAACATAAAATGTGTCGGTTCCCATTGCGGTGTCAGCATTGGTGAAGATGGACCCTCACAGATGGCTTTGGAAGATATAGCAATGTTTAGAACCATTCCTCACTCAACCGTTTACTATCCATCCGATGCCGTGTCAACAGAGCGAGCAGTGGAGTTGGCCGCACAAAACTTTGGCATTGCATTTATTAGGACATCTCGACCGACATTCCCTGTTATATACGATAATAATGAACAGTTTGCTATCGGAAAGGCTAAAGTTGTCAAACATTTTGGTGGCGGAGAACAAGTTTTATTGATTGGCGCTGGAGTTACACTTCATGAAGCTATCACTGCTGCCGATGAATTGGCTTCAAAACATCAAATCAAGGCCCGAGTGATAGATCCGTTTACTATTAAACCATTGGATAAACAGACAATATTAACGAATGCAAGAGAATGTGGCTCTAAAGTGATTACCGTTGAGGATCACTATCCTGAAGGAGGTTTGGGTGAAGCTGTTAGTTCAGCTCTCGTGTCGGAGAACATCAAGATTAAGATATTAGCCGTTAGAGACATTCCTAGAAGTGGTCCGCCGCAGGACTTAATTGACAAATACGGAATCGGATCCAAATCTATTGTCGAGGCTGTCCTTAATTTCAAATAAATCTTTAAAAATGATTTTTTAATTTAAATGTTAATAATATCCAACAGAACATTAATAATTTTAATTTTAAAACATTACGATTAAATAAACAATATATCACTTTAAATATTAAGAATTTTTGAACAAAATTACCGCAAAATAATTTTAATGTAATATGAAATATGAAAATAAAGATTTTAAAAAATACTAAAAGTAAAACTCGAGATAAACTTGTTTGGAGTCTAGTATTGATGAAAAAAGCCTTCAAATAAACAAAAATAAAAAATATGTGTCGTCTAAATATGCGACGATTTTTTTATTATAGAGTAATCTAAGTGTTGTGTAAATTGAAAAATAATTTTTTTATTATAATAATAGTGTATTTGTTTATTAAATTATTTGTGATTACGTTTGATGTCTTTTGCCATTTGCTGTGGTATATCGTCCTTCAGTTCATTTATTTGAGATTTATTGCAATGCTTTCTCAATATGTTTTAAATATATAATTGGCATAACTTATGCATAAGTAGAGTTGCCAACTCATTATTCTAGTTATTTAAATAGTTAATATTATACCAAATAGTATTCAATAGTAAATTTTTACTTGTATATCTAAAATAAAATTTGCTGTACAATATTATAAAACTATTGATTAATCTAAAATATTAATAAATATTTCAAGACATAAATATTTATTTTACTTTTATTACCACTATATATATATATATACTCCGATTCCTGTAAAATACAGTTGATATCTATATTAGATGAGCAGTCTATATGCAAGACATGAATCTTATCTCATCGAAAAATTTGAACAAAAAACTCATTGAATGAATGAAAGAAAAAGTTTTTACATTTTCGTCAATATTATAGAAAATCATTAATTTTGTAATTTAAGTGTAGTTTTATATTCAATTGATTTTAGTAAATAATTTGATTATTTGTTGTTCAGATGAATGCATCACTTTTTCATCACTTGATACATAATTACTAAAAAAATATTGTATAGAAAGGTAAGATTAATCAAAGTTTATTTGACTTTAAATTTGAGTAAAATTGTAAAAAGTAATAAAACTTAAGCCACAGCCTTGAGCTTAACATTTAATATATAATATATTAATACTATTTGTAATATTTGATAATATAATTCAATAAAAGTCATATTACTAATAAAATCGACTCATTATTATAATTTATATTTATTTTTCAAAATATATTTAAAAATACAATAAAATATAAAATTGTTGTCTCTATTACCCCACGTGTCTGTGAATTTGTTATCAATTTATTTATAAGTCTCATACAAAAGTGCTAAAAATTAATTGGCTTTTATTGATTGAATAGTAAATTTGGAAAATTTTTAAAATTTGCTGTTTTTGTATTTTTCCAAAAAAATATTAAATACGCCTCTATGCTAATGATATGAGTAAATTTTTATAGAAAAAAAACAATCTTATGAGCTTGATTAGTTATTATTTTGACTAATGTTAATAATATGTATTACAAATTATAATAACATTTGAATATATTTAAGACTTTAAATCATATATCAAATACATATTATGTTAATATGTATTATTATGGAGGCATTTAACTTTGTATAAGTATTTCAAAAAAAAGAAAAGATTTTAGATATCAAATTTAATTTTTTTAATAATATAATTTTATTTTATTGAATTTTATACAAATTTTATATTCATCTTATGATTTAATTTATTTTTAAAATTGTATTAAAAATCGGTAAAGTCATGGACAGTCACTTTGAAGTCCCGACTATACCTAAAGTTTTCGTTCCGCAACCCATTTATGCAAAACCCGAATCTAAAGTGCCATCCAATGCATCAAAACATAAAAATCCCGTCAATGAAGTCAATAATATTGAAATCGATAGCACAACCAATGATAAAGAAGACGATCAATTGGCACAAGAAGTTAATGATGGATCAGCGTTAGCCGTGACGACAATTACGCCCACTTTAGCAGCGCCTCCCAAACTATGCGATTCGTGTTCTCAGATTTTATTACAATACTTTGTTCCTCTTCAGCAATATATTGATCAAGTGGTACAACTGGCTCGCGGAGAGATTGATAAGCAATCAGCACCTCTTCCATTGCCATTGTTTAACACAAGAGATAACACAAGTTTGCAAGTCTTCAATCAACAGACTTATCATCGAAATGAACAAAATGTCATATCAAACGAAAACAGCTCTGAAAACCGTTACGACACTAGAGTTTCAAGAAGTGGAGGAAATGAAAGTCACGGCACAGATAATAGAAATTATAACCAAAATAATCAAAATCACAATTACTATCACAATACTAATCAATACCAAAATCAAAGACAAAGCTGTGATTCAAATTATCAAACAAATCATGAATCATATGAAAGAAATGAAAGCCATCAACAAATTGGTCACAATTATAGTGGAGGTGATCACCGAAGATTGAGCCATGAATCGCAAAGTTCTTATAGATCAGTTCAACAATCACATCACGACAACCAAAGCACAGACAATCAACAATTATATGGAGAAAGATCAGAATCTGATGACAATAACGAAAGTTTGATATTTGATGAAAATCAACAATCAATTAGTAATGATTTTAACAAATCAACACAAAATTCTGTGCCAATACAACAATCTGAAGGATCAAATGAAAACAACAGAATATCTACACAAGAATCATCACAACAGTCATCGCCGGTTAATGCAATAAATCCAACTGATCATCAATACGAAGAACCGGAAGGCATGACATCTCCCTATGCTTTTGTGACCATTGCTTACAATAACTTAAGTGCAACTAATGCTGTAATTTTGGCCAATTCTTTATTTTTAACAAATAATAAGACTATGAATATTAAAGATGAAAAAGGAAACCGACATTTAATTAATATTCCGTTTATTATTATAATTGGCGGTAATATTAATCCAATTCTTAAAGAAGCCATTTATATGGTTTTCGATGAGGTTAGTCCTTCATTATTAATTAAAATATAATTATAAGTCATTTAATTTCTATAACATAAATAGGTTATTACACAACCATTGGATGTAAGAGTTGCTCTATTAAGTGATGAATCAATTGGTATTCAACAATACAAACTTCAGTTATGGAAGGAATTGAAAAACTATCGAAAATGTCTTTACTTGGAGTCATCGACTTTGGTATTTATTATCACAATTGCTATTAACAATATATTTATATTTAAATTATAATAATAATGAAAATCAGGTGATCGGCAAAGTAACCAATTTGTTTGACGAATGTGAAGAGTTGTCGGCATGTGTTGACTATCTGTTTCCCGATAACTTCAATTGTTCAGTATTTGTCTTCGAGCCAAGTCTTATCACTTACGAACAGATCATCAGTTTTGCACGTAATTAACAAATTTTTGTAATATATAAAAATTTTTGAATTATTTTTATTATTAATAAATTGTTTGAATTTATATTAGTATTTCATCAGAAATGTCAATCACAAAAGGATGAAGGAGTCGCTGAAACATTAGATGAGATGACTTTATTGAATCAATTTTTTGCTCCGAAATGGAAGAAAATTTCATTTATTTATAATTTTGTCAAAAATGATTACTCTTACACACAAATACCAGCTTTTATGAAGTATTTATTAATTAAAAAAAATATTCCGATTCTTAAGATATCGATATACATATATTAATAGATTCGGTGACTCCATAAAGATTGTCAACTTCGGACATATGGTAACTCAAACGGGAATCTCAAGCCATCATTTGGGCACTTCATCAGTACAGCCGTGGCATATAGTGTTTGATTTGTTGGTCAACAATCAACAGGAATCTGTCAAATCTATGTCTATCGATAATTACTCTAAATTTTATCTCAATTGCTTTATACAACGCTTGTGGCCTATAATACAAACAGTAAGATGTTATCCATTTGGTATTTGTCTAATTGAACTAATGTTTGATTTAATTTAATTAATTTTTTAGCCATTGACACCATTGCTGATAAACAGATACGGAGTCGGACGCAGAGAGTGGTCTATATTTGACTTAATTCGCCTCTTAAGTCAAGAGTCGGGTTTCGAGACCAATGACCATATGTTCACTCAAACTCCCATCACTTTTAGGCGAATCAAATCTCCAACCGATAAAATCGCCAAATATAAGGATTTTAATCGATTAAATGGTAATCACAAACATAATTATTCAGTCTGTTGTCATATAAATTACTTTTATATAAAAATTAATATTTTTTAGAGGATGACTATCTCACTGAAGTGATGCCTAATCTCCAAATCGATGACAACCATGAAAAGGAAAGTCAAGTAAAAGAAAGTGAAGAATCAGACGAACAACAACTTACAAGAGATGATAAAGAAGAGACTGTTGTTGAAGAAGTGGTGGAGAAGGAGTCTAACAATCAACTGACACAACCACAACAGGGTATGTAAAAAATCATATAATTATTGCTATTAATTAAATTGATTATAATTTTTAAACAAATTAAATTAGATGAACGAAGCAAAAGGGAATGGGAGGCGGGAAGGATTGATTGGATGGGTGAACACCAATCCGATAAAATTATCGATAGACTTAAGAGACTTATTAATTAAATTTTTTTGTTTCAAAAATTCAACATAATTTTAATATATATACAATTTGTTTTGTTTACTAATCAAATATTTTTAGTCTTATATAAAAAAATAACATTTGTTTGCTTAAAGATTTTATTTAATTATATATATTACGGTTATATCATATAAATAAAACATTGTAGTATTTTTTAGCTAAACTTAATGATTTACATTAAATTTATTAAATAAACGTTTTGATGTTTTATTTAGTTTACAACAAATTTATTTTTTTAGAACTGTTGAAAAGCTTAATTTAATTGGTTTTAAAAATATAAAATTATAAAATAAATTTATATTTAATTCAAATTTTGAAATAATAATACCTATAATAACAATTTTCTGAGATATATATAATAAAAATAATAATAAAAATCCTTAATTTTATTTAAAAAATACTCATAAAATTGATTTGCTGTACACTTTAATAAGTTAATAAAACATTATTTTTTATAATAACGTTAATAAAGCATAATTTAATAAATACTAAATGATTGTACAAAGTTTTTAAAACTTATAAATTGGTTAATAAATATTCAATGTTAATAAATAATTTAGTTACATATAATTATAAGTGCAGTATATTATTGAGTATATGAATGTATTAATTATAACATAAAAATACAATACAATAAACTCAAATATAATAGAGATATTAATTTTATTATAACTATACTCTAATACAGTACAGTATTATGAGCTAATCAAATGCGATGCTTTATTTATATACTATTATAACTATATTACTAAATATTTACTAACTATGATATAACAAATAATTTTCTATACAATACATTGTTTTAAATTGAATGTCATACTTATTATAATAGTTTTTTGTTATCATTTGAATTGTAAATAAAATAACGAAATAAACAAAAGTTGTGAAAAAAAAGTAAATTAAAAGTCATATTAAAAAGCATTACTACTTTGTTGTTACTGTAATAACACTAATACTGTAATACTTTACTGTATTATTGGTTCCTATAATGTAATGACAGCCAAAACAGCTGTTAAATGTTATCAACAAATAAATAGTCAATAAATATCTTATTATTAATAATAAGAATATTGTTATGAAATTTCACTATTGATTTGTCATTGAATTGTATATCAAAAGTGTTAATCAATAACTGAATCGACTGTTGAAATAAAATAACGATTTTATTAACGTTTGCTTAGTTGGTCTGTATTTGTCATTTGATCCGATGGTTAGTGTTTATGACAGACACACGCCATCATAGATGATGACCTCAAGAGTGATCATTTGAAAAGGTCTGCAAATATTACAGTTAATGTCATTATTATTATTAATGAAGACTTTTTAAAAGAAAATATCGATTGTTTCGGAAGTCTGTCTTCACTGACACAATCAAAGCATAGTTGTATCACTTGATCCACAAATAAAATCATCGTTTGTCACATCATTTGTCATCAAAATTAAGACATCGATAGTATTTGTGATTAAAAACAATTGATTATATAATTAAATTTTATTAATACAACTATCACTGAGAGATGTCAATAAAATGTGGGTTAAATTTGAAGAAGTCTTAATCGCCAACGCTTTCTGGTATTGATAACCAATTGTTTATAATATTTAAGTGATAGATATAATGATTTAAATTTTGATGAAATATATTCATCTTTAGGGTTACCGAGAGAGCCAACCTATACTTTGTGTTACAGCGACGCAAAGGTCACGGCACTCGTGGTTTATCATCACTTTTGGTCGGAACTATTGATTCAGTATTTGATACAAAGGTTAGCACTAATGATAAAAATTTTATATTGAATTGAATTTAAATTTTATTATATACGACAACAGCCGCCTCCATATCGTATTCTTCATCAGACAAACAATTCAGAAGTCAGTTATCGTAAGTATTGAATATATCGTTTGATTTGAAAGACTTAATATTTAATGGATTGATTGGATTTTTCCCAATCAGTTGTCTCTTGTGCCCTAAAGAAGGATGAAATAGTGAAAGACTGGGAATGGATTGAACATAATTTGATGCCAACTCTTCAATCATTTGAGAACGAAGACGATGTGACAGACTTTGTTCGCTGTAAAATAGAGAGTCTAATCGCACAGGCAGTCAGTGATATGCCAACCGTCCAAATCACTGAAACTAGTGATAGTCGTGACTTTAGGATTGCCAGCAATAAGTTCGCCAAATTGTTTACAATGCCTGAAGAGGAGAAATTAGTTAATTGTTAGAAATATTTTATATTTAAAAATGTCATTTAATAGATAAACTAATTGTATGTTTAAAACATAGACTATTCGTGCAGCTATTGGAACGGCAAACTTCCCCGACAGGGATGGGTATACCTAAGTGTCAATCATCTGTGTTTTTATTCATATCTTTTTGGTAAAGAATTGAAAATCATTATTAAATGGGTTGACATCAAGGTTTGCATTGATTTTAAAATAAACATATTTTTATAATAATTTGTTGTATTTTATAAACATTTCCAGCACTTAGAACGGGACAGTACTGTATTGTTTCCGGACAGCATTAAGATCATCACTCGAGACACTAAAAACTACATTTTTTCATTGTTTTTGAATAAAACTAAAGATGCGTACAATTTGATGGAACAGTTAGCTAATCTAACAATGAGACAATTGATCTCAGATGAGAGACATCTTCAGTATAAAGTTGATGCAAATTTAGTGGCAAAAAAATCTAAGAATTTGCCGAAAAAGGTTTCATTTTTGAAGAGAGATTTAGACGCCCGAGCAATGAGTGAGTCCTATAGGATTACATTTAGACTGCCATCCAATGAGAAATTAGACGGAACTCTACCGTTAACACTGTGGACACCTTATAACAAACAACATGTTTGGGGAAAATTATATTTGTCTAACAATTATATTTGTTTTGAAAGCAGAGTATGTTTTTTATTTACTAAAATTACCGGCACTTATCTTAATAAATAAATAAATTAATTTTTGAAATTTAAAGGTACATTCATTGGTTTCATTAGTAATACCATTAAGAGATATTACATCCACTGAAAAGATAGACAACAATCAGTCCACGGGATATGAAAAAAATAATACAATACTAATAGCGACATCAAAGACTAATTTTATATTTTCTCATATCGATGACCGCGAGTTTCTTGTCATTAAAATATCGGAATTACTCGCAAGACTTAGTGAAGACAGAAGGTTTGTATACATAATTTATTTAATTTATTGTCATAAATATAAAATTTTTTATATATTTTTATTTTAAACAGATCCAGTATTGACTCTTTGAGCAGACAACTATCTTGTGTTGATGGCCAGTCCACATGGATTCCCGAACCAGCTCTCAGTACTAAATTTCCATTTCCCGATACACCAGAATCAATAGCTAAAGAGTCGGTTAAAACTAATTTATGGGAATTGCATTTCATTGAATACGGTAGAGGTATCTCATGTTATCGGACCACAAAAGCCAGAGAACTAATACTCAAAGGAATTCCCGATAAATTTCGTGGAGAACTTTGGATGTTATATTCGGGTGCTATTAATGAGCTTTTAACACATCGTGGATATTATGAACTCATTGTCCAGCAAAGTCTGAGCAAACACAGTGTGGCCACCGATGAGATAGAGCGTGATTTGCACCGTTCGCTTCCCGAACATCCAGCCTTTCAATCTTCTGATGGAATCAACGCTCTTCGTCGTGTACTTAATGCCTATGCATTTCGTAATCCAAGTATCGGTTATTGTCAGGCAATGAATATTGTGGCTTCGGTTCTGCTTTTATATACTTCAGAAGAGGAAGCATTTTGGCTTTTGGTGGCGCTTTGTGAACGACTTCTACCCGATTACTACAATACTAAAGTAATTGGAGCTCTCGTTGATCAGGGAGTGCTCGAAGAGTTAGTTAAAGATAATTTGCCCGAACTCTACAATAAACTGATTCCTTTCGGTATTCTTTCAATGATTTCTCTCTCATGGTTTCTCACTATTTTCTTAAGTGTTATGCCATTTGAGTCAGCCATACATATAGCTGACTGTTTCTTCTATGACGGCGCTAAAGTAGTATTTCAAGTGGCCCTTAATATATTGGCTTCTAATGAGGAATCATTAATGGTTGCCAAAGATGACGGCGAAGCAATGACTGTACTCAGTGGTTATCTCGAAAATATTACCAACAAAGACGCAAAAATACCTCATATCGTTCATTCCGTTGCTTACGGATCAGCTTCAAAGAGAGCCAGTCAGATGAGCACCGAAATCAATGATTTAATATTCGAATCGTATTCGAAATATGGATTTATTACAACAAATCAAATCGAAAAACTTCGAGTTAAACACCGAATAAATGTTGTCCAAAATCTTGAAGATAATACCATGAAAAATGTCATTCGAAGTCTACAAAGTTTTACAATAATTAATAAATATCTAACAGATGAACAAATCAAAGATATTTATGTCATCTTCAAAGAGGAACAATTAAGACAACAATATTGGGGCCAAACGGGAGAACTTAAATCTCAAGAAAAGTTTGATATGTATAACCCTTTTTACGAGATCTTCAAGTTGGACATGGATCAGTTTAGGTGGTACTTCAGCCATTTGTCTCCCTGGGCTCAGGCAGACAATTATGATGTACTCGTTCAAAGAATCTATAAATTATTAGATGAAAATAATGATAATTTAATTAATTTTCTTGAGTTTTTGGTGCTAATGATTGTTATGCTGAGATCAGACGCAGAGATCAGATTAAGATTTTTATATTGTATTCATTTACTTAACATTCCCGAACTCGTAGCCTCTCCTTCAGTATCTGAATTTGAAGTAATTGATTCACCCGATACTGAATTAGGAGCCGAAGCCACTGAGTTCTTTGCCGTTGAAGATATAGAAGAAAAGTCTGAAGAAAGTACACCTGTCATCACATTATCGCAATTTCTTTCATCGTGTAATATAACGAATACAAACCAGAGATCCAGTTATTATATGATGGCCGGCAACACAATGACCGGCGCTATAATCGGTTCACATTCCAGTGCCTTAAATGATACCAACAGTTCGGGAGACCGGAAGCTCGGTTTGCCGACAATGAACCAGACATTGTTCATACAATTGTGGAAAACATTGTACGATCTATTCTCAGGTCAAGAGAACGAACAACAGATCTATCATTGCATTGCATCGATGGGTACTTATCTGCTAAAACTCGGAGAATTGTCCTCTCAGTCCACTAAATCACAAACGAGTCAAACCAACTCAGATGACAGTCAGGAAAGTTTTCTCATGTATGACACCAATGATGTCGATCCTGATTGTCATAATACGAGTGACAGCGCTAAGAGTGATCAACAAAAATCATGTGATAATAATAATAGCGATGATAGTGATTGGTTCATAACATTTGAACAGTTTTGCGCTGCACTTCATAACGAACAGACTTTAGTTGATCTCTTTGAGGTCAAACACGACTGGTACTCAACTCTGGCCAAACTCAAGACCGGAAGGTTTGAGAAGCAACAGAGCTTTTCCGGAACCAACACTTCAAATGTGGTTACCGTTTGATACATTGATTTTTTTTGTACAATTATTCCGTACATTTCAAACAAGTTTTAATTAAAAAAACTTTAATTTACAATTAAACGTAATTGTCATTAATTGTGATCAAAATATAGTTTAATTGGTATTTTTATTAATATTATTATTATTACTACTATTACTAAATTATTACTAAAGTTGTTTATCGCAAAATATTTAATTCATTTGAAAAGACGTTTTCAATTTAAAAGAGTTTATTAAATATTTTATATTATTATTATTATATTTATAGTAACAGTATATTACTGATAGAAAGTGATGACAATCACATAATCGTGAATATGATTTATTGGAGTTAAATGCTATTAATGTTGCAAATGAAAAATTATTGATTCAATTATTTTTATATATTTCTAAAAAATTAATATTTATGTTTAAAAATTCAATCATTACTGTATTGATTATATAGAAATAGTTTGTTAAATAGTTTAAAAATATAATTTTAGTGAATATTTTTTAATATGAAAAGCAGTCTTCCTGTTAAAATGTAATTCACATTTTTTTACTAATAAAATATTTCAATAAAATTTAAAATATGCTGTATTTTCAAAATTATTATCGTTAATATTAATGAAAAAAAATCTTTAAAAAAAAGTATTGTATTTATAGTAAATATATTGTTATACTATTTATAAATGAATTATTAATAATATAATAAATAATATTTCAATATTTCTTAAATTTTATTCAATAATTATTTTGTAATAAATATTTGTTTTACATTATTATAAAATTAACATTAAAAGGTAAATGAATTTATTAAAAGATTTGTAAAATTGAACACAAGCTTTGTTTGTCAATTGCATTCAGTTTCGTTATTTTTTATATAAAAAATTTATGTAATTTATGAGTTTTTTTTATTAAATTTAATATTAATATAAGTAATATTGTTATTTGAAGAAAAATTAAATGGTTTATAAATAAAACAAACATAAAGAATCCATTCAATTTAAGTAACATAAAAACTAACATTTAATTTTAAAATAACATTCATTATTATAAGCATAATATAGCAAATCTTACTATAATATAATATAATAAAAATAGTAAATTAGCTAATAATTTAAATAAAAGAAACAAATTGTTAAATAAAGTTAAAAATATATAATAAATATTAATAATTGTTATAATCATTCCCTTCTTTGATAGAACAATACATACGCGGCCTTCGAGACCACGTTATCTTCAGAAGCAGAACTTACATTTGAGTCGTCGAAGTAATGCCAGCTTCCGGTGTGAATATTCTTGGCATAGGCTGTGTAATGACCGCCTCCGAGACCGCCGTAATGATTGGCCACAGCTGTCAAATCATATAATAATGACTCGTTATTGGGATTATTCAATAAGTATTCTCCCATATCAAGTGAATGAAGAGGAAAATCAACCAAAATATCTAATTTATCCCGAAATACACGTGAATAAGAAAATCTTTTTAAATGTATTATTAAAACTTTTGGAAGTGTCCTAAAAAATATAATAAACAATATATTAAATTGATATCAAATAAATTTAATACTCTTTTATAAAACATACCATAAATCAAACTTTTTGGATGCCATTTGATGTTTCTTACATTTGGGACAATACCACGGATCGTCTGAACCCAATCTCTCAGTTGTAGTGAATTGAGAAATACATTCAGACAGAGGTAATGATGATTTGGTAGTATTGGTGGTTGACTTAAGTGGTGGCAATTTGTACGGGTTTTCAACCTCAGCCTCATTATAATATTTATTCTTCATTCGTGTCGGCAAATCCACGGCTATAAACGTTTTGTTACTCAATTCAAATGGTTTGGTTCGCTCGAGTCGTTCGATATTAAGAGAGCCATAAGAATTAACAAAAGTCAAGGCAAACCTATCGGTGCGCTCACACTCAGCAACTCCTTCATCAGAATCTGATTCCTCTTCACTCAACGGTATTTTCATAAACCGTCTTAACTGTTGAGTCACTGCTTCGTAAAGTGTTTCATAATTTGAATCATTAATGCTTATAATAAATGGACGGCCAAATAGAGCAGTAGTTTCATCGGCTTTAACTTCGCGTAAATAGACAGCAATTGAAGAACTATTTTCAAGTGTCTCGTAAACTATTACTTCATCCAATTGTCCAGAATATGACTCCTCTCGGCTAAAAAGTTTATGAAACCTATGATTATAGACATCGGTAACAATAAGTCTTTCCGAATCAATGGTATGCTTCAACACTTGGCTATCATTGATAGTTTTGGCCACAGCGTTGCAAATGTCAGCAATAGTGCCGTACTTTGGTATCATTAGACGTGACATTTGAATAGCTTTCAATTGTTCCTGAGTTTCATCTGTTTTGTTGTTATTATCGTTGAGCACATTTGGTTGCAAAACCGGCACAAATACTACATCGATAGGTCGTTCACGCTATTAATACATACATATGTTATGTAAATAATATTAAACTTAAAATACAAATATCTATAAATAATATAATAAAACAATACAAACCTTAACGGGTAGCGGCAAACTCAGGTAACAAAAGGGGTCAAATGTCACACTAACGAGATTACAATCGGGACAAACAAGTGTCGACTTTAACAATGCATGAAATGTGTCCACAATTATACTGTCATTGCGTTTCTTGTAGTTTTCCCACGACTCGGCCGCCACAACGGCATCTGGTCTTAAATCGACATCTGTTTTGATTTCAATGTATGGTTTTTGTCGGACACGGTTTAAATCTTCGTGCAATCCATCTAATAGAAAGGCCATCAATTCTTGGCAATCTTGTTGCGAGAATCCACTAAATTGTGGCGCAAATCGGCCGACAGAGAGCTTGAATTCTCTCGGAGCCAAACAAGTATGGGAACCGCTCCACATTGCCTTTATTAGGTCGGCATAACTTTTAGCTATTTCTCCTCTCATACCTAAAGGATTGTCAGTATTGATATCATTCCAGTATTGATCACTCAATAAGAATTCAGTTAATGGCTGAGTGTTAGACAGACACTGAAGAGCACTATTCATGAAACATGTATTTCCTAAGTTCATGAGTCCACACAAACCAGGAATACATTTTGAAGAACGGGTGGCAATGGCTCCATAACGGGGTCGACTTGAAGGCCACGTGCCGTCAGGATTGCGCACTTCGAGTGTTACTACTGTTCCACTCATAAGTCCGGCGTCATTGAGAGTCTGATTATCGTTTGTATTATCATTAGAACTGGAAGGCGATAGAGAATCGTTGTGGGCCTTCAGTATTGATCCATTGGCCCAAAGTTGAGTATCTTTCACGTCATCGATATTAAACAATGTCTTCATTTCAGACTCCAATTGTGTCAAAGTTATTACTCTACTGTATGTCTTAAGAATTACATCTTCTTTAGATCCGTAAAGACTTAATTTAAGTTCAATCGGATAGATCTCAACCATACAATAGACCGAATAGGTTCCCTGTTCTATGACCGCCCGTCGGATAACATGAGACTCCTCTACAATACCGAACTCTTTCATCAATAGATGCCAACCTTCTTCCGGTACAAATTGATAGTCTACTTCTTCTTGAAGACGTTCGCGAAGAACTCGATTCTCCAGAGTTTGGAACAGAGCTGACCAAACAAATAGACAGTTAGATGTCATTTTCAATGCATATTTTAAATAGTCATTTAATCAAACCTGAGTTATCAATGGGTCCGGGATTGTGGACCTGTTGGTGATCATTGAGATATTGTTTACATTCGTCGAACCACTTCTTGTCGACCAAATACCAGTGCTCTCCCCTTTGCATCGGCCGATGGATCAGTTGTAACACTTCAGAAACGTCGGGCACTTCCGATGGCGAACATTCCATCTCTATATCATTGTTGTCCATCTCAGTGGTGACCAGTCTTTACTTAATTGATGACAAATATCTTCAAAAGTGATCACAAAATGTCTTAATTAATGACAAATCGATTAATGCTTTGAATGAGAGCTCACTTTGAGTTCAGATTTGTGTTAACTTTCGATACGAGCAATGAGTTCAACAAAATTGAGCTCAAATTAGAAACAATTCACACATTATGTGACACACATTTGTGTCCCCCATATACTAGTCATACAATAGTCATCAATGAATGTCAAACTGTATGTCAATTGAATCCTTGAGTCGTAACGTTAGCTACTGATGGCTCTAATGATGTGAACATTGTTTTTAGTGCGCATGACTTGCAATGAGTTGTCATTACATCAGAGTTTTACTCCAATTATTTGAATCACTATTTTTACACACATTTCGTAATTTGAATGCAATTAATGCTATTTTTGCATTCATTCGATGCATTCAATGCATTCAAAACACATTGCATTGCATTTTATTGATAACCAAATGAACTATATTTTTGTCATACAATTCATGCATTGATTTTGTATTAAATAATACTTTTATTAAGTGATCGTCAGTTTGTTTAATCATATCTTCTAATAATAAATACAAACAAAACATAAAACAAACATATTTTGCATTTTTATAATACTATTTATAAGATTTGTTTTTTGTTAACTTTTATTTTTTTCTATTTATTGATAATAAAAAAATATTACAGAATATTCTTGAATGTATAATAAATATGACGTAAAATCTAATTTAGAAAATATTAGAAAAAACAAAATTTATTTCTTTTTTAAATACATTTTATAATATAATTATAACTATTTTAACGTTGTTTTTAAATGAATTTATATTATTTATAAAACATTAATAATAATAATAATATACACTATTTATGACTTAAAAAAACTATTTTTTACACAATTTAAATTTTAAATAAGAACTATTAAACGATCATGATACTATTAAAGATATATTAAATTATCATGATAAATTTTCAAACAATTAGGTTAGTTTAATGTACTATAAAATTTAAATTATATATCATATTTAAAAATAACTATTAATTTCTATCAAATTTTTATATCGTATTTAAAAAAAAAATGTTTTACAATAACTCAATTAAAACATATTTTTATTAATAGTATAATAATATGATATATTAATAATAATAACATATACTGTAATATATTTAGTGTCATATTTAGTAAAATTAAGTTTGAAAATTAACTTTTTATATAACATTTATTATAAAAGTTTATATAATTTAATTGTAATTTTATTTAAAAGTAAAAATAAATATAATATTAAATGTAATTTAAAAGTCAATTGAAAACTTTATTTCTGTAGATTAAGTAATAATAATATTATTATTATTATTAACGCAATGCTGTCGTTATGATTGAAATTAAAGGCCGGGTTTGCCATAAATGGTCACACAATGAGTCCATTGGATAGACTGTCCAAACATCACTTGAAACTATCTGTAAATATACAGACTATGTATTAAATGTTAAGCACATGAGTGACGCCAACCCCACGACATTGTGTCACACATTATATGTATTATTAATACATTATGTAATAATCATATTGTTTTGAAAGCATAAAAACATTGGACTAAATGTTAACTCAACGTATCATTTGATAGTATGACTGATCCATACATTGGATTCAATTTTGTATTAAATATTAGAATATTAACTAATATTTTAACAATTGTGTCATCGATTGTATTTAATTTATCATTTAATTGATTACATATCATATTATATAAACTTAATTAAAGTGAAGATGAAAGACATTGTGAAGGCATTGCAGGATAGGGTGGACAACATCCGCAATGTATGTGTCTTAGCTCACGTGGACCACGGTTTGTATAGACAAGACATTACATAACCGATTGTTTTATATTTACGTTGATTTTATAGGTAAAACTACTTTAGTGGACACATTGATCGCCAGCAATGGTATTATCTCGCAGAGAATGGCCGGCAAATTGCGGTATTTGGACAGTCGTCAGGACGAACAGCAAAGAGGCATAACCATGAAGTGCAGCGCTATATCATTAGCTTTTCAGACCAGTTAGTTATCATTTTATATCATTGTTTTCTCCTGACATTAAATTATGTTATAATTTATATAATTTATAGACAATATCCCATATTTGGTGAACGTAGTGGACAGTCCCGGACACGTAGACTTTTTCGGTGAAGTGTCCACTGCTATACGTCTTTGTGATGGATGTATTGTTTTGGTTGATGTAGTCGAAGGTGTGTGCAGTCAAACTAAAGCTGCTCTACAACAGGCGTGGATTGAAAAATTAAAACCACTTCTTGTACTCAACAAAATGGATCGCTTGTTCATTGAGAAGAAAATGACATCTTTAGACATTTATATGCATTTATTGCAAATCTTGGAACAAATCAATGCATTTTTAGCTCAATTATTTACAACAGATGTCTTAGGGAAGTGCACTCCAAATACAATTGAAACTAAATCTCAGGATCAAAGCGATGGCAATAAACCAACTTATGATTGGAGTTCAGGTTTAGATGATAGCGACGACTCTAATCTATATTTTACACCCGAATCGGGAAATGTTGTGTTTGCCAGTGCTATTGATGGGTGGGGTTTTACAATCGGAGATTTTAGTAAATTTTTATCAAAGAAATATGGAATTAAAGAGGAAGTACTGAATAAAACTCTTTGGGGTGACTTTTATTTGAGTTCAAAAGAAAAGAAGATAATGAAAGGCGCTCTTTCAAAGGCTAGGAAACCTATTTTCGTGACAATGGTTTTGGACAATATTCTAGCTATTTATGAAGCAATTGCTATCAAACGCGACAAAGAAATGATTCAAAAAATAGTGTCATCACTTGATATTAAATTCACAACACGTGATGTCAATCATTCAGATCCAAGAAGTCAATTGCAGACACTATTCTCTCAATGGTTTCCCATTTCCAATGCTGTTCTCAAAATGATCTGTCAATTAGTTCCGAGTCCTAAACAGATCACTGAAGAACGTGTAGAAAATCTTATGTGTTCTAACACTAAACGATTTGATTCATTACCACAAAAGACTCAAAATCTTAAAAACGATTTTATTAAGTGTTCATCGGATAGGGAATCAGCTCTTATAATATGTGTATCTAAAATGTTTTCATTCGAGAAAAAATTTTTACCACAATTTAAACAAAAGGCTTTGACTCACGAAGAGATAAATGAGAGACGAAATAAATTAAAGACTAAACAACTGGAAGAATCAAATGTTTGTAATGGAGATGTTATTATTAAAGAAGAAAGTAATGGAGTAAATGAAGAAATATTAGCTAATGATAATGTGTTGATAGCTTTTGCCAGAGTTTTTAGTGGTACTATAAGAACTGGTGATACAGTTTTTGTTTTGGGTCCCAAACATAATGTTAACAAAATTGATGACTCCATTGTAATTGACGACAATTTAACTATTGATAACTTGACATCCGATCAACACATCACTAAGTGTTGTATCGATGACTTGTATATTCTTATGGGAAGAGAACTCGAAGCTGTTGATGAAGTGAAAGCGGGAAATATTTTAGGAATCGGTGGTTTAGATAATCATATAATCAAATCGGGAACCTTATCTACTACTATGTATTGTCCGCCATTTATTGATCTACACTTGTCTACAATTCCTATTCTTCGTGTAGCACTTGAGCCCCAAAATCCGACACTTATGCCAAAACTTATTGATGCACTTAAGAAGCTGAATCAAGCTGATCCATGTGTTGATGTTAAAATACAAGAGACTGGAGAACATGTGATTGTGACCACCGGTGAAGTTCATCTGCAGCGATGTATTACCGATTTGACACAATATTCGTCAATTGAAATAAACTGTTCCGAACCGATAGTGCCATTTAGAGAAACCATTGTATTGCCGCCTAAAGTTGATATGACTAATGAACTGATTGCTACCCAAAGGACAAACACAGATTCAACTGAAAGCAAATCAATTGAATTATTTACTGTGAATAAGAAATCTAAAGTAAAAATTATAGCAAAACCACTTCCTGAAGAAGTTTGTGATATTTTAGGGAAAAATAGTAGTCTATTGAAAGTCATTACAAGAAATCAAAGAAAATCAAGTGATTGTTCACAAATAACAGAACAAGCAATGAATGCCATCGAAGAATTACGATCTCGACTAAAAAAGGCATTTATTGAGTCCGATTGGCCCGAAGATACTATTGATCACATTTGGTCTTTTGGACCAAAATATTGCGGAACTAATTTACTAATTAATAGAATTCCTGATTTTAAACGATTTAATTCATGTTTTGCCAAATACGACACCACGTCTTCATTCAATGATTTTACTATAAGTGATGAAATTAGACAACAATGTGAAAACAGTTTTATTAGTGGTTTCCAATTGGCAACATTGGCCGGTCCTCTATGTGATGAACCTCTTATGTCTGTTTGTTTTATTGCCGAAAATTGGACGGTTACGGCTGATAACATGGACTGGTATAATGATCCGTTCGGTCCATTTAGTGGTCAAATAATGTCAACTGTAAAGGAATGTTGTAAGAAATCATTTCAAGCACAACCTCAACGTCTTATGGCAGCCATGTTTTCCTGTACCATACAAGTGGACAGCGATGCTCTGGGTATGTCATCATTTTTTAATGTTTAAAAAAATTTATTACAAAACATTGTTGGAATAAATAATATGACCTTGTCCATTCATTCATTCATATTTGTATCAAATATAGTAATATTCAATTAATATTTAATGACAAAGTTGTGTGTGATTGTAGGCGATAACTATTTTTTAGATTATATATTGATATTTGTTTTTTCAAAGTGTTTTGCCAATAAATGGCAAATATTTTAATCAATATTTACAACTTTTAACGTTTTAAGGAATAATTTGTTTGTTTTTTTAATAATCTACTTATTTGGTCAATAATCATACATTTAAAATACAGTATATTTATGTTTTGTAATAATACAAATGGTTTTGGTTTGAAGCTAATTATTGACTATTTATGATTACTATGCCATTAATTAAGGTAACTATTAATTAATTAACACATTGTGCAGATGAATGAATTAAATTTCTAAAATAGTTATATACTCTTTTTATATGTACTGTATATGTATTTTTTATATATTTAATTATAGAAAGTTATAATGAACTTTTTAATTGAAAAAAAAACAAATTAACATTATTCTTAATTAATATTTTGTTTACTTATTCATTAATAAGTTCATTCATTTATAATTATGTGTATAAAATTATTTTATAATTTATTTCCGTTATATAATTAGTTATGCCGGTATTTATTACAAAATCGTTAAATTAATTAAATAAATATAGTTTTATAATAAATATTTGGAATTTATATATTTAATATTATATATATATAAATAACTAACTTTTTAAAGTTAAAGATTAGTTAATGATTACCACATGCCTTGAATGGATGTAGAGTTGATGACAGCGTAGGCCAGTTCCCACGGGAATTGTGGTAAATCGGTATCTTCTTTTGATACTAACAATCAAAAATCATTATTTTTAATATTAGATTATAAACAACAATAGCGATTATAAATTAATTTTTTTAAATACCGATTTTGGTTGAACTAAAAAGTCGTGCTTTTTTCACTCCCTGATTACATAGCATTCCTATTATATAAATAGTTAAATATAATAAGTTTAAATGAAAACTATATGCCTATTAAATATAGTATGTGGTATGCTATGGCACCCACCATATACTCTAATTCCGGCAACTCTGGCATAATCTGGATGATTGTGAGTGTAAGGCCCTTCAAACTGTGCTGAATCTGGACACCGACATACCATAACATAGTGTGCTTTACCACTGCGCTCACTCTGTAGAGCTAACAGTGTCCAATCAGTCGGTGTTTTGCACGTACGGACGCTCATTAAAGGTTCACACAGTTTAACTTGTGTGTACACCTATAGACAAATATGTCAGATTTTAATGATAGGACACCCACATGTTGTCAATAAGTTTATATATACTTTTTTGTCATATCTTCGTGTCAATTCAATGGTGTGTCCATCATCGGTGTCGGCCTGTCTGGCCATATCACTACCACATTCCCAGTTGAAGTTTTCAGAGCACTGGCAAAGTGGTTGACTGTGATTGAGGCGAACGAATAGAGCGCTGCAAACCTTATATAAAAAATTATATAAAAATTTTGAAATTAAAAGATTTTGCAATTGATTTGATGAGTTGATTGCAAACCTGTTGTGCCGCACATTCCGGCAAATGTTTTTGACGGTATTTTAGGACACCATTTGTTACATTCTTTGCCTAAATTGGTTTAACATTGTTTAACAAATTTGGTTAACATTTTTCATATATTTTTCATATTTATACAATTTTTTGTTGTTATTTCACAACAACCTGGATATTATACTATAGTAGTTAATTGATTTTTTGTTGTTAACAAATAAAATATATTATAATTTAGTTACACTTAAAATTAATATTTGATTATGTGATTTTGTTGATTTATATTTATAACTTAATATATCTAAAGTTAAGTTAATTTAATATTTTTAATTTAGAAGAATTATTGATTTATTTTTTAAATAGTTTTGCTTATTATTTTTATATTTTATTTATATATTTATATTAGTAGTATGAGATATATCTCATACTACTTATATTAATATGATAATAATTATATAAGCATTTGAATTTATATTATAGACTAATATTTTTAATTAGTTATTTAAAGTATCGAAAATATTATAAACAATTATATTAAGTTATATTAATTAAAAAAGTTTTAATATGAAATATATAATTAATAATTTTATGGTTTACTTACTTTTAAATCATTTACTGAATCCAAATTTATTTGCTGCTTATCTTTGATTAGTTTTGTTGTCCTTACACTCAAAGCTGATGAATATATTGAATAGACATAAATGACAGAAAAAAGACAAATAATAAAAGCAATATTTAAGTTCATGTTTTAGACTAACAAACGGTTAGCACGTCTTAAACTAAACTAAATTTAGATAATGACTCGGTTTGAGTATTATATTTGAAATATATATCTAAAAGAAGGCCATTATATGGTTGAGGGATCTCTTCTTGACATTGAGGGTCAGATCACAACCTCATTATACGAGTTTTTATTTGGGCTTTTGTGTTAAATCCTGATATTAAATGATAAGTATTATTATTAATAATAAATTATGAGTTTAATTTATATAATATCTTAAATTATGTATACAATGTAATTTATATTAGATTTTATACGAAAAAAATATTATATTAAAATGATTGATAAATAAATGCTAATTTATTACTACCAATAATTTTTAATAATATTAATAATGTTTGTAGTTATAGGGTTATATTAATCAAATATGAATTTAACTATTTACAGATTTAAAATTATTATTATTATTGTTATAATTTAATAGTTTTGTTTGTTGTTTAAAAAATACTGTATATGCTTATTAAAGATTTATTACATTTATTAGTAGATAATAGTAAAAACATCATTAGATAATTAAGACAATATAATGATATAATTTGCTATAAAAATTACTATTTTATCATAACAGAAATACGTTATGTATTGATATTTGAATAATTAAAAAATGTTGCACACAAATCATTAAAGTTTTTATGCTATTCTAATGTTAGACAATAATATACATTATAAAACATTTTATAAAAAAAAATTGGTTATTGACTAAAATTAATAAGTTTATGCAAAATATATATAAAAAAAATCTAAATAAAGATTTAATTATTAAATTTTTATAAAATTTGTAACAACAAATTGTATAAAAATGCAGTCTTATTTTTGATGATTGTTTTATTAAAGTATAATTTACTATGCATAAAGATCAGCCATAATATAGCTAAATTATTAATAGATTCAATATTATATAATTAATTAGTCAATTGTATGATAAAATAGATAATTTTATTAATAAAAATATTTTATTATAAAAAATCACAATATATTACAAATTAGAAAATATAAAAACTAATTTACAAATAATTATCAACAAAATCTATTTATACATAAAAAATAATATAAACAAAATTTTCAACGAGTTTGTGTAGTTATGAGTACTTATAAACAATTAGTTATAAAAATTTGTCAAATTAATACTCACAATCAATTATATTGAAAAAGTGTTTGCAAAATATTTTGGACATCGTTTGTAGTTATTTGACACTTAAAATATTTTCTGTTTGTTTTAAATTTTAATTATTTTTGTGTATATATTTTGATTAATTTATACTGTACTATATTATAATATAAAAAAATAATAATAAATACAGCATATATTTATTAGGAATTATTGTTGATGAATTTAAGTGTATTGTCAAAAAAATGAAAAGATGTCAAAATCATTATGAAAACACTGTATATAATGTAACATTGAGGTACATAAAAATATCATTAAAAAAATATGAAGCCATCAATTGATACGATATAGTGATATATTTGCTATAAATTAGTTGATTTGAGGGCAAAACCAATGAGTTTGAGTATCAGTTGTCAACAGAATTTCATTTAAAAGTTTTTCGAGTCAAGAATATCGTTGTTATCCGTATATCTGCTAATCATTATATCAAATGAATGGCAGAGAAAAAAAGGCAAACATTAATATACTTTGTTTGTAGTATTTGAGACATAATTAAGGGAACGGCAGTTAAAAAGCTGAGCACAACTTACTTGACTGGTTTGGAACAGTAGCCACTATAAGTCCTTATATGTTGGTAACCATATACTGTTCCGGCTGTTATCACATTAGTTTGTTTGTGGTGTGTGGGACAAGTAGATCCTTGAGGACATTGACAAAGTGTGTTAGTATTGACTTCATCGACATCTGGTCTTTTACGTACAGTAAACAAACGACACGGCTCTTTGCGTTCACACCGAAGCCTCTAAAACATTACATTTTCATCACAAATCAATCATTAATTATATCATTTTCACCCACAATACCATTATGTCATAATTATTCATTTATTTTGCTAACAGCCCTATCATCATATGTGCCAAGTAGTAGCATATTTTTGTCAGTCTATTATTAAATTTATGCCACATTTGACAGCATTTTTCAAAGCAACAAAAAATATTCAACTAAACGCCCCTCTCTTTTCCCCAAATCTATAAGGAGTTTACAAATTAGTTTGTAATCCATATTCCGGTTTTTCAATGAATGAATCAATGAATGAATGTATAAATAAATGAATGAATAACTAGTAGTATGAATGGTATGAATGAATGTGAAATGCAAATGAGTAGCAAAAATGACTTTAAACATACCGTTTCTGGGGAGCAGGCAAAGTGATATTTATATCCAGTTCCCACTTTCAATGACTTAAATATTTGATGCTTGAATATATAGGCGACACTATTCTTAGGGCAAACACAGTTAACTGTCTGACTGGTCGTATTGTCGGAATATGTGGTCAGTGTCCACGTTATGTCCCGAAAATAGCGACATATGGGAAGTTTATTAATTGGCTCACATAGCTATACATTAAAATAGATAAGCATTTAAGTGGATTAAGCATTTAAAGAGGCATTAAATTAGCAAAAGTGAAATTACTTTGAATTGTTTAGACTTATCGATAACTGTATGACCATCGTTGACATCCAGGGATGTGGAGCACGACTTAGTGCCCGAACACCGACACTGTCTTTCAATCCATGGCGTCGAATAGGTATCTATTTTATTGCACACCGACCACGAGTCACACTCCGGCAGATCACTCTCTCGTACCGTCTATTTTGTGAATTACAATATATATAATATGATTTTACGACTAATTTACTTTTAAATAGATAAACTTATATATTATAGTCAAACTAAATTCAACTAAATTATAAGTAATAAAAATTTTTGATTATTTCAAAGGCACTTATTTTAGGCTCACATGAGTGTAACCAATACTTAAATGCATATCTAATACCACACAATCAAAAAGTCATTAGTGTTTTAAGTATAATAGAGAAGCAAACAAATAATAATTTGACAAAAATCATCCAATAGGACAATGAGACTACTTTTGAAGCGATTAAACTCAAACAAAATTTGATTTTTTTGTGTTACTATTTATGTTATTATTATTTTTATAACTAACTATATGGTTAAGTCACTAGCATTTATCGCTTGATGAGTTAAATAAGCTTAAATTTATTTCTCACATAACGTAATTCATATCACTTAACATTGTTTTATTATTTTTTAAACTCTTCAGATTATATTTTTATTAAAATACCTGTTATTGTCTACTATTATAATTGTTTCATTAAAATTTTTATTTTTAAATTATTAAGATAATTAATGTCTATATAATATATACTATATCAGAGATAAATGTATTTTAATGCTATGTTAATTAGTGTAAATTATATTATATTGTCAATTACTATTAATACAAGACATATTACATGTATTACTATTACTTTATGTAATAATTTTGTTTTTTTAATATACAGTATTTTTGTTTTTAAATCATGAGTGATATTCATTACTACTATAGTAATGGTTATGAGTTTATAAAAAGAATAAAATGTTTATATATTATATTATTTACACACTTTTCTATGGATTGTTTACAGAATTTAAGTGAATTCTTTATTTCTAGTGCTTATTAATAATATTTTTAAACAAATATTATTTCTCATTAATGTTGAGTTTCACATAATTTAATTTTTGTTAAGAATTATTTAATTTTTGTTATCAATTATCTAAAAGCAATTGGAAATTGATTTAACGTATATATATTTTTTAACTAATAGAAAATAATTTTACGTTATTCGTATAAGATTTATTTATAAACATGTAATAAAATCAATTAAAATTTTATTTACATGATGGCTAAAATTATTTAAAGTTATTAATAAATTTGTTTTCTAATAATTTATATGTTATATATAGACATAAATTGTTATTGTTGTGGTCATATACGACATGGTATGGTATGTTATGGGACTCATAAGTAATATTGCTCTGAATACTGTATATAACTTAAAAATAATACTAAAGTGATGATGACTTACTTGGACTTCAATTAATGTGGTTTTGCTGTTAGTTATTGGCTTATCTTTGATTAATTTAGTAGTTCTAACACTGAGAGCCAATGTGTATGATGTGAACACATGAATGACAGTTAGTACACAACAAATGACTATAGTTTTATCTGTCATTATATATATGTATATAACAATTGTGACAATTAATAATAAACTAAAACTATTGTCAATTGATTTTCCTATGGATTGAATGATTTATCAGTTATGATAACTTTGTTGATAATATTTTTTGATGAATATTCTGTAAAGTGTTGGTTAACTCATATGATGATTGTGTGCCATCACAGACACACTTGGCCTCACATGACTGTATTGAATGCAAACACGGTATACATAGTATTGGATGCACAACATGTTGTCAGTGTGTATATATGATAGTAGACTGGAGTGTATACACTGCATACCTGTGCCTTTTATGAGCCCACAGGTATGTGAGTCGATGACATCGTTTGGCGCTCAGCCTATTAATGAAATCAACACGAGTCAAGCCCTTCCCCTTTTTACATGATATTACTCTACAATTATATATACAATGCTATTATATAAAAAAGTTCTGATAATTCAGTGGCTGTAGTATTGAATTAATAGTATATACCTGTATATGTTGTGCACGAAAATCATTCACAAAAATACATCCCATTCTTCAGTGAACGGCATTCCTTCCAATCCTCCCATTCCTCTCAATCCTTCACATTCTTGTTTCCATTTATTACCACAAAACTCATGCAAACCATTCATTCACTCATTCATTCATCCATTGAGAGACTATTCCTTTAAAAGGCATTACTTTTCAATTATCTCTTTAATGAATACCTTATGAAAAAATATTTGATTGAAAAAATTGAATTTCAAATAAATCTTAACTATATATGTGTGTCATAAAAGTTGTAAAAAATAGTTTCACTTTCATATAAATTATAGTAATTTCAATTAGACAGAGACGGTCTTTAAGAAGTTTGTCGTCTCTCAAAGTCTATACACCATTAAGCAGATTATGACATACCCTTTGACGGCCGTCACCATTGACTATACCTTTTGGCATGAAATAGGAAGCACTTAATACAAGACTCGCTTTAAAGACATTTATATTTATAGACCGCATCAGACATTATTAATAACATGTTTGCCATTGGCATCGTTGGCATTACACCTCAATTTGTGGCTCACTATCTCAATATGAATTTCCACTAAAATAGACCTTGACCATCCCATTGATTATATACCTGATTATATACTCGATTATATTACCAGTTAACGCATCTCATCTAATCAAATGAAGCCTATATTTTGATCAATTTCTCATTTTTCTTGTAATATCACTAATGATACCATTAGTGATACATTGAATTCATTAATACAATGCCAAAAGAATTGTAATTAGTAGTGATTATAGCTATATATTTGTGTCATATATTATATATATTTGAGATATGTTTTGCAAAAATTGAAAAAAATGAAAACATTTTTTTAATACTTTGAATTAGATGTTATTTTTGAAAGCAATTCTCTAGTCTTGAGATGTAATATGCTTTGGGAGTCAAGAATGAGAGCGTTTGTTGTAATCATTGACTAATCCATTGTTGAAGAGAAAAATGCTGTAAATTTGATGGCTTTAGGGATGAAATATTTGAAATATTTTTATACAATTCTCTTGTTATCGCAATATACTATTCATTCATAATTTCAATGAAAATGCTTTGAAAGCTTAAGACTGGAGACTGTGTTTTGTTTGTTGCAATAGTTGAGAGTGTAGTACACTATATATATATATAGTGATGACTATACGGCCAATGCATTGCTATCACACTTAACAGCAATTTTGTTGGCGCCGCTTATATAATATTTTTTAGCAAAATGTTAACTAATTTATAGTTTAGTATCAAATGGTTGTAAAACATTTTTCGTGGCATAAAATGCACGAATTTTTACCGTAATTCCAGCAAAAATGACGTACTGTATCAATATTGGTGGACATAAAGTGCATAGCATGCAGACAGCACTGGTATGAGACCTGGTATGGGTCGGGAGTCAGAAGAGAGAGAGAGAGAGAGAGAGAACCGAGTATTATGTTTCAGTAATTGCCAAACGGCGCCAACTTTTATATGTTTCATCTGAGCTATGATTCACTCATATAATTCACTTAATCGCTCGCAAAACTCACTAAAACTTACTTATTTTGACCTCAAATCCATTGATTGCCACTATATCTTCATCTGTTGACTTTGCCTAACAAAATCAATATTCATTTTTTTAACATTAATTTAATTGCTTTTCAATAATTAGTTTTCATATGTAATAACCCCACATGACCTCGAAATTTGCCCAAATTTTAGCCCAAAGTATAGCCTGAAGTATACCCCTCCCTATCTATACTTTTATTTATTTGCAATTTGACTGCTTTTAAAAAAGAAATTTAAACTTTTACACCAAAACTGCTTTTTTCGCACATTTTTTTTTGGCGCGAATTGTTATTTTTGCACACATTTGACTGACAAACAAATTAATACAAATTTTTAGCTTATGTTTGGAAATCATTGATTTTCATATTATTTCCGATACACAGATAACAATTATTTTTGTAGTCAATTGATGACATGAATATTAAAATGTATATATATATAGAGTTTAAAAACAATTGGAGATACATTTAATTAACAATGAATATAATTCTTAAGGGAAGGGAGGGGAAGGTTTACAAATGTTAGATATGACTTAAGTTATATTAGAGAAAATATCTTATTTTAGTTACGATAATATCAAATAAATTGATAATTAATTCATTATTAATATTGAATTGAATTACAGGTAAGATGTATGCAGTTTTGGGTCGACGTCACGGCCGAGTACTGGACGGTGACATTCAGGAGGGCTCAGACATCTTCAATGTGACGGCTGTATTGCCAGTGATTGAAAGCTTTGACTTCGCGAATGAGATCCGAAAGCAAACGAGTGGAAAGGCTTGTCCTCAACTTGTCTTCAGTCATTGGGAGGTTTGTATAGTTTATATGGTTTTCTATCATTTTACAGACCATATGAGTACTTTTTATGCCTCTCTCTCTCTCTCTCTCTCTCTCTCTCTCTCGATGTTTAATGGTATAAGTGCTGCACACCTATCAATCTAAGGCCAATATTTTGGTTTGTGTTGAACAGCCTTATAACTTGTCGCACCTGTTCCGGTGGGAGTGGGAGTCAGGGGAGTCACTCCAAACACTGAATTAGTAGTACAACTATTTCTTATTTTCTAATTTACTATTTTAGGTGTGAGTTATAATGATATATAATAACTATTGAGAAGTTATGTTATGTTTAGTTAGGTTTAGCCAAACACTGGAAAACACTCCACAAAAACGATAACAAATTCTTTTACACACAACTAGTCTTATAAGTGAAACAACTGAAAAAAATACAGCAAATAATAACTTAACGTTCAAATAAATATTTAAATCCAAGCCTTAAAACAATCACTTATATGATATATCATATATAACATACCATAATATCAATTATATATAATATTCTTACTATAATTACAACCTAATTCATTGTAGTTTTTTCAAAAAAATGTTTGACTAATTTTTTTAGCACTTATCACATAACTATATCATATTAGCCGTCAATTCTTGTTTATAATTTTTTTTGCTCAGATTATGATAATCTATTTTTGTTGGTATTATGTTCAACAACTAAGTAAAAATAATATATAATAAAATGTTAGAAAAAAACTAAATGAACCAAATATTTTTATTATTTCATTTTTATTTGACATATATTTTTATTTTAGTTTAGTTTATTATAAATTTATATACATAATATAATTTATATATTAAATAATATCGGTATATTAAATATTTAAATTTGTTTTTCTATAAATAAATATAATTTGTAAGTTTTTATCAGTTTAATGTGATATGTTTTTATACTAATTAAAAATTATTAATAGATTATAGATATAGACCCGTATTGGGTGCCGACGACTGAAGAGGAATATGCATTGTTTGGTGAGAAGAGTGACACTCAGAATAGGGGTCTTAAGTATATGAATGGAGTTCGCAAACGAAAAGGACTTCATATTCACGAAAAGATTGTCGAGTTTGCAGAAAAACAAAGAACTCTTACCAGAAATAAATAAAAATTAAATATTTTATTTGTTATCTATTTATTTAATTGTTATAATTTACAAATTTAAACATTTCATAATAAATTAACTATTTTTTTATAACTAAAACAAAAGAATTTTTAATTAAATGTTTAATGCATTTTGTCTAATATGCTATTATGTATTAGTTGTTTGAATTCAATATGACCAAGGTAAGTCTATTTACATTCATTTATCATATCAATCATCATTATTGACTGATATATTGTAATTATAATTATTCTTGAAATTAAAGTTAATGTTTGTATTATAGAATACAGTATTTTAAGTAATGACTTACATATCACTGTATTAAACAATAGTCTTTAAAATAATAATATCTTATTAAACAATTAAATATTATGTTCAGTATAACTGAATGGCAATTTATAACATAAAATAAATGTATTTATTAAACAAAAAAATTATAAATAGTTGACACAAAATCGAGAATTTTGATTATTATTAACAATTTTTTTTATTAGCAATGCCTTTAAATTCTTGGAATATTTGAGAGGAATAGAGTTCATAATTACAAGATATTTGATGTTTGATTAACGCGGAAGCCTTATATAAAAAATATTAATTTCATTAGTATTGTGTTTACTATAAAAAAAATGTTTGCATTAATATATAATATAATAAATAATATATAAATTATAATATAATTGTAAGTTTCGATTATTTATAATAATAATAGAAAAATCCAATTGTCTGTTGACTAAACATTTTTATGCAAATTCTTTGTTGAGAAAAAACATTTAAAACCAAAACAAACTGATCTCCAAAGCAACGAATGATTCATATTAATTGAAAACATTATGAAATGGATCAAAGTTTGGGTACAAGTAAGTGGTCGCGAAATTTCAGGTGATTTACCACTTTATTCTTTAGTTATATTTGGTTTAAATTTATAAGATATGTTTGGATTAACTTTGGTTTCAGTGAAGACAGTCAAAGTGAGTCCAATCGGTTGCGTCTAATTGAACGACAGCGACAGCTACTCGAAACCAAACTTCAACGACAACATCAAGTGATTGCCACCACTACCAGGCCTTCAACCGGAAGGTATAACTTTTAAAAACATTTTATGACATTTTCATCGAAAGTGTTTTAATTAATATATAAATTGAAACATTTAAGAGTTGTTAAGTCAGCACTTTCTAGTCGTCGATCTTCTGAAAGATTGATTGATTTGGAAGATCTAAATAGTGGTAATGTTGTCGGTGTGGTTAACACCGGCATATCTACAGCCGATGAATACGAGACACATCCAAATGAAACGCCGAAAAGCGGTGTCAATGGCAGTCAAAGACAACTCACAAACCAAAGTCAACCCAAAGTCCAATCGATTCAAATGGTTTCTCCACTCTCTTCGCCGAAAAGCTTATCAAATGATTCAAAATCGATAATTAATTTGAGATCAAGTTTAGAGTTAAATAAAAATTTAGTGCAAAACTTAAATATAAATTTAGACAAATCAGTGGATAATTTAGACAAAATATGTGTTAGTGGTCAACAAGAGTTGATTCAATTGAACCCTTTGAATAATATATTAACTAATGAAGAGTTGCTATTGTTTGCAACGCAACCCATTTCCCCGCAAACGACACTTCAATGTACTATAATTAGGGATAAGAAAGGTATCTAAATATTTCAAAATTTAATTACAAAATTGTTAAATACATTAATATTATCGGTAATGACAACCAATCAGGACTCGACCGTTCCTTATATCCCACGTATTACATGCATCTCCAGGGTATGTGTTTCATAAGTTTCCGATATTACCTAATTTGCTGACAAAAATAATTATTTAGCTTAAATTGTTTCCTATAATTTTATAGTAAATACACACAAACACATAAACAGTATTATTATAATTATGTGTAAGATTTAATTATAAGTTAAAAGACACAATTTATTTTTATTTCATTATAGCAATTGTTTCAAACAATGATTTAGAAAAAAACGATAAACCGATTGAACCGTCGTCTCCCAAATCAACTCTTGAATTGGAAAACTTTACAAACAATGATAGTCTGCTAAATATGATGACCACTGATACCAATAAAAGTAATGATAACACCGGTAGTCGTGGCGCTCAGACATCGTCTTCGGGTACAACTGGATACAGACAAGTATTTCTTTTATCCGGTCGTCGCCGCAAAAAGAGTAAGACATACATCATTGGCAACGATCCGTTTGATATATCTCGAGGCAATTGTATCGCTAAACTCAAATCAAATGTTTTGGGGACACAATTTACAGCAATCAGGTAATCATTTAATTATTTTATCCGTTATTTATAATTTCAATCAATAGTTTCCGTTTAAAATTTTTTGTTGTTGACTATTTTTCTCCTAAGAATTAATTCAAGCGGTCAAAGACAGGAAATTGCAACCATTATATATGTAATTATTGGATAATTATATATATAAATATTTTGTTGTATTGATATTTTGTTAATAAATATTTGAAATATTTTAGGAAACAAATGTTTTGGGATTTAAAGGCCCCCGAAGGATGACTGTTCTCATACCTAAATACGAACAGGTATTTCATACTAACTTTTAATATAATTATAATATAATATACTATTATTATGTTATTTATTATAATATCTAATTATTATGTAATATATATGTATTAAATTGTTTTTTGTTAATATATTTTTTACCGTATATTACATTATATTAATACTTTAACTTAATTTTGTTTTGATAAACAGTTAAATAATTTGAAAAATTTATCGATATTTGAGGAATGGAAACGAAATAATAGATCAATAAATCAATTGAAGAATAAGACCCCCGTTTGGAATGATGGTATAGTTTTGCAAAATTTACGATTATTTTGTTAATTTTGTTTCACTTGCTTTTTAATAAATGATTATTTTATGACTTAAGAAACCCAATCGTATGTATTGAACTTCAGAGGACGTGTCACTCAGGCGAGTGTCAAAAACTTTCAATTAGTTACTTGTAATGAAAAGGAGGACATAGTGTTGTCTACACTGACATTAAATCAGTCAAATATATCCAATGAGTCCAACACAGCCTTTGCACAGACAATCCCGACGACCCAACCATTGGGTGAAAATACAAACAGCGACTTAGTGTCGATGCAATTCGGACGGGTGTCCGCCTCCCAGTTCTCGTGTGACGTGTCGTGGCCTATGACACTGTTGCAGGCATTTGCCATTGCACTCAGCAGTTTTGATTCAAAGCTTGCCTGTGAGTGACTGACCACTCAAAAGTAATGGTGCTGACAGTCAGTCCACTATAAACTACTTATATTTTTCATTTTGTTACCAATAACTTCAATAACAATAATTATTATTACTGTTTACAGTATTATTTGGTATTTAAATTTCAATTATATCACATTTATTTAATTTTAGTTTTTAATTTATTCATAATAGACATTGTTTCTAAATAATTTAAATTATCAAAATTATAAACACTTAATTATTTTCTAATTTCCAAAAGTTTATTAATGTTTATAAAATTATAAATAATTATAATAAATTATATTAGTAAAAATTATGTTTTTTTATTTACAATGTTGAAAAATATTAAACATATGACATAATGTAAAATCAATAATTATGATTAAAATATTTTTAGAAACTTATTAAAGTTGCAGTTCAGCTGTGGCTTCTGTTACCTAAAAAAAAATATTAGTAAAATAATATTGAAATATAATTTTTATTAATATTATAGACATCAGTGAACATCAAATGTTATACAAACCATTTGAATGAGAATTTCGACTTTAAGTCTTAAAATTCTGTTTTCTTGAGTTAACAATTCATTCATTGTTTCCAATTCTTTAGTTTTATCGCTAATGTCTTTATCTTTACGATCATCCGATTGAATCCATTGACCAGATTTTGTGTCAAATGTTAGCAATTGTTTTCCTAATTCAAGTTTAATGGACTCATTGTCGGCATTAAAGTCAAGCGATTGAGACAACTCTCTGTGCAGTGACGACAATGGCTTCAGTTTACGGGACGGAAACTTCTTGTATGAAAATCGATTGGAAAACAAAGGCATTGCTTTACACAAAGTTTTTTTTTTAATTATTATTATTGAATGACAAAATTTAATAGTGTTTATATATAAATAAAAAAATATTTGTTTAATAAAATATTAAATAACATTAAAATTGAATGTCAATTACTTAATTGAACTATAGTTGTGTATTATAGTTAATATTTCATAAGCAATATAATACTGTAGTCATCGCAACCAATGTTTCAAAAATGAAAACATTTTCCAGATATATATATATAACTTAATGTACAGTATATTAAATATTATTATTATTATACAATATATGTATATAAATATATTTCGATCAATTTTCTTATAAAATATTCAACACTAGAGCACAAAAATATTTTATTTTAAATACAGTATATCTCCCATAGGTTTAGTAGTTTAAGCTACTGTAATGTATATGATTTTTTAACTGCAATTTTGTTAATAAAGTTTTGCGTATTTTTTATAGCGATTATTCTATTATATTATATAATTTAGTTAATTATTTTGCAAAACACGATTGTAATCTAAATTAAAAAATAATAGAAAATATTTAATAAAATATTAGTTAAATCTTTAGAAAATCTCAAAAATATTAGTTTAGATCTATAAATGTTTGATTGGTTTTCAATTGGTGCATGTATTATAATAATAGATTTAAAAAAATATTAATTAAAAATTCAATAAAATGTAGAGTTAATTAATTACAGTAATTTAGATTTAGTAGAAATATGTCGACATTATATCGATTTTTATATTAAGTATTTTGTATTTGTTTAATAATTGAGAAAACTTTTGAGTACATTATTTTAGGCATTATTTTTAATTATTATAAATATATTAATAATAATTATATATTGTACAATATTTATAAATTAAACACCAGTATGAGAGACTAATTAAAAATTGAATACACTAAATTATAGTGACTAGAATTTAGTAATATTTTTTTTTTAAATATTAGTGAATTTATAAAATTTCAATTTCAAAAAAATTTTATTAAATAAAAAATTCAATTTAAATTCATTTTGTGGATAAATACTCCAATAATGATATCATTTGATAAAATGTCAAAAATAATTGATGTGTTGTTACTCTAAGATATTAGTGAAAGAGTCCCACAACCGGTCATTTTTGAACCCCAAAGGCAGACAAGGCTTACTATTTGTGACTTTAAATCGACCCTTTGGTTAGTTATGTCTTAAATACCGGTTTAGTAGTCAAATGTTTTAGTTTTTAAGTGCTGTTTGTCGTATAGTTATTAGTCATACAGTATTACAATTACATACTAATACAGTATTTTTAACAATAAAATTAGTCATTTTCTAAACAATTACTTTAAACAAATTATTTAATATAGAATAAAGAAAATATATATAGTATTTGAAAAAAAATAAAACCAAAACACAAATATGTTTCGTAAATTTGCAGTTAATATAATATTAAACATAAAATATTATTTTTTTTACAAAACTATTTTCTATAATAAGTTAATCGAGAGATAATTTTGTTGATAACACTGAAGAAGAGGACACATACGGCTATAGTGAAGGTTAAGAGAGGTATACAATGTATTCATACATAAAGTTTAAGTTAACTTTCACTTTCACTTTGACTCTCTTTTAATACAATCAATGGGTTTGTGATTTGAATTTTTTGGTTAAATATTTATTTTTAAAATTCGTAACAAAAGTAATGTAATCCTTAAAGATTGCAAAAAAATAAATAATTATTATTTAGCGATGGAATCATTTTTAATGAAATTTTATCCAATAATTGAAATCAATTTAAATGTTTGCATAACTATTTTATTAACTATTTTGTTATTGTATTATATATACATTTTCATCACTTTTAATGATAAATATGTTGTAAGCATTTTTTAAAAATATTTTGAAAACGCTATTAATTAGTTATATTACTTAATATTTTTTTATAAGGATTTGAGTTATATTGAAGTAGATCCGGACCGCAAAGTGCAGTCAGATCTGCCGCCCACTTATCCAAACGGTTGGATACCAGTAATCGAGTCGAGAAATATTGGTTTGAATCAACTGAAAAATCTGAAAGCATTTGGACAACAATTGGTTGCATTCAGGAGTCAAACGGGTCGGGTATATGTGTACGACGCTTACTGTCCTCATTTAGGCGCTAATATAGGCGTCGGCGGACAGATTACTAAAGAGTGTGGACATGAGTGCATTAGATGCCCATTTCATGGCTGGGCTTTTAAAGCTGATGACGGGCTCTGTATTAAAATACCGGGAATGCAATGTTAGTTAAGTTTGCAATTATTAATTACTATAGTTTTTTAATATTTAATGTTTATCTATTAGTAAAATTATTTTAAAAAGATCCCATAATTTGTATAAATAAAATAGCAAATGAAATACCGACCGCCCGTCTCAAAACTTGGGAAACCATTGAAATAAATGCAACCGTTTTTGTTTGGTATCACTCACATGGGGTCAAACCCTATTGGTTTCCCAATGAAATACATGAGATTGAAAACAATGAGTGGATATATGAAGGAAGGACTGAACATATAGTGAAATGTCATTTTCAGGTTAGTTGTCATTAACACCAATTATATTCATTTATTTAAATTTTCTAATATATAGGAAATCCCAGAAAACGGCGCCGATTGGGCTCACATACAGGAGTTGCACACACCAGCAGTTATGGCCGGAAATGTTATCAATAGGAGTAGGTTTTATAGTCTATTGACTAAACTGTTTGGTCACGAATGGCAGTCCAAATGGTGGCCCTCATCAGCACCGGACTCACATATAGCCCACATGTCGTTAACCACAACCAACACTGTGTTTGGTTATCCCCTATTGACTATTCATTTCAATATCCGTCAAATCGGACCCGCATTTGTTGAGCTTCTGTATGAAAGCAGTGCTTTCGGAGGAATCACCGGTACTTTCATACAATTAATAACACCATTAGATGTTAATCGTAACCGAATTATTCATCAAATCTATTCTTCTCAAACATTTTGTGGCAAACTTTTGGCCAAATTTCTACTCTATGGTGAACTAAGAATGGTTTGCATCTAATTTGCACTAATTTTTGTCTAATAATAAATAATTATATTTAAAATAAATTGTGTACTCTTTTTGTCAGTTGGAAAGAGATATAATTATATGGAATAACAAGAAGTTTTTGAAAAACCCTATTATCACCAAAAATGAAAAATCATTGCTTCAGTTCAGACGTTGGTTTAACCAGTTTTACACTAAAGAAGATCCAAGAAAACAGTGGTAAACAACTATTATTGATGACTAATTTGTTGGTGTTTTTAATTTCGTTATAATTTAATAATAACAACTTGTATTTGTGTCTCATTTTTTTTAAAAAATCAATAAAATACTAATTTTCTCATATATTTAATTAAATAAAAACTTATTTTAATTATTAAAAAAGTTTTCAATTGAATTAAAAAGTGTTTACTTTTTAGTGAATGCTTTGCCATCTATTGAGTGCTTAAATGTTTGTATGTTTAGAGTCAGTGATCACAAAGTGTTGACATTTATAGTAATAAAAGACTGATTTTGTGACCACATTTGCCACCGATTGTCGACCAAAAACAATGGCCACAACTGAAGATATTTACGGCCGAAGAAAATGGGATACCGATGAATACGAAAGAAAGGCACAAAAACGACTTAAAGGTAACGACGGCTCTTCAGATGACAATCAATCGGATGGCGAAGACTCGATCCTCAAGAGTGACGCTAAAGAGACAATCGAACCGAAGAAACGCGAGAATCTGAAGCCAAGAGAATTTAAAGTGGATTTAGAGAAGTGTTTGGGAAAGACTGTTGTGATCAACAAAACGACTGCAACCTCACAGACAGGAGGTTTCTATTGTGATGTCTGTGACTGTGTGGTCAAGGATTCAATCAATTACTTGGATCACATCAATGGTAAAAAACATCAACGAAATCTTGGAATGAATATGAGAGTCAATAAATCAACGCTTGAAGACGTGAGAAGAAGGTTTCAAATGCAGAAGAAAAAGTTGGAAGAAGTGAAAAAAGAGTTTGACATCGAAGACAGGGTTAAAGAATTAAAGGAAGAAGAAGAACGACTTAAAGAGTATCAGAGAGACAAACGTAAAGAGAAAAAGAAAAAGAAGAGACACGGAGTGGATGAAGAAGATGGCAATCAATCGGAAACCGACGAAATGGCAAAACTTATGGGTTTTTCGAAATTTTCGAACTCAAAGAAAAAATAATCACTAATTGAATCCATTATTTGAATTCATAATTTACTGTAAATACTTATCGCTAATAAAATATACTGTACTTTAAAATCAAATAAATATTTAATGACAAACCACGCGATAATTGATTATTATTATTGAAAAATCTTATATAAATATTTAGAATTGATTTGAATATCGAAAGTCTTACAAATGATTTTAAAATACAAATAATTTTTATTACGAAAATGACTTCAATTATCAAATTTATTATTATTTTGGTCTCATTTGCTGTTATTCAATGCAATCCTTGCGATAAAATATCGGTGAACGCGATAACCAATTTGTATAACAAGACAATAGTTATATTTGAAAGGGAAAACGTTTGGTTTTTCGATAGAGAACAACAATTGAGTGGTCCGTGTCCTCTGAGTTTGGTTTATAAGGACGGATTAGTCGAATCGGTAGACGCGGCGGTCACTATTAATGACCATCAATTGATTGCTGATTTTATCGGTTCGGGCGTGTATTTCGTGAACGATAAGTATTACACTTACAAAAATCTGAACCCATATGTTGTTGAATGGGGTTCTCTCGTATATCTTCCACATAAAGGAGAGCTTCGAAAAGTGGCCGAACAGTCAACCGAAGCTCAATCAGTGGTTAAAAAGTCTAAACTTATTGCCGCATATTATGATCCGACCGATAATCACACCAAACTTGTCTTTACCGACGAAACGATTCTTAGCTTTGGCTTTGAATTTGGTATTGAATACGAATCGCCAGTCATAACAAACTTGACTTACGAACTGAAAAGATTTAATGTCGACTCCAATCTGACTACTATTACGGCGGCATTCACTTTGAAAACCGGTCGGACATCTAAATTATATTTGTTTTCAAATAACAATTTCTGTGAGATTGATATGAATGCTTACAAACATCAAAAGTGTGTCCCGAAACACATCAATGAATTTATTGAATGCGACAAAATTACCACAAATACGTGTCCCATATCACAACAGTCGGCAGATAAACCAATTGATGTTTCGGCTAATAAAGACAATAAAAATAAAGGCGAAGGCATTAAAATTTTATCCAAAAGTGATGAACAAACGCAAGTTAAGGACAATAAGACAACTGATGGCACAAATGTTGGCAAAAATTCTTCGACGAATGTCTTGCAATACTTTTCCTTACTTTTGATTTATTTATTATCTCTTTTTATTATTAATATGTAATTTTATTTTATTATATTATATTATTTGTTATTATATTAATAATTGTTTAGCATTTATGGTAAAATTTCTATTAGTTTTCTTTATATTTTCTCCCATTAATTCTCAGAAATGTATTAAAATTTTAGTTTTATTATACAAATGTTGAAATAAATTCTATAAAATGTTTTGTAATAAAACATTTAAATATTTACTTAAAGACTTAACTTTTCTACAAAAGATTTGCTTTTAAATATATTTTCAAAGTTTAATATCCATTAGATCCCAACCCCTCTATTGATTACGTGATATACATTAACTTACAGGTAAAGTAAGCACAGGTGTGTTTGTGTAGTGCTGTGCTCTAGTAGTACTCTATTATGGATTGGGAACGGGTGTGTCTGCAGGTGTCAGCTAATGATCTCTGAATAAGAAGTGCCACCAAAACAAAGCCGAAATAATGGCGCTATTGGTTAGGTGTTGGGCGCCGTGCTTTCGGCTTAACTCGGGTTTCGCTACTCTGAGGAATGGATCCATCATAATAGCACTTTACTGTGCATTTCTTCATATTTTAATCTTATTTTATTCGTTATACATACTGATGGGCGGACAGAGCGATACATTTTATTCACCACTATTTGAGTTCAACCGCTACGGCATGAATGTGGCCTCCATTTTGCTCGTCATCTTCAGTATATCATACATATTCTTCTGTTGCTTTGGTCTGATTCACGGCATTAAGACAGTCAGTATACATGTTTCTAAGATTTTTAAAAAAACTTATTAATACTATTATCGTATTATTAACAAAATTTGAAGGAAACCCGATTTTATTACCTGCCATTCCTCTACATCACATTACTCGAGATACTACTTGTGGTCTCATTTGCCATATTTATGGTCTATCGTTACTATCATAATGTTTGTATAATATATAATAATAACTTTTTGCAATCAATTTTTTCTAAATATAAATTAATTAACATTATTATTATTATTATGCATTTATATGTAGGAATGGGCAACATTTGCAGCACTCATAATGTGGTCATTCTCTGGATATCACTTTTATCTATATCTTGTGGTCACTTCTCTATACTATGAAGTAAAAAATTTACAAAAACCGACATTTATTGTATTGTATCCATAAGTCAATGTCCATACAATCAATCAGTCGCTAAACAAAACACATATTTTGAATTTATTATACAAAATGTCAAAATGCATAATAATCTCACTAATAGTTTTAATTTTAATATAGTTTTATTTACAATTTTATGTTTTATAAATCAATTATCTGATTTTGCAGTTGTCTATAATTTTTATAAGTCATCCATTGATTTTTTATACAGTATATATATATATATACAGATACATATTAATTTTAAAATTATAATTAAGACATAAAGCTCAATATACGATTTTATTTTTAGCTAATTTAATCAAATTTAGTAAAAATTATAACAATTTAAAATTGTAATTTACAATATATTTCTCATAGTTAAATTAAGTTGTAAACTTATAATTTCTATTAATACCTTAAAACATAAAACAATTAATATTAGCTAATTTTTAAATACAAAATTGTAACATTGATTGGCCATTAGTTATTAATATACCAGTGATCCAAGTAAATGAAAAATAGTTAATCAAAATTTTGTATCTTTTAAAATTTTCAACAAATGACAATCACAACAAACATAAATTTAAATTATATTAAATATTTATCAATATTATAAAACATTTATATATTTTTATACAGAGGTTTACCTAATATTTACACCTAATATAATATAACTTAGTTTACAAAATATTTATATATTTAAGTTCATAATCACTTAATTTTTGTTATTTATATAATACCACATAAATATAAGTTATATAAAATAATCATAAATATAAATAAGTAACTTTTGAATTATTGTAATTTTCTAATTTTTAAAAATCTCATTTTTATTAAATATAAATATTTATATAAAAGTAAATAATGTAAATTATTTATAAAAATTTTAAATAAAATATTTTTTATTAATAAAAATAAAATCATAAACTATAAATATTAAACATATTTATTAAAAAGTTAAGAAAGCTGAAAAATTAAAATAACCATACAATGTATTGTAATGTAATGTTTTGTTTTAGTCAAATAATATACAGTATGAAAAAGCAAATTTTGTTAGCATCAACGAAATCAAGTTAATTATAACATTTATAATATTGATAAATTGATACATTTAAAAAAACTTAATTATGAAAATTTATATTTGCTTTATATTAACATGTTATCAAAAAAAAAAAATAAATTTAATATACAGTTATCATATTAATTAAAACTATAATAACACATAAATCTTATAATAAATTAGATATATATAACATATATATAATAAGTTTTTAATGCATTAGAATAAATGAGATTTTTTATTTTAATTGAAGCAAATAATTAAAGCAAATTACACAAATTTTATTTTATTTATCTGTAAACTCTTATTTAAGTTATTTATTATATAATTATTTAATTAATTAAATTAGTTATAAAAATTATATTGAAGAGCAGCCAATTGAGATAAAATGCAGATAATAATGACAAAAATCTATTAAAAATTACTCACCTGTGAATAACTTTAACCATATATTGACTGTAATTTTGATCATAATTTTTTACAGTAAAAATACGATAATTACATGTTTATTGAGTAAAATCAAGATATATTGTATATATAATACATGTAGTATTGAATAGAAGAAAGTGATTGAGTAGTGACTGTATTATTATAAACAGTGTTTCCCAGAAATTGCCGGTTTATTACATGGTTTGGTAATAGTGTTTAGACTATAACATTAAAATTGCTTATAATTGAGTCAAAAATAATAGGACCTATATTAACAATATTAACATTTAATATTACACCTATTAAATGGATATTTAATGCTGTATTTAATTTACATTTATATTATAATTTCTAAGAAACCATTTTTTTTGTTGGTTGGTGCCAAATATAAGAAAATTTTAGAAAAAATAATTATAGAAGTTAACCTAGATTAAATGATAAAAACATCTATTATTAACATTATAAATATGATATACTTTAGTAGTTTATTTGTTGTTAGTTTTAAAAATGTTGCAGTTATTTGCAATAAACTTATACCCCATAACCAACAACAAATGGTGCCTTAAAAAACACGAACCAAACCTATGTCATGCATTTTATAAGCAAAGTTAGACCCCCTATAAGGGTTCAACACAACCATCCCTTGAAATGCCTGAACTTATTTGGGATGCAAAACAAAATCTCTGAAACACAAGCAATGAAATAGCCAGCAGTCAACTGAATGTACAGTATATCACAATTAATTGCAAACCACTTGACTCTGCCCTACAGTCACTTCCATAGTATTGGTTCACTCACTATAGGACTTGTTTTTCCTGAGAGAGAGAGAGAGAGAGAGAGAGAGAGAGAGAGAGAGAGAGAGAGAGAGAGAGAGAGAGAGAGAGAGATCTTTTCATCATTTATTCAGTTTTTTGTTTAAAAAGTATTTTCCCGTAAAAGTATAAAATCTCAAACATTTTTAGCCAGAAGTTTGTCTCTCATTTTCAATGCATAGCCTTTTAGTTAGCAAATGAATTTCAGGTAGTCTTGAGAATCAATTTTAAAGCTCATTATATTTCAACATTTTTTTCATTCAAATAAATAATAAATAACAACAAATTGTCAAACATTTTGTTAAATAAAATACTGAAATATACTGAACATCTATAAAGCATTTGAAGCAAATATTTACTCAATTCTTATAATCATTATTTGCAAAAAAATAAAATTTCAATTTTTATTATTAAATATTTATACAGTAATAAAATGCGAGACAATAGTACAGTATAATAGATGTTTCACTGTTAGATCCGACCGTTTTGTTAGGCCATTGATATTGTCAGATGAGATACATAGAAAAATACTGTGATATTTTTCATACAAAAGAGTGGTCCGTAAAGGGTCTTAAAGTTAAGCTCATAGGCTTAAAGTCGGCAGAAAAAGCATTCAATGGTGTTGTTTGACATACTTTGCAATTCATGAGAAACTATTTCCAAGAATTTACATACATTTTCCACTAAAAACTTCACCAAAGATTATAAGTTATAACCCTTTTTTCAATGGGATAAGTCATATGTATATACAGTAGAAATATATATATAAGTATTTTTAACTATAATCTGAACACCAAGAGAGAGAGAGAGAGAGAGAGAGAGAGAGAGAGAGAGAGAGAGAGAGAGAGAGAGAGAGAGAGAGAGAGAGAGTCCTAACTATTTTGAATGTTGTGTGAAATTATATCAAATAAAATAAAATAGAAAAACAAATAAAAGAGAATCATTTGAGAGAAACGAGACGTCTTGTTGTTTCATCTTTTATTTTATATAATATATAAAACATAATATTTGACGCTTTTTTAAAAAAGATATTAAATATTTAAAACTCGTCTTAAAAAATATTTTGCTGCAAAGTTTTCTTTGTTTTAATCTTTTTAAAATATTATAATACTAATAATAAAAAATATTTTATTTAAGATTTTTGACATCCGGTTAACAAAAAAGTAAATGAAAAGATTTTCATAAAAAATATTTAAATATAACTTATAAGGTATGATATGTACATAACATAACTTATCAAATAATTTCTGTATATATTATAAGTGGATTAACGCATAGACATAGCATTGCATAAAATGCATAAAATATTCATTTAGTGAATATATAAGAGATTCGTAATATTTGATTTGTTGAAGTTTTTATGTTTAATTTAATATATTATTTATTTATTTGGACTAACAATTGTAATACTCGTGTAAAACTGGTTCCCAATAATAATAAAGTGCCTCAAAAAACAACAGCAAAATATATACACCGAATAATAAGCTCTATGTTTGTTGTGTTCATAAGTTTTCTATTATCACAATCTATGTAAGCATTCATAGAGTATATCATGAAAATAGCGTTTAGTTTGAAAATACTTATACAGGAATAGTATATACAGTACTATACTATATATTCTGTGTTTAGTGTTAGTAAACGTTTGAGTGTTTGTCTGTTTTCAACATTCACCACATCTACAGTTCTTACCTCTCTCTCTCTCTTTCTCTCTCTCTCTCTCTCTCTCTCTCTCTCACACACACACACACACACACACACACACACATACACACACATACAACACACACACACACACACACACATACATACATACACACACACACACACACACACATACAAACACACACATAAATACATACACATACATAAACACACACACACATACACACACACACACACACACACACACACACACACACACACACATATATATATATATATATATATATATATATATATATACAACACACACCTCACTCACTCACTTACTTACTCTCTTAAAAGTAATACTCTTTTGTTAGTAGCGATCATTGAATTTAGTTATAAATTGTTTAACGCCTGAGGCATCAGATGCTAACTTGTTATGCAAATGAGGGTTTGGTTGGGACGGAACTATTGCTTTGATCGACAAAATCTTTTGCTTTTTGTCTATCATATACTGGAGAGAGAGAGAGAGAGAGAGAGAGAGAGAGAGAGAGAGAGAGAGAGAGACTACACTTTGCAAAATCTGAATGTTAACGTCAAAAACAACATCTTTTTACTCAAAATTATAAATATTTTATTCGTTAAGAATAAAAATGTGATTTTTCTTTTTGATTATTATTTTTTTCTATCTCTTTAAACAAATGTTGTCTTTGAACTTATTTTTCATAAATGTTTTTTGTTGTTAGTTTTAGTTTGTTTGTTAGATTGAAGTCACTTTGTATATAATATAATATTAAATAGCGTTCAAAATCATAATTAATTAGTTAATTACTTTAGAAATAATTAATATAATTCTAGAAAAAAATATAGTAATACATAACTTACATTATATCAGATATTTTTGGTATTTATTTCTTGAAAAAATATAGTTTTTGTAATTTTAATTATTTTATAAATCAAAAGATTAATCCAAAAGTTGTTTGAAAAGAGAAAAATGTTTAGCAATTATTATATTTCATAAATGACTTTTTTCTTTGATGAACAAAATAATTGCAGACTTAAGTTAATTTCCATTTTGTTGTCCAATAAAAACTATAACAAGCATATAGTCAATAGCTGTTTAATCAAGTGAGGAGGGGTCGGGTCAGGGGCTCAGGTGTTCTCACATATTCTTATATTATCTCCGGTATGTTATGTGTTACAGCTATAAATAATAGTGTTTGCACATAATAACAACAAAATATTTTTTTTTTTTGAAAAATGTGTTTGCCTTTTGTCTAAAACAATTTTTTTTAATTAACTGCTTAACCAACGGGAAAAGCGATTAGCCATTGATTGGTATTTGCATTAAATAAATCATAAAATATTCAGACAGTGTCTCATATATTCGTTAATATTTATATATATATTCTTTATATAGTACTGTATTAGCATTTTTTAGAGAATGTGACAAATCATTACAAATGAAATATTGTTAACAATAATTATTTTAATTTTGAATTTATTAAACTCTTATAATAGAAATTGTTGCGCTCACTACTACTTGATTGGAGGTAATAAATAGAGGAACGTTAGTTTTGTCTGTATGTCTGTTTTTTGATGGCCTGACTCTTGGTTGGACTGGCGTTCACATTAGCATTTGCTTTGGCAAAGTTTGGTATATACAGTGGATGTATAACTTATAAGTTATAACAGGTATACAATATTTTTAGGTATAAACAGTATATTTGAGGTACAGATTTGAAGCACTGGTAGAGAGGCTTTTGGCAGAGACCAGGCATTGGGCTCTTCTCATCTCTCTCTCTCTCTCTCTCTCTCTCTCTCTCTCACACACACACACACACACACACACACACACATCAGTGGGCTCTTTGGCTATGTATGAGAGCTAACATTCCACAGAACAGGTTTGACTGATCACTGAAACACCAGAACAGGCTATGAGTTTGAGAGCTAAACCTTAGGGGAGAGGGAGGCGACCAGTCTTAGTGAACAAAAGTGAATTTAAAAGTTTATTTTGTAATCCCTGAAGCCCTGCAATGGATAATATGTCAAAGACAGCCAAAGAAGGTTGCATTTTGAAGGCACAGCTCATTGCAATTGTATGCACTTCTCGGCAACCAATTATACACCAATTGTTTTCATCCAATTTATATTGAGTGTGCAAACTGTCCTCAATTATAGTGTGTTTCTCAAATGTGTGTCCACTAAATGTCCATTTATTTGTTTTATGAAAAGTTTATTTTAAATTTTTTTTATATTTCGCATTATATTTCTTTTATAATATCAATCAATTTATTTTTGGACTCATGATTCAGATCAACCGGTTTTAAAAAAAATATTTTTGATTAAAGGAAATGTTAATTAAACCAAACAAATGTACACTAATTTAATAATTAATATATTTTTAAAAACATCGACCAAATAATAATTGTCACATTGAAAACATGAGTATCAAAACAGTGGTATTCAATGGCAAAGTGTTGCCCAAATTGTTTGCTGTATTGGCTCTAAGCTTACAGTGCGTGTGCATCAACACCAGCATCTCTGCCACAACCACTTCCAATGATATCTTCTATTTTGAAGTCAAAGAAAACTCACCACCGAATACATTCGTCGGCAAAATAGCAACTAAGAGTGGTTTCACCTATCGGTTCAATGAAGATCCGGCAGAATTTGCTTTGGATCCAAAAAGTGGTGTCATTGTGACCACTCAGGTGCCCACAGATAGGGAGACGAAAAACTTTTATAATTTAGTCATATTGTCTTCATCACCAATATATCCATTAGAAGTTAAAATAAAAATAATTGACGTCAATGACAACACACCTCATTGGCCATCATATATAAACACTAATTTATCGTTTAGTGAATCAGCACCGATAGGTACTAAAGTGATCTTAGATACAGCCATTGACCCCGACGAGGGGTATCTCAGATATCAAATCAATGACAACAATCGTAATATTTATAACACAAATGCAATGCCATTCAAACTTAATTATAACACTTCCAGTGCTTTCCTTCATCTCGAAGTCTCTGATGTCTTGGACAGAGAAACTCAAAGCACTTATGTGGTCAACATCTCAGCTATAGATTCAGGACTTAAATCCAGTTCTGTTTTATTTAATGTCAAAATTTTGGACTCCAACGACAATCCGCCAATTTTCGATCACTCAGACTATAGCGTAAGTCTTAACGAAAGTGTTGGCAAAGATGTATCCATTCTTCAAGTTAGAGCCACAGACGCTGATGAAGAGGGCAATGATAATAGTCGTATCAGTTATTATCTTCTGTCAAACGAGTTCTTCTACATTGATCCTAATACTGGAATCATATTTACAGCACAGGAGGGACCTATAAATTGCGGTACAGTTACCGCTGAGGACAACGATGACTATTCTAGAGTGTGTGTATTTACTGTGTTTGCTCACGACTACGGTACCCCTCGACAGGACGGCCGGACATATGTAACGGCAAAAATTCAAGGCTCTAACAATCACTCGCCGGTAATTAAGTTCCGCTATTTTTCAGGTTCAGATCAGGTCATTGTTGATGAAAGTGCCGCAAATGGTAGTGTTGTTGCGGCCGTTTCGGTAGTCGACTTGGATCACGGCTTAAATGGTATGACTACTCTAGATATAGCTAATGGCGACGAGTTGGGCCATTTCAGACTGGACTCAATTGGCAATTCACATATAATTAGAGTAAATGGTACGTTGGATAGGGAGAAGGCTTCGAGCTATAACCTGACTATAAGGGCCTACGATAAGGGCACTCCAATAAGGAGTTCCAGTGCTTATCTTAATATTATTGTTTATGAAAGTAATGAAACGTCATCTAAATTTAGTGCCATTCAATTAAAGTCAATCGGTGTTATACTTGTAATCACATTCTTCATTATCTTAATTTTGGTGATATCTACAAGTTTTCTCATATTCCACAATCAGAAGAAGAATCACCTGAGAGAATGTAATACAAGTCAACGTAAAATGACGGCCACTATTAAGCCATATTTATCTGCAACACCGTCTCCGCCGTCTACTTTGGCTCCACAGCTGCCACCGCCACCACAATTGCCATCACTACCAATAGCACAACAACCATCACTACCTACTCAAACATCATCGCCAACCCATAACATGCCCACCCGGTTGCCCACCAAACAACCGGATGTCGTGTCGCCAATAGCTGTGCCCCCAACCGAAGTCCTTCGACCGGTTCCACCAGCCGTTCCCAATTCAATCATTCACTCGCATTCAGACAATTATAATGACAGTTACAGTAATATATTGGCAAATGGGGAACACTATGACTTGGAAAACATGTCGAGTATCGCGCCGTCGGATATCGATATTGTATACCATTATAAAGGCTTTCGGAATCGAGACTCTCAGCCCTTACATCACAGACACGCACCGTTGGCTCGACTCAGTCCATCTGTTAGTGAATTATCTTCAATGCCCAGAATCTTAACATTACAAGATCTGAGTCCACCTCAAGTGCCTCCCTGTCCTCCTCCAGTCAATACACGGACGGGCAAAGCAAAGCCAAGTGATAAACACAATAAAGAAGATAATAATGAAGAAGAAGATGACGACAACAATACGGATGACTCGTTCACGTGCTCTGAATTCAATGAAAACTATGAACTCAACAAAAAAGATAAAAACATGATTTTTCAAAGGGTTTGGTAGTTGATGTCATGCCTTATACCTGTATTATATGAGTTATGATACCAACAAACTATTAAACATTTTCTTTGAATATTTAATTAATTTATGCCATAATTTGTTTCTAGTCTACAATCACATCAATAATATATTATTATATAAAGTAATTAATTATTATTTTTATATTATTATTATGCATAAAATCATAATTAAATTCACTCAACGATTATTAATGTTATATCACAATCTTCTCAAACATATTTGAGTGCCAATTGTTTTTTATATATATATTATATAATGATTTTATATAAGCTTTTGAAATTCATTCAATTTTATCTTATTGTAAATTTCTTGATAAAAAACAATAGAAAAACTGTAATTTTCTTAAATATTTAGTGTAAATATGTTTTTATTTATTTCATTGTTAAGTAATGGTAGTTCATAATCATTTAAAATTATTAAGTATTAAAATAAATAAAAATAAAATTAATTTATGACTTTTTCAAAGATTACTTATTTGCAAACAATTAAACGTTTGAGACGGTAGTGATGACCAGCCATAGGATGGGAGGAGTTGACAATATAGTTAAAAATAAGTAATTCTTTAAATACAAATGATTTAAAACAAGATGAGACAAGTCTTAGGTCTGAAAATATAAAGCATTTAGTTATTTGTCTATTAATAAAACATCGGAAAAAAAGAGAAGGACTCCACCCATACATGAGTTAACACTTCATCCTTAGACACATCTCTTAGTATTTTTCAATGTTTGGGTCGAAAGGTTATCTAAGCCTTGATTACAATTTTCCAGATATAAGCCGTCACTCATAAACAAGTATATAAAACTCATACACAATCACCTAATATCACTCGTATAATATCAATGTTGTTACTACACTATAAACTATTATAAAACTAATAATATATACTATACTATATATAGATCAAAGTTGTATCTAACAAAGGGCTATACTATATAAAAAAATATAATTAATTATTATGTGTTTGCAATGTACTGTATATTTTTCAGTCATATAAGCGATTCTCGTTTCAGATAAATTTTATCCAACAAAAAAACAACTAAAAATTGCTGCAAATTTGTATTCAAAATATGGCTAAAAAACAAATTAAAAACGGCATTTAAAAAGCTTGAATTGTAATCACAATTATGTGTAAACAGTGAGCGCTATCTCAACACTTGAAGAGAGACTGAGTTTGCATTTCTAATCTCAAGTGAAGGTAATGACCACTAAATGAAAACATCTTTAATGAAACACTATTTTATTCCTCAAACACTATACTACAGCCATAGGTATATATTTAGTAGTTATGCTGTAATACAGGTATTATAAGTTATTTAGTAAAGTTTCACAAACTCTACTGTACTTAACATTAATAAGTGTTGCAAATATTGCCTAACCTATGCTTTACGTTAGGGATTCAACTTTTCTTCAAATTGTATGTCTCCTGTCCTGTCCTGTCCTATACTGTAAATACTTGTTATCATCTTTTAAATGTGAAAATTTATCCATAATTTTAATTATTTTATATCTAATTTATTCTCTATTTTATTTCTTATAAATAAATTTTAGTTATTTGGTTTGCTATTTGAAATACTAATTTACAACATATTAGCATATTATTAGCTATGCTCTAAATCTATTATACTGTACTTTATAATTATAATTGAAAGCAAACTAAAAGGTTACATACTATTATGCCATACATAACACCGTTAGATAAATATGTTTGTTATATGTAATCTTTACTTTTAGAAAATTATGGATGAATATAAAGTTTATGTATAATAGAGAATCTCTATTAGGGATTACATTACAACAGGGCAGTCGTGTTATCATATTTTTATCACACCTGTCCTGTGTATATCCTGTCCCGTCCCGTTGGTTTTTAATTTATCCCATTTAAAAGTATCTGTGGTGACAGGATAAACATTTAACTACTATAATCTCTAAAAATGTTATAACGTTTTTTAGTGCATATTTAGTCTCTCATCTCAGCTTTAAATACAATAATTGACTAAATAATTAAAAGCCAAAGTAATAAATGACAAAAACATATTTTATGGAAAACCTTGTGTCAAATAGGACTTTCCATTTTATATATACGATATACCGTATAAGTTAAATAATTTATCAAACAATATAGTTTATAAGTACCTGTATATAGTGTACATCAGTTTGTCGACCCAATCATATAAAAAAGATTTAAATTTTAACATTACTTAAAATTCATGTGAGATTGAGAACAAAATAAAAATAGAGATTAAATTAAATTTTTTTTAATTGTTTACAGACAAAAAATTTATACTGGTTTTATAGAAAAACTATACTTTTAATATATATATAACCTTGGTCTGTTATAACATTTATGAAATATTGCTGTCTTTTAATTATTATAACATTTTTTCTGTGTAAAAATAAATTAAATTTGATTTAAAGTCATAAAATGTTTTTATACACCTACTTAAAAATGTAGTATTTAATATTCATAGAATTTAACCACTATTCATCATTTATCATTTTGAAAATAATATAATAAATTAAATGAAAACAACATGATATAAATTCACAATTTTGTTTTTAAATATATTTTTTAAAAAGTATTAAAAGTGCAATCTTATTGAATCAATCAATTGAATTCAATTTAATTAAAAAATTTTATAATTCATGTGTTATCAAATGTAAACCGATTCTTGAATAATATGTTTAATAATTTATATTTTTTCAATTAAACAACTATAATATTATTAATAAAAAATTATATTAAAAACTTATGATCACGTATTATATAAGTGAATAATCATTAGTTTTAATATTAAATTTAATGAATAGATTATTTATAGATTTTTAAAAATGATCATAACTTTAAATAACATAAACGGTACTAAAAATAATCATCTTTTTTGAGAAATTACAGTATTTGAAAATAAAATTGTATAATGATTTATATACAGAATAATTATTGTATTGATTACTTTTTTATTTAAATTTTTATTAGAAAACAATTTCAAAAAGTTTAATAGTTTTGTTTGATTTAATATATATATCATATTTTCTAAACTCAATTTAATCCAAATTAAAATTAAGCTTAATATAAATTTCGGTATTAATTATTATCTATAAGTAATTTATTCATTAAATATCTATTAAGAGACAAAATCATCAATTTTTATACACATTTTTCTCATCAATAAAATAATTAAAAATATTAATATTATATAAAATGTATGTCTAAATTTAACTATTGATTATCATAATTGAATTTAGTCACTAATAAATATCAGCACAAAATCATTTACAAACAAACAAAAAATTAATACATTTTATTATACGATTGTTTTATCATATAATATATAGTATGAAAGCAATCGTATAATAAAATGTATTAATTTGTTTGTCTGTAAATGATTTGTGCTTTTATTAATACCACACATAAACTCTTTTATATTAATACTGTACAACAGTGTACAGTATATTACAATAGAGTATAATTTATAGCAAATTTATAATAATTATAATACTTGAATAAAATAAATATAAAAAATAAAATAAAAATATTTAGACCTATAATTACAATCAAATCATTTAAATATATTTTTACTAATTTTATAAATCACTTACAAATAAATTTAAATTTATTTATTAATAGATTATAAGTTGACGTTATTTATGTATTTTGTTGTAACAATTTTTGACTGTAAATGTAATGAATCATATGTTTTGATATTTAATATTTTGGTTTTAAATCATATGATATAAACATTTGGACATTGATTTCAATTGTTCATCAAATTATGTGATGAAAGATATGTCGACCAAAACAAGTGGTAAACGAATTGTTTATTGTTTTGTAAATTATTGAAGAATTAAAAAAATAATTGTTTTTTCAGATGACATAAAATTGGATAAAAAGAAGAAAAAGGCTTTTTTGAAGACAAAGAAGTCGCGAATTATTGTCAGAAATCTGTCGTTTAAAGCAAATGAAGACATTCTTCGCAAAGAGTTTAAGAAATTCGGAGAAATTCTTGAGATTCAAATCCCAAAGAAATCGGACGGAAAAATGCTTGGATTTGCTTTTGTCGGATTTGCGACCATCAAGAGTGCACTTCTGGCCATCAAAGGTATGAACGCTAAACAAATCGTCGGCCGACCCGTTGCTGTCGACTTTGCTGTCGCTAAGAAGCGGTTCCAAAGTCAGCACAAGAAAGAGGAATCAACTGATGATAATAATAATAATAACGGTAAGGATTGAAAGCAATGACATCTCGTGGCCATCACTGACACAAATCTCATGTCAATAATTGTTTGGACATTAAATTAAAAACATTCAAAACAAACACATTATTATTACAGTAACACAAAAGCTATCAATTTGTGTGACATTTGTTTGTATTGTTAATCATTTGATTCATTTGTTTAAAAATAGTTGTTTTTATCATTTAAAAAATTAATAAAAAATTAATAAAAAATTAATAAAATAAATAATTTATATTTAATCGATTGAATATATTTTTGTTTTGCAACAAAAAGTCAACAAAATAAGTATATTATATAAAGATTTTATTTGAATTAGTGTTGAATTGAATGATAACTATTGAAAACTCAATGGATTTAACCGTTTTGGTCATCGGTTTACGTAATCATCAAATATCAAGCATTGAATGCTTTTTCAAAATTCAAATCCAATGTAAATAATATTTTATTATTTAATCCCATTTTCTCTCATCTTTTATTAATTTATAATTTAATTGATAATCAAAATAATTTTAATAACAATAATAATTGATATGATTATCATATGATATCATATATAAAACTATAAAATATAGAAAAATAATAAAATAATTGATAAAAATAGCAAACATTTTGAACATTACTTTTACTTAACGTTATTAATGTTTGTGTATTAATCACTCGTATATATCGTTAATACAGTGATTATAATAGAAGACAATTGTGTTTGAATTGACTCTACATTTACTTTAAGAGTTTATATTGAATTTGTTGTCATTTATATAGTGTTTTAATGTTACGTTATATATGAATGTTATAATATATATGACATGAATTGTTTCATAAGTTTATTGAATAGAAAATAGAGTTTTGTTTTTGAAATTATTGTCCGAAAGTGTTGTTAAAATTGATTGACAAAAACTATCACTTTATTTGATCCACACATGGATTTTAATGCAAAAACTAATGTAAATCAGGCTTTAAGTCATAAAAATGCAACCAAAAGATTGAAAGTTAATGATTTGCACACAAATGGCGACCTAACGGTTATCTCGGGACCAGTTAGTGGACAATCAAATGATGATATATGCAGTCCATCGAAGTCCAAAAGTGGTAAACAATTTGTGGTTAATGATGAAGACATGAGAGCAAAGTTTGATTATTTTATGAGCAATATTAATAAGTATGAAAATAGTGGTCGTTTGGAGATCATTGATATCGAGGATGACTTACCAAATGATTGTAAAACGTTTAAAGATGAAGATCTAATGACACCAATTTGTAAAAGAAGTTTAAGTCAAGTATCAGATGTCGATTGCGAAGATTTCAATGATTATGAATTGAAATCAATGGCACAAAATAAGATACGAAATGGTTTTACTGATGAAGAAAATAAACGGATTAAAATGTCTTTGGACTCAATATCTGACTTAAAAGACATAGATTTGGATCACATCTGTTATCTGGTGAATGAATGGTCGGATTCATTGAAAGACATTTGTTTTAATGACAAGAATCCTTCATTATATAAAAAATTGTTTAATAAAAATGGATTCATTGGTGTTATGACACAATTGAAATGTTCAGTTCATTTGAGAAAAAGACAACAAATTTATTTAATGGGTTCTTTGGATGGACTTATCGGACAATTATCTCTAAAGAGTTTCATATATTCTGTATTATTTGCTGAATGTTTGGTCAAAATACTTGTTAGAGTCAAGAAAGTCACTTATAAACAGGCATTGGATTTAGTAAATCCATTAATTTAAGTTTTAATACTTAACTGTAATATAAGTAAAATAGTATTTAAATTGATTCAAATGTTTACTATTTTAATTTTATTTAAAGATTTGTTTTCTATAATTTTGAGTTTTTTTTATCAATTTGAATACATATGAAATTTATTAATCAATTGTCCACTTTATATAATAATTATTTAAACTATTATATAAATTTGCTTAAACTATTGTAGATAAAGTTATCTTCAATTTCTATTTATTAATAAATTAAAAAATATTTTTGTTTATTATTATTATTTTTATAAAATATTTAGCATTTAGTTTAAGTCAACAGCAAGATGTGCGACAAAGTCTTAGTGGAGATCAAAGAAGAGTACAGAATCAATGTCTTTATAACGGATGGAAAGAAGTGTTCGCTAAACTAAATAATGTTATTTCAGTCAATATTAAAGACAAAAACGGTCGACAGTTTGGCCATCAATTGGCACGACTTGGTCTTCAAGCGTGTAATCAATTATTAGATGTTGTGATGGATAGTGAATATGATATCGAAGTGATTCAATACAAAGATTTATTTACACAACTTTTTATTGACTGTATTTGTCTGATACGACAGTCTATCAAAATATTTGGTGACAATATAAGCGATGATTTAATATTAAATGACAGCAAAGAAGATATCAGTGAATTTAAATTTAGTAAGAAATGTACGAAAAGTGATGTCCATCACGTGTTGACACAAGCAGTTCATTCAAATAGTCTTGTTTTGGGCCAACATTGGCTCAAAAAGTACAAACACGTTGACATAAGTTGGCCACAAATTGTTAAGCATGTGATTAGTATAGGCGTTGAATTCATCAAAAGTAAAAACTTTGATGACTTGAATAAAATATTGTGTCAATTGGGCATTGAATTCAATGATCTGACAGTTGGAAGCAATGCTTGTCAAAGAGTACTTCTTTACTATAAAATTTCTTGTGTATGTCTTCTTCTTAATTTTTATTTAATCAATAATTAATTGATATATGTATTAATAATTAATTAATTAAAATTTATAGATATTAGGTCGAGACTATTTAGATATTGAAGGCTCGGAAACCAATGACTTACAACTATTGAAATCATTGATATTATTTCCATCAAAAGATAGTAATGCCTTGTCTTTAGCCAAAGAGTTAATCGCCATAAATGATATCACTGACGATGATATCGCTTCAATCATTAGTTTTGAAATAATGTTAAAATTGAAGAACGAATCGGAAGAATTTGAAAAATCAAAAGATTCTTCATATAGTAATCTAATGGAATTGAGTTCAAGTTTCTTATCAATGATTAGATTATTAAACGACACGACTGTTTTGGGAACAAAATTGTTATCAGAAACTGAATCATTACAAACTGATCCGATAAACAATTTTGTTTTAACTAAACTTTATATTAAAGCTCACGAATGCTTTACTAATGAATGCGATGTCAAAGGCATAGCATTGGTACTCAGGAAGACCCGGATATTTATAACACAAAGTTTATTGCCATTAAAAGACTTCGATTCAATTCTCAGATTAATGACAGGAATCGGCAGATATTCTGAAATGACTTATTGTTTTGATTTGTTCAGAGAGAACAATCAGTTTGAGTTACTTCTCAGCAAACGTATTGAAAAGGTATTTATAAATACTAATTAAATGATTTTTAAAAATAAAATTAATAATTATTTGATGAATAGGCGCCACAATTGAGAATAGCATTATTGGATTATTTGAAAGGAGATAAAGAAGTTTTTCCATTAGTGGCACTTCGGTTCTGTCTGTTTCGTGAAATCGCCGAAAATCATGAGATGTCAGCCAAAAAACAGTTCAATCAATTGAAACATAAATTAGGCACAAATCTCTTGAGTTATGGGGATCAATTGGAAACCATTATGTATGAGTTAATTGACGCTCACGAGTGCTTTTCAAAGGCCGGTTGTCATTCACAGGCCGACTCGTGCGGCAAATTAGCACAACTTATTTCACTGCAAATTCATTATTTACCAAATAATGTACTTCTGGTTAATATGAATAGCGAACAGATCTCACAGTTTATCGAAAACAGTAACAATTTTTTTGAGGTATTGATTATTGTTAAGCATTTAATTTAAATCACTAAAAAAATTGACTAATTATTTAAGGCATTGATTGTTGCGGATGCCTATCAATACAATACAAGTTGGGTCAGTGCTGTCTTCAGACACGTTGTACTAAATAACGATTGGAACTATTGGAACGATTACATCAGTGCAAGAGATATCGGCACTTCTTTTATTGAGGAATTGATTCAAAAATACTTTCATTTCATTGCCAACCAAAACATTGCTACGGAACGGATGATCCAATTGAAGAAATCAGTTCAACGGCTCATCCAATACATCGATGACTACGAATTGCGATTTCGAATGTCATCCAAACTAAACTTAAATGATTTTAATCATCAAATGCTTAACGAAGAAAGTGGCGCTTATTTACATGATTTACGCAGAAATGGACTTTTATAGAGACAACTAGTCATCATTTGAATCAAGAAATCGTTTATATTTTTTTTATTAAAATTGTATAATAAGAATATTAATAGTATTAATAACGAAATTAAATTTTATGTATAATTATGTGCAATATATTTAAAAATTCATTTTTTATAAAACAAGTTTACATGAAGTCATCGAAGTCATCGTATTCATCTCCGTAGGCATCGGTCGGATTGGTTTCTACCTTAACTGACGGTCCCTTTCCTTTCTTCTTACCCTTTGTTACGGCCTTTTATGATAAAATAATTTTAGTAATACTTTAATTAAAATTTATATAAATAATATATACCTTCTGTGCCTTAAGTTTTTCGTTATAAAGAGCCGTTAGACTTGCGGACAACTTTTTGATGTCATCGGATTCGACAGAAACGCATAGTTCGCGAAACAAGTTCTCCAAGAAGTGGACGTAATGGGGTGAGGCCTCATAGATAGACAGTTTGTCGACTAAACTTTTCCTAAACGAATCCCAATCTTCTTTCGTGTTCAGACTTACGCTAAGACCAGATCCACTGTTTCCCGCACCGAACGCTTCTTCAGCCAAACTAAGGTCCGATTCTTCTACTAGTTTTTGAATTCGTAACTTTTCTTCTATTATTTCTTGTGGTGTTTTCGGTTTGTTCGCCTCTTCTCTCTTTTTTCTTTCTTCTTCTTCTTTTTCCTTAATCTTTTGCTGTAATTTAGTTAACTTCTTCTCCTTCAAGGGCATAGTCTTTGTCTGTGTGTCATCTTTGGGCACCTCTTCTGATTCAGAATCATCCCAATTGTCTTTGATGTCGTCATCTTCATCTTCGTCATCAAATTTCTTGTTTCCACCGGAATTGTTGTCCACATCTTCTAAAAGTAATAATAACTTTATTAATGAAAACAATTGTCTAAATGAACGCCAAATGGATATAACATTTGGATATTTACCCCAATTATGAGTTTCAGACATATTATGAGCTGATCTAAGCTAAAAATTGCCGACAAATCAATCAAAATTACTGTCAAATCAATACAATTGGCGTACAATTGGCTAATAATAAAGTAATTAAATTTAAATGAACTAAATTTGATAAATAATGAAATAAATTAACTAAATAGCGATTCAATTGAAACGTGTGAACCGTATCATACATTGCATACAACACTACTAAATACAAACTGTATATAAAACTATATAACAGTAATATTTAGTAAAATCAATGTTTCATTCATTACAGTCAAACACAGTGTTTATTACAATATTTTAGGACACGTTTTCTCTCAGACCGGGGGCTCAACTCTAACCATACATTTATAGTTCAATTGATACAAACACTTCATTTATACAAACAATGTGTGTTATTAGTTGTCCTAATAATACTTTTAATATTTATTATTATATAACATGAATTTGATTTATCTAATTATTGACAAATATAATATATATTTATAAATTTCAAATTAATTTTATTATAACCACATTTTTTTCTGGTAATTATAACTATGATTTAGTGTATTATATAGAACTTTGCGGTAAAGATGAACAAACAGTGAGTTTGTATATGACTTTTGATTGACTCATATATTGTATCAAATGATATGTAAGTCCGGGGGTTGTGTTGTGTTGTGTTAGCCCAGGACTGGACCCTAACATACATTGTCTACAAATAACGTGACAAATATAATGAGGTTTTGAGTCTAGAGTTTGTCCCACAAGTGGTGACACACAGTGTGTGAACACATGTTTGAGATACGGATTAATGCAGTGATAGTGTAAGTGATGGACACTATTGTCGCCACAATTGTGACCAAACACTGACATTACTGGTAGTGACTCTCATACACACCGATTGTCATCCAATAATTGCCGGATAAGCCGTGCTTTTCATTTGATTACAAGCGGCCACTGACTGATACAACCGACACAATGGCCACAATGCCGTTAAACCCGAAACCATTTCTTAATGGTCTGACCGGTAAACCCGTGTTAGTGAAGCTAAAGTGGGGAATGGAGTACAAGGGATACCTGATCTCAGTGGACGCCTATATGAACCTACAGTTGGCCAACACTGAAGAGTACATCGACGGCAACTGTACCGGCAATTTGGGTGAAGTTCTCATCAGATGTAATAATGTACTCTATATTAGAGGTGTCGATGAAGAAGAAGAAGACGGAGAGACCAGGGATTAGCAGCCATTCGGTGAACAACATATGCATCGATATATCGATGACCACAACTAGTGGTGATGACCACATCATTGTCGATAACCTCTTCATTGATAACCATTTTGTAATCAATTCATTGCATATCTTTTGTCTTAAATTTATTTAAATTTATTTTTCATTATTACTATAAAACAATTGTATGTTTTTTGCGCTAAAATTATCTAATTATAGAAACGAATAGTTATTTAATTAACAAATAACTGTTTATTTTGTTTATAATGAATCCATAAAAGAGATAATTAATAAATTAAATAAATAATTGAATTGTATTTTAATATCATTTATAAATTATTAACAAATTTTGTAATTTAAATGCAATTGAATTGAAAAGTATGTAACGCTTTATATGAATGGATGAGTGTATTGCAGGCAATGAAGTAATAAATGGTATTTAATGTTAAGTCTATGAGTGAAATGCAGTGATAGTTAAGCGTATATTACTGTACTGTATATTATATGTTGTATTAGTATTACATTACTGTACGTATAGTACTCTATAGTAAACAATATATTTATGATATAATAATATAAATACAGTTATTATAGTAAACATTGTTTTACAATATATGAGTGATTTTTATTTTAACCAAAAATCACATTTAATTTAACAATAATTGCTATTAATATATGTTTGACTCAAACGCTATTAAGTCGTTAAATAATACAATGATTTTCACTCATTTGTCACTTAATTATCTGACATAACATTTATATCATATATTTTGTGCACACATTTCATAATCACATTTTTTAGTGAAAAAAATAAAATAAATAAATTGTGTCTTAAATTGTGTAATAATCATATAATTAATTAATTAGTTTTTTATTATTATAAAAACAACACTTGAGGTGATCTTTGATGGCAAACGATAGGATATATGGATGGACTCAAAGTACTGACTCTTCAACACTGGAGGTATGTGTTTGTTGATCATTGACAACACCATTGGATCAGATGATGATTATAATGATATCCTAATTGTAGTCCATTTGATGAATCAATTATAAGTTATATTATAAAATAATGTCATGTTTTTATATGCATTCAATTGTTTGCACTAATTATTTAATTGTCTATTTTTAATGTAGTTTTTTGTTATCACTATTAAATTAAAATAAATTTTTAGGATATTATATGTATAATATGTATATAAATATTAAAAAATAATAATAATTAAAATTTGAAGCAAACAAAGCATTTAATAATAATAATAATAATTTTGCCGACGATATCAATGACACAACAGTTTTATGTCTTTTCAGTGATAAATAAAATATTTTAAGTTAATTATTATTTCATTAATTAATTGAAAGCAATTAAATTGTAGTGAATTTTTAAATTAGTTATTTGATGAGTAATTTATTAACATTACATATACAATACAAATATATTTATATTTACTACAATTAAATTTAATAAAGTATTATAAGCTTTATAAGGTAATAAATATTATTAATAAAGTTATTTAATCAAATAAATAATAATAGTATGAATTGTGATGAAAATATTAAATACAAGTTTTAGTAATAATAATAATAAGTAGCGAATTGCGTGAATAGATTGTTAGTAATAATCATTTAGTGTATCGATTTGTAATTAATTTAATTTTATTGATTTGCATAATATTTTTGACAAATAATATGATAAATCATTACAATCATTGAATGACAAGAAATGTGTCGAAATATTGTATATACAATGCTATATAAATTAATATTAATTATAATGAATACTATCTGATATTTATTTTTGTTGTTGTAAATTTAATCCTAAAAAAGCTATTTTTATTGCATTAAAAATTTGTATCAATCAATGTATATTATATTATAATATATAGTTTATACTACGGTATATATAATTATCAATCAACGAATTGACTTATAATTTAATTGTCTTATAATAATAAGTGTCTATTACTGTATATTTCCGTAAATTATAGCTGAGGTGTAGAATTGAATGGGAATAAAGTATAGATTAGATAATATATAACATATCATAAACTTTTTTATTAATGGCAAACGTTTTTACTAAATAATGCAATAAAAGTCAACATTTCACTGATTATTATGGTTATTGTCATAACTTATGACTTTTATTTGTTATATTTGATAATTTGATAAAATAATCACTTAATAAACAATAGGACGCATCAAACATACGACTTCTTCGGCTAAAAGTGTTTGCCGGACACAACTTAGCCAAAAAGGACATCTTCGGCGCCAGTGATCCATACGTACGAATAGATTTGATCAGAAATGCTGACGAATCGGTCATTGATTCGGTTTATACCAAAACTAAGAAAAAAGTATTGATTTTTATTTGTTATATAATAACAATTGTTTTACAACTTATCTAATCATTAAATTTACCGATAAAGACATTGAACCCCAAATGGGACGAAGAGTTTATATTCAGAGCCAATCCTAATAATCACAGACTATTGTTAGAAGTATTTGATGAAAATCGTTTGACTCGAGACGACTTCCTCGGAATGGTTGAACTGCCTCTTCATAACATTCCCACTGAAAGAGCCGGTCGTACGATATCTCAAAAGTATTATATTTTGCGACCGCGAAGGTATTGATTTGAATTATAATTAAATACAAAACATTTTAATGACTTTCAATCAACTTAATTGTCTATATTTTAATATATGATTACCACTGGTAGTGCCAGATCTAAAGTGAAGGGACACTTGCAGTTATATCACGCATACATTGCGTCCAATGAAGAGGAAGAAACTCAATCGATACAAGAAAATGAAGTATTTATTGGTGTTTGTTATTTAATATTATAATTATAACACAGTTTTGTCTTAACTATAGCCCGGTTGGGAAGTAGTAGATGTTGAGAATGGAACTGAAGAACAGGCAGCACAGCCAATAGTGCCCGGAAGTAGTTCAGAGTCTATAGCATCGGGACTTCCGACCGGTTGGGAAGAAAGAGTTGATGCCAATGGACGGACATATTTTGTTAATCATATCGCACGCACTACTCAATGGGATCGACCAACAAAGTTAGTCAACAATGCTATTATATTTTGCACCCACCTATAGGTTTACTTTTTTTTGTTTGTTTTTTTTAGTACTAACAGTATTAATGAAGACCAAACGCAACAAAGAAGTCTTGAATCTGCTCAAGAATTCAGACGTCGGGTCCACATAAGTGTTGAACAAAATGGTGAACAACAGAACAACTCCACTACTAATGAAGAATCCATTTCTGATGTAAGTATTGACGAGTTTAATGACATTTTAATCGGTATTTACATAAAATCAATAATAAATTTATTTTATTTTGCATTAATTAATTTTTTGCACGTATTTCGACAAAAAAATCGATAATTGATTAATGAATTGATTATTGAATTGATTAATTGTGCCCAAAGTTAATAGAATCTCAGCGACGATTAACCCTCACTCCAAACACTACAAATGCCTCACTTATGAGCGCAAACCGTCGGCACTCAGAGGTTCTCATCCTAGCTCTCAATGCACTCAATGAACAAAGATTTTGGTTCCCAATTATTGTTATATAAATAACTGTTATTTTTTAAAAATATTTAATTATGATTTGACCGGACATAGTAGCTAACAAAATCGCTTGTTTTAATTATCTAATTTATTGAGTAATGTTTGCCACTAACCTAAATATAATAACCCGTAACATAAAGAGTATGCCATAACCAAAGTCAGTGTTCATTGAATTTAAATGTTTATCTAAATGTTTGCTTTTTGAGGCAAATTAAATAATTTTTGTTTGCATTTGTTATAAACCCCAATGACTCCCAAAATCCATGATTGTATTGTTTAAGCGCTTTAGAAAATTACATAATTAGAAGTTAATTTAGAAACATTAGAGACTAATTTTGCAAATTTTATGGCTTTATGGACAGCCTGTTAGCGGTGCCGGTCCATCCAATTCTAACGGTGCAATTACTGGTAGTGGTCACAGGGCGTCACCAAATCAACCGGGAAGCGATGGGCTACCTGAGGGATGGTCATTACAAGTGGCACCCAATGGCCGTATATTTTTTATTGATCACAACGCTAAGACAACGACTTGGATTGATCCCCGTTCAGGAAAAGCAAGTCCAGCGCCCAATCAATCAAATGTTGCGAATCGTCCGAAATTCAATACAGTCGATGATTTGGGACCACTTCCTGATGGATGGGAAGAAAGAGTGCATACAGACGGACGCATTTTCTTCATTGACCACAGTATGCATTTGCAGTTTAAAAGAAAATGTTTAATATTAGCTAAAACTATAAAATCTATAAACAATTAGATAGTCGAATGACTCAATGGGATGACCCGCGACTCAACAATCCCAACATTGCTGGACCCGCTGTTCCCTATTCACGCGATTACAAACGTAAATACGAGTACTTACAGAATCGTCTGCCGCGACCATCAAACGTGCCAAACAAACTAGAGATCAAAGTTAGCAGAAGTAATATATTTGAGGACTCATATCGATGCATCTCAAGTATAAGTCGAGTGGATTTACTTAAAACAAAATTATGGGTCGAGTTTGATGGCGAAGAAGTACTTGATTATGGCGGCGCCTCCAGAGAGTGGTTCTACTTGTTATCTAAAGAAATGTTTAATCCATATTACGGTTTGTTTGAGTATTCAGCCGCTGATAATTACACCCTTCAAATAAACCCATTTTCTGGGATGTGTAATGAGGAACACTTATCTTACTTTAAATTTATTGGACGAGTGGCTGGAATGGCTATATTTCATGGTTTGTTGGCTAAAATTGTTTGTTTTTTTTGTAAAAAACAAATTCACAAAATATTTTTATCAAACTTTAGGTAAACTATTGGAAGCATTTTTTATACGACCTTTTTATAAGATGATGTTAGGAAAGCCAATCCAACTCAAAGATATGGAGAGCGTTGACACAGAATATTTCAATTCTCTTAAATGGATTCTTGAGAACGACCCGTCAGAACTTGACCTTAGATTCTCTATCGATGAGGACCTGTTCGGCCAAATAGAGCAAAGAGAGCTCAAACCAAAAGGCGCTAATATACCGGTCACTAATGATAACAAACACGAATACATGGAGTAAGATATTAATTATTGGTTTTAATTCATTTAGTGTTAAACTTAATTTCATTGACTTAAAGTTTGGTAATCCAATGGAGATTTGTGTCACGAATTTTGCCACAAATGGAATCATTCCTCGATGGTTTCAATGAATTAATTCCTCTAAGTTTCATTAAAGTTTTTGATGAACACGAATTGGAGCTATTAATGTGTGGTATTGGAAATGTTGACGTCAAAGATTGGAAACAAAATACTGTCTATAAGAGTAGTTATCATCCAAACCATATCGTTATACAGTGGTTCTGGAGGGTATGTCTTATAAATTAACAATTGTTTTCAAATGTTAGACATTGTTATGTTTGCACAGGTGGTACTATCATTCAATAATGAGATGCGATCGCGTTTACTACAATTCGTTACCGGAACATCTCGGGTACCGATGAATGGATTCAAAGAACTTTACGGAAGTAATGGTCCGCAACTGTTCACTATTGAAAAGTGGGGAACACCCCATAATCTGCCCCGTTCTCATACATGGTATTATTAATCGGATCAAACCAAGTGTGCGAATATTTATATTTTTTTAAAATTATTTTTTTTTGTTTTTTATAGTTTTAATCGCTTAGATTTACCGGCTTATGAAAGTTATCAGGAGTTACGAGAAAAATTGATTCAAGCGATTGAGGGCTCGGAATCATTTGGTGGAGTCGATTGACACCATAATATTTATGCACCAATTGTTATAATATATTGTATATATACAGTATATATATATATATTTAATAACATTATTTACAAATAATGAATTATTTACCTTAATATAATATATATTTACTGTATACCTATTATATTTACGGTACGGTAATTGTTTTATTGGACGATAATGATAATGGCTGAAAAGTCTGTGATTTACATATATATATATATATATATATATATAAATGAGAGTTTTATTTGAATAATTTTTTTAATCGTGATATCACACCATATATGTTGCTAAATATATTATTATTAAAAAATGATTTATTGTATAAAAAACATTATAAAAGTTAGATATTATTCAATTTTATAATAACTTATTGTATAAAAAGCTAATATATAAAACAAATTATTATATTGTATAAAACAATTATAATGCAAATATATATATTATTTGATTATTATTGAAAGATTTATATATAATATAATTAATTGATATACACAATGTCAATGTCTTTATTGAAATATATATTGAATAAAATGTTTGTTTTAATTAAATTTATTGATATTTATAAGAAATTAAATTACAAAAATAATATTTGAGATAATCTTTTGATTTTAATGATTAATTGTTTAAATAATTATGAATTAATTAATCATTTAATTGTCGGATTAGTTCAAATAACAATTTGTCAATTATTAAAATCAAACTACAAATTATTTATTAATAATTTTTTAAATTAAATTATAGAATAATCTCATTTGAAAATTAAATTTAATTCAATTATTGATTATTATTTGGCTTCTATGCATACAAATTGTATTACAAATTGTATGCATAGAAACCAAATACTGTATTACAATATATCGATAATATTACTGTACTATAGGTGTATAGCTGTATACTATCCATGTGTTGTTGACAAGCATTACATAATAATAGGAAAACATTGAAAAGTAATGTAAAATAAAACTATAGTTTATATGACTATAAAAAGTGATTTAAAGTGTTGTTTGAATTAATTGTTTTATTATTCAAACTCTAAATGTATTTGAATGTCAAACCTGTGATCACCAGTAATGTCATCACAAGAGTCACCATTGAATGTGTCCGAAGATCTCACTTCAAGTTCGGTGACACTCAACACACACAACAGTCAGCTGTTTTGGACAGACTTCTCAAACGAAATGATAATATAGTGAAGAAACTGATGGATAACAGGACTAGTATTTTGTCGAAAGGAGTACCCAATCGGCGAGAGAGTGATCGCACTGTTGGACACATTGACACCAAAGTTATCACTAGAAGAATGACTGTTTTGAACAAACTGTTGATGGAATGTATTACAGATGTATTGTCCACTGAAGTTATTGGCGAAGAACTGTCTGAACTCGAAGTGCATATCACTCATGTATGTGTCACTCAAATGTCTTATCGGACGACAATTATAATGACAAACGATTTTATTATTTTCTAGGTTCGGGTCAACAGACCGTGTGATTCAGTCAATATCTATTGGATCACCAAAAAAGATGACATCACGACTGTAGCCGATAAGTTGGACCAAATTAAAGGTCGCTTAAGACAACACATAATGGACAGACATTACATGCATTATGTTCCGTGGGTTCAGTTTGTAATGGATGTCTCAGAGTCTCACAGTCTCGAAGTCGACAGAATTCTTAAGACCTGTGATTTTGGTGCCGACTTTGAGCCGTTTGACACTACATTGTTTGAGACGCCGTACGAAAAGGCGACGAAATCTAAAGATATGTCTAAAAGAGAAATGAAAAGAATGGACAATAAGAACGACAATCAGTCAGATATTTATGAATCATTGAAAATGAAAAGACCGGATGACATGAAAATGGATTGTTTTGGTCTTAACTATGAAATCCTTATGAATATTGTATTACAAAATTTAAGCAAATCTCGAGCACAACACAGAAGTTTCAATGCTGTGGCCGATCCGTTACCGCCGCCCGACTGGACATCAAATATAGCTGTTAATACACCGACCGATGAAACAAATGCCGTTTATAATACAGACGAAAGAATTAAAATTATGAAACAATTTTTGGTCGAAAACAGGAAGAAAAGGGAGAGATTATCGCGACATTTAAGACGACAAATAATTTTGAATGAAATGGACGTTAAATATAGGATCAGTGATATGTATGACAATTATGTCGAACAAAATATGAGTGAAATACAAGAAGACTTAAATCAAAACTTAGATAACAATTATGACTTTGAAGAGCAAACTAATGATTGAAACATTAAAATTGTTATCATTAACTAAAATGTATTTTGTAATTAACATAGTAGTAATGTAATTATCCAGGTTATTTATATATCATTGATAAAATATAATTTTTAGATATCATTATTAATAGAAAATAGCATTTTAATAATTTATGAAATTTTTACTAAATAATAAATGATTTTTGTTTTAAATTCATTTTTATTGATCACAATTTCAATAAACGATTTTTATTGGCAAAAAATAAATAAATTAAAATTATGATTCTATAATATTCGGTATATTTAAAAATTTATATCATATCTCATACACAGTATATTTAATAAGTAGACAAATATAACTATATTAATAATGTTTCAGTTTATCAGTAAAGGTAAGCAATTTGTTAAATATGGTCTACAATGACCTCAAATTAGTACAATAATAATATACTGTCTAAAAATATCACAGATTTGATTAATATAGTTCTGAATAATGTAATTTTAATAAAATTAAATAATAATTTATAAATTAATTTCGGCAAACAATTTATAATCGATAGTTGTTAGTGAAGAATCAATAATAAATGGCATTTTACTATTGGATACACAATTCAAGTCATCGACAGTTAGGTGATGACAATCGCTGTATATAAGACTCGTTTGAAAGTTTTCGACTTTGAAATTACAAACGGTTTCCAATTCCGACACTTTATTAGCTGTAGATATCATATCAAATATGATTTTAATAGTTCCCGATTTTGGCAACTTTGAGCCGATAACCCATAACAGGTCATTGTTCTCATATTTTAATTGACCGATTGTTTGAATGGGATTTAATGGATTTAAATGATGATTCAGTATTTGTCGGAATATTATATTAAAGTAATTAAACTTAAATTGTGAACCATTTCTTATATTTAATGTTAACTGAATTTTATATAGATTTTTCTCATTTTTAACGGCATTAATGTTATAATTATAGGTCAGAAATGTCTTACTATTGTTTGAATTGCACTTATAGTGAACCAAATGCAGCGGATTGTGATACGCGGGTCTTATTTGAAGAATGAATCCGTTTTGTGTACAATTTGGTGGTAAAACCAGATTTAATGAATCAATTGCTCTTAATTTGACATTTACTAAACCATTATAATTATGATTTGGATGATCTATAGTTAATGTCCCGTAAATTAGTTCTTTGTCTTTAGTTCTGGAGATCAACTCATTTACTGATAATTTCAGTTCATTTTGTTGTAGTTTTGTCTCTAATTTGTTCACTCTTTGACCACCAGTTTGTTTCTTTTGATTTAATGGTTCATAGTTTTGATTAATTAGTGTACCAAACGGTGCCATTGATGTGATGAGCCATTCAATCCATGAGAGACCCTAAAGTAAAGACTTAGAGTCAATAAATTAATTTCCGATAATTATTTCCAATACCTTATCGGCAGTAAAATAACGGGCGATTGTCTGTAGACATGTAAAACAAAGAGCAATAGACTTGTCGTCAATCAACTCAATTGTGTCACTCTTTGGATGCGATTCACAGAATGGAAATCCACAGAAAAGAAAGCCGTTCTGTTCGATGACCAGAATTGGCCACAAATTGTTATCTTTATATTTGAGTCCAACGACTGGCAATTCATTACGACTGGACAACTGAAACGCTTCATCGTCTGTAACTCTGTTGATGGCCAACGATGTGAGCATAGCATCCACGAGTAGGTCATCGCCGGTAATAATAACCTCTTTGTGACCAAAATTCTGTGCCCTCTTCTCTACGGTCGGGAATCGCCGCAAAAAGACCACTGATTTCGTGGTCAACGATATAATCCAAAAGTAACGCAAAGCCATTACAAGTCATATAATAAATGGTTTATTGATTTGTCATTAAATGTCACCGCAATTGGTCTCGAAATTTGTCGACACTTATAGTTGTAATACTTATCACTTATTCTGTATAAACATTGTATTCAAACAAATATCATGTGTTTTGTGTGCAATAATTGTGTCAATCATTGCATATAAATATATTGTCTAACATTTTGTCCCATTTTTCCAAAATAAACATTAAATCATTGTTTTGATAATAACTGCAGTGTTTTTGTCCCCAAAATAACGTTATATATGAATGGATTGTTAAGAATCAAAACAAATAGTGTTTTAAATGTCTTTGAATTCAAGAAAACGTGTCTTCGCTGATGATAATGGTTTCATACCATTGTCATCATCGACACAAAAGTCGCAAAATAATGACAATCGTTACCAACAAAAGAAACAAAATAAGTCACAAAACGTATCCATTTTTGGTGACCGACATCTGTATTCTCGAGTCAAAGAGGTTTGGATCAGATTTGTTGATAGATTTCGGTTAATATTTTGCTGTCTTTTGGTTTATAGATTTTAACCAAATCAGACGTAAACGACAACCAAATACTTGTGAATCAGTTACAGAAGACATATTCTGAATACAAACGGAAGAAGAGTTCAGTTCTTATGAAGTCTGTTTGCAAAGCGTTAGAAATGATTGATAACGACTTGTCTTCAGATGTAATGGAAGACGATATAAGTGGCCAATCAATCGATGATATAACAGATCCACTACCAAATGATGACATAAATTTTATGAATAATTCATTAAACGATTTATATTCAACAAATAGTAATCAAACGAATAGAAATAAATTAAGAGACAGTTCGGGTCAAAATATTACCGAAAATAGTGGTCATTCAAAGTATAATAACACGAGAAAATCAGACAAAAGATCTGAAAATTCAAAAACTGTTTCTCAAACCAACAACAAAGCCGATCGTAATATCGATTCTTTATTAACAAAACAAATTCAACTAAAAGAGCGCTATTTATGTGAACCAAAACTGACATTTGAAGACTTTGGTGGTATCGATAATATAGTGATTCAGATTAAGAAATTATTGTTTCATTTAAGACATCCAACACTTTATATGACTATCGGTGTCGATCCTCCCCGTGGTTTCTTATTGCACGGACCGCCCGGCGTCGGTAAGACAGCAATAGTTGAGGCCATCGCCAATGACCTGAAAATACCATTCTTGAAGTGTGGCGCCACTGAAATAGTTGCAGGAATTTCAGGTGAAAGTGAGGGCAAAATACGTGAACTCTTTAGTTTAGCTAATAGTTTGAAACCTTGTATACTATTCATTGATGAAATCGACTCAATTACACCTAAACGAGAAAACGCATCCAAAGAAATGGAGAGAAGAATTGTCACACAATTACTCACATCTTTAGATAATTTAGGAACCAGTGATTCTCAAGGAGTTATGGTTATCGGTGCCACTAATAGACCGGATGCTATTGATCCAGCACTTAGAAGAGCCGGACGTTTTGATAGAGAAATAAGTTTAGGAATTCCCGATCAAAAGTCTAGGACTGAGATTTTGAAAGTCATTACAAAAAGTGTTAAACTGTGCGACAACTTTGATATCGAATCTTTGGCCCACAAAACTCCCGGTTATGTCGGCGCTGATCTCAAAAGTTTGATACGAGAGGCGGCTATAAATGCTTTGGAAAGGATTTTATTACTTCAAAATATAGACATAAATTTATCTTTCGATAGCAATCAGATGAATATCGATAACCTAACGTCTTTGTTGACAATAGATATGTGTGACTTTGATTCAGCACTCAAACAAATACAGCCCTCATCTAAACGTGAAGGTTTTGCTACAGTTCCAGACGTCACGTGGAGTGATGTCGGCGCTCTTGAGAATGTTAGAAAAGATTTACAACTATCGATATTAGCGCCCATTAGATATGAAAAAGATGTTAAAGCATTAGGACTGACCACTTCAGTGGGAATACTTTTATGTGGACCACCCGGTTGTGGCAAAACATTATTAGCAAAAGCCATCGCTAATGAATCGGGTATTAACTTTATATCAGTGAAAGGACCCGAACTTTTGAATATGTATGTCGGAGAGTCTGAACGGGCCGTTAGATCAGTATTCAATAGGGCACGCAATTCAAAGCCATGTGTTGTGTTTTTTGATGAAATTGATGCACTTTGTCCTAAAAGAAACGATTCAGAGGTAAATGACATACAAATATATCTTCAATTTTATATCACTTATACATTTACCGGTAATTTGATAATAATATGACGAATATTTTTTTTGATTAAACTCTTTGTAGTCATCCAACGCTTCCTCACGTGTTGTCAATCAACTGTTGACTGAAATGGATGGCTTAGAATCTAGAGATTGTTTTTTGTTGGCGGCCACAAACCGACCCGATATTATAGATCCAGCTATTCTAAGGCCGGGACGGTTCGATAAAATACTTTACGTTGGATTCCCATCGAAAGCAGATCGCTATGAGATATTGAAAACATTAAGCAAAGTATTGTTAAGAAAATTATTTTAATTAAATACTATTTATTAACTTTAAATGTTATTACAAATCTATTAGAACGGAACAAAACCTCCATTTAGTGCAGACATTGATCTTAAAACTATAGCCGAAGACACACGTCTTGATGGTCTAACCGGCGCTGACTTGCATTCATTGCTAAGAGAATGTAGTTTAAGTGCATTATCTGAGAGAATATCATCTAATTTGGCACCAAATGAGTCCATTATTATCAAGAAATGTCATATTGAGTGTGCATTAAATAAAGTTAAACCATCTGTTAGTAACAATGAAAGAAAAATTTATGAAAAAATGTCAAATATTTATGATAGTAAACATTAAATCGTTTTAATATTCATTAAAATGACAGTATATTTAAATTAATATTTCCAAAAATTAAAAATAGTTTTATAATACTTTGCTTTTATAAAATAACAGTTTTATTTGAATGAACTCAAAAAACTTTAAATCAATTACAATGATAAATGATGTCAAATAACAAACAAAAAACAAATGATATTTATAAAAAAAATAAGAAATCACTAAATATCTGAATTATTAAACATTGGTTAATGACATGATTGATGACACCATTTAAAATCAGGTCTTAATTGCGTTTTTGTTTCTTCGTCTAACTGTTGCCATATATGAGTCCAAATCCATGTCCAGAGACTCGCGATTTACCTGATCTGGAGAACCATTACTACTAACAACACTGGACTCTCCCTTTAGTCCCATATATGATTCAATCTCCATATCTAATGACTCTTTAGTTATCTCTGGTTCCGGTTCTTCCTTTGGCTTTGGTTTCAAGATTTTCAATCTGTTGCCAAACACTCGTTTGGGATCAACAATTGTGATGCCATTTTCCAGACCATTAGTATTGCCATTCATAGCATTTGAAATTTCATTAGCCATAAGTTGGGCTTTTCTTTCGCGTACTTCCGCCATATAGAGATCCAACTCGACATCGAGTTCTTCGCGGGTTCGCTTCGGTCCGGAGTTATACTTTCGGTTAAGTAAAGGCAAATACAAGAGTTTACGGGCAGCCAAAAGTTGACCAAATTTTTCTGACCAACTCTTCTTGACTATCGATACTTTATTATTAAGTCTTCGTCGAGCATTTGTTGGTACATAAGCGATGCCCAACCGATTGGCTATCGATCTCTTTTTTAACTTCTTTGCCAAATTGATAGTAATATTGCGTTTATTTGGGCGACTAATCGATTGGGATTTACCTAAATTTAACTCTTCATTTGTCATTTCGTCTAAAAAAGAAAATCCAAAATTAATTCATACAAATGACGGCCAAAAATCATACCTTCTTCTTCTTCTTCAATGTCCTCAAAATCTTCGTCGTCATCGTTGATATCGTCTGTTTCAAACACAATACCTGCTTCTTGTCTCAATTTACCCAATTGGGTAAACCTATCATTAATGGTAAGTCTAGACTCTGGTTCTATCTTAACTTCAACGCCCTGAACCACTTCCTTCTTCGGGCGCTTGTCTTTGATCCATACCTTTGATATTATTGTTTGAATTGGTTTCTCTCTTATCGGTTCATTCTTAGCAAATGTTTCTTCGATAAAAATGGAGACCAAATAGTCATCAATATCATCGTCTGTGACCATTGTTATTGTCATCAATGACTGACACAAACAAAGTGTCGGACAGAAGAGTAAAAGCAAAACAAATGACTGAAAGTAAAGACAAATTGAGAGCAAAAGCCAATCAAACAAACAGTCAGTCAATCATAGAGTCAGACAAACAAACAGACAAACAGTCAGTGCTTTTGAGCGCAAAATAATAACTCAACTCTTAATCTGTTTTGAGTTCACGTGGTTTTCATTGACAATGAATTTCATAATAAACTCAAATTCAATGATGACTTCAATTAATGATTGATTGATTGATTGACACAATATATAATCAAATGATCACCAATTGATCCAAACTTTCATTTATAATGACAACAATCAATATCACACATTGAATACATTGATTGGACACAAATTGATCCAAAAAATTAGCGATAAATTGAATTTAATTTTTAGTTGACATCAAAGTTATGTGTAATTTATGGATAAAATATTGCATTTGTTTTGATTCGTTGGAAATAATTGTATGATTTGTTGACCAAACTGTTTGGTCACAAATAAATTGATGACCACTTGAGCTCCTGATGGCCAATATCGGCGGTAAAAAATTATTTATCCCTAAACCACCCGATAAGGGTAGCTTCCCGTTAGACCACGAGGCCGAATGCAAACACGTGATGATCAAATATCTTACGTGTCTTAAAGACAATCAAATGGACAACTCGTTGTGCCGATCGGTGGCCAAACAGTATCTACAGTGCCGTATGGATAAAGATTTGATGGCCAAAGAAGACTTCAAGATATTGGGATTCAAATCTAGTGAAACTGTCGACAACAATACTACACGAAATAATAATTGATTCACAAAAAAAATAATGAGTTCTTCAGCAAACAAACCGCCCGACTGTCTGTCTAACCACCAAATCATTCATTTATCACATAAACAATTGATTTCTTCCATTGATTTAACTATTACTTCGTTTATCAAAAGTGATTCACTGCTCAATCATTTGCCATCAGACATATCGACCGAAGAGTTAGAAGATATGTCCAACCATTTGATGGGTCGTTCAATGTCTTTGATCGTAGAGCGCGACGACAGCACAACATTTCAAGTTATTGTTGGCAATGATTCAGATGTGAGACAATTGAAGAGATCAATTGAAAGATACTTTTCCTATGATTGTCGACGAAATCATATTAAACTAAATCATCGAATAAATTGGCGGTTTGTTTGGCGGACTTATTGTATTAAATTTAATGATCAGATTCTTAGCGATGATTTGATTAAACTAAAAGATTTAGGGATTCATAACAATTGTAAACTTTGTTTCATTAGAAAGTTTTTCAAATAAATGATTGAATGTAATTATTTTAAGTAAATTAATTGATAATACATTTGTTTATTTTGTCAATTTTTATATACAGTACAATACATGTTTAATTCTATAGACATTTTTAATATTAAAAAAAATTAGAGATTATCGAAAAACTTTGTGTAAAACATATTTAAATAAATTATTAAAGAGTTGTAAATGTAGTTAAATATAATAGAAGTAAAATTAGAAACATAGCGATGACATGTAATGTCGGGAATCGGGCTGTCGGTGGCAATACATGGGCGTCATATTGGGAATGAAGTGATTGTATAATCAAATCAATTAATATCATATTTACAAAAAGCATGACTAACTCCAACAATCGGTATCGTTGAATGTATTGCATGTATGGTTTGAGTGATTTGTTCACCTGATCCACACAACCAACTGTATTGATACTGACTGTGTCTTCGGTGGCATAGAATCGACACAACGATGAGTACTGGCGTTGACAGCAACTGAATGGCACTGTTTTGTTCAACAGTTTGTTGTCAATTGAATTAAACTGTTTTTTAAGCCATTCTTTGTTTGGACTGTTAAGATGAAATGTTGACTTTTTATGCCAATCTTCATAACTATTGTAACCGCAGCACATGTATGTCCACTGAATAGTATCGATGGCTACTTTGAATTTTTCGTTTTTCAAATATTGATTACTATGAGATTCAAATGATATTTTTAAATCGTTGCTAAAATGATGAAAATAGTGTGACAACCAAATCATTAATGTAATTAATATGACAACCAATGAATAGCTCGCATAATATATGACTTTTAGCCATACATGCGATATCTTAAGGGTTGCAATATTATCTTCTTCCTGAGCACTTTGATAGCATTCGATAATATAAATGAAGATTGTATTGTAGATAATGATAACAACACAAGTAATGATCATATAAGTGATCACTGAAGACACTGTCGTATTTGACATAAAGTCGGAGAAGTCATTCATAATGAAGTACATAATTATAGCCCAAATTATTTCGCCGATTCCGAGAAACCACAAAATAGTGACTAAAAAGTATAGAAACTTTGCCAACACTTTTCGACACTCTTGAGTGACAACTACTTCTCCTTTGGTTGCATTGAATTCATGGAAGAATTTCTGTCGTTTAACTTTATCGAACTGATCCACAACTCTTTCCTTTGCATTTTTCAATACATTCTTTGTTTTCCCAAATTTATCTTTAAATGTCATGTTTTACAACTTTTCTATACAATTGTATAATAAACTCGAAGAATATTACGTTAAAACTAATGTTAGAATTGAGATTTAAATAAAAGCATTTATTTGAATAATAAATAATATTAAATAAAATCACGAGACGTTTTATATTATTTTATGTTTTGTTATACTTGTATTGATTATTCAAATTAAATTTTTCTATGAAATTCCTAATGAATTTAGTAAATCATAAATTTTTATATAAAATGCAATTCTCGTTTTAATAATTACTTTAACTATATCTTAATTCATTGTTTTATTCATTGAAGTAATATAATTAACGAATATGTTTGCATCATATAATTGTTAAAATTATAATACAGCATAACATTTATTATACATACATACAAATACAGTATATATAAATAATATGTAATTATAATGTTAGGTATATGTAAATAGAAATTTTCTTTTAAAAATCTTTTATCTATACAATAGATTATTTATAAAATCTACACTAACTGTAGGTAAACTGGTATACATTTATTTAAGTCTCATTGTGTTAAATATTTAACTAAAAAAATAATGATTTCTTTTCAATAATTAATTCATTATAATAATTTAAGTTTTTTGTTTTGTTAAATCAAACTTTTTTCTAATATAAAAAACAAAATTTTAGTAAATTTGTATAGTATTTGAATAATAATTTTCAGAATCATATAAATATTGTTTTTTTTATTGAATAAGACATATGAAAAACAAATACAATGAACATGTAATGAAAACAATATATATTTTTAGATTATATTTATGAGAATCTGTTTTTTGGTGTAAATGATTTAAAGATAAAAAATTTATATTTTTGTTTTAAGAGATATTGAATAATATACTGTAGAGAGTGGATATTTTTTTATTTCAATTAGTGTTGGCAAAAAAGAGAAATTTATAAAATAATAGAGAAATTTCTAGAAAGTTTCTAAAAGAAATTTCTATCTATGGGATCACCATGTTAATTTTGTTTTCTGGATATATGTTATTATGTAAAAATACATTGGTTTTACAAGTAATAATTAAATATTAATATTAATATTTTTATTATTAATTAAAATAAAAATTAATTTATTTAATTATCTTAAATTCTTATATATATAATAAAATGATTATTAAAATTTTAGAAAACTGATTATTATTAAATAATTATAATTATTTTACATATAGGTATCGCATTTTGTATAGTAGTGTATAGTGTAATGTTATATGAATAGTAGTATTGTCTCATTATTTATATAGTATTTCAATGGCTATAGATATGGGGATCCCATAGTATAACAATAAAGTTAAATTTCTATAGAAATTTATTCCTGAGAAATTTTCTAGAAACTTTCTCAGTGAAATTTATTAGAAACTTTCTATTTGCCCATCTCTAATTTCAATACATTTCCAGATTACCTACCAGTGCTATAATATAATATATTATTGTCTGTATGTGTGTTATTATATTCAATAATATTACTGTAAGCGTCAAAATTGTTCTCGTAATACAATTTTCTTGAATTCATTCATAATTTATTTTATTTCTTGTTATATATATATACCGGTATACTGTACTACATAAAGAGTATTCAATAAAGTGTATAGCAATCACATGACAAAAACTGGTTAGAAACCAGTACATTAATAAATTATATCTTATATTTGTAAAAGGGTTTAGTATAAAATTTTCCATACAATAGTGTTTTTATAAATAATTAGTCATTTAATAGTCATAAAATACTTATAATTTAATAATAATAGTTACAAATTAATAATAATAGTTATAAATTAATAATAATAGTTATAAATTAATAATAAGTTATAAATTAATAATAATAGTTATAAATTAATAATAAGTTATAAATTAATAATAATAGTTATAAATTAATAATAAGTTATAAATTAATAATAATAGTTATAAATTAATAATAAGTTATAAATTAATAATAATAGTTATAAATTAATAATAAGTTATAAATTAATAATAATAGTTATAAATTAATAATAAGTTATAAATTAATAATAATAGTTATAAATTAATAATAAGTTATAAATTAATAATAATAGTTATAAATTAATAATAAGTTATAAATTAATAATAATAGTTATAAATTAATAATAAGTTATAAATTAATAATAATAGTTATAAATTAATAATAAGTTATAAATTAATAATAATAGTTATAAATTGATAATAATAATAATTAAAAATAATAATTGCAATAAATATAAGTAATTTAATTAAAATGAGTGAAAATATAAGTAATAATATTAAAGTGAATCATATTTATACGGAAGAAGAGCGGTTTTGGATAAATCATTATTATAAAAAATTTGAAAAACAAAAGGATGGTAATTCAAGATTTAAATATGTTCAGGATAAATTTAGTGAACATTTCAAAACAAAACCTCCACATCGTATGACAATTCAAAGATTAAATAAACAATTTGATGATGAAAAAACTCTCCAACCTAAATATAAAAAACCTCACAAAAAAACAAAATTAACTATTGAAAATATTGAAATAGTCAAAAATGGTAAATATATTATTAATTGGATCAGATGGTAGTGCATGTAAAAGTAAATATCATTATATAATCTTAAAATATATTATAATTAATATAGGAATTAAAACTTACAAATCTGTGCGAAAAATTCAAGAATATTTAAAATCCATAAATATTGAATTGAGTGTTGGATCAATTCATTCAATATTAACAAAACAATTAAATTTATTTCCTTATAAAATTCAAATTGTACCAAAATTAACACAAATATCAAAACAATTACGTATTGATTTTTGTAATTTAATGTTAATTAACTTAAATGATGACAATAATTATTTGGATAATGTTTGGTATGTTTATTTTATTTTATTTATTTTTTAAAGAAATGTTTAATCAAACCTCTATTTAGACCCGAAGAGCATAAACTGCAAACAATGTTGTCTTTAACTTCTTTAATATATTCTAATTCCTGTTCGACTTTGACTTTCATTTGATTTAGGTTTTCAGACGAATGCAATTATCACAAAAATGGATATGTAAACAAACAAAATATGAGGATTTGGGGAACAGAAAAACCAGAAACGGCAGTAGAAAAACAGGCACATCCCGAATATTTGACCGTCTGGGTGGCCTGGAGTGTAAAATATGGTTTTATTGGGCCGTATATTTTTCCAAAAGAAAAAGGAAAAAAGTATACAATTGATGCTGATAAATATCAGTCATTAATTGAAAATTATTTTATACCTAATTTAAAGTTGAAGACAGGTGATAATTATTGCCATCAAATTTTTATGCAAGATGGTGCAAGTCCTCATACAGGTTTGTTTATTTTATACCTGTATATCTACCATTATAATCAAAATTTATTTTATTTAATAACTTTAAAATTATTGGTCCGATTGATCTAAATTTATAATATATATTAAAATATATCAATTAAAATATTAATTTCCAAAATTTGCTTAACCGCGCCTTTTTTATTTATATATTAGCATTTTCAACATTAGATTTATTGAGACATCATTTCTCCAATCGATTAATAAGTCTTAAAACCGACACTCAATGGCCAAGTCACTCACCCGATTTAAATCCACTTGATTTTTGTTTTTGGGGAGCAACTAAAACTGAGATTTATGATTTTCAAAATCCTATAATTAATTTAGACGATTTAAAATCAAGAATTATAAATGCATTTTCTAAATATAATCAAATTAATTTTAATTCTATTATTGAAAATTTTATATATAGGCTTCATATATGTATAGCCAGAAATGGGGAACATTTTGCTAACATAATTAAATGACGTATTTTATATATAAATTTGTTTACCATTTATTTGTTTGCCACAAACTATATTGAATACTCTATATATATAAACTGGAATATCATTTTCCATTGTGATTACCCAACTTAAAAGGGTATATTTATGAAAATTCTGTCAATGCTATGAAATTTTATTTAATACTAAATTTTTAATCTAATATCTAATAATTAAATATCTAATTTTATATTTAGTGTAATTTGAAATCAATTATTAAAACAATGGTAACAAAATAAAAGATAAATTAACGTTTTTCTAATTACAGATATGAAAAAAATTTAAATTAATTTTTGTGTATTTTTTATAATAAAGTCATCACACTTTGACACATATTACCTAAAATGCTTACAATGATCTCAAAAGTGATATAAAATAAGTTTTATGGTTTTACATCTCCTTTATTTTTATAAGGAGTGAACAAAATGTTTTACAAAACATACTTTTATATATGTTTTGTACAACATTTTGGTTATATTGAATTAGTCATATTAGTGATTATATTGAAAAACAAGATTCAATATAATGTATATTAAATTTTAAATATTTATGTATTTACTAAAATTGATAATTTAAGTACATTTTGAAGCTTGAGTATATATAATAATATAATATTTATTTCTTAAATTAATATTTAAATTGTATTTCAGTTTATTTAACTGAAAATTTGTTTATATATTAAAAAAGACTATAAATAATTATAATAATCAATATATTTTTAATTAACTAAATATCAATAATCTAAAACTTTTAATTATTTAAAATTACAATTTTATAAACTTTCTGATGACACGATTGAATTGAAAATTAGTTTTAACTATAAATTTTATCAATCATTTCTGAATTCATTTGTTGTTTAAGTATAATAATAAATATTATATATTTATATTACTAAAACATGAAAATGAAAGATGCAATTATTGTAGAAACAACTATTTTAATATATAATTTAATGAGAATTTTATTATTTCTAATAAAAATAATAAAAAATAAATAAATGTTTATATTGTGTTTGAATTAAATAATATTGATTTTTGTTTCGTTAACAACTTATGGGAATATTTGTTAAATTCTCTGAAAGCATTAAAATATAAGTGAATATAAGGATCTTTTTTGCTAAACGCCTATAAGTTTAGAGTTAATTTTAGATTTAGTTTTTTAATCTTTGTTTATTTGTTTAGACCTTAAAATTTGAAATTATTTTTGTACTATCAATCAATAAATTGTAT